TTTTTTTTTTTTTTTGGTAAATTTATTTATCTATGCAACGCATATTAAACAGCATAAAGCGATTTATTCTTATACGATCCAATACGATACGATACGATACGATATCATCGATGAGCATTTGGGTAAAATATTTTATTTTTCTTTTAAATTCAAATTTATTTGCAATATAACATGTGGAAGAATAATAAAAACTCTGCATACCTGCATGCTTAGTTATAGGGAGGGAATATATATTTTCTTTTTTAGAAATCCTAATATAATTTCATAACGATAAAATAGTTTGCTTATCAATTTTTGTTGAAGTATTGCCTAACATTCTGAGTTATCCATTCACAATATTTGGTTTACAGGCCTGTGATTTGTAGATATTTTTGTTCTTAGTTTTCCAGACATGGGTTTTTCTTTATTTTTTCCTGTTTCGTGATAGTTTTACATTTTTTTCTAGGACTCTGCTCGGCGTCAATAAATCCCGCGTGGTTATATCTATTCCGTTAGGAATAGATCTATGTAACGCATATTGAACAGGCTTGAGGGCTGCGACGAAACAATGTCAACATTGTCCACAAAGGTGAACTTTTTATTATTAACTTTATTGTATAAAGTTTTTGCACAATTTTTATTTTTTTTTTTTTGATCAATTTTCTTACTTTTTTTTTATTTTAGTTTTAATTTGAATAATCAGAACTCAAGTGTGTTCTATAATGCTCTTAGAATCAAGTTTGTTGTCGTATAATTGTATAATTTTAATATTAAACACGTGGAAGAGTATTTCCTGTCCTGAATTCCTGCTTGCCTGGATTCTGATTCTGATTTTTTTCTTTTAACAATATCATGATTGTTTCAAAATATGATTGCTATTAATTAGTTGCAGACTTGCTTTGAATGATCAGATGTTTTTTTCGACTCCGTGCAATATTTGGTTCTTTTCGTTTTGCCTTTTTCGTTTTAATTAATATTCCTGAGGTGGTTTTCTTTTAGTAGAGGAAAGACCGTAAATATTTGGAAGCGCTTCTTTCTTTATTTTGTATGAAAGTAAATATATATTTCAAATATTTTCCTTTAGGATTTCGCTTGGCTTCGACGCAATCTGTGTGGTTTCTGAAGGTGGACTTTAAAAATAACTTTTCTGGTGATTTTATTATATCATCCCAGCAATTGGCGTTTGGCCTGAAAAAGTGCTTGAATCAGACAGATCTATAAGTTTATCTAGTAAATCTTTTAATCACCTTTATTAGGGGAGAACTAAATGTAGATTAGCTATATCTAGGTACGAGGTGTAATGTGTTATTCAACAAAAACACCAACATTATTTTATGGGCTTATTTTCTATTTCCTTCTGTGGCCTCAACATTATTGGTACATTTAATTTAAATAATCCTTTTGGGCAATAGGACAAATAAAGTGTCTAACAGCTGTTGGTTATTTTTGTATTTTGTTCAAATTTTTGTTGGATGGCTATTTTTATAACTGAATGTTTACAAAAGTAATTAACTCTAAGCATACTGTTTGGGACTTTCGTCACAGAGCAGCTGTTCCATGTTGATCTTACAATGTTTTGATCTTTATTTGCCAAAGTCAACAAATGAACTGCGTTGATCAACAAATTATGGACAATTTTAAAGGGAAATGACGTCACACAATTACGTCGCGAGCAAAGTAACCAAAAGGTGTTCAACACGTAACTGATAAATGGACAATTACAATAACTGTAAGTGAAAGTTGAAGCTTTCCGGCTAGAGGTCAATTATTATTGTAATATCCGGTATTCATTAAAAATGGTTGTATTTAAGAATGAAACGCACTCCACACGAAGGAAAAGAGGTGTTTAGTTAGGCTCTACTAAAAGAACTCCTCCCTGTTCTATCAGTAGCAAAAATGTAACTGCAGCAATGCCAGGGATCAATAATGGTTCGCTGCCCGAACTCGTTGAGAATTACAACGACGAAAAACAGCTGACGCTCATAACTTTTAACCTTAAAACGGCACAGATTGGCATATGAGAGAAAACAGAGAACTGTAAAATGCAAAAAAAAAAAAAAAAAACCAAATTGCATAACTTTAATGCAGTTCTCACAAGAACAAATAGATTTGTAGATTTAATTTCTCCAATTTGTGTAAGCCACAGACGAACTGCTAATTAAATGCCCGCAGGCAAGGCACATGTGTGGTGTTAAGAGGGGTGAGGTGGGGGGGCTGTTGGCGTAACGGTTACACAAATGGTGGGCGTGTCCAAATCGGCTGCTTAAGCAAGAAATCATTTTATTTGAAAACTTTTTTCCACTGTACTTTGTGTGTTGTGTGTGCCATTTCGGGTTTTGTCGCCGTGCGTCGCATTGTTGTTGCAATGCCAACGACAACAACAGCAACAAAAAGAAGAGCAACAAAAAGAAGAGCAACAAAGCGACAGGCGCAAAGCACATGGCAAAACAGCAACAAAGTTTAACTGTAACAATAACCAAAGTCAAAGTTTGTCGGCAAAGTTTTTGTATTTGCTTAGCGTCTGTGTGTGTTCGTGTGTGCGTGTCTGTGTGTAACCGTGTGCCTGTGTGCGTGTGTAACCGTGTGCCTGTGTGCGTGTGCCTGTGTGTGCGTGTCCCTGTGTGTCAACTGTCGGAACATCCACGGGAAACAAATTCATTTCAATTGTTCATTTGCCTGCTGAACCTACACACACACACACACACACACAAGCATATGTATGCATACATACATACAAATAGACGCTTAACAGTTGCAAGAAAATATTCTGTACCAGAAATTGCCAGAAAATGTACCGAAAATGAAATTTACTCGTGGGAAATTTGCAACATATTCAGAGCCTAAATCGATGTACGTGTTAATAGCAAGGTATTATTTTTCAATTTAGGGAAATATGAATGGATCTAAAGAAGAAAAAAAGGTAGCTTGTTCCGCACAAGATAAACAAGAATATAGAATTCACATTTAATGTGAGTAGCTTTCGCGGCTCTCACGATGGACATAGCCAGCTCAACAAGGCTTGTCGATCCGATCAGGATTATATAGTCGCCACCTACTGCCTGATATACACATTTGCACAAAAACATAATTCCCTTTTTTATTCATTTTCAAAAGGCTCATGCCATAAAAGTACATACCTCTTTGTGCAGTGTAACATTGTATAAAAAAAGTACCATTTTTGGTACATTTGCACCAGATGCCTGGCAACCATGCGAGGGGATATTTTTAAAATGACAGTTGGGGCTTTAAAGGATGTGAAGCACATATGCCACGTGACAACTGCTGGCGGCAGCGTTGCCACCAGGGAATCTAAACGCTGCCCACAGCAGTGGCAACAATGCCTGCAGCTTTTGACTTGTTGCCATTTTTTTTTTCAGACAAACAAAAAACTTTGCGTTTCCTCCTTTTGCAGCTGTGTTTAGCTTAAGGTCTTATCGGCTTTAACAACAGGTAAAAGCCTTTAAAGACCAACTTGATTATATTCCCCGTTCTTGTTGTTGTTACACCCGATTGAACCGATTTAAAATGAGAAAAACGGGTGAATTGCTTTTGTATGAAATGTATGTAGCAGGCAGAAAAAGGCAACCCATAGTGAATATATTCTAGATCAGAATGGGTAGAGTCGATATAGTCATATCCAACTGCCTGTACGTCCCTTTCTATGATCGCATCGACTTCGGCAACTACAAACATGCTGGAGGCTTACAATTTTAAGTATATATTCTCCTATATTCTACACAAGTCGAGTGTATCCATTTTAACCGACATCTTCCATTTCCAAAAGTTCGATAAAATAGATTTAGTTATTTAACCATAACTCAAGAACTAAGCTCTCGCATAGTGTACACATATAAGGAATGTTTCACTTTTTGGATACTTCCTTCGTTTCTTTATAAATTGAAAAAAAAAAAGCTATTGTTAAAAGTTAAAGTCGTGCTTTTTGGTATTTGAACATATTTGTATGCTATATATGTACGTGCCCTGGAAATTTCATACAAATCGGACAATAAGCACCGAGGTTATTCTAGAACACATTTCCCTTAGTATGGGACGAACGGAAGAAGAAGCACAGCTACAGCATGTGTGTGTGTGTATGCAAATACACATGCAAATGCATAAATATATGTATAGAAGGAAGCTAGATTTGCTTGAAAGGGCAATCCTATATCCTATAGTCCCTCCCGACTCGGGTACTCAAACTTTTTATTGTTTTTCTGGCCAACAAATAAAATACAGTTAATTTTTGTTTAAATGCAGCGCATTGAAAGCGAAAGCTCGCCCCCAACAGCTCTCTCGCCCCTGCTGCCGCTCGTTCACATTTGTTCAGTGCAACTTTTGCTGCAACAAGAACAGAAAGTTGTCTGAAACAAACTGGCCAAATAATTCAGAGAGGGGAATAAAAAACTTAATTAAGCGTTTTGTTGAGCAACATTTGCCATGAAATAAATCACAAAACAGTTTATTCCAATTAACAGAGCAACAGCAGCAAATACAACTGCAGGCATGCAAATTCGAGTGCGTCGACAGAATTGAGTTATAGTGTTGGAAAACACCATTTTAATGAACACAATTTAAATTAAGCAACGAAAATTTTTGATTTTCATTTGTACTTTTGGTTCTTTTACGACTGAGAGGGAAATCTGCAGTATTACAATCGGGTAGGCGTAAAGAAATTACCCGGCCTTGCCCAGGCTCGTGATTATACAAACTGCACAATGCTGCCAGACTGTCTTAACATAACTGTTAACCTATTACAGGACAAAGCAATATTTAAATTCTTCACTTTGCCAAATTTGCATTCACAGGCACAATGTGTCGCAAGATATTTCAACAACAATACCAAATGAATTTTTGGGGGATTTTTCCATTCAGCACATTCAGCCCAACATTAGTTTACCCACGAAACACGTCATCAATTGAACAGCTGTGCTGGCAACTTTTCATCTACGAAAATTTGGGTATATAAGACCCGGTGCGATATGGGAAAGGCATCAAAGAGTTTCATTGCTGGAAGTAACAAAATGCGCGCTTCTATCTTCATTGTTCTGCTTGTCTTGGTCGCTGTGGCCGCTGCTAGACGTCCTGGAGGAGGCCAAGGAGGCCAAGGAGGTCCTGGCGGTCAGCAGGGTGGTCCCCAAGGAGGACCTCAAGGCGGTCCTCAAGGCGGTCCCCAAGGAGGTCCTTCCAACTCCACTTCTACAACAACCGATGCTGGCGATGTTTCCACCACCACAGAAGCTGATGCAGAGGCTTCTACTGACGCAACTATAACTTCCATATAGTTTGAAGATCCCTTAACTTTTTATTATACATATATGTGTATATATTATTCAAATAAATAAAAACCACCTATACGCTCAAAACCTCAAACAGATTTGTACTTTATGTAGAGTCAAGCCTATGAATGCAATTGTACCCAAAAGTTCAAAGATGTGAGTCTGTTCTACAAGTTAACTGTGAAAACTATATATGTATATATTTTTCTTTATTTTGATCTTTATTTATATCCATATTTAGTGTGATGAGATCATCTTCATCTTCAAGATCAGCTTAATTCGTTAGAGCTAGAAAGCTTCAAATGGCAAGCGAGATTTAATCGGCGATATTACAAGATTCATCCAATCAATTTCAAACTATTTCTTAAAGTTTTAAGTAAAAGCTTGAAGAGTTTTTGAAACCTAAATTTCCTATCCTTACTTTTAAATTTTCTATTCAATGGACTTTAAGCTAATATTCAAAAATAATTATTCAAGGATAACTAAACCACAATTGAAAAATCCAAATCTAAGGTTTTAAAGGAGAACGTTTAAGTTTCACCCAAAAATTGTCAAACTAGTTTTCAAAGCTCTACATCAGAAAATGCTGAAACTGAATATGATAGGCAAAAAATGTTGATGACAACGTTTTTCACCAATTTCCCTTATTTGCAGACAAAAACAAGTAAGAGGTTCTAGTCGGGAGCTCCCGACTAGGGGATACCCTGAACCCTCTTCTTCCAACAGACGATGGGTATAAAATGAAAGATACTTTTTATATATATATTATTCTAGAAGCTACATGTGAAGTTTGGTGGATTTCGATATCGATTTTTATCGATTACTTGGAAAGTAAGCAAGCTATCGAATATCGGAAACAAACTCGATCTGCGCGGGGACTAGGAGGACCTACAGCTAAAATATTAAGTCTCTAGGTCTTATAGGTTATGAGATCCTTGCGTTCATACATACGGACAGACGGACGGACAGACGGACGGACAGACAGACAGACGGACAGACAGACGGACATGGCTAAATCGACTCGGCTGTTGATGCTGATCAAGAATATATACACTTTATGGGGTCGGAGATGCATCCTTCTGCCTGTTACATACATTTGCACAAGTACATTATACCCCCTTTACCCATTTTCAATGGGTTCAGGGTATAAAAAGGAAGAAAGGGGAACCGACATAGGTTAGATTCTCTATATAAACAAAAGTTTACGGTGTGCAGATAATATTTATTTAAATTTAATTGATATATATAGAATAAGTTGAGGGATCTTCCAATTATTCGGATGCTGTGGTTGCATCCGTAGATGCCTCTGCGTCAGCTTCTGTGGTGGTGGAAACATCGCCAGCTTCCGTTGTGGTAGAAGTGGAGTTGGAAAGACCACCCTGAGGACCACCCTGAGGACCACCCTGAGGACCACCTTGAGGACCGCCTTGAGGACCGCCTTGAGGACCGCCTTGAGGTCCTCCTTGGGGACCACCCTGCTGACCGCCCTGCTGACCGCCAGGACCTCCTTGGCCTCCTCCAGGACGTCTAGCAGCGGCCACAGCGACCAAGACAAGCAGAACAATGAAGATAGAAGCGCGCATTTTGTTATTTCCAGCAATGAAACTCTTTGATGCCTTTCCCATATCGCGCCGGGTCTTATATACCCAAATTTTCGTAGATGGAAAGTTGCCAGCACAGCTGTTCAATTGATGACGTGTTTCGTCAGCAAATTTACGTCACGTGCTGAATGGAAAAATCCCCCAAAAAAAATTCTGTTTTGTTGTTGAAATTTCTTGCTACCCATTATGCTTGGGAGTGGAAACTCAGCAAGGTCAAGAGTTTGAATATTGCAGGACTCTGTTATAGATTCAAATGAAGTCTGGCAATCTTTTACACACATAAAGAGACGCATATCGTCTCTTGATCTTTATATATAAAGGGAGTATATGCATATATTCAACATATATTTATATTTATATCGATATCTTTACCTACATATATTAATCCCAAGGCTTATATGATGTATATAATACTTAAGATATTTTTCGGAAATATGTATTTAAATATATTTTTATCTATATATTTTTATTGAATTTATATCAGTGTGAATATATATATATATATTACTAGCGGGTATAACCCGGCCTTGCCCGTGAAACGTGTGTTAAAAATCAACGTTCTCAAAAAGCTTTGAAAATTATCGGACGGTAAACAAACAATTTGCATTGAAACGTTTTCCGCCAATTTACCAATGTTGCGAGTGGAATTTCCCAAATCGCTGAAACACGTATTCATTATATTCTTATGTAGAGCTTTGAAAATAAGTTTGAAGCAAATCGGACACAATTTAAAACTTCGCACAAAAAATCTTTGAGTCGCATTCCACCCGATAAAGTTTGAATTCTGCGAAAAGTATGAAACACGTCTCAAATGATTTTTCTTATAGATCTCTGGAAATGAATTTGAGCGCGAAACGTCACCCACCAAATCTTTGACCTCCATTTCCACCAAGGAGGAACGGATTTTCCTAAAAGTGTGAAACACCCCTCAAATGAATTTGAACAAAGATCTTTGAAAATAAGTTTGAGGCCGATCGGATGGTAAACAAAAAAGTTACATACAAACGTTTTTCGCGATTTTTCCACACTTGCGGGTGGAATTTCCCGAAACCCCGTCTTAACGTGCACCTACATCACATAAGGTAGCTACAGTATATATATAGAGATTATATGTGATATATTGATGTATTAATATATTTATAATTAACTATATTTTCGTAATCGAATATCTATTGATCAATGTATTAATCTGCTTTATTTGTCTATACGAATATCTTTGAATATTTTAATAAATATATCTGTTTAACTATTTCTTGATGATCAGCTACTGAAGAGACTCCGATTGGGCTATACATATCGCGCTGTCAAAACTTTTGAGAACCTCTTTCTGAAGTCCTTGCTACTGCAACACAGTTAAGTAGCACTGCCACGCCCACACACACACACACAGAGAGAGATACACCCTGCCCAGTTGGGAGTGAATGTGCATTATTGTTTGATTGTATTGTGCAGATAATTGGAAATTTAGCCAACATCTATTGTGGGCCATCCGGCCGCTAGCCCTGAATTGTGTGCTGGAAAATTGTTTACTATTTAATTTTATTTGGTCAATTTCCGACAAACAACATGTTAACTTGTTGGAGCACACCCAACAGCAGCAACAACAACAGCGGCAACAAGCCAGGCTAACACAAGCTGCCAAATGCTGTGGCGACAAAATGAAACCTCAACGAAACAGGACAACAACAACGGCAAAGGATTATAGGTATTAAAAGTTATAAAACAACAAGATTATGGGTTTAGCAATACAAACACACATACAGTTCGCTCTGCGCCTGTATGTGCATGTGTGTGTTTGTGTGTGTGTTTGTGTGTGTGTAGCTGTCCTCTTGGCCTCCACTTGTTATGATATTGACCAAGAAGAACGACAACAGCAGAAACAGCCAAAAAAAAAAACACTATAAAAAGCAACGAATATGCAATGCCCTTTTTTTTTAATTTTTGTTATAATTTAACTCGAAAATGTTTCTAAATTGAAATAAATTAATGATATTTAATAGTTTTGCATATGAAAAAGATTTTAATAATTCAAAAATATTTGACTATGCTCAAGACAAATAGATTTATATTCTAATACGATTGTATTATGATCAATTCTTGATAAAACAAAAGAAAGTATTATTGAAAATATTCAATATTAAAAACAATGTAAGCCCAGACTTTTTCTAAAGTAATATATACCAAATTTTGAAAATATACAGAAATAAAATACTTTATTTAAGTTAATAAAGAAAAAAAAGTCGAAATCTTTTTATTTAAAATCTTATTAAAGCAGTTCTCACAAAAACTAAAGATCAAGATTCTTGATAAAAGAATTCAAATTTATTCAAATTAACAAAAAAACCAAAGCATAGACTTTTTCTGATTGAAAAAAATATAATAAATAGATGAACAAGACAAATATCCAAACTTTTGAATATATAAAGAAATTAAATACTTTATTTAAATAAAGAAGGAATAAATTCTTTTTAGTATTTTAATCTTTCATAATCCGCTTGACTCTTATGACTCTTATCTACAATATAATTAGTATATATTGTAAAAGTCAATTTTAATGCCTAAATACCAATTGTTGACATCGTCTTAATCTTATTTACCAAATGATAAAGTGCACCAACTAAGCATAACATCCACTTGTAGCGTATTTTAACAAGAAAAACATTGCCCAAAATCCTATTTGCCAACAATTCCCACCCCCCCCCCTCCCCTCCCCTCCCACCCTTTGCCAGCTCATGCCCCTCATAAAAGACCAAATGTAACTGGCAGCAGGGGTTAGCCAGGGTCGTGGATAGAGAGAGAGTGAGAGAGGGGGAGGGGGGGGGGGCGTAATAACATTTCCAGCTAACATGCGTGTGTTAATTATTTTTGCTCGAAACGGAAAAGGCAAAATTAGCTGAATTAGGCACATTAAATCTATTATCAGACAAGTTTATCTCGTCTTTTTGGCTTCGGGTTAAGTGTCAATTTGGGCTGACTTTGGGCTTTGTCTTGTTTACCCAAAGAGAGGGAGGAATTAGTTATTAAGCCGAGCCAACTGTTGTGCCAGTTATCCACAAATGAATCCATATTTATTTGGCTGTTATTGAATTTACAATTTGCCAGTACAAATTGAGGTTAGGTTGCACAAAGAACAGGAACTAACTCATGAACTTGAAAAAGGGCTTTGAACTAGTTCAAAGTCACAAATATATACAACAATTTGTTCAATTTATGCCAAGGAACCACTTTTCGAAATAAAATTTTAATGCATTTTGCAGTGTTGTAAAACAAATAAAGAGTTTGCTTTTAAAGTGTGTTTGAAATGAATTACAATCGATTACACTTTTGAATCGATAATTATATTTTTAGCATCTAAGCTTCACATCAAAAAATCTTCATCTTGTGTGACAAATATTCGCTTTAAAACTTTTTTTAACGCGAAATGCTAGACCTCATTGAAAGTGAAGCTAAAGCAAATATAAAACATTTGCGATAAGTACATAATTAGATTAAGGATTTGTTACAAAATGGATCTATCCATATATACACTAAAGTAAATATTTCAGCTTCATACCAAACGAGAAAGTAAGAATATCTTGGGCATACCCCAGATTTAATGCCCTTGTAAACATTTGCCTTACGGTATTGCAGATATCGAGAATGGTGAGGCTCTCAAATGCTGAGCTAAATGAAATATTTTTCCATACAAAGAACTCATTTTTCGACCGATTCTTCCCATGTATGTCTGTATGCATGTATGTATGTGGGTATGTATTTATGTATGTATGTATGCATGCATGTATGTATGTGGGTATGCATTTATGTATGCTTGTATGCATGCATGTATGTATGTGGGTATGTATTTATGTATGTATATATGTATGTATGTATGTAAGCGTGCATGCATGTATGTATGTGTGCATGTATTTGTTTGTATGTATGCGGATATATATAAACATATATAGTTTGTATATATGTACGTATGCATGTATGTCTGTATCTATGTATGTATGTGCGTATGCATATACACTTAGTTTTATATGTGTATGTATGTAAGTATGTTTGTCTCATCACACATTTCATTAATATATGTTTGTATAAATGTATGTATGTATACACGAATTTTTGTAAGTTTGCATGCATATATGCATGTGTATGCATATATATGTAAATGAATGCATGCATATATTTTCTATGTTTATACGCAAGACCAAGTGTAGCTGCGCTGCAAATTACAAATAAAAAACGTATTCTCAACTAATGCCCTACTACTCGATTCTCATAAAGTCAAGTAAGTCTCAGGCTAAGGCTTCATTTCATGCAAAGGAGGCGGCGGCTTGCGCAATCGAGGAGGAGGCTTCAACTGTGTAGGAGGCAGTGGCTGTGGCTTTACTGGAGGCCATTAAAAAAAGTGGTATGTATTATAAACATAACTATGTCCCATTATATTTAAAATAAAAGTAACAACTTTTACAATCGTATGCATGCATTGTAGTTTCCATTTTTGGAAATATTGCTCTACTATGCGATTTTCGCTAATTCGAATAAGATAATAAAAATTATCTTTTTTTTGTTTTCGCAAAGAAATGTTTATATAAAAGTTCGTCTCCCGTCTACTGATAGATAACGATTTAAAAATCGTGTGCTGGAATTTACAGGTGAGTACGTAATTACAAATATTTATCTCTATATATAAAATTGATCGGCCTCAAGCTCAGTTTCAAAGATCTTTGTTTAGGTAATGCTTCGGATTCAAATTCATTACTGAATCTTTAAGGAAATCGGTGGATCAAATATTTGTTGGGCGAAGTTTTAAATTTTGTCCAATGAAACTTCTTTTCAAAGCCCTAAATAAGAACTAAATGAATATGTGTTTCAGCAATTTTGGAAATTTCACCCGCAAGTGTGGAAAATGGGCGAAAAAAGGTTGTAGGAAAGGTATTTGTTTACATTACGATCGGTTTCCAAATCATTTTCAGAGATTTATGTAAAAGCTTCTTTCATTTTCATTGGGAGAAACAGTTGATACCAACTTTTGGCTATGTATTTTGAATTTGATGCAAAAGACTTGGCACGCCATCAAATCAACCTGACACTTGTTGCTAAGCAATGCAGAAGCAGAAGTTCAAAAAACAATTGGGGAACTAGTCACATGTCAGGAACAAACGAGCTCTTGTTACCATCAAACTGGTCAGCTCGTAAATTAAACGAGTGGACTTCAATAAGGTCTATTGATTCGATTTTCCATTTGATTTAAGTACTTGCTGGAACTTAATCATGAACCGAAGCGAACCGAACCGAACCGAAGCCATTTGCCGTATGGCCGAAAGCAAAACAAACTTAACAAAGTTAACTTCATTTGGCCGAAGGCGTCATTTTAACTGTTGCTTACACCGCAGCGCAGTTCCTTAAGGCCTCCTCTAGTCCCACTCCCCCCTCTAGCTGCCACAAGCAGGTTGTCCCTTCTGTCGTCCTTGTCGACATTTCAATGCCTTTTTAATCTAGAACAAAAGCAAACTTAATTTGCCGCAACATCTCCGATGGGCGCAAGAAAACCCAACGACTTTGTCTGCCAGGACTCCCCCAGCCGTATACCCCATCCTTGCTACGCCCAAGCCACAAGTTCCTCTGCTCTCTGCCCCTGGAACTCCGTCTGTAACTCCAGCGACGACGACGACGAGTACGTCACTTGGCACATAATTTAATTACAAGGGGAAGGTAGCTCCCTGGGCCTCGGCCTGGGCAAATTGTTACTTTGATCTACGCCCGCTGCGCCCGCTGCGCCCGCACTTTGTGCAACACTTGGCGGCACTCACTTCGAGTGTTGAATGAGCAACAACTTTGGAGTGCAACGCGTCCTGAATTGTAATTAGTGCCACGCAGCCCGCCAGCTGCCTGTTACGGATAGTCTAGCTCGTGGAGCCGGCTCCTCCGGCAGCTCCAGCAGCTCCGACTGCCTGGCCAGGGCGGTTGGTTCATTCACTTGATTTGTGGAGTGCGCATTTGTAATTGTTATTACGTGTTAAATGCAAAAAGTGACCAAGTTCCAGGACGCCAGGACTACTCCAGCACCAGCACCAGCTCCAGCTCCAGCTCCAGCTCCAACCTCAGTTCCAGTTCCGGCCTCAATTCGGTTTTCAATTTTCCCACTTAAATGCGTTATCGACGCTAATTGCTTAACGCTTGACGCGTGCTTTGATTAATTTCCAACAGCTTTATTCAGCCTTGAAGCTTCATTTATGTAACACCATATTAGCCTTAAAGTTCTACGAAGCTTTCCACCGCATTATCTCCAATTTATCGCTGCATATCGATTAATTTTAGCCTTGATATAGAAGAGAAATCTAGATGTTTATCGATCCATATCGATTATTTGTACGCTCGACAATCCGCGATGCACTTAACTTACATCCTGTTGCAAAAGGGGCAAAAAAGCCATAAACAAAAAAAAAGCTGACATTCTATTTATAAATAATATTCCAGTTTTAAATTGAGTTTTCGTGGGATCACATCGACACAGGTAACGCCTGCATAATCTGGCATAACTTCATCCAAATTGCAAAATTGCAAAAAACAAAAATGCAAGAAAGTTAGATTATCCTTGGCATGGTGAAGTTTTAATGAGCTTGAAGACATTTGCTTTACGGTTTTTGCAGATATGTAAGAATAGGGAAGCTCGTAAAGAATAAAACTTATTTTTCGACCAATTCTTTCTGTAGAGCTATATAATATAGAAGTGCGATCTTGAGACTTGGTACATAGCTTGGTCAGGATATCTCGATAAACAGAAAAGCTCTCCCAATAAGTTTTGACCGATATATGACATAGAGGCCCGATCCGGCATATGTACTGTCTGCAACAGAAAGACGCACCTATTCGCAAAGAAACAGATAGACAGATAGACATGGACAATATCAACTCGACTGTTGATGCTGATCTAGAATATGTTATCTTTATGGGCTTGGAGATATCTCCTTTTATGCGTTACACGTTTTAGGACAAAATTATTATACCCTCTATAAAGGTATTAAAACGTATCGCTCAGTTTTAGAAAACAAACTTTTTTAACCTTTTCGTACGATCTTAAGACAAATATCGTATCCTATAAAATCCATTATTTTTACGCACAACTCTAAAGTTCTTCAATTTAATTTATAATAAAGACATTTTGAGTTGAATTCAACACAAAATTTCTTTATTTTCGATTGAAATTAAAGATTTTTGATGGTCAAAATACTATGCAAAATTTGTGAAAGTAAGGAAATGTTGTGCACTTCGCTCAAATTTCCATTCGTTCATTTGTAACAAGTACTTTCAAAGTTTAAAGAACTTGACTACAATTTTTCATTTTGAAGATAATTTTCCCATAATACCATTTAGCTGTGATCTCATATAAATGTTCTTTAATCATAATATATAGATTTTTTTGTGTGTTTGCATGATCTCAAGTGAATTGAAGCCGATTAACTTCTGCTGCAGCTGTAGTAGAGCTGACGAAAAGAATCCAGAAAAACTGTAGCAGAAACTAAGCAGCAGCCGTGGAATCCTCCGTGGAGATCTCGGTAGTAGTTTCCGTGCTGCTGCTGTCGTCGCTCGGGGCTGCCGTTGTGCTGGTTGTGGATGTCGAGTTGGATGGTCCCCAGCCGCCGGGCGGGCCGCCAGGACCACCGCCGGGCGGACCACCAGGACCACCAGGACGACCGCCGGGCGGGCCGCCGGGACGACCGCCGGGCGGACCACCAGGACGACCGCCGGGCGGACCACCTGGACGACCGCCATCATCACGTCTGGGGCCACGAGGTCCCTGAGCGGCTGCGACGGCCACGACGGCAAGCAGAGTTATCAAGATCAAGGCACGCATTTTAATGAATTTCTTCTTAGTCGATTCCAAAGCTGACTTATGCCCAACTCAGCCAACGGGGCCCCTTATATAGCGATTGTTCGGCTCTACGGCCGGAAAATTACCCGCCGTACAGCTGTTTCAATGCTGACCCAACCCAGCTTGTGTAAATTGACGTCAGGTTTTGGTATTTCGATAGAACCGAGCGTAGCCATGTCTAGACTTAAGATCACATGAACCACAATGGATCACAAATAATGACAATAGAGCAAAATAGATCACAATAGACTGCAAAAATGCTAACATAACCCTGAAATTTCTAAGCCAAGAAAAACTACGTGGATACATCTCGAGCATCCGACGGGAATCGAGTTCTGTTTAAGCCTCAATGCCTTAAGAAATATCTTGATAGACAATAGAAAAGTCGGAAATTCCTGACTGGGAGATAACTTTCGGGTCGTAAATATGACAACCTCACATGTGTAAGTACCAAAGCTCAAGGCCATGACTCGTAAGTAATTTACATCAATTTTTTGGGGAGAAGAGTATCGAATAAGTGAAATATTCGGGATCTGTGCATATTATACGAGGCTGAACATACTAAATTTGGCGTTTCTAGCTCTTATGAGCTGCTAGTTAGGCTATCAAAAACAGAATATCGATATCGATTATTATCGATTTCATGAACATGGAATAAGCTATCGATAATAATCTGCGCATGCCAGTTATAACCATAACTATACTGTAACATATAACGTGTGGAACGATGAGGGGAGCAGAGGCTTAGGTAGGGTATCGCTGTGCTACCTACTCAAATATTTGCATATATGTATGTACATATATGATCGGTAGTCAAAGAATAGGTTGTTGTTGCTATACTGTGCTGATGTGAGAGCAGCTTCCCGACCAGGTCAGGTGTTGCCTACCCTATCATGAGCAACTGGGCCACCTGACCAGATGTTAAATTGTAAGTAAGCACTTAGACAAACTATTAATGATAAGTCAATATAAATATCTACTTTTTATATAATTTTGTCTGTAACATACAATAAAAAATAACATTATTTACATTTACATTTAATTGCATTAACTGTAAGCTACAGCAAAGAAAAAGTCTCCTTTAAATGCCGACAACGATTTGTGGTTGCAAATACAAAGCCTTGCAACATCTTTCTAGAACCTAAGATCATATATTATACGATTATAACACGTGCTGAACATTGTTAAGCAGCAATATGATCGACTAGCAGATACCCAGGTTTCATCTTCAAATTGACTCTTAGAAAATGGCTCTGCTTGCGCTTACCTCAGATCTACCCATACAAGAAAATGGTTGCCTAAATAACTACTGTGCAATATGCTCGACTAGCAGATACCCTAGATTCAGCTTTAAATTGCCTGGACTTACTTCTTCACTCATATACTCACATACTCTCATACTTCACTCATGCATCTTAGAAATTGGCTCTGCTTGCGCTTGCCTCAGATCTGCCTATACCAAAAAATGGTTCACTTTATAACTAATATTCTTTTTACTCGATCAATTAAAGAATTTCAGTGCATAAAGTAGACCAAAAATCAAGAATAGAACTCTAAGACGGACTGATTTTTAAATTTTAACAAAATTTAAATGTAATTTATTTGAGTGTTGTTTAACAACACTAATCGATTCAATCGAAACGTAAAGAATTATCGATAATGTGAAAACAACTTGATGTACAACAAGTTAAAAGCCTTCTCGCAATCTGCTCAACATACTCTCAACGATACTATTCCCATTCCACACGATGAGTATATGCCCTTTTCATCATTATTCCTTGTATACAGGGTATTAACTGCCACAACATCGACCAAGTGCAATTGAAAGATAATATTTCAAGTGTTTTGTAGTTGCAGGCACAGGCACAGGATTCTATTTGAAGGCGAGCGACTGTGCTGCATATTAATGCAGCTGGCTTCAGTTTACGGGCCGCCTACACTTACCTTACGAAATTAAACGAATGAAATTAAAAAAAAAAAGGAAGTAATAAAACTAAGGAGGAGAGAAAAATGTATATAAAATAAATGCAAGTCAATTTAAAATGCGAAGCACAACTTCCATTAAAGACGTTGGCATAATTTTAATATCAAGCTTTGGGCCGAGCCCTTGTTTCCCCGGCAGCTGCTGCCACAGAGACAGAGAGAGACAGTGATAGAGAGAGAGAGAGAGAGAGAGAGGGGGAGGGAAACACAGAGAGAGCGAGAGTGTGGGAGTTAGCTCAAGGAATTGTGTGCCAATCAAATTGAAATTTAATTTGCACAACAATGTGGCAAAAGGGGCACCAAACGAGGCCGTGCCCTCGCTTGAACCCAACTGACCCCTTTAAAGAAGAGAATTATTAACCTCATCATATCGTTGTGCATCCACAACATAGTCCGGCCTTTTATCGGCTGCTCGGCACCACTTCATCTTTGTTAGGCCATCAAATTGTGATTTACTTTCGCTGAGATTTCAATTACGGCCGCTTTATTGCCAATAAATTTTCATATAAATTAGGCAAACGAAAAGTTCGAATTGCCGAAAAACCCAACCCCAACAAAAAAAAAAAAAAAAAGGAAAACAAAAAACAAATACCTCCCCCTCTTGACAAAAATATAAAGGCTTGAATGGCCGCGCGCACGTAGTCAAAGTTCAAAGAGCTGCACAAAAAAAAGAAATCCTTGAAAATTTGCAGCTATACAAAAGATTTTTGCCGTTAAATCAATTGACGCCTCTTTAAATCAGGCCACTCGCCAGTCCGGAGTTCCCAGCGTTGACAGTGGCTCATCGGAGGCGAAAGCACCACAAAGTAAACCCTTTAGCTACCCTGTATTCCCACAGGCAAAAGGTAGCATTGGTCTGTTTAAAGCAACCTATATGAATTCAATTTGTAGTAGCAAATACTCGCTCGAAAACAAACTAACGAATAAATATATATATATATAAATATCTAGTATCTGTTATCTTAAAGATTGCTTCCACATTTAAAGTACTTTCCTCTCTATTAATAACTTAACAGAGTTTAGAATAAATCACTCGCTGCTCAACGAATGTAACGAACTCGAGCTACTCGCTCAAATGAAACAAACGAATGCCTGCATTTGGAATAACCGAATTCAAGCGAGTCTTTTGAATGTGAATGCCAACGAGTGTCGATGCCGAAGGAAACAATTAAACGAATGCAAATATCTGTAAGCCTGATTACATTACAGTAGAAATATTTTGTTATGCATATAAATTATCTTTCATGTGGCATTTACGAAAGCTTCCTATATTTGAATGTATATCAAATGTTTTAAGAGCTGCGATTTTGTTCTACTCATTTTTATATTCATATTCATTACGGTTTTTTTTTTGTTACTTGTGAGCTGTGCAAGCCAAAACTTATTGCTGCTCATTACCAAATTTAAATTACTTTCAAATTTCTTTCCTAATATTTTTCAAAGTTCAAATGATTCGAAAAGTTGAAGCCTCTACTTTCAAGTGTTCTCGCTCGATCTTCGTAAAGAATACATTAATTTGCCTTGCCATTTATCTTGGAGTTGAACCAATTTTCAGCTGTCAGTTATTTGTTAAGCTATGCAACCTTAAGTTAACATAAGCCATTAGCGGATATTACCCGGCTTCGCTTTTATTTCAAATTCAGACATCACCTTTTCACCTAAAAATTGCAACTTGCCCGTAATATATTGAGGCCCCATTTACACCAGCTGCTGTCAATCAAATGAAGCGACAGGACGAAGTGCGCCATTCAAGTTAACCCTTTGACTTGCAGCGGCCAGAACAAAAAGCTGGTCAACACTTTGAGCACAACACCAACAACAACACCGTTGCCTAACATTGCATTGGGGGGGGCTACGCTAAAAGCTAATGGAAGCCTCGCCGTATACAATGAAAGCTCCCTTTGGCGGATATCTCCTTTAACCAGCCGACATTTTTTTTCGACCGCTCTTTTGACCGAACGCGTACCGAACGGAAAAAATTCAGTTTTTTAACGTGTCAAGCGAACAAAATTCCGGAAAATTGAACTTAACAATTAAATTATAGCACGAAATCGAAGTAATGCCCATATTTACATACTTTTATGTAGCCGATATTAATAGGATTTTGCAGATATTTAAGGAACACATTAGAACTATTAAGTGCCGAAATTGATTCTGATATCTTGAAAAACAAAAAAGTTTTCCATACAAGAACTAAATTTTCGACCGATTGTTGCTATGACAGCTATATGATAAAGTGGTCCGATTTGGATACGATTCTGCATATTTATGGGGAGCATAGCGAATCTAATAAATGCCGAGTTTGGTCAAGATATTTTGAAAAACAAAAAAGTTTTTCTTACAAGATCTAAATTCTTGCCCGATCGTTCCTATAGCAGCTATATGATATAGTTATCCGATATCAATATAATTTTGAGCATACGTGAGGCGCATAGTAAATCTATTAAATGCCGAGTTTGATCGAGATATCTTGAAAAATAAAAGAGTTTTCCTTACAAGAACTAAATTTTCGGCCGATCGTTCCTATGACAGCTATATGATAAAGTGGTCCGATTTGGATACGATTTTGCATATTTATGGGGAGCATAGCGAATCTAATAAATGCCGAGTTTGATCAAGATATTTTGAAATACAAAAAAGTTTTTCTTACAAGATCTAAATTCTTGCCCGATCGTTCCTATAGCAGCTATATGATATAGTCATCCGATATCAATATAATTATGCGCACACGTAAGGCGCATAGTAAAACTATTAAATGCCGAATTTGATCGAGATATCTTGAAAAATAAGAGTTTTCCTTACAAGAACTAAATTTTCGGCCGATCGTTCCTATGAAAGCTATATGATATAGGGATGCGATTGGGATATTATTTTGCAAATATTAATGGCGAGCAGAGCGAAACTAATATATGCCGAGATCGGTCAAATTATCTAGGAAAACAAAAAAGGTTTTCTGACAAGAACTAAATTTTCAACCGATCGTTCCTATAGCAGCTATATGATATAGTTATCCGATATCAATATAATTTTGCGCACACATAAGGCGCATAGTAAATCTATTAAATGCCGAGTTTGATCGAGATATCTTGAAAAACAAAAAAGTTTTCCATACAAGAACTAAATTTTAAAACAATTGTTCCTATGATAGCTATATGATATAGTGGTCCCATTCGTCCGACTCCGACATACATATGAACTGCCCACAACAGAACGACGGACCTTAAAACTGGGAGACTAATTCCTATAGACACAGACGGACATGGCTATATCAACTCTGCTGTTGATGCTGATCTAGAATATATATACTTTATGGGTTCGGAGAAGTTTCCTTTTATACGTTACACATGACAACTTTTTAGAAGGGGATCAAAAGTACCAATTCATATATATTGGTACAGTGCTCTAATAAATCTAAAAAGTACCATTTAATTGGTAAATTGGTACATTTCTACCACATGTGGCAGCCGGAATCACAGCATTAACATGTTATTAACAGAACATGAATAATAACATGTTTTTATCAAGAATGCTCTAAAAGTTCTATAAGAGCTAACAGACAAATGAAAATATTTAATAAATTTACCTGTTAACATGTTCTTTGTGTGTGCTAATGTTTAGGTCTTTACGAATCCAGGAACGAATCCTGTTAATAGTGTGTTTATTTAAATGTGTGTGTGTGTGGGTATGTGTCTGTCTATCACAGTTGACGATTCCCGCCTTAGAGATACTGGGAATCTTCGTAATTGTCACGAAACTCGAGTAGCTTATCGACCGCCGTTTCGTACTCATCCCGCTCGAAGCCCGACTGAGAGTAACCCTGCAATTTGGCCACCTGAACGCGATGTGTTTGGGCGTGCAGCGCATCGAGATGCTGACCCAGCTTGCTGGAGTTCTGTATCGCAGCCAAGGCTGGTGCGCTGGCGACACGTGACTTCGGCTCACGCTGCGCCTCACCGGGCAGCATAAAGCCATCGGTGGCAACGCGTGTCTCAAAGATCTCATAGGGGAACGGCAGCTGCGTCTTTAGTGGCAGCGGCGTGGCGGCGGCATGCGTCAGACTGCCATGATAGGCACATTGATAATACAATTGGAGCATTTGGGAGACGCTGTCGCATTTATAGGCGGACATGCGCAGCTGTGGCCCGGCCAGCTCCAGGGGACGCTTGAGCCGTGCGTAGGGAATGCCGCGCGCTACAACCGACTGTACAATATGCGAGTTGCCCGGCTCACAGCCAGGCGTGAGCTGTGTGAACAGCGGACCACTCGCACCCTGGTCCAAATAATCAATGAGATCCTGTTCTTGCTGCATGCCCAAGGGCAGGGCCAATGCAGCCGCGGTCATTTTGCGGCCAGAGGGGCAGACGCGATCGCAGAAACGCAACAGTGTTTCGGGCGTCTGGCGCAGACGATAGCCGAGCGTAACTGTGTCCAAATATGCCGCCAGCACGGCAGAGCTCTGATACAGATTGTCCGGCTGCCAGTGCAGACCGGGCAGCTGGCGCGACTGCAGCGTGTTATTGCGCCAAATGGTCTCCAGCGTGGACAGCGGCGTAAACATATTCGCCTGCTCGCTGAGATGATAATAGCTGAGCACGCTGTTCGCCACACGAATGCCGTGGGCGGTGCGTGGGTCTGCAAAGCACAAGCAAAGATTTAGTCACAGTGGATAACAGAGAAAACCTAAATAGTGCCCACCTGCTTGGGCATAGGCGATGTTGCGTGGATAGTGCAGCGGCAGGACAAAGCTGGCGCGACTGTATTCATCATTCAAATGCTCTAGACACTTGCTGGCCAGTCCACTGAAGCCATCATCAATGTCAAAGAGCATCTGGAAGCCCTGCAGTCCATCGCATTCCTCGGCGTACATGCGTATGCGATCGCAAAAGTCCTCGTTAAAGGACACAGATTGCCACAATTCCACGCCGGCGGCATGTGTGCCCAGCACCTGGACGTCCGGCTGACGCACCAAACCGTGCAGCAAATTAAACGAACGTGGATGGTAACGTGCATAAAGATAGTCCGCCCAGCTGTTGCAGGTACCAGCCAAATTGTAGTCCTTATCCTGCGTATTAACGGCGCCCTTAAGCAAATCCTGCTGATATTCGGACAATGTAGCGGTCGGCTGCTTGCGTACATCCAGCTCACCGTGCGTGGACAGCTTATTCTGTTCGGCCAATTCTTTGACTTTCTGGATTTCATCAGCATTTTGCTCATCCGCCAACTGCAGATAATTGCCATACAGCTCACCCACAACGGGCAGATGGCCCAGCGTGCCCACAAGATCTACGGAGAGCATGCGCGGCGTATAAGTCGTTTGTTTCTGATCATTCCGACCCTCTCTGTAGAGTATGTCATTATGGGGCAACTGCTCCTCAGACACATTGCCGCTGTTCTCCTGATCGTACACAAAGTTTGCCTCCTATGGACATGAGGCAGTGAAAATGTCGACCACTTGTGCGTGACATTTGGTATTGTTGCTTACCTGTTGGTTCCAGAAGTGTGCGCCCACATAATTGGCATATGTACCAAACTGAAATGTCAGTATCTCACGTGTATGGTCCATGTTGTACTTTAATTATGACTAATTTAAGCACAAATTGTCATTGAACGCGCGCAGTGGGCAGCTGCTAAGCGTACCTCTTATCGATTAATGACTGAACTAGTATTTTTTATCGATAGAAATGTCAGCGCAACGTGAACACGTGAATGGCACTCGAACAGCTGATTTGCGCCCAATTTTCAAAAAGTCATCCATGCCCCAAAAATTGAACTCAGAACAGTTTCAGAAACCTGAACGTGTTTACTTGATAACCAAAAATAAATTGGTTGCACAATTTTATGAGTGTACTTCTGTAAGTTGAAGCGAGTTGCTACATAATTATCTTTCAGTCTATTTTAGTAGCGGCATGTATTTACCACACTATTCAGGTCTCTGTGGAGCTACGAATTCATTGGCCATCTTATCGTTCGTTAAGCATCATCGACAAGAAACAATTCCAAAAGAGAGCAATTACTTGCACATAGATGACTTGATACTGCACGGGAACTAAAGTGAAATTAATTGTTTGCGCCAATGGCCACACCATAAAACTTCCTTTCATTATCGTAAAATAGTTTTCCTTTATCCGTTTCACAATCGTTTCATGCTTCTCGCCATTGATATATGGCACCAGATACGACAGAAGCAATGTAAATGGGGGCGCAAAACAGCCTTGATCGATTAACATCTTCTTGATGCCGCGCTGCACTGTTGACTGCTCCTTGACTACCATAGTATCCAGCGCGCCGTACCATTTGCGCAACGAGGGCCCGACAAGGACCAGGCCGAGTGCACTGAACCGTGCCGTGCGGCCGGCGTTCCAATCCTTAAAGTCCCTCTTCTCGACGGCCATTTGTGCGATCATATCACCAGCGCCCATGATGAGAGCCACATTCAGACCCTCGCGTATGTAACCGGACAATGCCATTTTGATTCGTGGAGCTGTAAATGCAATTACTTAAATTAACATATTGGTTTAATTCATACAAGTGCATACAGTTAATTAGGACGCGCCCCGTAACGATTGTTAATTTTGAATTTCCCTAGTTTCCTGTTCGACACAGCCTATTTAAAATATTTAGCCAACCTCAAACAATTCAGATTGCTTAGCTGCCAAAATAGTGTTGACACACAAGCAATCGATTACTTCAAAGCAGACACAATCGGATATCGATAAACAACGCACATGTTGCTGCCTCTTCTCAATCAACCATTCACACTGCAAATGCATTTATGCACAAATAACACCTAACGGCAAAAAAAATTAACAAATTTATCTTGTTACATATATTTAAAATATTTATGTACATAATACATAGCTAAAACGAGAGTTTATGATTTATGTAGTCTTGCGTCTTTACAGCTTCCTCTTTTTTGGACTGTTCAGCGGCAAATTGCCATTGGGCTCCAGCTTTTTCTTTTTCTTCCGCCTTGGCACCACATCGTCATCTTCCACTTTAATTTCCACTTCGCCATTGACTTTGTGCTTGGTGGACTTTTTCTTGATGGGCTGCTCCAATTGGGTTATCTCCTCATCGCTGTCCATCAGTTCCACATAATCGGGATGCGCGCTATCCTGCATGAATTTGGGCGCCACGCCCGTTAGCACCGATTGCCGCACATCGTGCTCCTTTTGGGCCAGCGTCTGCGTGGTGCTCAGCAATTTCCTGCGTATCTTATAGAAATTGCTGGTGGTACGCAATTTCTCTTTCACTTCGGTGCATTTTTTATCCGCATTTCGCAGCTTTTTCGACGTTTTCTTGTCGATCTCAATGCGCGTCTTGTAGTCACGTCCAAAGAACGGATGACGTACGGGCAATCGAAATTTTGGAGGTCCACTGGGTTTTGGAAATTTATTTGCTTCCCCGTCGTCGCCAGGTCTTTCCATATTCAAACGCCGACTAACTACCACATGCCCGACTAGTGGCAGCAATCGCACCGCATATTTGCCCTTGTTGTTGGCATAGCCAACGGAATTTGTCAATGGGTGCTCGTAATGGGTGGTCCGCACCTGAATGTCGCCCACATAACGACGGCCGGGCATCTTGATTCGCTTGCCGGCCAATGCATCGATATCGATGCCCTTGGGGCATTGCATTATCCAGGCATCGTGTATGGCCGGATCAAAGCATTGTATGGGCTCGCTGCATTCGGCCGAGAAGCGATCCGCCTCGATTGCTGCATATTCATTCTCTTCCAGAAATTCACTTTTGCACTGCCTGTGAAATTGGCGAACTATCTTCTTTTCATCTTTAACCACACCGTTCTCCACCTTCAATCGTATCACCTGTAAGTGTATTCAATGTGTGAATATTTGGACTATCCAATACCATTTACGTACTCTCTTCGTATCATCGTGCTCCATTTTAAATTGCTTAATTTTTATAAACAACTGAGAAATACGCGAGACCAAACGCTGCAGCGCCCCTGCACGTGCGCTATCTTGGGCAGTGTTGAGCAATTTTCGAATATATATATATCGATATATTTATCTTAAATTCACATTTTGCTTGAATGCCTATCAGAAATACTTGCTTGCATCAATTACTTCCTTGTTTATTTTAAAAAAACTAGCCTATTTAATTGTATTTAAAAGCAGAGAAAGCAATTTGGTATTTTTTAAAAATGCCTTGTTACCAATATACTACCAGATTTGGTGCAATTGAACCGCATGTTAAGTGTTTTTCGCCAGAATCTACATATCGATTAGCCCAGTTCACAGATGATTTGTGATATCGATAAGTTTTTATTTCGTTTTGACATTTCCCAGCACTGCACGGCCTTCATGTGCTTCGCGTGTTACTGCCGCACGCATTTTGCACAGTTTTAGCGCTCGAAATGAGCCAAACACAGAAATTGCTGCAGTTCCATGAACTGGAGCTGGACCAACGCATACTCAAAGTACGTACGCATCCATTTAGTATATCATGACTTTGCAAAACTAACGCCAATTCCGTGGAACAGGCAATTGCGCAGCTCGGCTGGGTGCAGCCCACGCTTATCCAGTCGACGGCCATCCCGCTGCTGCTCGAGGGCAAAGATGTGGTGGTACGTGCACGCACTGGCTCCGGCAAGACGGCCGCCTATGCGCTGCCGCTCATACAGAAGATCCTTAACTCGAAGATGAATGCCAGCGAACAGTGTGTCAGCGCCCTGGTGCTGTGCCCCACCAAGGAGCTGTGCCGGCAGTCGCGTCAGGTCATTGAACAGCTTGCCGAATCGTGCGGCAAGGTAGTCCGTGTGGCAGACATTGCCGGCAGCTCGAATGATGTGGCCACACAACGGCATGCGCTGGCCGAACGACCAGACATTGTGGTTGCGACGCCATCCAAGTTACTGGCGCATGCGGATGTCGTCGATTTGCAGCACATTGAAACGCTGGTGGTGGATGAGGCGGATCTGATATTTGCCTTTGGCTATGAGAAGGACTTTAAGCGGCTGATCAAGCATTTGCCGCCCATTTACCAGGCGGTGCTCGTCTCGGCCACCATATCCGACGATGTGGCACGCATGAAGGGTCTGTGCCTGCACAATGCCGTCACACTCAAGCTGGAGGAGCCGGATCTGGTGTCGCTCGACCAGCTCACCCATCAGCGCATACTCGCCGAGGAGAACGACAAGCCGGCCATATTGTGTGCTCTGCTCAAGCTAACGCTCATCCAGGGCAAGAGCATCATATTCGTCAACAATGTGGATCGATGTTACAAGTAAGTGGAAGCTAACAACTCCTGCCGGTACACCCATCTACTCCAGCTGATGACACACAAAATCTTCAATGGGATTGCGCAGTTGGTAACAATTGGCGCACGCATGACCATAGACTAATCTTCTCTCTGATGGCAGCTGCTGCCCGCACAGCTGTGGCTATTAAATGCAGCTATACTATAGATACACTTTCGTCTTCCGTAGGGTGCGTCTGTTTCTGGAACAGTTTGGCATACGCTCGTGCGTGCTCAATTCGGAGCTGCCGGCGAATATACGTATACACACCATTAGCCAATTTAATAGGGGCATCTATGACATCATTATTGCCTCGGATGAGCATCTGCTGGAGAAGCCGGCGGGCAAAACAAAGGACAAGTCCCAACGGGATCACGAATCGAGCGCCTCGCGTGGCATTGATTTTCAGGGCGTGAATAATGTCATCAATTTTGATTTTCCCCGCGATGTCACCTCGTATATACATCGTGCTGGCCGCACGGCGCGCGGCAATAACAAGGGTTCGGTCCTGTCCTTTGTCAGCATCAAGGAGTTACCTGTTAACCAGGCTGTAGAGGAACGATTACGCTGTTCCCTGGGCAAAGAGCCGCACCTTACAGTGGACGCCCTGTCGGACGAGCCGCAAAAGCCCGCTGGCGAAGACATCATAAAGTAAGTCAAGTGGCAGCAGCTTGTGCCAACTAATTCTAATAATTTTTACACTTAGACTCTACCAATTCAAAATGGAGGAGGTGGAGGCATTCCGCTATCGCGCCCAGGATTGCTGGCGCGCTGCTACCCGTGTCGCTGTCCACGACACACGTATACGGGAGATCAAAAACGAAATTTTGAACTGTGAGAAACTGAAGGGCTTCTTCGAGGAGAACAAACGCGATCTGCTGGCGCTGCGGCACGACAAGCCCGCTCGCACCATCAAAGTGCAATCGCATCTCTCCCATGTGCCCGACTACATATTGCCCAACGCCCTGAAGCGCGTTGCCCTGGCTCGGCCCAACACGCAGGCGGCCAAACCGACGCGCACGACGGGCGCCAAAAGTGCCTACCAGCGACAGAGCAATGATCCCCTAATGGTTAGCGAGGTGGACTATGGCAAGCGACGCGGTGCGCCCAAGCGGAGAAAAGCCAAATAATTGGCAGCACTTGGCCAAAAGTTGTTCTAGTTTTAGCTCTGGTTATCTTTAAGCGTAATAGTTTCTATACGAGCTGTGAATGCGGCGGATGCAGTGTCAACTCCAGCGTTAATTGTTTTAGGCTCAAACATTTAGCTACGTTTCGACCATTCAAATTCAAAAGGCACTTGCAAAACTGTTTAACACAAATCGTATCAATGTCGGAAAGCTATATATATATATATGGCTTGGTCGAAAATAAAGTTTTGTGTCTTATAAACCATACCGTATTTAATCTTCGTGGTGAAAGTAAATGTTCCTTCTAATTAAAGTAAAACTCTGTTTGACTAAGTGAAAGCTGTTGCTCTTGAGATCCCTTGGATCAGGCGCGCATTGGTCCAACTCCGCATGGATCATCTCTAATCATCATCTCCAGTTCGGAGTGATAAGTTTTTGACATTGTCAAGTATTTCTCACAGATCCCAATTCTCGAGTATTACACAAATTTATTTAGAAATTTCTTCCTAAAATGTTCCACAACGTAATGAGTGCATCCGGCCGGGCTGTGCTGCCCACCGAGCTGAACTGTTTCAGCGAATTGGCGCACACCCATCGTTTGTCGGATTCGCAATTATTTTATGAGGATTACAAGTTTCACACGAACATGCAAATGATGCGCAATCGTGACGGCTTGGGTCCGCCTTTAAAGAGGGGCATGGAACGGTTCGCTGCCCGGCAAACGGGCCGGCTACCCTTTCTCCGATCCAGCAACTTGATGGAGAATGTGCTCACTGGTCGCTTGGAGGATATCTCCTTTGAGGACGTACTGAGCCAGCCCCAGCATGATGAGCACTTGCATCGGCCGCACATCATCGTGGAGCGGGCCATGGGCATCTCTCTCTAGAAAACTACCTTAATTCATTTTCTGTTGCATTAACGTAAGAAAAAAGAAACCAGCCTGTTGCACCGTAAAAAAAAACCCCAAACAAGAGGCAATAGACTAGTAGATACCCTAACCCGCGCCGATCTACCTGTGCTGCGCTTCTTCACTTTGCTTCACTTTATGGTATATGCATGTAAAAGCATCGAAGTCAGATAAATATAAATATGGCACTCAAGGCACAAAATTAGTTTGCTCCAATATTGGGGTTAATAGGGAAGGGTAGCCAAAATATAAAATATCTCTAATCCGTACATATATATATATTATAAGAGAGCCTACATACCAAGTTTTGTTAGCTGTTCGTCGGGCAGACCAGAGATCAAGCCAGTTTCTGCATCCAAAGAAGAAAACGTGATCTATAAAAACAAAAAACAAAAGATTCATGTTTCAAAATATTTCGTTCCATCTCAAGCATTTGTTGTGCTCCCTTTCCAATTCACGCAAATACATGCACAGAAAATCTCGCCTTTTAGGGTGAGCCAAAAAATAATCATATTTATATGATATATTGGATCTATTTGGGGTATTCGATAGTGCAGATAAAAAAAAAAAAAAACATATTTTTAACATTTTATTATTGTCATTGAAATAGTTAACATTCATACAATTATTGGTTTTTCAATTATTTATTATTGTTTATTACATATGCAATGTATAGTTTCGTATATAGAATTACACACATATCATATTTAACTGCAATTTTACGTTATGCCATATATAATAATGAGTGTATATAGAATAACTATGAATATTTCTTCATAAAAAAAAAAAAGAGTACGTTTCAATTCGGTTCGATTACGCGCAATTACATCAAGCACACTGAAAACAACAAACTAGACAAAAACACAACGTCAACAATTTGCGGGTTGGGCGCGGAGAGTATATAGTGGGAAGGGGGGGGGGGGGGGGGGGGGTTGTAGTGTTTGCTAAATAATAATAACAATTGAAAATGTGTTTGCTATTCTTTTTATATATATATATATATATATATGTATATAATTTAGTAAAATTATTATAATAAAACATTCAGTTAGGTTTAGGTTAATCCCTGGGTGGCAACATATACATATAAACATATATATTGATGGTTGCTGTGAAAAGAAACAAATGCAGCGACGACTAGGCCGAGGCGTTCTATCGAATACATATATGCACATTTATGTATGTCTCTCGCTATATATATATATATATGTATGTATATATATATAGGTCTAAACTACAGTTGTTATGCTTAAGGAAACAATATATAAGATCACACATATCGAGGAAATAAGCAGCAGCAGTTGACAACAATTGAAATAGAATTCACTCAAGAAACTAGTCTAAAATGCAGCCACGTAAATATATGTATATATATATCTATATAAACACTTTGCTCTCACACATATATATATATATTATATGCTCTTACTTATAAGTTTTGCTAAAAATGTGGTTTGGTTTACTATTTGTTCTATTATTTTTTTTTTTTTGTGTTTTGTTATTTTTTTTTTCGTTTAACTCGCGCTAGATAACTTTACAAACATATTTTGGTTTACGGCTTTTATTACATACTTGTTTTAATATATATATATATATATATATATGTTTTTTTTTTCAAAACACACGCATAACTTGATAAATGTTGCAACAAGAAGAGATACAAATATTAATGACTTATATCGAAATACATATGCAAGCAACAGGTTCATTAAATAAAATAATTAATATGCATATGGTTCGCTTCTCTTTGCCGTCCGTCTCTTCATTTTGTATGAGTTTGCTTTCTTTCAACTTTTGATAACATATACATGCGTTTATGTATATACATATATATACATACAAATATTTGTATATATATAGATATACATATATATATATATATCTATATATATATTTACACATATATATGTATATATACATATATATATTTAGACGCATACTGCGATAAAACACGTTGAATACAAAATTATAAAGTTTTACATTCTTTAGATCTTATTTTTATGCTGCTCTGCAGTTACGTGTATATTCGGCGCATATCTTTAAATATCTATATATATAAATCGATTTCCATATGGGAATCGAACGCATCTAACGATAGAACACTTAGAATGTAAAAACAAAAGAATAAAAAAAAAAAAAGGTGCGCACACACACAATCCACAAGCGGGATTTATCTCTGTTGTCTCAGGCGTGTGTGAGGTGTTCTTTAGTCGGGTTGTTATTTAAGTTGTTGTTGCTGTTGCGGTTGCTGTTGTCAGGTTTGTCGCTCGGAGATGTCTGTGTATTATTTATGCTATATTCGTTTATCGGTCTGCCCGGACAACATAATAAATCGCAAATCTCGCAACCAGCTGAAGCCGGCGCCGGAGCCGGAGCTGCTTAGATGGGCACATAGTTGCCCTTGGGCTTGTAGAAGAGCTGGCCGCGGAACAGACGACGGCGTATCTCGCTGGCGAGCAGTCGTTTCTCCTTCTTGATCTTCTTCAGAACGCCCTTGTTCTCCTGGGCGCGACGCGACAAATAGGGCAGTACCTCCTCAACGGGTCCATAGGGTATATACTTGTAGGCCGAGTAGCCGGCCTGACCTGTAAAGCGAAAGATTACGCATGAGCCAAAGGTTTGCATGGAAAATATGCATAGATGAACTCACCTAGCGGGAAGGTGATGTAATCACACATGCCCAGTAATTGACCAAAACAGATGACCTTGTCCTCCGGTGAAATGCCAATCGATTTCATATTCTCGATGGCAAAACGGACGGTATCCTCATTATGCGACGCAACCATAATGCCAATCTTGCGGAAATCATCGCCCGAATCCTTCAGCAGCTGCAGAAACAGAAACAGAAACAGAAATTAAAAATCAAATTCAATTTGACGTTGCTTTCGAAAGTGTCATCGGTTTTGGTATTTGCCTTGATGCGACGCAAACACTCGGCCAGTGTCTTGTGATACATGTCTGTGGTGGCCTCATAGTTGGGGTTCACGGGATCGGCATAGCCCAGCGCCTGTGCGCGTCCACGCTCCTGATCCATATAGGCGCCACGTACCAGCTTGGCACCAAAATAGAAATTCTGTCGTTTAGCCTGCTCCAAATCGGTGACCACCTGAAATACAGATCAGTTCAAGGATTAACAAGGATTTAAGTAATTTAGGAGTAGCTTGGTGATCTGAGCTCACCTCACGGTAGGCCTCACGCAAATAGCACTGATAGGTATTGAATACTATGGCCTTGTCCTTGTTATATTTGCGCATCATCTCCAGCGTAATGCGTGAAATCGCTGGCTGGAAATAGGTTTGCTCCGCATCAATCATAATGCGCACGTCCAGCTCTTCGGCAGTCTGTGAGATATAATATCATATGAGTTATCGATTCCTATTCGATCTATTATCCATTCTATATGCTTACCTTTACAATTGTGTTTAGACGACGTATCATGTTTCTAAACATCTCCTCCTCTTTGGGCGCTATTTGTGAGATCAGTCGATGAATTGCACCCGTTATCGGATCGGGCACGCGAAATGTGTCGCTCAGTTGTGAATCCTCGTCCACAATGCCCGACCAGGGAAACAGATGCAGTATACTAGATGGTAGAGAGCGGGCAGAGTTTGATAAAATCAGATTTTAAAGAGCGCAAGCTACTTTATCGAAAGGTTTGTCTAAGGTCTGCACCTTGTGCGTTTAGGGAATTGATAGATTAGTGATATGTTGCTCTGCTGCTTTGCATTACAATGAACCTCTTGATGCTCGAAAAACACAACCATCCCAACTAATATGCAACAATATTTGCTCATATTCTTCCTATCGCACCTGAGCTAAACTAAGCGAAGCCAACCTAACCCTATGTTAAGTAGCCTAACTTTAATTAATCGGAACTAAACTACACTCAACTAAACTAAAGCAACAACCTAACATTTTTACATTCATTTACATTGAGCAAATAAATATCAATTGAAGTCACATTAGAAAGTCATAACTCTATAAATACAGTCATATATTAGCACAAGCTAAAGCTCAGCTGAATAAATTAGGCGAAAAAAGTTAAATTTAGACAGACCTAATAAAAAGTGCTAACAAGTAATTAACTTTTTTAATTAACATAAACGAAAAAGTAGGTTTATCTTCGGCAGGCCGAAGATCTAATACCCTTGCAGATGCAACCTTTTCATAACGATGGGAGTAGGTGTAGTAGGAGTAGGAGTAGTAGGAGGAGTAGGAGGAGTAGGAGGAGTAGGAGGAGTAGGAGTAGTAGGAGTAGGAGTAGTAGGAGTAGGAGTAGGAGTAGGAGTAGGAGTAGTAGGAGTAGGAGTAGGAGTAGGTGTAGTAGGAGTAGTAGGAGTAGTAGGAGTAATAGTAGTAGAAGTAATAATAGTAGGAGTAGTAGGAGTAGTAGGAATAGTAGGAATAGTAGGTGTAGTAGGTGTAGTAGGAGTAGTAGGAGTAGTAGGAGTAATAGCAGTAGTAGGAGTAGGAGTAGGAGTAGGAGTAGGAGTAGGAGTAGGAGTAGTAGGAGTAGTAGGAGTAGTAGGAGTAGTAGGAGCAGTAGGAGCAGTAGGAGCAGTAGGAGTAGTAGGAGTAGTAGCACTAGTCGGAGTAGTAGGAGTAATAGCAGTAGTAGGAGTAGGAGTAGTAGTAGGATTAGGAGTAGGAGTAGGAGTAGGAGTAGGAGTAGGAGTAGGAGTAGGAGTAGGAGTAGTAGGAGTAGGAGTAGGAGTAGGAGTAGGAGTAAGAGTAGAGTAGAGCAAATGAATATACGCACCCCTCCTTGTCGGATGTAACGTTCCGCAAGAACTGCTGCACATCCTTGTTGTCGCCAACGCTGGCATAATACTTCTCGAGATCCTTGATGGTCTTGTGATGGGTGAGTACGTTGCCCTCTCCGCCGACAAGTGCCTCCATGTATTTACGTGTGCGCATTATGACCTCGGATAATTGCAGCTATTAAAGCAAAGGGGAATGCAATTAAATATAGAGCCCAGCCACAAATGGATGCAGTTATCTAAACACTACTCAACTGTAGGGTATATATAAGTATATATACTACTCATACCTTATATAATATAGAATATATACTCACCAGCAGCTGTGGACGGCCCAGGGCGGTCAATTTGATGGCTGTGATGCCAGTTCCGAAGGTGGCGCCTGTTGCAAGTTGGTCGATCGATCGGGTTGTTCGGAAATGAGAAGCATTTGAGAGGTAAACGTGAGTGCATGAATGCAAGGCGAGTAGCAATACGAGGCGAGCCACGGCAGAGGCGTGGCAAAAGGCGTTCAAGTCAATTTTAACTACTCGGCAATCGATATACTACAAGCACACACACACACACACACACGCACACACACATATAAATATAGTTTACATAATAAAAAATGAGCTACAAAAAAAATGGCAAACTAAATCAACGGAAAACTAAATAAATCAAACACACAAAGCAAATGCCAAATACGAGATTTGGCTTTCGGTTGCGAGTTTATTTTTTTTTTATTTATTTACGTTATTTGCTTTTTTTTTTTGTATGTTTCAATTTAACGTTAATTTGAACGGCTTACCCGTTGCCGCAGCACGCGGCTCTTTCCTATCGTCGTCTGGACACACACACACACACACACACACACACACACATGCACACAACAAACATTTGGTTTTGGTTTTCAATGATTATTTGAGGTTAGTTCAATTCCACAACGTTTCATTTTGATTTTGATTTTTGAGGTTAATTCAATTCCACGTTTCATTTCGATTTTGATTTTTGAGGTTATATCAATTCCACGTTTCATTTTGATTTTGATTTTAGAGGTTAGTTCAATTCCACAATGTTTCGTTTTGATTTTGATTTTTGAGGTTAATTCAATTCCACAACGTTTCGTTTTGATTTTAGAGGTTAGTTCAAGTATTCCACATATTGTTAGTTGCGTTTATTGTTAATCATTAATTGGTTTCATTTTCAGAGAGACAGAGAGAGAGAGGAAGAGTCGGTGCCGTTGGTTTTGTGAGAAAGAAAAATGCATTCGAGAGATAAATTAATCAAAATTATAATTAAATGAATCAAGTTATCGCAAGTATACAGAAAAACTAGAAGCTACAAATGTGTCCAATAGAAACTAAGAAATTGTGCTGTTAACTCTTCGGCGTGCCAGAAGTTAAGATACCCCTTGCAGACATATTAAATGATCCCGATTTGAGCTAAAAGACGATTCTATTCAAAATTTTCCAGTTAGTTGACATGTTTCCCACATATGAACTGCTTGACTTCAGCAAAAGGCGTAGTGTATAAATGTTTATTTCTCAGATAATCTCAATTATTTTCGCACAAAGAGAATGTAAAATCTCATTTATGCCTAATGTTTAACCTTTGTAATACCAAAAAGCAAAGCAAAACCCGTTTTGTCAAGTTTTATTTATCACAGTCCAGTTTCTGATTCATTTTACGACCTGTTCCCGAAGCACATTTCCGCTTGAATCAAATTTTCCGGTTCGTAAATAAATACGCATTTATCATGTTAATTAATCATGTTAATTATTTGGCATTTATCGAATTTTTTACATATCATTGAACTCAGCTCAAAGTAAAGGGCGATTCGTAAGAAGGGGAACATTGGAATGAAACACTCGCGGGCGGAACAGCTGGAATTGGGCCGACATATTGTTTTTACATGCTAAAATACTGTACTTTCTTTTTCTTTGTTTTTCGCGAGTTGAAATTAATTTGATTTTAAACCATTTCCCTGTTTAGCCTCAAAAGTGACGAACCTAACCTCAAAAGTGACAAACCTAACCTCAATATTTAGAAGTCGATAAAAAAGAAATATTGTAAGCTAAAGTACAACTATTGCCGGCGGCAAACTAATTTTAGGACCCTTGCAGGCAAACAAGGTAAAGGCAAAAAAAAAAAAAAAAACAAAAAAAAACAAGATTAAGCTAAGATTAAATTAAACGGAAATAGGAAACACAGGGTGGACAGGGTGCACAGGAATGCAGCACAGGGTTGCACAGCACATGCTTTTGATTTGCTTTTGGAGATTGATTGAAAATGATCCAGAAGAGGAGCTTACCCGACACAGCCTCCAGACACTTGATGAATATCTCCATGTTGCGTTCACAGGTCGCCTCGTTCAGATAGAAATAGGTGCGTGCGCTGCTCACCTTGTAGCGACGATCGGCAAAGGATTTGTCCACATGATACTGCGGCAAGGCGCCCGCGTCCTGGGCATTATCACCGGTGCTCGAAACGGAAGATCTGTGAATAGAAGAAGTGAACGAAAAGCGTTTGTGAAAAATTGTTTTATTTGCAACTAAATCCGGACTGTGGCACGTACTCAACTTCACGCTTCTCGGCCTCCTCCTGGCTGATATCCTCTTCGACGGAATAGTCAAGGATGGGCTTGACGCCGAACGAGCGAAGTCTGTGGCGGCGGCGTTTACGAGGTGGGGCAAAAGATTAGAGCGAATAAAAAATGGAGCATTAGAAATGCGGCTTAATAAAACGCGCTTTAAAAAACAAGAGGCTAAAACGGGTGCGGGGCAGGTCGAAGGGCGAAGGGGGGGTGGAGGTGGGGTATATTTGTTGCTGTGCGTGTATTTGTGAGTTTGTGTGTGTGGGATTTGGTATGGGGCGAGGGGGGGGGGGGGGGAAGTGTTCCCAAAATCAACATGCCACATGCCACAAATGAGCGTCGCATTAGATCAAGTTAGTTGGGTTTTAACTGTAAAGTTAAGTTCAAGTTTGAATGACATAGTTATTATATGTATATGGGTATGATAAAAAACAAAACACAAGCGTTTGGATATACGATTTGGGCACCTCTCGAGCGCGGGGACAATCGTGTGGCGATTCTCGCCGGCCACAAAGTGCCCGTAGAAGCTGGACTTCATCAGAATCACAAACAGTTTGCTGCCCAGCACGGCGCGAGCGACTTTTAAAAGCTTTTTATTTTTCAGAAGGGAGAAGCGTTGCACATTGTTTATCGGTTGTGGTTATCGATAGCAGTACGATTATGTTGATTGTAGGTTAAGTTTTATGTTTATCGGTTAAGTTTATTGATAGCAGTACGGTTATTTAGTTTTAAGGTAGTTGCACATCGTTAATCGGATTGCAGTTATCGGATAAGATTATCGATACCAGTACGGTAATGTTTTAATTTGAACGAAGAAGCGTAGCACATCGTTAATCGGTTCAGTGAATCGATAACATTGCGTTCACGTTAATTGTTATGAAAAGGCAGAAGCGTAGCACAGCGTTAATCGGATAAGGTTATCGATAGCAAATGTTATCGATAATAGTACGACAATGTTTTATTTTAAAGGAAGAAGCGTAGCATATCGTTAATCAGATAAGGTTATCGATAGCAGAGGTAATCGACATCAGAGATTATCGATAACAGTACGGTAATGTTTTAATTTTAAGGAAGAAGCGTAGCACGTCGTTAATCGGATAAAGTTATCGATAGATAACAAGCGTAACACATCGTTTATCAGTTATGGGTTATCGATAACCGTACAGTTGTGTAGATTGTCGTTGTTTTATCAGTTTATATTTTTGTTTTTTATACATAGCGCAACAGCAAAGCAAAAGTCGAATGGAAGAGAAAAGAAAAGAAAAAAAGAAAAAAGAAGAAGAACAAAAATATGGTGTTAGTGGATTCAATAATCGTTATACAATTACCTTTCCAATGTGGGTATTATCTTGATCTGATCCTCGCCAGCGACAAAATGGCCATAAAAAGTTGCCTTCATCAATGCTGTAAATAACCTTTTACCCAATACTTTGTTTGACCATTTCATAAGCTGCGATAATTTCGTTTTTAGACAAAATTTTAAAGATTTGTTTTCGTTTTTATATTTATATAAATCAAGGCATATGTATGTATATATATATATATATATATATATATTGGGTTTTAAAAGGAAATTGTAGAAAATTTCAATGTACAGAAAAAACGCAACGAGCAAAAGAAGGGAAAATGAAAATATCGCATATCAAAAAGAACTCATGTTTTCCTACCTCAAAACAAAACAACAACTCATTCATATACGACCCTCTCGCTCGCACACCCACGCCCACGTCATCTGGGCAAAGATCGAGGTATATTTGTCACCTTTTTTTTTTGCTGTACATTTGGCTCTCTTAAGGTACATAAATCATTTGGAATGCCGCCAAAGCAAAGACATATGCAAAGAGTGCGAGAGAGCGAAAAATCAACAGACGATCGTGTCAAGGCCAAGCGCGATGACACAGCATGAGGCGAACTTGCGGCGAATATTTGAAGAGAGCGAGGGTTTGGGTCTGAGCAGGGCTGAGCTGCACTACGCGCGCCTTCTTATGTAATTAAAATGGGAAACGTCAAGCAGCTGCCGTCAAAGCTCATAAAACAAGAAACCGAAAAAAAAAACGCTCACAGGAGCTTTTTGACAGGCACGTGTGATGGACTAAACGAACCGGTTAAAAAGACAAAAGGGGGTGTGGGGGCAGACTCTGACAAGCCAAAAAGAGCAACTAACTGTGTACATGCCTCTTGTGCGTGTGCGTGTGTGTGTGTGTGTGTGTGTGTACTTTTTCAAAACTGGTTACATAAAAGTTGGCAGCGCTGCTGTCTCGAGTACTTTTGTTTTAGTTGTTCTCTTTTTTTTTTCGGCGAATGCTGAAAAGCAAGCACAGGTGTTCGATTTTGAGCTGTGGCCCCGCGTCACGAGACCTGCCAAACAGACGAGCGGTAAAAATAGAATCGCGAAAAAAAAACACACATAAGAACCATTAACATGGCTATTAAGTTGCCAACAAATATATGTGCACATGTACAAAAAAAAAACACATTAATTTGTTGCATTTGCAGCGCTGCGATTACTGCAATTCACGTTAATCAATTTTCCATTAAATCGATCAAACTGTAAACTGTGTAATAATAATCGATAAGCAAATATGCAGGCAACAAAGGCGAAAAAACACACCCACACACACACCTACACGTATACGTAATAATACAAACACAAGCATATATATTTACATATACGAGGGAGAGAGAGTCGTGTTTGCCGTTTTGATTGGCGCACTTTTGGGGGCCTGCCTGTTAAGCATTTACATATGCATGCCCACACACACATACAGATTCAGGTGTGCATATGTGTGCGCCTGACCGACCGCCTGACGCAGCTGGCGTCTGCTCGGCTGGCTTGCGCGCAGTAAAAAGCACCGTTCAGCAACGGCCTCCAACAAGGTCATCAAATGCATTTGATTCGCACACCCGTTGAGTCACAAATTCATTCGCATACACGCTGTGCATCCCCCCTACACAGACACACACACACACAAACACAAGCCAACCAATTGAGGCGGCAATTAGCGCTGCATTCACTCAAATGTTGATGTGTCATTTAAAAGCCATCAAAGCGTAGACAGCTCAGCAGAAGGGGCAGGGCGTCGTCAGTAGCAAGCAGGTAGACAAGAGGCAGCTCAAGTAAGACAAATGACTGACTGAAATAGCCTGAAGAATGTGCACAGAGAGTCGAAAATATAAATATAAAACTGAATATTAGTATAACACAGCGGGGGGGATGGGAACGGGTGCTAATACTTTGCTAATGATTATTTGAGCGTAACGAAAGCTTGGGAACTTTTGTTGACTCTTTGTGAGTGTGAAAAGAGAGAGAATTGAAAGGAGCAGTAAAGCTATAAATTTAAGTTTCATCGAAGTTGTGCTACGATTTAAGAGGAAAATTGGGCTTAACAATGCAACTTAACATTTAGCACGTCATAAATTACTGTCATACATTACACTACACACGCAGAGAGCGGCAATAAACCACAATTAAAGTAGGCTGTGCTAGTCAAGTCCGTAAGAGAGTTGAATTCCTCTAAGGAGAAATGCATTATGCATTAAAGAGAAATGCATTAAGCCTAAGCTTACATAATAAGAGAGCCGACTAACAGAAGGATATCGGGGAGAGAAGTAATGCAATAGCTGCAATGTTATGATATTGCTCGAGAGCAAAATATACCTTAATTGAAAATGGGACAAAATGCAATAAAATAAATATTTTTCTTGCAGCTCAATATGTCAACAATCAATGAGACGACAGAGATGTGAGGCCGCTCAGCTGTGCTTTGGCTCAAAAGCGAAAGCTTAAACACTTTAAACTTGTATACTCAATAGGATAAATGCAAAGCCGAACTCAAGGGAGAGGCCAACCGACCGACCGAATAAAAGAGCGAGAGCTACTCTGAAAAATGGGACAAATGCATTATTATTGAGCTGTAACTCCCAATAGGACAAACGCAGCTAAGAGCAATGTCTAAGAGAGAAAACCAACAACTGTAGTCTAAAGAGAGTTATGTAGATAGATAATGATAATATTGTACATATGTAGATGCATAGGTTCCATTGCGCTCAACTTACCGTCATATTGTGCTCAACCAGCTTCTCGCTGGTGCAGATCATGTAGACCATATAAGCGCGCACCAGCTCCCATGTGGTCTTGCTCTTAAATGCCGCTATCGGATCGTTGAAGCTGACATCGAGTGGATCGCGCTGGGGCTTGCCCTCGGGCTTGCCCTCGGGCTTCGATTGGCAGGGCTCCGCATCGGCTGCGCCCTGTTTGGCGGCCCTGCCGCCATCATCAGCGATCTCTGCAAGCGCCACCTGCGCCTGCTGCTGACGCGCCGCCGAATGCAGGCAGCGAGCGCCGTTCAAGAACTGATTCTGCCAGCACAGCGCATGTTGATGCGAATGCAGAGCGCTCACCATGTCCAGACCAGCATTTTTGCTGCCGCTGCTTGCGTTGGCGTTGCCGCTGGCGTTGCCGCTGGCGTTGGCGCTGGCGCATGCTGTATGTAGGCTTCTTCTATGGCAACGTTTGCCGTTGTTGACAAATGCCGCTGCAGTGGCTAAATAGCCGTTGCTGCTAACGCTGATGCTGCTGCCAACGTTGCGACTGTAGTAAACGAATTTAATTGTTGTACGAGGGGCGCTCCAGGAACGAAGTTGAGCCATTACAGAGCGGAATAGATGCCCGTGGATTCCAAGCTGGGTTACGACTCCTTTCCAAAACTATAGTGAGAGAGGGGGAGAGGCGGCGGTTGAGAAAGCAAGAGCTGCTCTTCGTCTGCTTCTGTTGTTTTCTTCTTCTGGTCTGCGGTTTGCAACACTCACAATTTGCACACACGTTTACTTTTCTGGTTCTTGTTGCTGCTTCTGGTGCTATAAAACAATCTCACAGCTGATTTTGTATTTTTTTTTCGTGCGTTTCGTTGCTTTTTGCCTGCGCTGTTCTTGCTTTTGACTTAAAGCTTTTTTCTCTCTGCAAGAATTATGTGTTATACAACAATTGCAAAAAGGGGAAGAAACAGAAAGAGAGAGCGTGTGAAAAAAAAGAGAGAGAGAAAGAAAGGAGAGGTTAGAGAGCAAACAAAACATACAACTATTTGACACACAACTTGTGCTCCCATACGCACGCACACACACACACACACACACACAAACACAAACGCACGTACACCGAACACCGCACACTAAACAATGTGCACAAAATTAAATTAAAAACGAATTTAAATTTCAGTTGCTCAGCTTCTGCTTGAATTGTTGACGTTGTTTTTCTGTGTTTGTTGTACCTGCCTTATGTATTTATTTTATTTTTTTTTCCTTGCTCTGATTTTTTTTTATTTTTTCGTTTTGCGTTTTGCGCTACGTACGCCGAAACGTTTGGCCACGGCAAAAGCACAGTTCAAACTGTCAAGACGACAGCGGCGAAATGCCAACCGAAGGCGCAACGAGCCGAACACGGGCAACACGAACACATCCGAGCGCACGACAGGCAGGCAGGCAGGCGGCAGTCGCCAGGCAGGCACGCCATTCATCCTGCGCTGCCGCTGTCAACCGCCTCGCTTACATAATGGTGGCGCCCACGCGAAACTTCGCTGTGTGACGTCACGCGTACCAGCCTCCGCTTGCGAATCACGGCGAAATATACCATTGGAGGCGGCGGCTTTAATGAGGGCTGATTTTCTTTTCACTGCTTTTTCATTATTTTTTCGTTAATTTAAATTAAAATGCGCTACAAGTGTGACCACGACAAGTGATAATTGCCGCGGGGCCAAGCACTAATTGGTGTTAATTCAAAAACGTGCAAGGAAGCCAACCTTTCCCCACTTCCCCTTTATCTATCTGCCTACTCAGCAGGGCAGCGAAACCAAGCCGACGGCGAAAATTGTGATTGCTCATTTTAATTTATTAGCGTCACGCTAAATGCACAGCAGACGAGACGCAGTTGCCGCCGCAGCCGCCGCAATCAAATTAATATTAAACTTAGCGGGTTGCATTGCCACAGATTTCAATACATTTAATTATCGTTGCTGATGCGATAGTGAGAGCAGTGCAGAGAGCGAGAAGCGAAAATTGCGCGGCGTCGCGCAATTACAACAAATGCAAATTCATCAAAAGAAATTGTTGTATGTTGCTAAATAGAAATCGCCTACACTCTTACACACACACTCGCACAAAAAGTTGTGCATGGATAGTTATATAACCGTTGCGTGCGCTCCGTTACACTGACTGAGATCCGTACACTACCCATGCATACACAACACACACACAATTCGCCCGTTGACCAATTCGCCGCCGTTTTAATTTCTCTATTTATTTATATTTATCTGCATGTTTGTGCCATTTTTGTACTCGTATCTGTTCGGTATGTGTTTATTTTTCACAACTTACCCTCTCACACATTCAAATTGATATACACAAATATAAATATATGTATGTATATATTAAATGCGCACACGTCTTAAACACTTTCAATTTCTGATGCGCTCTTCGAAATTTCGAAAACTGTAATTTTAAGCCAAAACGGTAAAAGTCATTTTATTATAGTTTTTTGTACTTTATGCTTTGAATATAATGAATTCGGAAAAAAGGTTCTGATTTAGATCTGACAACAAACTCACTGCTGACGTTATGCGTACCTCAGCAAGTGGGGTTTTGGTTTTTTTTCTAAATTTGTTATTCGTCGTGTTGCTGTTGCACGTTTGCTCAGCTGTCAGAGTATACGATACAGATACAACCTTAACACAACTGTGAGGGTCTGAATGCGCGCACCAACTAAATTAAGGCCAACATTGAAGCGAAACTGCTGGCGAAAGCTCACGCGAAGCTTGCGAATGGGTCAAAACCGAAACCGAAACCGCGTGTAGCACAGTCGCAGCGAATGCGGGGAACAGCAGCAATGGCGGCAATGTCAGCTGTTAGCAGTTGTTGTCTGTTGCCTTTTAACTGTTTGCCTTGCACGTGAGGTCTAGCAAAGTGCACATAAATCACGCGCTCGCCATTTTATTTGTTGCTCAACACAATCCTCGCGTGCTTCAACCAATTGGAATGCTGTCGCTTATCTACGCAGCAGACGGTTGGCTGCAGTCGCGAAGGCTTATCTTGCACATACCAAACACACACACACACACACACACACACACACACATGTATAAATACGCAGCGCCGGCTAGCTGTTTACTGTTGTTTTTTGTATACGCACTAGAGTTGCATCAAATCGTTCTTAGCAAGGTTCACTTGAACTGCTCACTGAACTAAACGAACCAACGAAGACTCAAATGATTGTTCGTCGTTCTTTGCAGTCCTATTATCGTTCGAGCACTTATGCGACTTACACCACCAAAACGAACAACTCAAACGTAGAAAACACGACATTGGAACTAACAAAAACAATTCGGAAGATGGCACTGAAACGAAATAGATGAAGGCTTGTTTGTTCAATAAGAATTGAACGACAAAACTTACTCTTTTAAATGAACTACAATGTGCAACTCCACTGGAGCCGCTGAGCATCTGGCAACGCCGCGGATTTGGCAAAAAATGAAGTGCACACGATAATTATCGATAGATATCGTTGTGCAGCATTTGAATTGAAATTGAAGTTCCTTCAGTTTTTTATATGAATATATATGTATATATATTATATTATGTATATGTATATGTTTTGCATAATGTTTCCACTTTCACAATAGATAATAGATAATAAATTATAGCTACTAGTTGTATTAGAAATAATAATAATATTAATTAACAGTTAATAAGCGCAGCACATGTGCATATTTTTGTAATATTGTTTGCTTTTCCACTAATAAAAAACTTAACAAATCGAGCAAAACAGAAACAAGTTTGAAAAAAAAAATTAAATTGAAACTATGCGGCGCCGTTGTTAACAAATAACAAAAAAAAACTAAGAATACAAAACATAAATGTTGATTAATAAAAAAAAAAAAAACAAATATTTGATCTAAGAAAACGTTTTGCGCTCTGCATTTAACTTTAACATGTTGCGTGCCTGGGTGTATGTGTATGTACGTGTGTGAGTGTGTATATATTATATATATATAAGTGTGTGTGTGTGTGTGTGTGTGTGTGTGTTTACATAATATTATTGACTAAATTGTAGATCAACGAATGTCTATTTACTCTCAATGTGTTAATGCCGCACAATTCTCTCAATTTAGAGCTACAGTTAGAGCGTGGCACAGGCACGTATATATCATCATTATCAACATCATCATCATCATCATTATCAACATCATCATCATCATCGCCATCATCATCATCATCATCATTATCAAAGGAAGTAAAACAATAACAATTACTAGATATATATCTATGTATAAATATATAAATACAGCGCTTGACAACGAACTAGAAACCAACATTTATGCGCAATTCTTCATATTTTTCAGCACTTTTTTTTTTAAATATATGTGTATAGATATATGTATATATACAGTATATGTTCCACATCTTATAATATCATATATTATTTGATTGATATATGGGTTCTATCTTATTATATTTTGATTTATTTCGTTACACCACGAGCGATAGTTTTTTTTTGTTATATTTTTCTTTTTATAGTTTCACATTGCTTACTTTGCTGTCGGGTGTGAACGACACCGCAATACCCTGTTAAAACTGTTAAAAAAAATATCTACTTGATGGCAGTGTCTCTCAAACTGTGACTTGCAATTGATCCAGGCGTGACTGATACATACTTTTTTCTTCTCTCTCTCGAGAGAGAAGTCTAGTTAACAAATTGGTTTATTCTAGCTTTTAATCTATAGATTTAATGCACTTGGCTTGCCCCTAGGGGGCGTGGCTAACAATTTTAAAACCTTTTTCCTTTTGGGTTTCTTTCTATTTAGTAAAGTTGCAATTAAATCAACTGAATTGCTCGCTTGAAAATGAAAAGCTTAGAAAAGCAGAAAGTGCATTTTCGGTTTGTGAAAGGGGAACGCGTTATCTGCTTCTTCTTCTTTATGGTTTCTGTTAACAATTTGTTGCTTTGATAAGCTTTGCTTTCTGTTTTCTTGTTTTGGCTATAGTCATAAACTTGGTTTCCAACTAGGGCCGATTTTTTTAAAGCTTATATATGCGACAATTTAAAATTGGTCTAAATTTTGTTTGCTGCGCGTTGAATCACATAACATTTGGTTTCTAATTAGTTGTCAATGTCTGTAAATACATATGCGGATAAGTACAGTCGCAACAAAAAGTGATCTGCTGCGCGCTGCTTGAACAACTAACAAGATGTTGCTGCTGCTGCAACTGTTGCTGATGTTGTTGCTGCTGCTAGTTGGACTTGGTCAGCTCGGTGCGATTGGCGGCCACTTCGGCGAGGATGAGTAGATCTGAGGTAGTGGTCACATCGTAGCCGGCCTGCTCGTAGGCGGACAGCGTCGACGAAGACGACGACGACAGCGGCGGCGATGCGGCAACAGTTGTTGTTGTTGCACTTGTTGCACTTGTTGCTGCAGCTGCAATCGCTGCGACCTCTGCGACCCCGGCTGTACCCGCGGCTGGCTGTGCGCGCGTCTCATTGAAGTAGTAACAGCCATTTATGGTCAGGGGCAATATGGAGGCCACCTCCTGCTCGATGGCGCTGACATCGCGACGCGTGATGCTCTCCTTGCGCGCCTTGCGCTTCTGGCTGCCCACGGCAACAGTTGCTGCTGTCGCTGTTGCTGCTGCTGTTGCTGCTGCTGTTGCTGCGCCTGTTGTGTTGCTTGGGGCGCTGCTGCTGTTGGAGTTGGAGTTCCTTTGCTTTTTGCTGCTGCTGAATTTCTTCTTCTTTTTGGTGCTGCGCTTGCGCTGCAAATACGCATCCAGACTGAGCGCCGGCAGCTCCTTGATCTTCTCCTCCAAATCGAATTCGTTTGAATCGCAATTGCTGCGCAAATTGTTAAGACGCGCCGTCGCACGCACTGCTGTCGCCTCCGGCTGCAGCAGCTGGCCATCGGCTGCTGTGGCTGCGGCGCCGGCTGCGGCTGCGGCGGCGGCGCCTGTTGGCGAAATGGGCGGCGTGTTGCTGTTGGCATCGGTGTTGCCGCTGCCGCTGCCGCCGCTATTCAAGCGGCATTTGCTCTTCTTGGCAATGGCGGCCAATTGGCCTGAATTGAACAGTTCCTGATAGATTTTGCCCTTGCAGCTGCGCGAGGACTTCAGCTTCTTGCTGGGCGTGCCGCGCTCCTCCTCCTCGCTCGAATTGCTGGCGCTGTCCAGGATGCGCTTGTTAATATTATTATTGTTGTTGTTGCTGTTGTTGCTGCTGGGCATGTGCGTGCTCAGGAATTGTGTTGTCTCGCTGAGCACCTGCTGCAACGCATAATCCTTGTCCTGCACATTGCCCGCATTGGCGCTGAGCAACGCGCTCAGCTCGCCCATCTGCGTCTCGTCCGCAAACTTAAAATAGTTGCTGCGCAGCATATGCGCCACATCAGTGGGCGCCCAGTGGAGCTGCTGCTGCTGCTGCTGGTGCTGCTCCTCATTGGGATGTCCGGCGGCCGCGTTGCTGGGACGCGTGGCGAGCGTGCGCAGCGGCGGTGCGGGCAGTTTGTACCATTTGAAATTGGGATTGGCATTGAAAAAGGCATCCTTGTTCTGCAAAAGAAACAACATTGAATTAAATATGAAAGTACAACTCAGTTTGACAGATATGTGTGAAGAATTAATGGGTTTGCTTTTGCGGATTGAGAAACAGTAAATTGTTCCCTGCAAAAACGAATTATTCGACTGATAGTCGAGTCCGATGTCAACAGGAACCTTGGTCATATTTAAGAATCATGGTATATGCAACTAGAAACCGATAAAGTTTTCTCTTGTAATTGTTATCATAGGATCAATGTGAAGTTATGGTCAAGATATCTGGAGAACGACACCAAATCTTTCTAATTCTTGTCTATTTATATGACCCAGGTAGAGTTTCTTGGCGAAAGCCTTAAATCAGAGAGATTTCTAGCATACAAAGAGCCAGACGGATCTACAATATATATATACCTTATCGAATCAGAGCTGTCTCCTTCTATGCATTTACGCATTTCATGACAAAATTAAAAAAAGCATCTTTTACCGGATAACAAACAACATTGCAGCAGATCAGAACGAGAAGGCGCGAACGGGCAAGAGAGATAGCAAGGAAGTGCAGGCGAGAGGGAGATAAAGAAACAAGTCGTGTGGTTGTCCATTTTGTGTGTGCCGGATTGTTCGCCAATAAATGCCGGGAAGTTGACCAATTTATGCTGGAGGATAAGCGCCGTAATGCAGGCCAATAAGGCCGAAAAGTTGACCAACAAATGCCGGAATGCCGAATTGTTGGCCAATATAATCCAGATGTTACATTATATTTGCCGGGAAGTTGAACAATATTTGCTGGAATATTTCCACTTAATGGCCAATAAAATCCGGCATTTCTTTACTATTCAAATATAAATTAGTCTAAACTAAATATATACCACAAGAAATATTTTTAAAACAATATATATTACAATATATATAAGCAATACAATGAAAACCAACAAAAGTTATCGAAATTTTTCAAAAGCCTTCCAAGCCACACAAATCAGCTTTTTCTACTTTATATTTCCCTAAAAGTAACTTAATGCTAGTCAAAAATCGCATAGATTAGATAATGTGCGGCTAACGACTATTGGCGAACAATTTAAATTCAAATTTAAATGTTGAACATGTTGCCAGATTGCTTAATTAAACCATGTGGCAGCACCAATGAATGGTTGTTAAGTTTGGCAGCTAAAGTTTAGCTGAGGCTAAATTGTGATATTAAATTGGTAAACAGAATAAAAAATTAAATAAAAAGTAGAGTTATCGTTAAACCAAAAGAAATATTTAACACGAAGGTTATATAAAGAACAACCGTTGTGCTCATTATTGCTGTTAGTATTTTCTATTCACAATTTACATTTGTTAGTCAAACATGTTGCCAGATCGTTTACTGAAGCTGTGTGGCAACATCAAACAGTTTTGAGCGCTCGCTAATTAGCGAAAGTGCAACTAAAATGTAGGCAATTATGAATTGCAATCTTAAATAGATGTGAAATAGTGTATTATTGAAAATGTATTTAATGTTTACCTGTTGCGCCAGATCGGTGAAGCACTGCTTCTCCTGCTCATCCAGTGCGGCCCACCAGTCGCCGAGTATTTTTGTGATGGCTCTGTTGCATTTATAGTTGAAAGATTTTTGGTTATATTTAGGGAGTTTTTTGTTGTTGTTGCCACAGAGTTGCCAGACTTACCGATTCTCCAGCGATTTGTAGCGCTCTTTGACAATGGCGCGATGCCTTTTACAGAATATGAGAAATGCGTTCATGGGACGTCGTGCGTGATGCTCCGGTCGCATATGCTCCTGATCGACCTTTGACATCAGCTGCTCCTGCTGCAGTTGCAGTTGTAGTTGTGGTGCTGCTGCTGCCGCTGCTACAATTGTTGCCGTTGGTGTCACAGTGACCACATCCACCTCGAGATGCTCCTCGGAATCATCGTCATTTATGTTGATAGGCACATTTAGATGGGTTTTCTTTGTTGGTGCCAACACAGAAGCTTCCTGCTCCTGCTCCTGTTCCTCTTCCTCATCATCATCATCCTCGTCGTCGTCGTCGTCCTCTTCATCTTCCTCGCCCAGTTCGCTGCTGCTGCTGTGCTGATGATGTTGTTGTTGTTGTTGTTGTTGCTGATGACGATGTTGATGCTGCAGTTTGGCATAATTGTGTACATCTTCGATTTGGCGAAAGGCATTTTCTTGGTCCTCAGTCCTTTGTTGCTGTTGTTGTTGTTGTTGTTGTTGTGGCATTGTCCATGCTTCAATAAAGGCACTTTTGGCTATCCCTGTTGTTGTTGTTGTTGCTGTTGCTGTTGCTAATTGCAACTGTTGCTGCTGCTGCTGGTTGTTGCTGCTGCTGCTGCTGGACTGAATGCTGACTTGTCTAAACTGCGGCTCTTTGGTGCTTGCTGAGGTATTTACTTTGCCAGGCGACATCCATTTCAGTGCGGCCTTTTGCTTCGGCTGTTGCTGCTGCTGCTGCTGTTGTTGCTGTTGCGGAAAAGTCATTAGGAAATGCTTTGCGTCAACTTCGCTTTGTGTTATTTGAAATATTTTTGGAGTGGTTGTTGTAGTTGATTCTGCTGTTGTTGCTGGGGCGGCATTGTTGATTAAATTTTGGCTTTTGTGCTCTTTCGATGTTGCTGGCACAATTTTAATGCCACTGCTGTTATTATTGTTCTTGTTGTTGCTGCTGTTGTTGTTGTAGTTAAAATGCAGTGTAATTGCAGCAGTCGCCGCAGCACCTGGGCCCGCACCTGCCACACTAAAACTGTTGATCATTTTTGGTTAAAATGCGCGCCGCGTCGCGTCCTGCTGAATTGCATGGATTTTCTGTTTTATTATTGCCGTTGGGCCTGCGAAGTAAAAACCAAATATAAGCAACAAATTGAAATAGGAATTTCACAAATGTATATCACAGTGTGTGTGTGTGTGTGTGCTTGTGTGTGCATGTGTAAGCGATACTGTATACGTATGCGCGTATGACAGTGCTACCATTGTAGCTTAAAATTGTTAACCATCTGGCAGCACTGCGCGAGTTGCTGAGTTGTTTACAAAATAAAACAGCGAGAGTGGGTGGAAAAGGTATGGTAAAGAGAGCGAGAGAGGTAGCATAAGAGCGAGCACAGATGATATTCGCAAGCGTTCGCTTTGTGTGCGCCAACCACTAACAACAACATGTATCAGCTGTGTGACGTGAATATGCACTAATGTGTATATGTGTGTGTGTGTGTGTTTGCCATTGGCACTGACGCGCCCGTTAGTCGCAAAACAAAAATAAAACAAGAAAAACAACACACACACAAGTTCAATTTTTATTAACAATTATTAGAAATTGTTTGAACGAGCAGAAGAAATTACGACGAGAATTTATTGACCACTCGATATTGATATATGTAAGTTTAACTAACTCTCACTCTCTCTTGCATTGCAAACTTTAAATATAAAATACATACAAACGTGCATGTGCACATACATCTGTATGCGCTTATGAACAAAGCAGCAAAAGTATGTATGTATGTACTACATATGTATGTATGTTACTGGCACACGGACAAACAATTGAAACGTCAGCGTATACATAAGATGTATGTATGTATGCATGTTTTGCATAAATAAAAACACTCATTTCGATTTGTATGTATCTACATACAGATACGAACGCACAATGAAAAACACAACAACGGGGGAAAACAGCAATAAGTCAACTACGCAGCGCGAAAACCAAAGTTTCCAATTGCATGGAATATTTTTCAACACTGACAATAATGTTAAACACTGGCTGCCAGCTAGCCAATTATTGCAAATAACTGTTAAGTCGAATTTGTAGCTGGCGGTTGGCTGGTTAACACATGTTAATTAATTATTAACATTATTTGCATTTTTTGTTGGTCGCTCACTTTTGCTAATTCTACTACTGCACAATTTGCTGACTATTTTTTAAATTTTTTTTGTGACTGCCCGTTACCGTCGGATTTCATATAACAACATAAGCAAAAAAAAAACTACTGTGAACATTGCTACGTGTACAGCTGTGTGACTGTGTATGTGTGTGTGAGAGAGCGAGAGTGCGAATGCGCGCAGTTTCTGTATGTGTGTGCGGGAGATGCCGATGCCGTTGATTTGCCGTTTTGTTTTCGTTGCGATTACTTTGAACTTGATTGTGCCTGTGTGCGGGAGATGTACTGCGCTTAAAGCGCCGTTGTGTGAACGGCAAGTATTTGTAAATTTTAACTTGGGATCCATCTCCAACAGTGTTGCCACTTGACGCATTTGTACCTTCAAAAATGCAGCCACAGTGCACAGCTGTCAGCTGTTACACCGTTGCTTTGTTATTGTTGTTGTTGTTTCGCACCAGCCGTACACGGTCAAGGCCAAAGTGTTGTCGGAGCAACCATTGATGAGAGGTGGTTGCCAGACACGAGGATTGGGGGTGTTTTGTGGCGCCGCGCCGTAACCTTCAAACAAGTTCTCGTTCTAAATTCGCTTCTAGGTTATGTTTCGTGTGGCTTAATGATAAAGGGGGCGTAAGACAGGGGTTGTGTGTTGCATTTGAGTGCAACAATTTTTTTTTTTTTGAAATATTCATGCAATAATATGTACATATGTATGTATTTCTGTGATATTTCGCAGTGTAGTTCATTTAAAAACAAAGATACCGATATGGATATATGTACGTATAAACGTACATACATATAAGTTGCCTATTTACAATATATATACGTACGTAAGTGCACATAAATATGGATGTATGTATATGCAGGCAATGTAGACGCGCGCACACAAACACACACAAAGACGACAAGCACAAAACAGCTGATGACGTTTGTTATTTTGTTCGCAGTGATTATTTTGCAAATAAAACGGCAAAGCAAAACGAAAAACAAAATGTCGTTGTATTTGATTTTGGCGTTTTGTTAAATGAAAACTTCAATACCGAATTGGCGCATTAATTAAGCACAATATAAAATATTTATTTATTAAACAATTTACTTTGAATTTCACCAACAATTAATCGGTGAATCGAAATCGCAATCGAACTCGTACTGCTCTTGTTTAATTAATTTTCAATGTTGATGATGTCAAATGAGAATGAAAACTGACTGTTTTTGTGTTGTGCGGACAGAGGCAACGGCGGCGACGGCGACGGCGACAGAGAAACGGTCGTCGTCGTCGTCGTCGTTGCCTGTGTTTCGTTCAATTGAGCGCAGCAGCAGCAAAAACAACGAAAATGTATTTATTTTTTCTGTTTTTGTTATTGCTTTAGCCAGTGTGCTTGTGTGTTTGTGTGCCTCATCCAATCGCACAAGCAAATAGGCCCGTTGGCTCGCTCACTGTTGAGAGCGAGTATTCTGTATTTGTTCTTGTTGCCAGTGTTGTTGGCGACTCTCTTGCACTTGCGTGTGGGGCTCAGGCTCAGCTGTTTGACTGCCTGTTACTGTTGTTTTTGTTGTAGTTGATGATGGAAAATCGTGTGCAACTGATTTTCATATGCAAATTGGGGGAAACAGGAAGAATTTGTGTTTTCCATGAAAACTAAATGCTGTGATTGGTGGTTTCTTTCAGCTACAATAAGTATTGCAACAAGTATACTTTTCTCTTCGCGGTATGCATATATGTTTGTGTGTGCATGTGTGTGTGTGTGTGCATTGCTGTTTTTTTCCTTTGACTCTTGCCCCTTTTGACATTTTGGCAACTTGGAAGCTTCTGCTATTGCATAATCAATTTTAACAGTTTGTTTGCATTTGCATTTGCCCAGCGTTGCCTACACCAAAGCAGAGCAGAGCAGCAGCAACCGCAACAATGTTATTGTTTTTCAAGGTCACACACACATGCAAGCGCCACAATGTCCCCTACACCCACCGGCCATCATCAGTTGAGTTCAATTGTTGTGTCTTACCGTTCGTTCGCTCTCTTTTGCGCGCGTTGCTCGATTGTTGCGCTCTCGCAAACAAAACTTGCCGGGAGCAAGACACACAACCGTCCAAACTTGCTATCACACATACTCTATTGATGTGTGTGATTTGTGTGTGTGCGTGTATGGGTTTTTGTTTGTGGGGCTCACAGTCTACGGGAGGATACTGTTATGCATTGAATGTGTGCGTATGCGTGTTAGTTTTCAGGGTCAGGGAAATTCGATTTTTTTTTGTCGTCGTTGAAAAGGCCTTAATTTAAGACAATGACAAAGCAATCATTTTTTAAGTGAGAAAATGCGACACGTAAATAACGTTAATGTTATTGAACTGTACTGCGTACAGTCTGTTAATATTGTTTTCGCACAGTTACATATTAAACAAAAAAAAAACTACAAATAATATTCGAAAGTCAATAATAAATGTGATCCCGAGGAACCAAAAATACAGAATAGGCACAATTTTTTAAAAGATAAATGGGCAGATATTTTTATAAGAAATCATTATAAAATTGTCATCAATCATAAAAATAAGTTTAAAGCATGAAGATCGGCTGTGTTGGGAAATTTATGGCAATTGAATGTTTGGGAAGGAAATTTATAAGGGACTTGAGGACATTAAAAGGCCAAGTTTAACAAATCATCTCATTTTTAAGATGGCGTCTAATACTAATGTTAATGTATTAATCAAATGAGAAAATACATTTGGATTATAATAATATATATTTTTCATTTAAATCACTATTTATTATGTCATAAGATATTTAGAAGAAAGATAAAAAGTATTATAGATGGTTATTTGTAACCAAAAACTGTTAAGAAAAATGGGTGCAAAGTCAAAAATGCTAACTGTGCCAATACTTGAGAGTGTGTCTGTATTTGCATGTGTATGTTTGTAAATACGCAGCTGATTCGGGCACTTCCGTGCATTATAAAACCGATATACACACACACCCACACACACACGCTCGCATAAATGTGTATGCAAATAATTGAATATGTATCTGCGCGCACGCACACATCCATGTTTGTGTTTTTCTCTTCTTTTTGGTTTTATTTGTATTTCAAGACAACAAAAAAAAAACGAAATGATAAGGGGGCATTCTTGTGGTGGACAGTGTTATCGACAAAGACGCACGAGAGCAGGGGGGAATTATTTGTTGTGCTTGCGATAAGCGGGGTGTATAAAAAATAAATGATAATGATATCGATAACAATGAGCAGCAGCAGCAGCAGCGGCAGCGGCAGCAGCAGCAGCATCCCATCTCACTCACCCAAACTGCAGTTGACATGCGTGGCGGGCGTCCGGTGGATTTGCGTTTAGCGCTTGAGCACATCGATAAAAGTCTCGTGCGGCACTCGAATGTTGGCAAACATGCGCATCTTCTTTTTGCCCTCCGACTGCTGTTTGAGCAGCTTCATGCGACGCGTCACATCGCCGCCATACTATCGATAGATAGAGAATTGTTATCGATTTTTGTGGCAGTTTTGTGCGGAGTGGCAACTCACCAGCTTGGCCGTTACATCCTTGCGATAGGCCTTGATGGTTTCGCGCGCAAGCACTTTGCTGCCCACGCACGCCTGTATGGCAATCTGCACCATCTGCTTGGGTATGAGATCCTTGAGCTTGTGCACCATTTGGCGGGCAACACCGGTTGCCTTGCTGGCGTGCACAATGCGGCACAGCTCCTCGATGGGCCGCCCATTGAGATGTATGTCCAGGCGGACCAGATGCGTCAGATGATAGCCATGATCCTCATAGCTGAAGCTGGCATAGCCGGAGCTAAGCGATTTGAGTCGATCATGGAAATCCAGTATAATCTCGCTCAACGGCAGCACGTACTTCATCAGGATGCGCGACTCATCGATGTTCACCGAGCTCTGCTGCAGACCGCGTCGCTCCACGCACAGCCCAATTATCTGGCCCACATATTCGGTGGGCGTTATGATGGTGCCCAGGACCAGCGGCTCATAGTACTCTTCAATGTTGGACGGCTCTGGCAGCAAAGCCGCATTCGATATGTCCAGCGTGTTTCTGCCGTGCTGTTTGATGAGCTTGGGATTGCGCAGCACAATCCGATATGTGACCGAGGGTGCCGTTATGATCGGCTCAGCGCCATGCTCCTGCTCCAGACGCTGGCAGAACACCTCCATATGCAGCAGGCCCAGAAAGCCAAGACGCCAGCCCTGACCCAGCGCCGGACTGGAGTCCACATTGACCGTCACCGCCGAATCGTTGAGCACCATTTTGTCAATGGCGCTGCGCAGGGCCACATGCTTCGACTGATCGACCGGAAAGATGCCAGCAAAGACGAGCGGCTGCTGTGGCCGATAAGTGCCGGCAGCCGTCGCCGTCTGATGCTTCAGATGAATCGTGTCGCCAATGATGGACTCTTTGCTGTTGCGCATATTGCAGGCAATGAGGCCCACCTGGCCGGCCAGCAGGCTGTTCACAGCGCACTCGGCCGGACGCAGCACCGACAGACTCTTCACGGGATACACCTTCTTGGTGGCCAGCGACTGTATATCCTGGCCCACTGCCAGCTGGCCGTTGAGCACATAAATGAGATTGAGTGCGCCGCGATATTTGTCGAACCAGCTGTCAAAGATTAGCGCACGAAATGCGCTCTCGCGCTGCACATTTGGTGGCGGTATTGTCTCAATCACACGCTCTAGCACTTGGTCAACACCGGTGCCCAGTTTGGCCGAGACGCGCAGCACGGTGGACGGTTCAATGCCGAACAGCAGCTGCATATCCTTGGTCACCTGGTCGGGCTTGGCGTGTTTGATGTCAATCTTATTGAGCACCGGCACAACGGCCAATTGCCGCTGCTTGGCCAGATGATAATTGGCAACGGTTTGCGCTTGAACACCATGGCAGGCATCCACCAGCAGGATGACACCATCGCAGGCGGCCAGCGAGCGGGAGACCTGCAACGAAGCGGCATTAATCCCAGATAGAAACCGGACGAATTCACGAACCAACCTCGTTGGAGAAATCGACGTGGCCAGGCGTATCAATTAAATTCAGCAGATACAGCTCCTGCTTATATTTGTAGAATATGGAAGCGGTTTGTGCCTTCACTGTGATGCCGCGTTCCCGCTCCACCTGCAGACTGTCGAGCACCTGGTGCTGGCCGGCATTGCGTGATATTGCGCCTGTCAGCTCGAGCACACGATCCGCCAGCGTGCTCTTGCCGTGATCCACATGCGCAATGATGCTAAAGTTTCGAATACGCTTCACGGGCATTTCGGCGAATTGCTGGAGCAGCGCATCCTGCGACAAGTTGGGCGACGCATCCGCCACCGTATCCGATTTGTCTTCCAAACGGGCCAAGGTCGTGCAGAGTGTGCGATAGGCGGCTAGACGCTTCCATGTGCTGTGGCCAGTTGTTTGCGTTAAGTTCCAGCGTATTGTTTTGTACATTTTGCTATGACTTTTAACACATTTTTCGTTTTATTTTTATTTAAAAACAAGCCGGCACATTTTGTAAATGTTACCGCACAACATGTGAGCTGAGTGCGTAGGGATGCCAGCTGGTTTTAAAAAAATGCAGTAACAGCGCAGCAGTTGCAATGGCAATTCATTCACAATATAGTATTTTCTTTTGGTATTCTGTGCAGGTGGCAACGCTGTTAACCGTTTGACCATATTAAGTTTAAATTAAATATTAATTAGCTAAAGCTATTAAAGGCTTGCGATGAAATAGAAAATCGAAACAAATCTAGTTAACTTTAAAGTGTTGTGCTAAATATAGTGTAATTAAGTTTGTCAAAATCATAAAATGCAAAACGGATAAATCTTTGAGCAGGCCCAACACGTGATTTCCCCCAAAATGTGTACACGGAAATGTTTAAGAAATTGTATAAAAAAGCATATATATATATATATATATATATATATATATTTATAGAGGAATATGTAAAGAATTAAATTGTTCATATACAGGACAATAAGGATTCTTTTAACATTAAGTGCGAATATTTTTAGCTTATTTAGAGCGTTGACATTAAGCAATTGCATACTGAGGAGCTTACATGTAAGTGACAATGTAATTTATAATAAAAAAATGAGTTCAAGCACTTAAAGTATTTTCGAATAGCGTTTTTTTTAAAGGTACACAATAAAATACAAAAATGTACATACGATAGATATAAGTATATATATATATATATAGAAAAATAGCTGCAATAGCTTAACGCTCAACTCAATTACTTAGCTTTAGTTATTGATAAACATTTACGCACTTTCTAAATAATAATTACAAAGGCTTATTATAGCACGAGATGGAGGCGATCGACAGATCGCTGTTCAAAGTTTTCTTTAACTTTTTTCTTTCTTTCTTTTTTTTTTTTTTGAGACTAATAAACAGATAAAATGGTTTAACATCGGCAGAATTGGTTTGTTTTTGTTTTTTAGCTTAACTTAAATCCGGTACAAGTACAAATACAATAAAAAAAAAGTTACACATAATTCAATTGTTAATATCGAAGACGTCATGTCTAAATACATAATAGGAATACAGTTCGTTATTCATGTTCATTTCTTTCTTAGGAGTGATATGAAGTTAGTGTGTGTGTGTGTGAGTGTGTGTGTTTGTATGTGTGTGTTGAGATTTGATTTTCGATCTTTGACTTGCAATTATAGGTATAGTATAAAAATCACTAGCTAAATATATATGCACACATATATAGTTACACACATGTACATATATGTATATATATACGAGTGTGTGTTTGTGTTTAGAATGCAAAAATAAACAGATAATTTAGCGCCCATCGTGGATAATCGAAGCGCCAGGCAACTTAAAAACTGTGTACAAAATATATATATATATATATATATGTCTATATATAAATATGTATGTATATATCTATATATATATATATGTAAATTGCACAAACGTGCGCTAACTCCCGCCAAACTCCCACCCATTCCCGTAGATTTGTTCACTTTTGTGCCTGCATGCGCGCCTGCATCTGGGCGAGCATCTCCTGCATGCGTCGCAGCTCCGCCTCCTTCTCCTGCAGTATGCGATCCTTTTCGGTGAGCACACTATTGACGCCCGCCTGTGAGGTTCCATTATTGTCACCACGATCCGACTTGATGCCATTCTCCTTGCCCTTAATGCCCTTGGCCAGGCGATCGGAACGGTAGTTCTCGTAGTGCACCTCCTGTGTTACCTCCTGTAGATCCTGCATGTGTGTGATCAGCATGGTCCGCAGCTTGATAAAATCACAATGATCGGGATTTTCGACCTCGACAACGCCCCAGGGATAGAGGCGGCCGCGCACCTTCTTGCCCTTAACCTCGAGCAGTGTATTGGCGCCGCAGACGGCAAAAGGCACAGCTTCCTTCAGTTGCTTCACTTGCTCCTTGTAGTCTTCGTCCTCATCTGAATCACAGTCGGGCAGTGGATAGATTTTAATGCCATGGCTCTCAATCTCCTGCATAATGCGGCATTTCAATCGCAATATCTCCTTTTTCGTTAGACAATCCGCCTTGGCTATAACAGGCACAATGTTCACCTTCGAGTGCAGCTTCTTCATGAACTCCACGTCCAAGGGTTTAAGTCTGCAAATTTTGAATATACATATTTAATATTGGCCATATTGCTTGATTAGCTGCTTGATTTACCCATGTCCGAATGGCGATATAAAGTAGAAGCAGCAATGTATGCGATTGTCCACAATATTGCGACGATTCAGTCCGCTCTCGTCCTGGAGAAAGCGCTCGTATTGCTCATCAATGTACTCCAGTATGGCGCTAAAGCTATTTGAATTATCGATGGCATCACCGAAACCGGGCGTATCCACAACAGTTAGGCGCAGCTTAACGCCACGCTCCTCAATCTCCACGGTGGATGCCTCCAGTTTGACCGTTTGCTTTTGTTTCTCTGCGCGAAAGTATTTAAATTAGTCGAAGTTTGATATCGAGCTAATTATGCGCTCACCTATGGCATCGGGTATAATGCGTTCCGGATACAAATCGGTCAAGAATAAACTGTTCACCAGCGTCGATTTGCCCAGTCCCGATTCGCCCACAACCATCAGCGTGAACTCAAAGCCCTTCTTTACGGACTTGCGATGCACTTGATTGGGCAGATTGGCAAAGCCCACATAGCCGGGTGTCTCAATGCTGGAAAACTGCACCGCAGACACAATTGATTAATATCAATTTAAATATTTATTAAAGTGTGTTGCATGATCGAGGGGGAGACAGGGGGGGGGGGGTGGAGGGTGCAAAACAGAAACCAATCTGGTTGAGTCATCAGCGGCTTATCTATTGCTGCATTTTTTCTCCCTTGCATTCTCAAGCCAGGCATGACTAGAGCTGAGCGCGTGTCGTGACACGACGAGTTCGCTCATGAGAATTTTGATATTGAAATTAAACATTAAGTAATTAACATATAAAAATATACATTTTAAATATAAGAATCCAGAATCCATGCCATATTCAAATTAAAAAGATTTTAAGTGAAAATAAGGACGCCACGGGCATAAAAAAGCCGCGTGCATTCTGCGCAAGTGTTGTTCGTGCTCGTGTCTTGCTAGAAAAATTCGACACGCGCCCATCTCTATGCATGAGTACAGCTCGTGTCTGCGGGGGGTGGCCGACATCGAAGCCTGGCTCAAAGAAAGTAGCGGCGTTATTTTGGAATGCCAGACACGCGCGAGTTTCTCTTGCATATCTAAGCCGTGCACACACACACACACACACAAACACAAACAAACATGTGCGGATAAGTACATGCACACATTTATTATTTTCATATATCATGTATCTCTATAAGTACACACATACAGCACTTAAAGCCATTGACATTCCCAACAGTGTGTACATATGCATGCACATAGTATGTAGGTCACAGGCCGCAACAAAGGAAGATATACTAAATATGACGCCGACGCCTTTTTTATTTGCCGGCTTTAGTGATTCATGCACTTTTGGCTGAACTAATTTTGAATATCAAGCGACGATTAATTAACTTGCACGCACACAAATATGTAGGTGCATATTTGTGCTTGTCTGTGGTGGTGTGCATGTGCAGCAGTAGCGCATTGCAAGCTGCACACATGAGGAATTTGCATGATAAGCCGCAAACACATATACAAAACAAGAACGCCATCGTCGTCGCGAGCGGGGATTGATACGCTTGATAAAACCGCGCCCTGTATGTCAAAACTGAGCTAACGCGAATAACGATACGACACACACACAAGTACACTCAATTATATGTATTGAATTTATTAAATAAATATACATTACTTACGCCCTTTGTATCAGCCATATTAAAAAAACAAAAATTAAATGACGAACAAAATATGTTGCTCATGAACTGAAATGAACTAGAACCAACACACACTAAATAGCAAGCAGTGTGACCAGCATGTACATTTCTTGAATTTGCCAAAAATGTATCGAAAAGCAACCGAAAATACCTAGAGCGAAGAAACAATTGCACAATTGATTAAAAACAACATTTAGAGATTTAGCTGTTGGATTGAGATTAATAAGATCATATTAAGTTAAAAAAAGTAAAAAAAAAAAATTATTGGCGACGACATAATTACTTTGCAGCTTGTGACCGTTAATGCGAATTAACAGATTCCCATTTTAAAGTTGAACGCAGTGGCAACCTTGGGCAGTGAAAATGAACGGAATATAACCCGTTAATAGTTCAAATTGAAATTCAAAATTTATGTTTTAACTAAAATATGCCAATTGACATGTTATGCACATGTATATGAAATACAGCGACCGTTAGTTGAAATTTGGGATAAATAAAAGTTGTATGGCCTTTATAACTGGTAGTATTTTATTTTTAAAACAATAGACATATTTATGTATGCTAGATCATGACGCACATGCACTTAAATTCAATACAATACAATACATACATCGATGAAATTCAAAGTTTTGATAGGGTTCGGGTATCAGGCCGTTGTTTAACTATATAATTCACATATATTTCATTTCTTTTCTCAATATATTTATTTATGCGCCTGCAACTGCATCGTTAACTATTTCATAGTATACATATACATACATATATTTATGTATATCTATATGTGTGTACGTATGACGTTGACAAAACATCGACTAGAATATGCAAAAATCTCAAAAAATATAAAATAGAAAATATAAAAACAAAAAGAAAATAAACGAAAATATAACCAAAATCGAAAATCATAAATCGAAAATATTATGGCGTAAAGGAATACACATAGATACATATATATTTTGTTTTGAACTAATGCCCCCGCCTCAGACTGCCGCTGCAGCCCCTTCCACTAGGTTTGATCAATTATGTTATCAAGCGCGGCGCATGCAGCCCGTGCACATTCTCGATGGGCGGACAGTGGGTGGCGCCCGGCGGCCCCCAATCGTGCAGGCCGCGCGAATTGGCCAAACGATGCGTCAGCCGATGGGCGATGCTGAAGCCGCCGCTGCCCTCCAGCTGGGTGAGCACAATGATCACCTGCCTGCAATGGGTTACGATAATTAATATACGATAAACTAGTGCTCTAGTCGAGGTGGCACGCGTGAAAGATACCCTGTAATCAGCTGTGACGCGGCGCAAGAAACATTCATGGCAGTGGTTCGGTTCCGGCTCCGGAACTAGTGCCTGAAGGTTCGATGAACTAGAGTTTTCTGCTGTCATGAACACAGGTTCTGATTCGAACCGTGTTTTTTAATATATGTATATGTTTATATATAAATTTTTTAATATATATCCTATCAGTCAAGTTTTATAGTAAATATGGTTCCTCTTTGGTTCAAGTTCAGTTTTTCTTTGGGCTACTGATTCGGCTTCAAATCCAGAAAGTGAAAGAACTTGGGATTCTAGGTTAAAACCGAGTTGAATTCTTCATACAAATGTTGAGAAACTTCTATGTCTTGGGGCTAATCCAAATGATATCAGTAATAAAATATGTTGATCAAACGCGTCTATATACCAAACATCAAGAGAATGTGCTTCAATTATGATCGCAGGATTTGATTGGCGTACCAAATATAGCAGATTTAGCTCTTATAATTTCAAAGATATGATCTAGGAAATCTTTTGATGGGGTCTTTATATATTATATATTTAATATTATTCGAAGTTGGGCGAGAAATTTCATAAAATTAGGGTTTGTCTTAAAATCTTTTTCGTTTTTCACGAGGTTATCCTACAGAGGAGCAAAGATCTAATCGGATTAGTATGATATATTGCTGCTATAGGAACAATGGGTCGGAAATAGTTTAGTATTGAAAGCTCTAACGCATATGTGCTAGGTCTGTAGACAGGGTATTTAAACGTCGGCTTAGCTAAGCTATCTAATCCGTTCGGTTTTCACACATTCGCACTGGTTACAGGGTATATGATTGGGAGTCGGTTTTGCACCTACGCACCTTTGCAGCGGCGGCACGGAATCAACTGTTTTGAGCTCGCCGCGCGTCGATACCACATTGTAGCTCTCCTGGCAATCGCATTTCACATGTATCCACTTATTTTCATGGCGATTCTCCACCATAACCACCAGTCCAGCCCAGCCCTACGGACAGAGAGCGAGAGAGAGCGAGAGAGAGGGGATTAAAGTTAGAACATGGCTAGCGAATGGCTAGATGACATCCACCTTGGTCAAATAGTAGGCGGTCATGCCCTCGCGTCCCTCGTGCCGCTGGCCCTTGGTGAGGGTTAAACTGATGATGGCATCGGCGAGCAGATGGGGCGAGGGTGTTATTTGCTCGACCAGCAGCCGCTTGGAGCTGTGTATGGCCAGTATGCACTGCGGATATTGATGCGGATCCTCGATGCCCGTGTGCCAATGATTGAATGCCAAACAGACGAGCAAATAGATGTCCCGTTCGAGCATCTTGTGACAGCCAACAAAGCCGCGCACCTGCAAAACAAGCAAAAGTAAATACAAAAAAATAGCATGAATTGGGCTTGGAGCAGACGCTACCTGACGCTTGCTATGCTCGACCAGGCGTCCGATCTCTGGCGCCGCCGGCGAACGTGTGCGAAATATGACAACGCAGAGATCGAGCTGAGAGCGTTGCGACTTCTCCGAGTTGCGTTGGCCCTCCTGAAAGAGCGTAAATTCGGCCTCGGTGGGCTCCAGTACGGTGAGCAGCACGCACGAGATGGAGCATAGCGGCTGGAGTGTGCCCTGGAGACGCACCTCATTCCAGCCGGAGCGCACCTTGCAAATGTCAATGCAATCAAAATAGTTGAGCACATCCTCAAACGAGATCCAAAAGACGCCCTCGGAGGCGCCGTGCGGCATTAGAGCATCACGCAAATCATCTGTCCATAAGGCCGAATCATCCGACCAGTCGCCGCGCCACGAATAATGACCCCACGGATTGCGCAGCTTTAGCAAACGATGTCCCTGTATATCCTTAACATCGAGCACCGAATAGGCGTGCCGCGGCCGGAGACCCTTGTGCTGGTACTCCTCCTCGTCGACCTTCATGTTGCCGCCGCCACAGCTGGCGCCCATTAGGAAGCGTACACAGCGCGAACTTAGCAGCTGCGCCCAAATCAGATCCTTGTCCAGCTCATCCTCGCTGGGCATGGGCAACGAGCTGGCCTGCAACGGTATGCTCTCGCAGGGCGCACCGGTTAGCGTGGCCAGACCCTCAATGGCACGGCCCGAGACGAGAGCCTCATAGCAGCCATGTATTTTGGCCACCGCCTTCTCGATGAGCGGCACCCAGAGCTGTTTGCGCTTGGCCTGCGAGTAGACCAAATGTCCGCGCTTGTCGCACGGCAACAGATCATCGACCAGGACGGTCGTCCATTTGCCATCCTTGCAGAGACGCACCTGGTAGGCGCCCTGGGCGCATATCTCCTTGGTGACCAGCACCTCCTTGACCAAATCCTCCCGCTCGGCCAGCACGGCCAGAGCGCTGAGCAGCCAACAGTTGCCAAGCACACCCTGGCATATGTCCGAGGGCAGCGGTGTGCGGAAGACCGCCCATGGCGGATAGGCGCCGCCATCGCAGTTGATGTCGTGCGGTCGGCGCCACTGCACCACCGGATTGCCGCCATCGGCCACACTGCTGGCGGGATTATAGTACAAGCTCTTGGGCGCCGGCGGAAATGAATCATCCACGAACAGCTCGTTATTATCGCGGCAATATTGTATGATATTCTGCCATTTGGTCAACGCCTCCGTCTCCTCCAGCTGACGCAGATTCTCCATTAGTTTACTCTCCTGCCGGATTTCGGTGAGCGCAGCGGCACGCATCGATTTGCGGGCCAGAGCATCCGTGAGCACCGCATGGACCAGGCCGCGCGGACTGGAACAGATGTCGCAGACAACGGAAGCGGCACAGTTCTCATAGGTGCAGGCCGGGCACTGCCATTTCTTAACCGACCCGCTGGGCAGGATCAGCTGCTGCTGCTGCTGCTGCTGCTGTTGCAGATTATAGGAGGAACTGGCCGCCGAGGAGGGCATGGCCATTGATATATTGCGCGGCACTATGGAGCCGCCGGTGCTATGACGCTTGGGTATCGCACCCGAGGAGCTGCGCTGCTGCTGGAGCTGCAGCTGTTGGATAGCTGTCAAGACTGGGGCCACCGCCGCCGGCACGCCCACAGCCGCCGATCTGGGCGAGGGACTGCGCGAATTGCGATGCGCCACCGGCGGCAGCTGCAGCTGGGCCGTTGGCGTCGGCGTTGGCGTTGTGAGTTCACCAACCGTTTGACTGCTGACCGTCGTCGCTGTGTCCTGCTCCTCGTAGGACTGGCCATCGGGTCGCTCGCGCACCGAGTCCACCGGCAGCAGACGCATCGATTTGCAGGCACTGCACAAGCCAACCGACAGCGAATTCTTGAGCGTGCAATGGCTGCAGGTCCAGAACTCGCCCTTGCGCAACGTCATGTCCTCAATGGAGGAGATGCTCTTCAGCTTGGAACCGCCGCACACAATGCACGCCATCGCCGTCGAATAGTTGACCAGGGTGCACTTCTTGCATGTCCAGGGCTCATCGCTGCGCGGCTCCGCAGCAGCTGCAGCTACAAGTGGAAAAAAAAGGTTATATAAATTGTGGGTTTTTATAGCTAAATATATTAAATGGATTTTCCCGGAACAAATTATGACAAAAGATGACTAATTGTAAAAAAAATGCAGATGAAAGCTTTTGTGGTTTTGGGCTGAGCGTTGACCATCAATCTATCAATCAGTCAGTTGATGGTCTTCAGTCATTCTCATAGCCAGTAAATCATTCAGTCAATCATCCAGTTAGACAGACAGTCAATCAGGAAAACCTTTAGTCACTTAGTCGCACAATCAAGTTAGTCAGTCAATTATTTAATTAGTATGTCAATCAGCGAGGCAGTTGGTCAATCAGTCAGTGCGTTTATAGTCAATCATTCTCATAGTCAGTCAATTAGACAGTTAGTCAGACAGTTAGTCAGTCAGTAAATCAGTTAGTCAATCATTCAGTTAGTAAGACAGTCAATCCGGCAGACAGTTAGTCACTTAGTCGGGCAATCAATCACTGTCAATTAGTCAATCAATTATTTAGTTAGTATGTCAATCAGCCAGGCAGTTGGTTAATCAGTCAGTGCGTTTATAGTCAGTCAGCCAATTAGTCAGTTAGTCGGTCAGCCAGCCATTTAGTCAGTTAGCAATTAATTCAGTTCGTCTGTCAATCAATCAGACATTTCGTCTATTAGTTAAGCAGTCAGTCAGTCAATCAGTTAGCCAGTCCATCATTCTGTTCGTTATTCTTTCAGTCAGTTTGTGGTCAGACATTCTCAGTTAGTCACCCAGTTAGACAATCAGTCAGAAAGTTCACCAAGCAATCAGTCAGTCAGTCAATCTATTGGTCTGTCAATCAGCCAGTCAGTTTGTTAGTTAGTCATTCTCGTAGTCATTCAATCAACCAGCTAGTCAGTTAGTCAGTCAGTCAATCAGACAGACCAGCCTGACAGTTGGTTAATTAGTCAGTCATTCTCAATCAGCCAGTTCATCAGTCAATCAATCAGACAATTAGTCAGTCAGCCAGGCATGCAGTCAGGTCATTAGTCAGTGAGCCAGATAGTTAATCAGTCAGTTAGTCTTTCAATCAATCAGACAATTCGCCGATAAGTCAGGCTAAGAGTCAGCTAGTTAATCAGTTGAACAGTCAATCAGATAGTTAAACAGGCTTTCATTCAGTCAGTTGATTAGATAGTCAGTCAGTCAGTCAGTCAATCAATCAATCAGTCATTCATTCAGTTATATATACAGCTTAGGGACTTACTGGCTGCTGCTGCTGCGGCTGCTGGTGCTGGGGACTCAGCTGTTTGCTTGGTTAGTGTCTCGCACATCTCACAGGACTCGGACCAGAGACGATTGTAGGCATAGGAACATTTGCCGCATGTCCACATCTTGCGGCTGCCGTGCAGCAACATCGATTGCGGTTTATTATCGTTGCGCGCCGCTTGAGGAATGAGTCGATTGCTGGCCGGGATCGGTGCCAAAACAGCTGCTGCCTCATGCGAGCTGTTCGCAAGCGAGAGAGAAAGAGAGAGAGAGAGAGAGAAGGACACAGTGTATTAGAGCGAGAGGGAAGCAGAGCACACGCACAATTAAGTGCCAGGCAATTAAATTAAAAACCAAATAAAATTACAAAAATTACATTTAACAATGAGTAAAGCAAAAGAAGCGACTGCCGCTGTTGCCGCTGCTGCTGCCGCTGCTGTTAATTGCCTTTTAATTTGCAAAAATGAAAAACAGAAACAAAGCCTCGACAAACAATACACAACAAATTTGTTATCTTCGGCACACCGAAGTCACGGATACGCTTGCTCTCTAAATTGTGAGTCAGTCGCAATTAGAAAATGCGAAGCTGATAACAGCTGAGAATCTAGATACCCTGTGCACAGGTCTATCAAGGGGCATGCCAGCCTCAACTATCGTCATATTAATTGCTATTAATTAAACATGACAAAGCCTAAAATTAACTCTACTAATTAGTCTGTTCGATTAGCCTAAATAACAAGCTTTTAATTAAATAAAATGCACCTAATAAGCTGGGCGAAAAAGTCTTCTTTAGTAATTAGCTATTAGTTAATATGAACTACTAAGTGGCTTGCAAGTAAATTAATTGATTAATTTTTCAAATAATAAACATGAGTTACAAGACATTAATTACTTTAAATTACTTTGCTCAAGTAGTTCTCGTAGTAAAGTAATTAGCCTTAATAATTAGTATAAATATGATGCTTAGCCCTGGCAATTAACTAGTTGCACAGTTATCGTAATTAACCTGCGTTAATTTCTATTATTTATAATTACTTGAGTAATTAAACGAGCACTAAAGTAATTACTTAAAAACAGTTAGCCGGGTGAGTGAGAAACTACAATTACAAATAATAAAATTGCACCAGAACAAGTAATTGCAATGTTTAAATTAAATGATTTAAAAGTAATTAGAGGGCTCAGCCTTCGCAGCCTGCGGTTAGGGTATACGAAACAGTCAAGCGTGGCGCAAACAATAAACGAAATCAAGTTAACGCACATACACACAGATCAAGATATATATATATATGTATATATATATATATAAATGTATAAATGTATACGCGTTCGATGTATATGCACAATTGCGTATGAGTAAGCTCTGCGCAGTAATTAACAAACAGCAGAAAATTAGAAATATTAAAACAAAAGCGAATTGATAAGTTGTTGTTGTTGTTGCTGTTGTTGTTGGTGTTGCTGTTGTTGTTGTCAAGAGGTGTCAAATGTCGTTAGCTGTTGCTTGACAGCAACAACCGACAATAGTTGCTGTTGTTATTATTGCGTACATTTTCGATTCAGTTGTTTTGCGGGGTCCCTTCCACACCTTCGCGTAGATTGAATGCTCGGATGCGTGATAAAAATCAGTTGCTGTTGCAACAGTTGCTGCCGCTGCTGCAGCTGCTGTGCTGACGTCCGCTTCCATACTGCTAGCTTCATTGCCGCTGTTCTCGGTAGCTGCTGTTGCTGCTGCTCCTGCTGTTGCCGCTGCTGCTGCTGCTGCCTCGCTGCTATTTTCAAATATATCAAAGCTGCTGTTGTTGCTATGGCTACTGCTGTTGTTGTTGCCTAGCAGCAATGCTGCTGCTGCTGTTGTTGATGTTGTTGTGGATGATGAAGTCTCGTTGGTGAGCCTCTTTTTGTGCAGCTTGTGCTGTTTATTAACCTGCGCATAAATGGGTGCCATGGGCTCCGCCCTAAGCTGTTGCTGCTGCTGTTGTTGCTGCTGTGCAATGGCCACACATTCGTTTTCATAGAGCTGCTGATTTAGCTTGTTGCTGCAATTGTTGTTGCTGCTGCTGCTGTTGCTGCTGTTGTTGCTGCTGCTGTTGGCATTATTATTGTTGCTCGTTGTATCACAGTGCTGCATATTGGTATGACGATTGCTGCTGCTGCTGATGACGCGTGTCGCTGGCTCCGACCAATCATTGACAGCTATGAAAACGCCGTTGCGCGGTATAGTAAACTGTGAGGAGCTGCCGCCGCCGCCGCCGCTGCTGGCGGCGCATCCCCTGGTGTTGCTCATGTGTTGGGCGTTGTTGGGCTCCCGCTGCTTCGTGGGCTGCGGTTGGCGCATGGGCTTGGCAACAGCTGTTGGCGCTGTTGCTTTGGCTGATCTTGATAGCGTGGTTATGGTAAAGTTATATTTCTTCTTGGCACAACCGTCGCGCACTTTATTATTTAGATTCTTGTTGTTGTTGTTCTGCTTGCGGCGACAGAAGGTATCATTGGCAATGGCAAAGCGTGAATTGCTGCAGGCAATTGGCGCTGCAGCGGCTGCAACTGAAAAAGTGGACACAGATGAGGCATAATACTAGCTTGGATTCTAATCATGACTTACTGCTCTTGTGTGGCAACAAATGTTGCTGTTGCTGCTGTTGGTGCTGCTGTTGTTGCTGCTGTTGTTGCTGGTAGCCGAGCGAGGCTTCGTAGGGCAAATTGAATATGTCCTTGCCTAGATTGTTTACATAGCAAATGTGACAGCTGCGTGCCGAAGCGGAGGCGGAGGCGGAGGAGGAGGAGGATGAGGCGACGGCCGCTTGGGTAAGCACCGTGCTCTTATCTATGGAATTGCTCAGACTTTGCGTGCGTCTAAAGTAGGCGAAACGGCGCGATTTTAAATGACGCCGATTGGAATGTTGCTCCTCCGGCTGTTCCAGCTGCGAATGATGTAGTAATAGTGGCTCCTCCGGCGGCTGTGGCTCAACGCCGCTGCTGCTGCTGCTGTTGTTGACGCCGCCGCCAGCGACGCTGCTGCTGATGCTGCAACTGTTGTTTAGCTCCAGCTTCGCTGCAAGCGTGCCAGCTGTGGCTGTCGCCGCCTCATGACGTCGCGTGCATAGCGTCTCCTTGTAGATGGGCGCCAAATAGCTAACTGTATCGCAGATGACACAGTGCCATGTCACCGAATTGTTATCCGTATCGCAGGCGCGACAAATCCAGCGGCGATTCAGGGCCGGATTCGAAAAATGACGATATAGCTCTATCGAATTTTTTATATATTTGCGCGTCTCCTCGCAGTCAATGCAATTGGCTGGCAGATTTTGGCTATTGCGCTGCGGACGCTTCAAGCAGCCGCGCAGCAGCGACTTGTAAACGTGTCCTGGCTGCTGTTTTTGGTTGTTGTGCTCAGTTCTGGAAACAGAATGGAAACGGAAAACGTATGCATGGGCAATGGGAACAGTTAACGGTTAACGGACAGTTAACTGTAATAGTTGCTACTCGGACTGGAACTGGAACTCAAACTGAAACTGTAAAGGTTATTTCAATGTGGCCAAACCACCCAAATGGGTGGTTTTTTTTAATTTTTTTGTTGTTGCTTTTTTTCACTCCAAATTTGCAAATTTTTTTTTTATTTTTAATTTTTCTGTTGTGCTTTTTCACTTGCGATGCGCAGTAAGAAACAGCCAAAATTCGGAATCAATAAAATTGTAAACAAAGTTGCGTTTGTTTCGCATCGATTTTCCCCAAAAAACCAAAAAAAAAAAAACTTCTGTTTTTGACAGCTTTTTGTTGTTGCTGCAGTTGCTTCAATTGTTGTTGTTATTGTGTATACTCTGTGTACAATACCCAAACATACACGCACACACAGGCAGTTATACAGTGAGAGAGAGAGAGAGAGGGGGAGGGAGGGAGAAAGAGCGAGTGAACAAGAAAAGGACAAACACGCACGCACACGCACACATGCAATTTTGGTTTTGTTCGGTGTAACGGTAAACTCTGACTGGAGCTTTTGTGTGCACCCAAACACACACACACACACACACATACTAGTGTGTGCATATGCCAATATAAATGTATGTATGTATGCCTACCTGGTCACAGCTTTGTGCTTATCAACAATTGTCGCGACCTCCTCCTCATCACACTCGGCGGCCAGCTCCGTCGCCCCCGCCGCTGCCACTGCCACAGCAGAGCCTGCAACCAGGTTTTCGTGCTGTCGTTGCTGTTGCCGAGGTTGTTGTTGTTGCTGTTGCTGCTGTTGATGTATCCAAGTGCTTTGGTGTCGCGGCGGCTGGGATTGCGTTTGTGACGTTTGCTGATACAATGTTGCGGTAGGACTGGGGAATACCTTGCGCACGGTGCCACAGTTGAAGCATTTTAATGACTCGGTCGGATTGATGGTATTGCATTTGGTGCACGACCATTGCAGTACCGATGATATTGTGCCCATATTGCAGCCACTTGTATTAATACAATTGAAATTTCACATTCGACAAATCCGCACAATTCACGACAATGCTGTATGTGATGAGAGAGATAGAGATAGACAGAGAGAGAGAGAGAGGGGGGCCGGGGCCAGATGCTGATTGGTGGAAGGAAGTTTTGAAATTAACAGCAAGCCGTTGTTAATTGCATTTAACAGTCTCACGCCGCGCGCCCGATTTAATACTTTGAACTGTTGCACCACAACACATATTTAGTATATATTGTGGGCCAACCTTGTTGTAGATACAGATCCTTAAGCAACAATAATGCTAGCGCCAGCCAACCAACCAGCCAGCCCACCGAACCTACTGATGAGCGATAGTTTAGTGACAGTTGGATTGAGTCCTCGTGTAAGTCGTGCCAAACGTATATCGTATAAAATTGATAAGATTAATAGGCATTATTACCTTATGTGTCAACTAAAACCAAAAATAAGAAACAAATGATCTAAGAACGTAAGACAAACTGAGCAAAACGATTATTATAGCGCGATTTCTGCAAATGTGTATATTGTGCGGACACAGCTGTCTGTTAAAATATTTGCCATCTCTATGCATAGCAGTGTGTGACCGTAGAATGTAAAATTTGCACTTGTCGATAACGAGTACAATTACTCAAAGACACATTGATTTGGCGAAACGTATTTGATAAGGCGACAAAATTTGATCGTATCGATTAAATGTTATAGTAATAACATAACCATGAATAAAGCTCTTACTTAAATTGATGATTTGAGAGTGCGCCCAGTTTGGGTTTTTCTTAAAAGTCACATTCTCAAAATATTTCTGATTTTTGTGCTATTGTGTATTAGTATCGATAGCGCTGGTATCTTTAAATACCAAGTATCGATACTTTAACGATATTCGTACCCCTCGTGCAACAGTTATTGAGTGGCCTCAACGTGTTTTGCTTCCAAACAACTCAAAATAGACTGCGCCATGCAAAAGCAAAAGGGCAAAGGTCCTGGAAGACCAGGACCCCGGCCGCCGCCCAAGCAGGGCACCAACCACAAGCCGAACAAACAGCACAATCAGAAACGGGCCAAGGAGCTGTCACGCTCCAAATTGGCCGCAACCGAAACGGAAATCCAGGAGCTGCGTGCCAAGTACGATGAAATTGATGCAAACAGCATCGAAAGATTTGCACAATTCCCGCTGTCGCAGAAAACGCAAAAGGCACTAGCCGAATTCAAGTACACAACGCCCACAGAAGTGCAGCGCCAGAGCATTGGACATGCGCTGCAGGGCAAGGATGTGCTTGGTGCTGCCATAACCGGCAGCGGCAAAACGTTGGCCTTTCTCATACCCGTAAGTGCGGCCGGGCCTAAACCAATTTGATAACTTCTAAACTCATTTGCACAGGTCCTGGAGCATCTGTATATGAACAAATGGTCACGCTCGGATGGTGTGGGCGCCATCATCATATCGCCAACGCGCGAACTGGCCTACCAAATATTCGAGACGCTGAAGAAGGTCGGCAAGCATCACGACTTCTCAGCGGGTCTCATTATTGGCGGCAAGAATCTAAAGTTTGAGCGCACGCGCATGGATCAGTGCAATATACTGATATGTACACCGGGTCGTCTGCTGCAGCATATGGACGAGAATCCGCTGTTTAATACGACCACCATGGAAGTGTTGGTGCTGGACGAGGCGGATCGCTGCCTGGACATGGGCTTTCAGAAGACACTCAACTCGATTATTGAGAACTTTCCGCCCGATCGTCAAACATTGTTGTTCTCGGCAACGCAAACGAATACGCTGGAGGATCTGGAGCGACTCAATCTGAAGGATCCCGTATATGTTGGCTATGGAGCAGCTAAGCCCACGGCTGGTGACACAAAATCTGGCGCGTCGTCGGCGGTTTTGGCCTTGCCCGAGCTGCTGCAGCAGAGCTATGTGGTGCTGCCGCTGGAGGAGAAAATAACCATGCTCTGGTCGTTCATCAAGAATCATCTGAAGCAGAAGATTATTGTGTTTGTGTCCAGCTGCAAGCAAGCCAAATATCTGTACGAAATATTTTGTAAATTGCGTCCAGGCGTTGGCCTCCTCGCGCTCTATGGCACCCTGCATCAGGATCGACGCATTGCCATTTACGAGGACTTTCTGCGCAAGAGCCATGTGGTCATGTTTGCCACAGATGTGGCATCACGTGGCCTAGACTTTCCGGCGGTCAACTGGGTGCTGCAGCTCGACTGTCCCGAGGATGTGTCCCAGTACATCCATCGAGCGGGTCGCTCGGCGCGCAACAAGGCACGCGGGGAATGCCTTCTGGTGCTAACGCCCAGTGAGGAGGACTACATGATTGGTACGTTGCGCGAACAGCTGAATGTGGAAATACGCTGTGTGCACATCGATCCCAAGAAGCTATTCTCGCCGCGCGTCAAAATCGAGGCGTTCCTAGCCCAATTTCCGGAGTTGCGCGCCTCAGCACAGCGCGCTTTTCTCGCCTATCTAAAATCTGTGTTCCTTATGCGCAACAAGCGGCTCTTCAATGTGCTCAGCCTCGATCTGGATGCCTATGCGCAGTCGCTGGGCTTGGCGGTCACGCCCCGTGTGCCCTTCATTGAGAAACTCAAGTGGCGACAGAAGCAACAGGCGGCACAGCCGGATCAGCCGGAGCCGGAGCTGAAGGCCCCATCAACAAGCTTTGGTGGTGGCGATGAAGAGGAGGAAGAGGAAGCGGACGATTTTATTAAGATCAAACGACGGGATCATGATGTTGAGGGTGCAGCTGTCGACCTGAAGCCACCGGGCGCAAAGGCAGAGGAGCAGGAGTCAGAGGAGCCGCTGGTGGTGCCCAAGCGCGAGAAGCTGGTGACCAAAGCAGCGCTGGCCAAGAAGGCAATCAAGAAGAACCTACAAGTCAATTCCAAGCTCAAGTTCGATGAGGATGGCCAAACGCTGGCCGACGAGCGCAATCAAATGAAGGCGCTGACAGCCAGAGAGCAGAAGCAGCACCAGCAGAAGCAAAAGGACGACGATGGCGGCATCAATCTAATGCTATCCAAGGCGCTGCTCAATGAGGAGGATCAATATGATAAGCAGCGTTTCCGTGAGCTGGTCAAGAAGCGGCACAAGCTGCAGCGCGAAAAGCTACGCAAAAAGGCGGAGCGACAGCACAGCGACGAGGAGGATGAGGACGAAGATGATGAAGACCAGCAGCAGCAGCAGCAACAGGATGAAATGGAAAGCGAGAGCGAGCAGTCTGTGGATTTGTCCTGGCTGCCAGATCCGGATAAGGTGTATAAAAAAAGAGGAAATGATGACGAGGACGAAGAGCAGCAGATGGATGACGATGATGAGGATGAAGATGACGCTGACGATGACGATGACGATGATGAGCCAGCCTTTAAGAAGTCCAGGATAACAGACAAGCTAACGCTGCTGGACACCGAGGCCATAGCGGCCAATTTGCTGGCCAGCTAAGCATCATTATAGTTGAAAATCCTTAACAGAAATCTATTTAATAAATGAAAACAACAAATGTAAATGCTTCACAAATATTTGGAAAATGCCCACAAATTTATTTTGCACTCCATAGCCTGACATATAGCTGCATATATATGTGCATATATATACATTAATAAATATATGTATATATATACATACATCTATGCCTGAGAGAGAGAGAGAGAGAGAGAGCGAGAGAGTGTGTGTTATATATGGGAGCGCTCGGTTCGGGAAGAGGGTGGAAGAGGGGGGGCGTTTTGGGGGCATGGCGAGTATGGTTTTTTTTTTTCGTTTTTTTCTTTTCTGGGGGGCATAAAATTTGCTTTTAAAAATATTACACATCACGTCAAATTACATTTTTGTTGAGACATATTTGCATTTTTTTGTTTTTCGTTTCGGTTTTTGTTTCTTTTTAGGCGTATATAAATAAATGCATACACATATATACCGTTAATTCTGCGTATATATACAATATGCATGCACATTCGTGTACAAATAATGCAATAGACACACATCTATACAAATTATACTATATATTGGTTATTTGTTTTGTTTTTGTTTTTGTTTTTGTTTTTGTTTTTCATTCTCTTCTCTCTGTGTTCGCGCATTTTGCTTTAAAATGATTTTTCGCTTTTTTTGTTTTTTGATGTCATTTTCGTTTTTTTGCATTTTGTTTTGTTTGCTTTTAAGTTTGAGGTCCGTTCAGACACAAGATACACAATTATATAATTAGGTTTATAAAAAATTAATGCTCAATTACAAGAAATAACACTTACGCTTATGTTGCCTACGTTTCGTTTTGTTTTGTTTTTTCTTTTTCTTCTTTTTTGTATATTTTGTTTTGTTATTTAGTTAAAATACATATATACATACACATATATGAATATAAGTGCATATATGCATATATATATATTTATGTATGTATGTATAGCAGTTGTATATGTAATGTTTTTTTTTTTTCTTTTTTCGTTTTGTTTTTGTTTTTCATATGTAGAGTAGAGCACACATTTATAATAGCTGAGAGCTAGAGACAAAGATTTTAATTATTTTTGTTTTTGTTTTTTTGTTTTTGCTTGCAATATTGATCCTGTGAGTGGGAAGGGGCCAGGGTTGGGCGGCTGAAGGGGCGGGGTATATACCATATCATTTAGCGCTAATACTTAATACATTTCATCTTTTAGACACATATATATATATGTATGTATATATATATGTGTGTGTGTGTATATATTTAAAGTTTCTTATACATATAAATACACGTAGAAGAACAAGCATGCTTTCACATACACACGCACACACACATACTCTTTCTCACTCAAAATACGCACACGCACACACACACACATACAAAGAGATTCACATTTAGTAGCTGGAAATTGTTTTTGCATTTTGTTTTTCTTTTTTTAATCTTAAGTTTTTTTGTGGCTTGTTTTGCTGCTTGCTCAAGTTGCCTCTGCTTCTTCTTTTTAATTAGACATATGCATATATATATATATATATAAATCTAGCATACATATACATATATGTATATAATATATCATTCGTAATGCTTTAGTTTACTTGATTTTTTGTTTTTGTTTTTGTTTTGTTTTAACATACATTTTAACATACAATACACAATTAATAAATTTGTTTAAATTTGCGCCCCGCGCTGCCCTATCCCGTCGGCGAAATAAACACATACATACATACATATATACAGATAACCATATACATATATACATATGTATTTATATAGATCATATGGAACTATAGATCGGGCGGCGTTTCGGCGCGCAAAACCCTATGCGTTTACATATATCACGGAAACACAACAAAGCCATTAATACAAAATATAATATGCATATATATGTATATGTATAATGTATAAATGTACATATACACATACATACACATATACATATATATATATATATAGAGTTATACATATACATATATAAAAAATAAATATACCCTACTTAACTAATTGGTTTATACTTTTTGCAATGCCAAATACTTTACAGACACACACATTCAAATATACATATAAATGGTATAAATATATATATATATATATATATATAATATATATATATATATATGTAATTGCATATATATATATATATTGTTTGGAGTAAATATGCATTTTCATACTGTTGCGTTTACAAAATTTGACGACAATTTGTCGCGACTTGCTGCCTGGCTTTCAATTACATATAATTCATGATTTTTTTGTTTTGTTTTGTTTTTGTATTCTTTAAGATCTTTAAATCGATCGATGGGTTCTTTCCATGCATCCTATATGGGGCCTACTGTTTTGGCTGCTGGCCTCCTATTGCTGGCTCTTTCGTTTTGGTGTCGTCTCGCTTCGATCTGTTAGCCTAGCCTAAACCATAACGAATGCGTCTTTGCCACAGAATAGATAAGGGAATTGATCGATCATCGTTTGGACAATATCCTCCAAATATGGGCGCAGCTGCTCAAAGTGTCCCATATCCGTAAAATCAATGGGTATCAATGTGGGCCACCAGCAGATGGCCAGATTTTTGCTATCCATGCTGTTCAACTTCGAGTTGTCCGAGACGCTAGAACATGTCGAAAAACAGGTGAAGGGGTGAATGCGTGTTTTAAGGCAATCAATGGGCGGGGTCAGACTTACTGCACAAAGTGCTGGAATATATATTTGAGTATGGCAAAATTGATGGGTGGTAATTTCTGTAGCAATGATTTTAAAGCTATTAAACGGCAGCTGCGATCGGTTTTCACCTCCACGTTCAGTTTGGATGAGCCGACGCCGCGGGAGCCTACGAGAAGCAGAAATGAACATGAGCGTTAAGCCGAGCATATATATATATATATATATATATATGTGTGTGTGCGTGTGTGTGGGCAACAGGCAACTAACCGGCAATCTCCTCCAGTTCCTTGATAATATCCTTGCTAAAGAGCGGCGGCAAGCGTTTAGAGAAGAAGTCCTTCAGCGCGGTAGCCACCGCATTCACCGGAATGTCCAGCACGTCAATAACTGTATTGGTATCTATAAGGACAATTGAAAGACGAATTAATATACATACATTTATTTAAATAAGCCGAGGCTTGGCATTTTCGGCATTACCCTCCTCGAAGCGCTGAAAGAGCATATCGACATGCGCTCTGCTGCCGGGCACACGGTAGATGCCCTCCGAATCGAGACCCTCCTTCTCGATGAACTCAACGCATTTGATTAGAAAGATGGGTATCTCATCCTTGTCGGAGGTGATCATTAGCTTGCCAAATTGCGCCTCTGTTGTTTCGGTCAGGCCTTTGGCGTTCTGTTTGAGCTTGCGCTTGAGCTTCTTCTCCTGCTCCTTCTCCTTCTCCTGCAGTTTGCGCAATCGTGCCGTCTCCTCTTTGATGCGACGCTTCTCCAGTTTCTCAAAGTCCTTCATGCATTTGGCATTCATATTGTATTCGGGCAAATTCTCAGCACCAAATATGCCCGCCGCCGTCAGTTCCGGCACCATTGAGTACTATGGGAATGATCATATGCATATATGTTAGATTTATATTTATGTAGATCGTTTTTAGACCAACCTCTGGCGATTTGTCGCTCTTCATAAACTCGGGCACGACGCCAGCCTCGGCTTTTTCTAGAGTCAAAGAGAGTCAGAGTCAAAATCAGATTCCAAGCAAAATATGCTTGTTAACATATGTTAAGGCGATATGTTAATGTTAATGTTATGTTAACATAAGGAAAGCATGCCATGTGTTACACAGGCTAACAAAAAAGTGCCTAAAGTAGACAATATGTGCACATAAATGTTTAAATAACTTTGTTAATAACATGAAATGCTTCCATTACGTTTGAATCAGATTTAAATTTGTTTTACAATGTTTACACACAATTAACAGCTGCTTTACATGTGTGAAAGCTGTTAGTAACAGACTGTGTTAAAGCTATTAAATGTTACATGCCAGCCAAACGAAAGTTAATTGGAATTAAATTCTTTTCGAGAACAAAAGCGAACGGAAAATTAAGACACGACACATACTTTTCTCACCTGCAGCTGCAACGGCGGCCATGCGCTGATAGTGCAACGGAATCTCTGGGGGACTCACGTAGGCGCCAAATGGCGGTACACGTGGCGTCTGCACCGGTATGGCGACCTTCTTCTTTTTGTTCTTCTTGGTGGTTGCCGCCTTCTTGTTGGCCTTATAATACGCATTCTGTTGGCGCACGCGACGCTCCGTGGAACTAGCGCAGCTATCCGACTCGGTGCAGTCTGTGAAAAGGATGAGCAAAAGGAAAAGGGGCATTTTTATTTAACTATAAACCGAACCATAAACCGAATCAGCAGCTAAAAAAAAAACAGCCGTACCAAAAACTGAACCAAACCATTTTGACAGACAACATTGTAACATGAATGAATTAAATATTTCAAATAAAGATGGTAATAAAATGGGAGAAAGTTAAATGAACCAAATTTCGAACCGAACCGAAACGAAGGCTCAGACAGCCGAACCAAAACCTGAACCAAACCATATTTACAGACAACATTTACACATAATTGAAACATGGATAAATTCAAATAAAATGGCAGAAAATCAAATGAACCAAGTTTCGAACCGAACCGAACCGAAACCTGAACCAAACCATATTAACAGACAACATTTATATATAATTGAAACATGGATAAATTAAATATTTCAAATAAAGATGGTAATAAAATGGCAGAAAATTAAATGAACCATGTTTCGAACCGAACCGAAACGAAGGCTCAGACAGCCGAACCAAAACCTGAACCAAACCATATTTACAGACAACATTTACATATAATTGAAACATGGATAAATTCAAATAAAATGGCAGAAAATTAAATGAACCGAGTTTCGAACCAAACCGAACCGAAACCTGATCCAAAACATATCTACGGACAACATTTATATATAATTGAAACATGGATAGATTAAATATTTCGAATAAAGATGGTAATAAAATGGGATAAAATTAAATGAACCACGTTTCGAACCGAACCGAAACGAAGGCTCAGACAGCCGAACTGAAACCTGAACCAAACCATATTTACAGACAACATTTATATATAATTGAAACATGGATTAATGAAATATTTCAAATAAAGATGGTAATAAAATGGGAGAAAATGAAATGAACCAAATTTCGAACCAGTTAGCCGAACCGAAACGAACCAAAACCTGAACCAAACCATATTTACAGACAACATTTACACATAATTGAAACATGAATAAATCAAATATTTGAAATAAAGATGGTAATAAAAAGGGAGAAAATGAAATGAACCAAGTTTCGAACCGAAACGAAGGTTCGCATACTGAACCGAACCAGCGACAATTTTTGTACCTATTTGACCTATTACCTAAAGTGAACCCGTGCAGATCTCTGCTCGGGAATCTTTTGATTTAAATGGTATGGTATGATGTAATGTTAACCAGACGTTGAGAACGCACCTTCGTTTTCATAGATTTGCTCGTACTCGGCCAGCTCCTCGGAGTCCTCGTCCTCGCCATCGAGCTGGGCATGATCATAGCGTTTGGGATCCTTCTCACAGCCGGGCTCACAGCCAGCCATATAGGAGTCAGCCATGCTGCCGCTGCTGGTGAAGTTCATCTTGGCGACCGCATCGCTGACCAGCTGAAAGTTCTTCATATTCAGCTTGCCCGGTTGCTGTGTGGGTAGCGTGAAAGTTGAGGAGCTCATGGCACAGTTGCGACTGGGCGCTTCACCCACCTTCAGCGTTTGGCTCGGACCCTTCGGCCGTATCTTATTCAAATTGGAATCAATATGCCTCCGGCCGGTTGTATACGCATGCGTCGAACCGCTGAAATTATTCCAAATCGAGTTCTTGTTCGTGTTGCGACGCGCATCGCTCTTATCCTCCAGCCATTCTGCAAATTAGGTAGGAATTTGTAAAAATTATATGATTTCCAGCAAAACAAAAACAAAAAACAACAACAACGACAACAACAAAATCAAATCAAGTCAAAACGCAAACAAACAATAAAACAATCAAAATTCAAAAGAGAGGATCTCTTAGCTAGGCTAAAAAGCGAGCAGTGCGGAATTGGAGCACAGGACAAAGAACTTTTCTTTTATGCTCGTATCTAGATGGGTTTTCTTCTAAAACTAGGGACTGGGTGTGCGGCGTGTCTGGTGGGGAGCGGAGGGAAGAGGGGAAGGTGTGTTAGAGAGGGCTTCGCTAAAGATCGTGCCGGGGTGTGTTCAGGCAGGGGGTGGGGGGAGTGGTGCGGGGGGGATTAGAGCGACTAAGTTACGAGTGGAAAAAAAAACAGAAAGTTAACCTGCATCATGGGTGGCCAATGAATCCTTTGACCCGCTGACATCCGCTGCTTATGAAATGCATGAGTGGAACAAAGAAAAGGCAAAAGGACGAAAGAAATCGTGTATGGAAAAAATACAACAACAACAAGAACAAGAACAAAAATATAATACGCATTAAAAAATGGCAACTTTTTTTTGTTGAGCAAGTTTTTTATATATATATCATATTTTTCAGCTAAGTTAGTCAGAAGAAAAAAAAAAAGAAAAAAACTATACAAAAATAAAAGAGAATAAAGAAATGCTATTTACAATCGAGGCAAAAAAAAAGAAAAATGTAGTTGTTATTTATATAGTATATATATATTATGTACATATCGCAACTGAATATAAAGAAAATAAAGGAACGCAGAGCTAACAACGGCAAGCCGAAGCTCAAATACCCTTGCAGACATTGTGGCTTAAAGGAGAGCACAACTCTCTCTCTTGTGGGGAAATTATGCCTAAAGGATATAAGATAATGTGAAGCTTATAAAAGTCAAGTTTAAGATATAAACTTTTGGATATTGATTTGAAACTTGATTCGTCAAAGTTTTTACTTTCGGCTGTTTTGCATTAGATATAGAGAGGATTAATCGGGCCGACTTCTATATGACGACGATATGCCCGCATTTGCCCATGGTAAATAGACGGATCTAAGCCAATTTGACAAGACAGATAAATATGGCTATAATGACTCGATTTTGAACGAGAATATATATATATATATGCTTTATATTTTAGACTACTTGGCCACTGCAAGGGGTATAAAATCGGGCTGATGATGAATGAAATTCAGGTTTGAGGTCAGTAGGATTTACATATATATATATGTATAGGTATATAGAAAATATAGATGAAGTATTTGTACAAATTGGGCATATGAATCGGATGGAGGAGGAGGGGGGGGGGGGGATTGGGGGGGCTGGGCTGGACAATCATGAATGAGCAACAATATTTACAGTTTACGTTTTGGCTGTAAAACGAAGACCAAAACGAGTAGAAGCACAAATAAAACTAACAAAAGGAACAAAATGAAAGTTACTAACAAAAAAAAAACGAATAGATGAAAATAAAATTGTTATGCATATACGATTTCATACGATATAAACGAGTATATAAGAAAATATTCAATTAGTTAGATTACATGTTATTTCTTCCAAACTTGATTCTGAAGCCGAAACGAATTGACTCTTATATGTGCATGTAATGAGCTGATGATCTGGAGGGGCTGGCTCTGGAGGAGTTGTTGGAGGAGGGAATATCTGGAATCCTGTTTTCATTTTTTTTCGTTTTTTTTCGTTTTTTTTTTCGTTTTTTTTCGTTTTTTTCGTTTATTTTATTTTAAATATATATATGTATATATATATTAATTTGTTTTTTGTTTTAGTATATATAATATAATTATTGGTATGCAATAGGCAATGACAACAACGAATACACACACACACAGAGATAAATCGATAAAAAAAAAAAAAAAAAAAAAACAATTGTTATGATTAATCATTAATAATATGTGTTATCATTATATTGGGTATTACAAAGAGTATTATATGGTTTTTACTTAATATTTGTGGGCTTTGGTTAGATTTTGGTTCTGGTTTTTGTTTGGTTTTTTTTTTTTTTTTTTGGTTGTTGTCGGTTGGGTTCGGTTTTCATTACAAGCAAATGAACATGAATTTCAATCCAATCAATGCTCTGCAGCATGACCAGCTAAATACCCTGTAAACACTCGATTGTGGCGGTCGGTTTAAATTCGTTTCTTATTAGCTTTCTTTAACATAGCGCAATTGTGGCAAACAACTTTTGCTACTGAGTGCCAAAACCAGTTGAGAATTACAAGCAATTGTTAGCTTGACTCGTGAATTCAATATATATAACTTTATTAAAGTTTCTAACTTTACTTTCAATGTGCACTAAATAATAACACTTTAGGTATATTTAAGTGTTATTACAGGGTATACAATAAACAACAGTAGTTAAAATGCACTGAGCAGCCTGCTTAAGTGAGACGAAAACATTTACAGGGTGTTTAAGTTTTACCCAAACCATAAAAGGTCTATAAACCAAACTATGATTCAAGGTACACCCTATGTTGTTTGTATAAAATAGAGAAAGCATCACTGCCGGTTAAGTGTTGTTGATTACAGGGTATATCAGCTTGCATGGAGCCTGAGCAATGTTCATATACAAGGTAAACGTGTTACATATTATATATAGGTTTATATACATATGCTAACTGATTCGATTGGGTAGCGTAATTAATGGTATAGTTTTTTTTTTGGCATGATTGATATGGGTATTTGGTCTTTTGTGGTATTTAAAGGGTGTCAGTTGATTGTTTTTATTGTTTTTTATTGGTGGCATATTTTAGGGCCAGAAGTAAACTTACTTTGATGCAGGTGTTTGGGTTTTTCGTTGTTGTCATCATAGATTTCATCTAGTGATATATCTCTTTCTTCTGTAAGTGCAAAATGCAAATGAGTATCGAATTTGTTGTGTGTATATATATATAATATATTGTGTGCAAGGGTGCGTTTTCACCAACCATTTAATGAGTTGAGAGATCGTGTAGGAAGCATTTCGTAATTCTCACTGCCGGAGCCATCGGTGCCCAGCGTATTGGATAGCATATAGCTTTCGTGCCGCGGCGGCGGACGTGGCATTTGATTAACCGAATTCTCAAGCGTACCCTCGCCCGAATCTAAAGTAATTGACTCCTCCACATGCAGATTCTCCACCTCGTATTTGTTATCCCAGGCGGTCTTCAGGAATGGATTATAAAAGGCAACTGTAAGGCAAATTTGATTTGATTAAATTTCGGCTAAGATTTGAATGCTATATGCACATACACTTGACATATTGATCCGCTGAAGAAGGTCATGAAGCTGCCCTTGTAGCGATCGGCCAATGCATTGCCCTCGGTGATGAGAAACTGGCAGATTTCATTGTTGAAAAATGCATTAACACCGCCGCTCTCCGTCACAGCGACCAACTGCAATGGAATGTTGGCATTCTGGGCGGCCAAAATGCTGCGGGCAAGACAAATCCAAATATTAAATATATATATGCATAAATATGGATTAAATGTGGGCTACACCTACTTGAGATTGGCCAGCGAGGAGCGTCGTTTGGCCGAATAGATGTATATATAGCCATGTATTAGCTCATCCCGATACTGATTGGTGCCATGGTACGAGGACAATATGAATTCCACACGCCGCTTGGCATCCCCAATGAATACATCGACAATTATGCAATGCTCATTGGCCTTGACCAGCGTCGACTCGGCGAGCAGGGGCTGAACAATGTTCTCAATATCATATTGATCGCCGCAATAGATGCAGACAAGTATGCGAAGATCTGTATGATTGGACGATGGATACGGCTCGTAGCTTTTCATTTCGCTTAGCTTCAGTGAGAGTATGACTATATTGAGTATATCGTAGACATATTTCTGATGATTCTGCGTATGATCGATGAAATCGCAATGCAACATCTCGGATAGACGCATGCCCTCGCTGCGCAGATACTCGACTTCGTTCTCCTTCAGATCCTGCGGCTGATAGACCAGCACAATGGGCAAGTTCTCAAATTTGTCCTCCAGCTCCAGATTGCATAGCAGCGTGCGCTCCAAATTGTCCTTGAGCGTCTCAAACGATTGCTGATTGGAGTAGACGCAAATAAGACCTGAAAACAAAGAGATATCAGTATTATATATAGATGTGCAATTATGTTATATAGATTCCAATCGACTTACCGCTCGAGTAAACGTCGATGGCCTTGAATGCCTCCATGTCGCCATTGGCAATGCGATAATTGAGATAATATGTTTGCTTCTCATAGATATACTCGCCCTTGCTGCCCGTACAGATGCGTATGTCGTTGAGCAGATCGCTGGCCAAATGCTCGGAGCCCACAATCAACAGATTCAATGTGCGTTCGCTGCCATTGCCGGTGGTCTTCCAGCCGCCAACATTACCGCCGCCGCCCAACGTCTTATGATTGGCGGCCGACTTGTCGGAGAGCACCTCCTCAATCAGATTGTCCACACAGTTGTTGAAGAACGGGCAATGATCACGTATGGGACAGTGTATGAAGCGTAAATGCTGCACCAGCATGACGCGTCGCTCCTGATCGAGGCGATCGAGCATCTTGTAGCGCGAATCCTCCTGTATGACATCCGTGATCTGTCTGACATCCTCCTGTGTGATAATGTCCACGTTCTTGAACTGAAGAAAATATTGCGCATGCTCCAGCAGCAGCTCAACGAAGTTCTGTTTGCTCTTCTCAATGATCTCGTCCTGGTGTATATCATAGATTTGCTGGCAATCGTGCTCGGACAGCGCCTCAAAGCACTCCCTGCCCATGAACAGGACACGCACCTCCGACAACTGTTTGCCGGGCGTCACAAAACCAGATTCCTCCAGCAGCATCTTGAACTGCTGCTTCCAGCTGCAAAGCGTGAGTAAAAAGAACATCAGTGATCAGTTTAATATATAAATGTACATTTATATGTATATCCCATTATTACATATCAATCACTAGCTAGAAATTCAAATGGGGAAACCCAAAGAGAGGACTTTAATCTTGCTAGCTTTGCCAATTTTCAATTCTCAACAAGTTAAGGCCAGGAATCATTTTCACTTCTAGAGTTTATAGCAAATAGATATACGGACAAACTGCTCACTTTTTGTTGAATATAACTTATGATTTGTTGGTTTTTCTATATAGATAATAACCGAAAATGAGTCGGGCAAGCCTTATAGCAGATATATAGGCCAGAGATGGGTTTAAGGAGAAATGACAAATAGATATATACTGGAAAAAGTTTTGGATAGTAGTTGGATAGTCTATCAGTTACTTTAACTAACTGTTATAGTTGGATAACATTTATTAAATCGGTAGATAGAGGAAGCTTATCTAGATGCCGATAAACAATATATGAAGTTCAAATACATGCATATAATATCTGTAGAAGAGATAGATTCAATAAAACTTCCTAGATAGCAAGAAAGTATTCAAAAAAGATTGAATATGAATAACTCTCTACCTAGTATAAGTACTAAATCGATAACAACTGAAGAATCGATAATACACTATATAATCGATGTATAGAAAATAATGAAAGGAGCTAGAAGATCGATAATGTAATAAATTATAATCGCTATATAGACAAATATTAAGAGAGCTAGATAGAAAATGATCTTTGAATTAAAAACAGCTTCACAATCTATTTGATTTTCAACTTTTCTGGTTATTGCAATCGCAATAGTTTCTATAACCAAAAAAAAATATTAATCGATCAATCCTTAACCAATGTCGATTGATTAAACTTACCCGATTTTCTTTTTGTCCTGCTGCACCGAATTCAAGTAATTGCGAAATACGGTCTCCGCCTCATTGGTCTCGAGCACATCGAAGGGTATGCGCGCCTCATCCTCGGCCTCGTCCATATCGAGCAGCTCCGTCCAGGTGGCCTGTGGGCACTCAAAGAAATACTGCTCGAACTCAATGTGATTCTGTAGATAATTGCGGGCGCATTCCCACGCGTCGTCGTCGCTTATGTTGAGGGCACTGATGTCCGGCAACAGATACTCGAGGGCAAGGGCGAATTTATCTAAATACTGATGCAGCTTCTTGTTGAGATGATCGTCGCGCAGCTTCTTCATGTGGCGACGGAATAGCTTCTGGCCGGCCTCGTGTCCGAATATGTTGAGGAACTCGTTCCATTCGCGGAACTGCGATAGCATCTTGGAGCCCTGCGACCACAATATGTGATAGTCTGTGATTTGGTTGCGTATCAGCCGCGTCACGGCCTCGGAACGTATATCGAGCAGTTCCTTGCGCGACTTGGCCGATTCCTGATACGAAATGATCTTCACGCGATTCTTCACCTTGTCAATCATCTGGGCAAGCATCAGAAAGGCCAAATCAATATTGATGCTCTCGTGTGCCGATGTCTCGATCAGCTGCACGGTGCTCTTGTAGTCCTTGCGCTGGCTAATCTTTTCCGCCTCGCGCACATACAGCTCGTAGGCATCGTCGTTCTTGGTGGTCACCAGCACCAGCGGCTTCTTGTTTTTCAATATATTTGCAATGGCATTCTGGACAAACTCCACCTGCTTCTCGACGCTACGATTTGGCACTGGACTCACATCGAAGACAACCACAAAGCCATCGATGCTCAGCCGGCCATCCGGCATGACCTTCTGTTCGTACTCCTTCTCGATGCCCAACTGATTCTTGCATATGTACATGAGTTTCTCCGCAGAGAAGACTTTGGTGGCGGTGCAGCGTTTCAGATATGGATCCATTTTGCCCACTTTGAAGGCTTGGAATGTGGAATCATCCATGAATTCCGTTTGCTCGATAATATTGAAATTATATTCAACACCCTCGTCCGTTGTCTTGCGCACCTCGCCCCAGTACAGAAAGTGATCATTGTTCACAATCCGACCGCTAAAATCGCTCTGACTGAGCACTGATATGTGATCTATAAAATAATCATCGGCCATCGGCCGCATAAATCTGTTGCATAGGCATGATTTGCCGACGCCAACCTGGCCGCGATCCTTTTCGGTCCCGGATAGTCCAATGACCGAAATGTTGAATTGACGCATCTTGTTGTACCTGCATAAAGAAAGGGTATACAATAAATAAGGTGTCACAATAAAGGTGGAAATGCCGAGTAGAAGTTCATCTTTAACAGGCATTATAATTCCAGAATTCATTCAAGGATTCTTTTGAAGATTAACTATATGAATAAATATGTGGAAAACATTTGAAGGGATTTTAGTTAGACAATTTTATATTAAAAATGTGTAAAAATAGATAGTAAAAAAAAAACCAAATGTATCATAGTTAAGAGCTTTAGGCTAAACTTTTTCTATAATACTCAAAATTCTTATCCATATCCTAGCTTCCGGACGTTTAATCGGCAAGTTCCTGTCGAGCGTCTGAGCTATTCATACCCAATAGACGGAAGTCCTATCTCACAAATATTCGATATCCTTGGGTTATAAAAAACGTCTGCTCTTAGTTATTCAATTCTATAGTCAAATTCCCAAATCTAACACATATTACACTCAAGGACCTAAAGACCAATTTCGGTTGATGCTGTATGCAGAGTGTGAGCGGAACAAAGTCGCATGTATTCCCTTTTACTGGTTACAGGGTATAAAAGGAAACAAAAAATAAAATAAAACAACAACAACAGCAAGAAGAAGAAGAAGAAGAAGAGCTCCGCAGTTGTGACTTTGGCCGCACTGGGATACATCCACGACTGGACATCTCGCGTACGCAGAGAGCCTGCGCCTAGCGTACACACACAGCCGGCGCAGTCAAATGCAAATTACCACCTGCCACCCCCGCCCCCGCTGCTCCAACACTAGCAAAAAAAAAACCCACTTATAACATTTACACAAATTTCAAATGTAATTTTGCAATTATTATTTGTTTTGTACACACACACACACACACACACGCACGCACGCGCGCACCTTTAATTTAACAACATTATATTGTTTAAATATGTTGTTTTTTGGTTATTATTTTTTTGTTTCTTGCAAAGTGTCTGCAAAAACTGAAAATCCTTTTGTGCCTGCTGCTGCGCTGCTGCTGCGACAAACGCAACTAAGCTAGAAACAGAGAGCACAACTGACCAGAGCGTTTCAATGAGCGAGCGAGATAGTGCTGGCGTACGAGAGTGTGTGAGAGAACAGGCGCGCGCGATGTTGGGAGAGCGAAAGCAGAGACGGCAGCAAAAATCGTGAGAGCGAGTCACTATTCAGTTATGTGAAATGTGGGTGGCGTTTTGTTGTTGTTGTTGTTGTGGTCCTCGTTTGCCCTGTGCATTTTTGTCGTCTGTTATCCTGCTCTTTTGGCTGCCTCCGCTAACACATTTTGCAGAAGCGAGTGCTCTCCGGGTTCTGTGAATGAACACACAAATTCTACAAGCGATTGCAATCGCTTGCGTATGCGTGTGTGTGTGTGTGTGTATATATGTGGGTGTGTACTTCAATAAAAAGCCACAACACTCAACCTTTAATTGAGTTTTTCCGGCTATACAAGAATTACACAAATATGCGACACAGTTGCTGTTGTTCTGCGGCTGCTGTAAGTCGCGTTCCAGCTACAGCGTTGCCACCTTTTGCGCGATTCATCTGCAAAAGGCCTGGTAAATGCAACTGCAAGTGCAGCACGCAGAATCAAAATGTTTCACGCTGAGTTGTGTAAACGTTCCCAGCAACAGATTTCCTGTACAATGTGTGTACATTCCTTCCCGGGCTGCACAACAGCAATAACAAAAGAAACAACTATGATTAGAGATGGAAGCCGTCGAGTTTCTCTTACAAAAACCACAATATGAAAACACGCAGGATCAAAAATTTGACCAATACTACACGATATGAGATTCATGACAATCCGCTTTTCAAGTTCAGCGTTGCGAATATTTAATATTTTTTTTTAATTTTTTATTTGGATTATTAATTAGTGTCTTTAGCTTTCCTAATAAATTTCGAATAAATAGCCTGTGTATATATATAGTTTAAATTTGATGATATTGTTTTCTTTGATTTCTGTGTTATGTATCGAAGTGCCCAACACGGACATGTACGAACACGTCTAATTTAAAATTTTAGACACGAGCATGTCATGCTGAGTCCTACGTGTCACGAGATCCAGCACGACAAGGGCCCCACTCTAACTTTTATAACAACAACAACGACGACGACCCTTGTTTAAGACTCTCTGCCTCTCTTTCTGTTTTGTTGTTGTTGTTGATTCTGTCTGAATAGTCTTGGGCAAAGAGCGTCGAGCAGCAGGGCGGTGACGGCGCTGTGCAGGGGGGGGCCCTGCATGTGCAGCGAATGTTTAATGGCTCCAATCGGCTGCCAATTTTCTGAACTTCATTGAGTTTTAGCCAAGTTGTAGGACACAAATCGGGGGAGTTAATGGAGGAGGGGGGACTGTGATTACCTGCAGTTGCGCACAAAGAAGCGGCCGAGTGGGTAGCAAAAGAAACGAGCAAACAACGCTCACAGACGCCAGTTGTCGATTCGGCGTTACCGATTCCCGATTCCGCTTTCGATTCCCGTTGTGTTCGTTTATCTTGACTTTGTTTCGTTCATGTGAATGTGGATGCTGCGAATGGCATCCAATAAAGTCTTCTTCTAATGCTCCTTTGGCAGCAACAGCATCCACCAACACATACACAGAGAGAAAGATGGAGAGAGTATGGGAGAGAGTTTCACAGATTTGGTCAGTTTTTTATGCACTGCAATTAGACACTTGAAAATGTGCAACAAATTGGAGTTGTACATTTATTTGCTTTAATTATTTTCCAACCAGCCACAGCCAACAGCAGCAGCATCAGCAGCAATTACACACACGTACACACACGCGCGCAAACCAAGAGAGCGAGCGTGTATACAAGACAATTACGAATCAGCATCGAAAAATACAACAAAAAAAAAATTGGAAGCGCAGAGAGAGAAAGAAAACTTCCGACGCAAGTGAAAAATGTCGAGGCGTTTACGGCAATTTATTTTTGAATTTCACTCACATGCTGTATTAAACGTTTGATTCAATTACTCACAATTATTGCACTTGCACAGCTCCAATGCGTTTATGAAACGTTATAAAAATTAAGAAAATAAAACTATTTTTATATATTCCTCATCCGAGCTTCAATCTGCAAAACAATCTGAGCTACAAATACAATCGATGGCAACTAAACGATACCATCGTTTGCCTTACTACATTTGCGCTGACCATCGATGACATTTCAGGTAAATAATCGATATCTAGAGTTGACACTGCGCAGCCTAACAGATAGGCTAAAAAGGCAGTTGTAAAGTTTTAGGTGCAAAATAGTTTTTAAAATGCAGAACATTCGTTAAATTCAAGCTGTTTTCTGTTTGTTTAAATGTTGTGTATTTAGAACAACAATTTGCAGCTTTCTATGGCCGCGCTGCGTACTAGTTGCTGCCCCCGCAAATATCGATAAGTCGATAATTGTGCTCAAATCTTTATTTGTTGCTCGCGCAATTTTTGTTTATTAATTATAAATACATTTAATAAAAAAAAAAATAGAATAACCTAAATAATGTAACGCTTAGATGTGTGTTTTAAAGAACGAAAAAATATATATGAAATACATTTTTTGCTTGCCGCTTCAATAAACGCGTATGCATAATAAGTTGTGTTTGCAATTGGCAGTTGGCAGTTGGCAGTGTTCCCGACGGCGCAGGCGACGCAGGCAACTGTGCATCGCTTCTAGCATTTGCGCTTGGGCGTGCGCCGCTTGACGCCGCAATTATCCACCTTCTTGTTGCCCTTGGCAATGGCCAGCAGCTTGACCAGCTTCTTGTGCGAGTCACCAACGATCCAGCCGTGCTTCTGATACTGCTCGCTATCATCAAAGTGCTTGGGCGGCGGCGCCATCAGCTGTTGTTGCTGCTGCTGCTGTTGCTGTTGCTGCTGTTGCGTCTCGTTGGGCGCCGCGCCTGCGTCTGCTTGGGCTTGTGCTGCTGCCGCTGCCGCCGCCGCTGCCTCGGCCGCCGCTGCTGCCTCCACATTGATGCGCCCAAATTCATCATCGCTGGAGCTGCTCCAATAATAAAGCTGCTTCTCGCTGGCCGGACGCTTCCTGCGCGCCGGCGACTGGCGATGAGTTTGCGATTTACGTTTCGTTTTTAAGTTTTTGTTGCTGCTGCTGCTGTTGTTATTGTTGTTATTGTTGTTGTTGTTTGTTGCTGCTGCTGCTGCTGCTGCTGTGGCGGATCTATTGTTGCTGCTGCTGCTGCGCGGCTTCTGCTTGGCACTGCCGGCTGCCTTCTCCTGTTGCTGCTGCTGCTGCTGTGGCTGTGGCTCCTGGCAGTGATTCATGTCCGGCGCCTCCACTTCGACTGGCTGCGCCAGCGTCCGCTGCTGCCGACTGCTGCGTGTACGCTGCTGCTGCTGCGCCGGCGTCGTCGTCGTCGGCTGCTTCGCTGCCTGCGGCTTGCCACGCTTTCTACTGCCCGCCGCTGGCGTCTTCGCCGGCTTCTGCGCTTTGGCTGCGGGCTTGCCACGCGTTGCCTTCGCCTTAGCCGGCGTGCTCGGCTCTGCGGCGCTGCGCTGCCTGGCGCGTTTTGCCTGCGGCGGCGCTGCCGACGTCGATTGCTCCACTGGCTGCAGCTGCTCGGCTTTGCGTCCCTTGCGGCTTTTGGCATTTGCCACGGTCTGTGTGGACTTTTCCCTATCCGCACGCTTGTTGCCCGCCGGCGTCTCTTGCTGTGCGGCCGCCGCTTCGCTCGTCTTCCGCTTGCGTCGCTGCTCCTGCTGCTCCTTTTGCTCAATTAAGGCTATGATATCCTTGGTGGAGAGAAACTCTTCGTACTCATCGGAACTCCATGTCTCCACCAGCTTTTTGGGCCGATTTGTTGCGCAGCGTCGCTTCGATTTGCGCTGGCCCTCATCGATAAGCTGCTCCAGATCCTCGGTGCTCATGCCCAGCTCCGTTTGCAGCTTGGACAGATCCTTGCGCGGCTGGCGCGCTGCAGCTTTCGTTGTGGCCGCCTTGCGGCCAGTTGCCTTGCCGCTCTTCTTCGCCGTTGGCGGCGCTGCGGGCGCTGGCATCGCAGCTGGCGGCGGCACGGCCACGGGCTCCAGCTGTTGCTGTTGCTGCTGCTGCAGTGCAGCAGGCTGCCAATCAAGCGGCGCTGCAGCGGGCGGCACCTCATTGAGCGGCGTCTGCTGCTGCTGCTGTTGCTGTTGGGGCTTGGCGGCGCCGCGCAGCTCATCGAACAGCTGATCGAGCTGTGCCTTGTCCTTGGGCGCACTCTTCACGGGCAGCTTGGGCGGCGTTGTGCCCACCTTGGCGCTGCTCGCATGCTTAAAGATGCGGCCCATGATGAGCGATTTGTTCTCAAAGGTTTTGGCCGTGACGCGACTCGAGCTGCTGCTGCTGCTCTGCTGCGTGCTGGACGCGGCGGAGGAGCTCGAACTGCTCGACGCGCTTGAGCTGGCCGCGGAGCAGGCTACAATGCCAATCGACGGCTTGAGCTGTTGCTGTTGCGGCGGCTGCGGCGGCTGCTGCTGCGGCGGCTGCTGCTGCTGCTGCTGCGGCGGCGTCGTTAGCTTTACACTATCACCATCAGCATCCGCATCGGCATCGGCATCCACATCCTCGCAGCTGAGCGTACCAAAGTCGTAATCGTCGCGATCCGAATAGCTGGCCGTGGACACGCTATTGTTGTCCTCGGTTAGCAGATTGACGCTCGTCTTGGGCTTCTGGAAGGTAATTGGCGCCTTCTCCTCGAGTCCAATATTCTTGAACGGACGCTCCGGTATGATGATGCGACCCGAGACGGGCGGCAACGTGGCGCTGCTTGCAGCAGCCGTTGCGACCGTTGCGACCGTTGCGACCGTCGCGACCGTTGCCTTGATTATGGACGAGGCGTGCATAATTGTCTTCGACGATGTGGAGCTCTGTTCGGCAACAGTTGCTGCTGCGGCGCCTGCTGCTGCTGCTGCTGGTGCGCCCGGCTGCAATTGTTGCTGCTGCTGGTGCGGCGGCTGCTGCTGCTGCTGCTGCTGTTGCTGCAACTGTTGCTGCTCGGCCGTGGCCGCCAGCAGATGCTCCGTGGAGGTGGGCAGGGTCTGAGCCGGCATATAGTCGACGCCCGGCGGCTTCTCGCTGCCCAAAGCAATGTCCGCCAATTCGGTGAGCTTGCAAACGGCACGGGCCGTCTTCGCCAGATTCATGTCCAGCTGGAGATTCGTCACATTCGTCTCGTAGCCCTTCATGGCGGCCTTTGTCTTGAAGCGCGACGTTGTCATGTTTGTCGCTGTCATCGCCGAGAATTGCGATATGGCCGAGTAGCTGGGCGAAAGACGATGATGATGATGGTGATGATGATGCTGCTGCTGCTGCTGCTGGTGATGATGATGATGCGGATGCGGATGCTGGTTATGCTGATAATGCTGATTATGATGATGATGATGGTGATGATTGCTGGAAGGGCACAGAGCAAAGAGATATGATATATTAGGAAAAACTAAGTTGAGGGGAAATTCTTCATAGTTCCTGGAGCAAACTCTTAATCTCCTGCTGGAGAATTGGACTTGTTATACCCTTACAGAGGGTATTATAATTTTGTCATGAGTTGTGTTACGCATGGAAGAAGACATCTCCGAAGCCATAAGGTATATATATTCTAGATAAGCAACTGCCGAGCTTATACAGCCACGTCCGTCTGCCCATCTGTCCCTGTCTCTACGTCTGTCTGCTTCCTTAAACTAATCTCTCAGCTCCATCTTTCTGTTGCAGGCAGTACATAAATTGGAATGGGCTGGATCGGGCCATTATATCATATAGCTGCCTGTATAGAAAACTTGTCTGTTTATCAAGATATCTTAAACAAATCCGGAATATCTGCAAAGGGAACATTTCTGTAAGAGTATTCAATCTTCGGCATGCCGAAGTTATCCTCACTTTCTTGCCTTCTTTTTTAATTTTTTTATTTTCCCATCCCTTATCCAACAGCTAACTAGCTTTGGCTGGGAATCAAATGTAGCCTAATCTTTTTGCTCCTCCATGTTCACTTGCTTTCAATTCTTGCATAAAATATGGTCTAAGATTTAAACTTTTCCTGGATATACATTCAACCTTGCTAGTCCTTCATGTTGACTGCCTTTCTCTTCTCTCCGTTCCCTTTTTTCCATTCTGTCAATGCTTCAATTTTAGAGATTAGCTTTTACTAAGAATTGGCTATGATGTTTCACTTACGTGGGCGTTGGTGTGGGCGTGGCCGCGGGCGGATTACGAAACAGCTGCTGGATGACAGGTTGATGGGAAACAGCCGGAGCCGAAGCCGGAGCCGGAGATGTCGCTGGAGCTGGCGTTAAAGCTGTTGCTGTTGCTGGCGCGGGGGGCGCTGGAACAGTTGCAGCTACGGCAATTGTTGGCGTTGGCGTTGGCGATGGCGATGGGGACGGTGATGGCGATGGGGATGCTGGCGGCGGCAGTGACTCGGCAGCTGGCTCAACAGTTGGCGGCGGCTCGAGGGGCTTGCGCCCGGCGCTGACAATCACAGATGTATTCATTGTGGCCGTCGGTGGTCCGCTGGGCAGACGCGGCGTTTCGGCGCTCTTGAGGATGTTGCAGCATTCGTAAAAGAGACGCTCGTCAGGATTGAGATTAAGGCGGGCGGCGCTGTGGGCGGGACTCGAGTGCTGCTGCTGTTGCTGCTGCTGTTGGTTGTCATGGAGTCGCAGGCTCTCCTCGGTGATGACATGATGACTAGGCGGCAGCTGCTGTGCAGGCGATGGAGCAGCAGTAACAGCAACAGCAGCTGCTGCTGCTGGCATGGCCTGCACCTGGACCTGCAACGGCGGCATAAGCACCGAGGCGCGCACCTGTTGAGGCGGCGGCGGCGGCGTCGTCGTCGTCATCGTCATCGTCGTCGTCGTCGCCGTCGCCTCCACCAGCGGCAACTGTTGCTGCTCCATTGGCGGCGGACTGGGCGGCGCATTGCTCTTGGACTGCAAGTACTCCAGCTCGGAGAGCTTCGATACGTGGGCCAGCGTCATGTTGTGCTTGGACAGTGATGTGGACGTGAAGAAGCTCTTGCCGCACAGCTGGCAGGCATATTTGTCCGCATCCTCCAGTTGGCCGCCGTTGCGCGTGTTTCGCTTCTTGGGACGGCGCGTTAACAGAACGCTGCGACGTCTACGACGCCGGCGACGTCCGTTGCGGCCCAGATCCTGTGAGTAGCTGGTGTACACGCTCATCTCATCATCCATGTCCATGTCCATGATCTCTGTATTGGTATTCTCGTCGTCGGTGCCAAAGTTCGAGTGCTCATCATTGAGATTCGGTGCGCTGCGCACGCTCATCGATGTCGGCGGCCGATAGAATTTGTCCTGTTCGTCCTTTTCCTGGTCGAACTCATCGTTGGCAAACTCAAAGTCCTCATTCGTGGCCGACATGATTTTCTCATTCACATTTTTAGCTATTTCCGTTAAATAGTTGTCCTCCTCCTCCAGATTGTCGCCGTGTTGCTGCTGCTGCTGTTGTTGCTGTTGTTTCTGATGTTGCTGTTGTTGTTGTTGTTGCTGTTGCTGTTGTTGTTGCTGCTGCTGATGATGTTGCTGCTGTGATTGCTGCTGCTGCTGCTGCATTTGTTCCGGCTCCTTGTGTATGTTTTTATTCAGCCGCGGATCGCGACTGTAGGTGGGCAGGGCAGCAACTGTTGCTGTTGCTGCTGCCGGCTGATGTTGTTGTTGTTGTTGCAGTTGCTGTTGCTGCTGCTGCTCTTGTTGTTGCTGCTGCTCTTGTTGTTGTTGCTGCTGCTGCTGCTGCTTTTGCTTCTGCTGCTCTTTGGCCGCCGTGCATAGTATGCTCGGCCGGAGTATGCAGCTGGCGGGGGGCGTGGCCTTGGCCGCCGCCTCCTTGGCCTGCAGCTGCTTCTCGATGCCAATGGAGAAGTTTTCCAGCGAGGATTTCAAAGCGCTTATGTTCGTCTCGGGGCCCAGCGGCGCCGCCTTGCCGCGACCGCGTCTATAGTAGCAGCTCTGGCGACGCTTGGGCCGACCACGGCCGGCGGCTGGCGCTGCGTCAGCGGCCTCAGCTTTGCTGCGCTTCGTGTCGCCAGCTGCAACAGTTGCCGGTTGGAGTGTGGCATTGCGCTTGGTGCTGGACATGAGCAGCATGCCCGTGAGCAGCAGATCCTCGCTCTTCTCGTACGCCAGATTCTCCAGCTTCTTGAGATTGTCGCGTCGCGCATTGTCGATCTTGAAGCTCTCCAGCAGCTGATCGGCCACAATGGCTGCCAGCTCGTTTTTACGTCGACGTCGCTGCTTCTTCTTGGCATCCTCTTTGGGCGGCGTGGGCGTAGGCGTCGGTGTGGGCATGGCAACTGGTTCGGGCGTGGGCGCAGGCTCAGGCTCAGGTGTTGGCTCCGGCTCGGGCTCAGGCTCGGGCTCCGCTTCAGCTGGCGGCGCTTGGGCCAGCTCAGATTGCGCCAAGCTGTGAAATCCGGAGGATGTGTTGTTGTTGTTGTTCATGTTGCTGCTGTGCTCCTCCAGCAGGGGCGTGGCGCTGCGTCGCGTCGAGGTCCCTGTTGTTGCTGTTGCAACTGTTGCAAATGTTGCTGCTGTGGCAAATGTTGCTGCTGTGGCAAATGTTGCTGCTGTGGCAAATGTTGCTGCTGTGGCAAATGTTGCTGGTGCTACAATTGTTGTTGTTGCTGCTGCTGCTGTTGGCGGCGCCACAGATATGACAGACACGGGCATGGCTGGCTTCAACGTGTGCGTGTCGGCAACTGTTGCTGCTGCTGCTGCCGGCAGCGGCAGTTGCTGCGGCAACGGCGACAACTGCCGCTCGGGTGATGCCTGCCTGGGGCAGATTGTTGGGGGCGTTGGCGTTGGCAGGGGCGTGACCGTAGCCATGGCCAGGGGCGTGACCGTAGCCATGGCCAGCGGCTCGACGTTGCCATTTTGCGGCATTTGGCTACACGCCAGCAATATGGGCGTTTCTGTGGCAGTGGGCGTGGCTTGTATTGTTGGCGGCAACGCAGCCAGCAAAAACTCCGAACGGCAATCGATAGTCTTGGAGCGCATATTGCGCTTCTTTGGCGTTAGATGCCTGGCGGGCACAGCAGCAACTGTTGCCGCCGGTGTAACGGGAGCTACAGTTGCAGCCACCGGCACAGGAGTGGACACGGGCGCGGGCACCGGCTCGGGCACGGGCGCTGCTGCAGCCACGCCAGATGCTGTGCTGAACAAAACACCGGGACTAGGCGCCAGCGGAAAATGTTGCTGCTGTTGCTGGAGATGCTGCTGCTGCTGTTGCTGGAGATGCTGCTGCTGCTGTTGCTGCTGTTGCTGGAACTGTTGCTGTTGCTGGAACTGTTGCTGTTGCTGGAACTGTTGCTGCTGCTGGAACTGTTGCTGCTGCTGCTTGTAGAAGAGTTGCTGTTGCTGCTGCTGCTGCTCGTCGTGCTCCTCCTGCGGCAGACTGGCCTGCACGGCCAATATAACCGAGTTGATGGCATCGTCGATATGATTGTTGATCACCTCGTCCATGCGCGTCACGCTGGGTTTCTCCTTTTTGTTGGCCAACTCCGCGGCGCGCTTCTTGGCGGGCGCCTTCACAGTCAGCGGCGTCTGCGCCACCAAGGCGGACATTGGCACCGGCACCGGCAGCGGCAGCACCGGATTCCGCACCTGCGGTATCTTGAGCAGATCCAGATTGGAGTAGTAATGCGCAGCAGCAGCAGCGGCTGCTGCTTCTGTGCCGCGCACGAGCGGCAGCGGCAGGCCCAAGCCCAGGGGCAATTGCTCCGGAATGGGCGCCGGAGCTGGCGATGGTTTGCGTTTGGTTTTATTGGACAGATCCAGTGGCTGCATCTCCTCCAGCTGCAGCAAATTGCGCGCCTCAAAGCCGCAGATCGTTTGACGACGCGCGGGCATTGCCGAGGCACGTTGTTGCTGTTGCTGTTGTTGTTGTTGCTGCTGCTGCAGCTGCTGCAGCTGCTGTTGCTGCTGTTGCTGCTGCTGCTGATGATGTGCTGGCGGCTTGACATGACTGAGATTTAGCGGCTGCTGCGGCTCCAACACATAGCTGGCCGGCACTGGCAGATACAATGGCATCTTGGGCAGCAGCATTGTTGCTGCTGCAGCTGCTGCTGCAGTGGGTGTTGCTGCGGTGAGAGTTGCTGCCGCTGCAGCTGTTGCTGCTGTTGGTGGTGGTGGTGGCGGTGGCGGCGGCGGCGGCGGCGGTGCTGGCAGCTTGACGGTCACGGGCACAGGCACGGGCAGGGGCAATGGCATCGGCATCGGCATCGGCAGTGGCAAAGGCAGCACCGCCAGCGGCAACTGTTGCTGCAGTGGCAATTGTGTTGGCACCATTTGCTTTGTTGCTGCCTTGGTAGGCGTGGCACGTCGCGGCAACGTTGCCAGCACGGCCGGCAGAACAACAGGCTTGACGGGCAGCGGCTGAGGAAGAGGCACAGGCACAGGCACAGCCACAGGCAGCGGCATCGGCAGCGACGGCGGCGGAACAGCTGCAACTGTTGCTGCTGCTGTTTTTGCTGTTGTTGCTGCAACTGTTGCCTTCACAGATGCAACTGTTGCCTTCACAGGCACAGCTGTTGCCTTCACAGGCGGGGCTGTTGGTGCTGTATTTGTTACTGTTACGGCAACTGTTGCTGCTGTTGCTGCTGCTGCTGCTGCTGCTGCTCCTCCTGCCTCCTCAGCGTGCGGCTTAATAATGCGCCTGGACATGGCCTTGCGTTTGGGCGTCTTCGGCTGCAGTTGATGCTGCTCAGCTGTTGTTGGCTCTGCTGCCGGCAGCAATGGTTGCTCCTTTTCCGCCGGCTGTTGTTCAGTCTTGAGCTTCTCCTCCAGCTTGCCCGTCAGCATGGCAATGCAGTCGCTGATGCGCTTGCTGCGCTTGACAGGCTGCTGTTGTTGTTGCTGTTGCTTGTTGCCAGCAACTGTTGCTGTTGCGGCTGCTGCTGTTATTGGTGGAGTTGTTGTTGTTGTTGCTGCTGCTGTTACGGCGAGCGTTGTTGCTGCCGGCGCTGGTGTTGTGGGCGGCGTTGGCATCAGCTGCTGCTTGCTGCTGTGCGTGGGCGAGGTAAAAGTTGTTGTTGTTGCTGCTGATGCGACAACAACAGCAACAGTCGATGTTGCTGCATTGGCGGTGACTATGCTGGCAGTATTTACGGCTTTTGTTGTGGTCGTTATTGGTGTGTTGCTGCTGCTGCTGCTGCTGCTGCTAATCTGGGCATCGCTGACGGGCAACAGCTTGGCCTGCTGCTGCTGCTTGCGACGATTGCGCTGCTGTTGCTGCTGTTGCTGTTGCTCGGCAGCAACAGTTGCTGCTGCTGTTGTTGATGATGGCTTGGCGCGCACGAGGCGCGAGCGTGTATTCCGCAGCGCGTGATGATGCAAATGATGATGATGATGGTGCAGATGATGATGATGATGGTTGTATAGCTTCTTGGCGCCGCGCGATTGCAGCTTCTTATTGGGTTTGCCCTGCTTCTTGGAGCGCTTCTTGTTGTCCATCGGGAAGATCTTTTTGCATACACGCTTCGCGGGCAAATTCTCCAGCATTTTGCGTATGGATTCAGCTGAGAGAGAGAAATGGAGAGAGAGAGAGAGAAATAAGTAAAATTAGTCTGAAGCCGTCAGAAGGAGCTGAATTTTTCCAGCCCCATTTTCCAGCCAGTGCGAGAGTTTTTCCCAAAAGTATTGAACACATCTTCCACAAATTTACACAAACATTTTTGAAATTAAAGTTTTTCGAATGAGAAAATTCGCGGAAAACTGCATGAAAAAGTTGCTGTTTCATGCAGTTTTCCGCGAATTTTCCAACCTTTTGCTTAGATTTTTCAAAATCCAAAAAATACGTGCTCATTAATTTTGTATACAGAGCTTTGAAACTGAGTCTGAGACCAATTGGATGAAAATCATGTTTTAAACAATTTTCCGCAAAAGTAAATGTGGCTTTTCCGAGCCGTGCGGAAATCGTGTTTTAGCATAGATATTGAAAAGTGCATGGATTCCAATTCAGATGAAAACAAAAAACAAATTTGTTAACTATGGTTTCTCTACAATTTTCCGAGATTCGATGGAATTCAATTTTCCGAGACATTCGGAAGAAAACTAAAAAAAAGTGTTTTCTACGAATTTTCCCCAAATTTCCGATGGAAACGATTAGGGCTGTGCGTTGACCATCAATCAATCAATCAGTCAGTCAGACAGTCAATCAGTCAGTCAATCAGCCAGTCAATCAGTCAGTCATGAGTGAAGAGATATTGTTTCTTTTTTGCAGGGTGAGGTTGCAAAGGGTATTTAAATTCAGTTACAAAGTATGTAACAATTGGTGGAAGACATCTTCCAGCCCATAAAATATATATATATATATTTGTAATCGATGCATATCGAGAGACTTTTCGCTATAGCCAGGCTTAACTGTCTCTTTTCACACTTGGTCGAAAATTGACTTTCTTTATGAACAATTTTTGGATTCTTCAAGTGATTTTACATAATATTGATTAACAAATGCAATCATTAATATCGGACAGGTATAACAAAGGGTTAGACATTAGTTTATGTACTTCAACATCGGACCACTATAACCTATAGTTCCCATAGGATAAAACGGACGCAAGTTGGGGTAAAGTATAGAAATCGAGAGTACTTCTAGCCAGAAGGATTGTCAGGATAGTCAGCCAATATCTGCCATTTGGATTGGCTTCACTGTAGCACTCACCATCGCTGGGTCTTTGACGCGGCGGCGTTTTAGTCTTGTTCGAATTGGAGTTGGAGCAATTGGAGCCGCTCTCCTCGGAGGCATCATTGTTGCCCGCCTGTTCCTGGCCAGCTCCCGCCGACTGCACCTGGCCCTGCTTTTTAACCTTTTTGCCATTTTTGCGCAGAAGCTGAGCAAAATGCTTGGCGGGCTTATTGCAGGCGGTGCGTCGCTTCTTGGAGCCGCAATAATAACGATATTTACGCTTTTTGGCCAATGACCAAACATAATCACCGGAACAGTCCAGCATATGGCGATAGAGATCCATCAGGCCGCTGCATTTGCGGCCACATTTCGTACAGCTGGCGGGCGCCGGCTGTGAGCTGCTGCAGCTGTAGCTGTAGCTGGAGCTGTGACTGTGACTGAGACTCAGACTGAGGCTGGCTGGCGAGCAGGCGGTGACGTTCTGTGGCAGCCCTTTGATATCGCTGCTGTTGTCATTGTCCTCCACAGACGTAGACGTCGAGTTGATGTTGCTGCTGCTGATGCTGCTGTTGCTGCTGCTGTGGCCAGTTGCTGTTGTTGTCGCTGTTGTCGCCGTCGAGCAGGGCGAGGCGCTGACTGTGGCCATGCCAAAGGCCATGGAGACAGCCGAGCAATTCGATGAACTGGATATGGACTCATCCTCGACAACGGCGCGCTCCTGCTTATGCAGCGACAGCAGCTGCTGCTGATGCTCAGCCGCATATCGACTGAGCGCACGCTTCGGTATAAACAGATGCCGCAACAAGTTGCCCGCGAGCAGCTCACGTCCCACCAGCTCATAGTGTGTCGCATAGATGTGCGAATGGCGAAATGTTTTGTGCTCCTCGAGCGCTTTGCGCTGCTCAAACTTGGCGCCACAGCAGATGCATAAATACAAACGTGGACGCGCCCATTCGCCGCTGAGCACCAGCGTGGTGGTGGTGGTTGTTGTTGTTGTTGTTGTCAGACGATGATGCTGCAATTGCAACTGTTGCTGCTGCAACTGTTGTTGTTGCTGCTGCTGCTGCTGCTGTTGGCGCGGCTGCAGCTGGAGCAGCTTTAAGAAGCTTTGTTCGGCGCCTGACTGTGCCGGCAGCAGCTGTTGTTGTTGTTGTTGCTGTTGATGCTGCTGCTGCAGCAGCAACTGTTGCTGCTCCGACAGTTCCTCCTTAATAATCGCCTGCTCGTTCTGCTCCAGCATTATGTGCGGCAAAAGGCGACGATCCAGCAGCAAATGCAGCTGTTGCAGCAGTTGCTGTTGCTGCTGTTGTTGCTGCTGTTGTTGTTGCTGCTGTTGCTGCTGCTGCTGCGCCTGCTCCAGGTCATGCTTCTGGCGCATGGTCAGCTGCGTCCACATGTCCAGCCGCGACAGGTCGCGCAGACCCATAAACGGCTGCTTTAGCTTCTTGACCAAACGGCCGCCCTCGTTGATAATCGTAAATTTCTTCACATAGTCCCATTTCCATTTCCAGCTGTGCTTTGTGTGCGGCCGCCTGGCCGCCTTGGCCAGTGGCAGCGGCAGCGGCAGCGTCTCCAGCCCGAGGCCATCGCCAAACTGTTCGGCCGTAAGCAGTGTGGGATACGCGCTGCACAGCGCCAGCTGTTGCAGGCTAGCCGCGGCGGCGGCAGCGACAGCGGGCGGACTGTGCGCCGCGGTGAGGGGCTGCGGCGGGGCGGGTCCGCTGCGCAGGCGTCCGTCCAGGAAATGCTGCAAATTGTGGCGCACATTGAGCACCACATCTTTGTAAAAGTTGTCATCGAAAACATGACTATGGCTGGGCATCCGAAAGTGTGCATCGTCCGGCGTGCAGGCAACTGTTGTTGTTGTGCAGCTGTTGCTGCTGCTGCTGCTGCAGCTGCTGCTGCTGTTAATGCTGCTGGCAGCGGCAACAGTTGCCGCCGTGACAGCTGTTGCGGCAGATGCGATGGTTAAAGGCGCCGACGCTGCTGCTGCTGCCGCTGCCGCCGCCTGACGTTGCGCAGCCCGACTGCTGCTGCGCTGCTGCAGCTGCTGCTGTTGCTTGGGCGTGGCCGGAGCGGAGGTATTGCTGCTGTTGTTGTGCTGCTGCTGCTGCTCCCGTTGCTGACGTGCGCTGCGATTGCGCTGCCGCTGCCCGGGCAAACGATTCTGGGTGAGACCTAGGCGAAACAGCACCGGCTCCTCGGCACCAATCATGGAGGACGTCTGTTGTTGTTGCTGCTGCTGCTGCTGCTGCTGATGTTGTTGCTGCTGATGTTGTTGTTGTTGCTGCTGCTGTTGCACCGGCAACTGTTGCTGATGCAAGAGTCGCATGTGACTGTGCAACTGCGCCGCATCGTTAAAGCGCAGCTGGCACTGCTGGCAGCCAAAATACTTGTCCGCATGGCTGGCGATCAGATGGATAAACAGCTGCTCCAGCTGCTTGGCGGGCAGACAGATTGGTGGCGTCAACGCTTGCGACTTGGACTTGTTGCAGTGCTGACAGCCCGGAAAGTGGGCGTGGCTGGGACTGTGACTGTTATTGCTGCCACTGCTGCTATTGTTGTTGTTGTTAGTCGAACGATTGCTGCAGCGTCGCTCCTTGCGTTCCGTATGAAATTTGTCCACATGCTTGGACTGCAGCTTGCTGGACGCGAACTTCTTATCACAGTACAAGCATAAAACTTTGATAAAAGCCGTTGCCGAATATTCCTCAAGTTCGCGCTGATGTTGCTGTTGTTGTTGCTGCTGTTGCAGCTGCTGCAGTTTCTCGACGAGACGCGGCAACCGCTCCAGCGGCACGCTGCATACCAGCGAGGGAGGCAGCGGGGGCTGTTGCTGCTGCTGTTGCTGCCTGTCCAACTCCAGTTCCACATCAATTGGTTCCAATTGCTGATCTGGCTGCTCTCTGGGCAGGCTGCAATTGCGCTTTTTGCGCGGCGGCGTTGCCAGCTTTTGTGCGGTTGGTCCAATTGGACTGCTTTTGCCATTGACCTGCTGCTGCTCTTCGGAAAATTTGAAGCCACGGCGCAGGCCAAAGCGCGACATGGTCTTCATGTGGAAGCTGTTTTTGTTCTCTCAATGTTGCCACTGCTGCCTATTAAATTGCTGTAGTACAAAGTACGATAAAAGAAATGAAAATCAAATATCAAATTAACAAATTGCACTGCCTCAAAAAAAGTATGTGTGTGCGTGTGTGTGTGTGTGTGTGTGCGGTTGTGTGCATGTGCATATGTGTACATGTGTGTGTTGTCAGTGTGTCCACAATTGCAGCAGCATCTTAAAATCAATAAAGAACAAACAATAATGCGATAAAAGCAAATAAGCAAAACGCATAGTTAAAGCCGAGCGCACATTTTGTTGACGAATGTGCGCAAATAGCAAACTAAGCGAAAAAGAAATAGAAAACAGCATATAAACAAAAACTAAACGCACGCACACACTTTGCCCATACATACACACACTTATGCACATACACATGCATGTATGTTGTGTGCATATACATATGTAGAGTTGTAATGAAAATTATACAATAAACATTTTGTACACACTATTTGTGATAAGTTTTGTTATTTCTTTAGTTTACCCCGCTTTAAACACTGCTCCTCAATTTTGCCGCCTGCCTGCACTGCTGCCGCCTTATGTAGATTTATAAAAAAAAAATATTTTTTTCTTATTATATTCAACTTTATTTGTTGGCCCTTTTGTTTTGCTGCTTGAGTTGCGCCCGTATTGGCGTATTTATATGTTTTGTTTTTTTTTTCGTTAGTTCGTTTGAAAATATTGCACTTGAATTTATTGCTGTAGCGTCAATTGCATAGGTTTGGGCATGTATTAATTGAAAAATGCACAGCATTTCTTTTTATTATTATGTACTTATATTTTTTTCCACCCTAACAACTGCGTTAGGAGGTATCTAACGTTTAGCCCAAATCGATGCGTGCGTAGAGCACAGACAGTGGCAGCAGCGGCTGTGGAAGAGGTAGAGGGCAGCGCAGCACCAACCAGAAGCAGCGGCGGCGACGGCAGAGATGGCAGCGACTACAGGACACTGAGTTAGAGGTGGTGAACGATTTTTCTCTGGCACGAGCATATGCGGTTTAAAACAGTCCATTTCCATTTCACTAGCCGCATTTAAGGCTTAACCCATTGTATGTGCGCTCAACTCATTCACTAATTGTTGTTGTTTTTAGTTTTTATTAACTATTATTTTAATTCTTCACACACACACGCACACGGCACACACACATATTTAGTTGCTCAAAATAAATGTGTTTTCTTATGAGAAGAATCGAAATCGCCTCAAAAAAATGGTTGTGCTGCAGTAACAGTGTGTACACACTGTTGCAAAAAGTGCTTATTATTCTGATTGGGTATCGATACCCGCAGCCACGATACACTCTATTTTTAGATTTACATTTTTGTATTTATTTTTGTTAGCTTATTATACTAGTTTATACAACTAGTTATTTATGTATTCTTTGTTTTCCCGAATACTTAACATAATATGAACAAATAATTAAATATCGATAGGTCACTAATTGACACTGAGTGGAACTCTTATCGATATGTGCAACATTACCATATCGTCAGCTTGTTTTTGACGAGTCATTTGGTTGCTTCGTCTTAATTTTTAATATCGACGGCCAGGCGGCATTAAAAGAATAAAAATTTGCATTCATCATTGCACGCAAAACGTTAAAATAATAAGTACAACATGGATATATTAATGCCAGAAAGAGTAAGTACTGTGCTAGCATTCGGTTTTGATTATAATATAATCAAAATGCAATTTTTATAATTTGAAATTTTATTTTATTTTTTTTTTTTTCTACCAGGACGAGCTTGATCTAAAGCTGAAGGATGCGCATAGCTCCCTGGATGAATTGGACATAGATGATTTGTATGTTCGTTATAAGGTATGCCGCACATTAGCTAACTTCTTTTTTGCCTGAGCTCACACATAATTATCTTCAGAAACTACAAAAAACATTGGAGTTCATTGAGGTGCAGGAAGAGTATATCAAGGATGAGCAGCGCAATTTGAAGAAGGAGTATTTGCACGCACAGGAGGAGGTGAAGCGTATACAGTCGGTGCCGCTGGTGATTGGGCAATTCCTCGAAGCTGTTGATCAGAATACGGGCATTGTTGGCTCCACCACGGGCTCAAATTACTATGTACGCATCCTGTCCACCATCGATCGTGAGCTGCTGAAGCCCTCAGCCTCCGTGGCGTTGCACAAGCATAGTAATGCATTGGTTGATGTCCTGCCACCAGAGGCAGATAGCTCCATATCGATGCTGCAGCCGGATGAGAAGCCAGATGTTAGCTATGCCGATATTGGTGGCATGGATATGCAAAAGCAGGAAATACGCGAGGCTGTCGAACTGCCGCTAACCCACTTTGAGCTCTACAAACAGATTGGCATTGATCCGCCGCGCGGCGTACTGATGTACGGTCCACCTGGCTGCGGCAAAACCATGCTGGCCAAGGCGGTGGCACATCATACCACCGCCTCGTTCATACGTGTCGTTGGCTCAGAGTTTGTGCAGAAATACCTGGGCGAGGGGCCGCGCATGGTGCGCGACGTCTTCCGTTTGGCCAAGGAGAATGCGCCGGCCATTATTTTCATTGATGAAATCGATGCGATTGCCACCAAGCGTTTCGATGCCCAAACCGGCGCTGATCGTGAGGTGCAGCGCATTCTGCTCGAGCTGCTCAATCAAATGGACGGCTTCGATCAGACGACCAATGTGAAGGTCATTATGGCGACCAATCGTGCCGATACACTGGATCCGGCACTGTTGCGTCCCGGTCGTTTGGATCGTAAAATTGAGTTCCCATTGCCCGATCGTCGCCAGAAACGTTTGGTCTTCACAACAATCACATCCAAGATGAATCTCAGCGAGGATGTGGATCTTGAGGAGTTTGTCGCACGGCCCGATAAGATTTCTGGTGCCGATATTAATGCCATTTGCCAGGAGGCTGGCATGCATGCTGTCCGCGAGAATCGCTACATTGTTCTGGCCAAGGACTTCGAGAAGGGCTACAAGAACAACATCAAGAAGGACGAACAGGAGCATGAGTTCTACAAATAGGCATCTAGTTTCAACATATTCATTCGCGTTTTTCTAAACCTACAACTAAACACACAAATATATATATATATATAAAATCCTTAATCCCTATGGACTTCAGCTCATATTTTATTGCATCTTGTGGAGTTTTTGTAATTCTATTCCAGGTCTATAGTAAATACACCTTTAAGTAAACAAAGTAGACGGGCTGATTGATTGATTGATTGACGAGCAAAGCACAGTCCAAAGTAAGAGCGATGGATACCGATGCTTATGCGAGTGGAAGATTGTGGAAAATTGGTGGAATTACAAAAATCTATTCATCTACTTGTCTTCGCTTATCGGCAAAACCAAGTCCACTTAAATTACGATCAATTTTCTTGAAAATTGAATAGACATGTTATTCTACATAGTTTTTAAATCTATGTGTCGTATGCCCGCGCAATGCCGGTTAATACTTGATACACAACGCTGATGTAATCGACAACAAATGTAAAAAGTGCATTTTATTTGTTGTGCCTGTACACACACACACACGCACACGCACCCGCCCAGAGCGGGCAACATATATATATAAAGACACAAAAAATCAAGTGTAAAAACAAAATTGTTGTATAGAGCATGAGAATTAAGTCCTGCGTTTCCCCAGTTATTGTTGTTGTTGTTGTTGTTGTTTTGTATTGTTGCTATTGTGGCTATTGTTGGTATCGCTTATTTCATGAGGGAGTTGACAACGGCATTCACATTGATGGCTTTGAGGTCCGCATAGGTCTGGCCGGTGCCGACGAACACGATCGGCTGCCCGGTGATGTATGTCATGGAGATGGCGGCGCCCACTTTGTCATCGATGGTATCAAATTTGGTTAGGACGATGCCGTCGATGATGTGTGGATTCTCGTTGGATGAGTAATCGGCGAGGGATTGATTGAACTTGACCAGCTGATCGACAGCCTCGTTGCCGACAAGGGCTTCGCCGACAAACAGCACCAGATCCGGATTGTTAACCTTGATTAGCTTGGACAGGGAACGCATTAGCGGCTCATTGTCCTGCATACGGCCGGCGGTATCAACGAGGACGACATCAACTCTCGTATCGTGGGCATATTTGATTGCCTCCATGGCAATGCCCGCCGCATCCTTGCCATAGCCCTTCTCATACAGCTGGACCATGGTGCGATTATTATGCTTCGCCGCCGGATGCAATGCATTCAAATGGCGCGTATGCGTGCGCAGCTGCTCCACGGCGCCGGCACGAAACGTATCACAGGCAGCGATCAGCACATTGAAATCGTTCTCGATCAGCCAGAAACAGATCTTGGCCAGATTCGTTGATTTGCCGACACCATTGACGCCGCAGAAGATGATCGTGTAGGGTTTGACGTTGCGCTTCGATTCGAGCGCGTCGCGTATGATGTCGATGCGCCGCTTGGGCGACAGGATGCGCACCAAGGATTGCGTCAGCGCCTCCTTCACCATATTGGCAATGCTATCGAATGTGCCCATTTGTTTGCCCTCCAGCGATGTGGCCACCGAATCGCACAGCTTGGCCGCTATCTCAGAGGCCACATTCTTCGATATCAAATGATCGCGCATCTTCTCCAGCGCCGGCTGTAAGTCACTAAGCGTCATCGTTTTGGCGCCCACAATGCCCTTGAAATAGGATAACAATCCTCCGCTCTTGGGCTTCCTGGTCGCCGCATTGTTCAGCGGTCGACGCTGCTGCTGCCGCTGCTGCTGCTGCTGTTGTTCTTCCTGTTCACTGTCTTCGCTTGCCTCACTGTCGGCAGCATCCGAGTCGCTTTCCACGTCCAGATCACGTATGCTGCCCTGCATGGTGCCTACCAGCTGTAATGAGATTTGAATTAGGTTTTTTAGCCCGCCTGCTGGTAGTGTCTGCCACTTACATCATTGTTGATGGTCTGCAGCTGCACATCGTCGGGCGCATCCTTGGACCGATCCAGCAGCATGGCATCCTTCGAATTGCCGCCCAGATCCCAAACACGCGGCTTTTTGCCCGCCCTCTCCTTCTCCCTGTCGATGGCGCTGAGCTTGTTGGGTTTCGCCTCCACCACCGCCGCTGCCTTTTTGGTGGGCGTCAGTTTCTCGCGCAGCTTACGGCGATTCTCCTGGATAATATCAGCATTGCTGCGTGGCGGCGATGACGGCTGCGATTTGGGCGCCGGCGGGCTCTCCTGTATATTGACGCGCTTCTCATTCGTCACGCTCTTCTTGTCGTCCTGCAGCATCGAGGCGACGGTTTTCTTTGATTTCTGCGATTCATTGTAGGAGCGCATCGCCTTCGGCGCCTTGCCCTGTTTGGCGGATGCCTCCTCGGCAGCACCGAGCACCAGCCGAAACTCTTGCTCGAACTCGTAGTCAATCGACAGTCGCTCCTGGGGGCCAACGCCACCAAATTTCTCCTGAAATGCCGTCTGCATGTCGGCCAGAAAATTGTCCAGATAGTTGAGCTTGATGACCTTTTGGAAAACGGCCGCATAGACCACGTCGAGCTCATTGTCTAGTTTGAATTGCACCGCCAGGTGATCCTCCTCAAAGTATTTGGACTCTGTATTTCGTTCCTAAGCACAAAAAACAACAGCAACAACAACAACGTTAACAATAACAATAACAAACATTCGATAGACTTGCCTCCAAAATGACGCCACGTATTAAGCTGTTGATGCACGCCGCATAGTTCTTGCCCGATTCATTCGAATTCCAGAGCACAATGCCGCCTTTTGTGAATATGACCACAAAGTCTAACATTTTTTATTTACAAACAAATTAGCCAACAATTCCTGTTGCAATGAAAACGGCGACAAATTCAACTGACCCAAGTACCAAACAACAGTTCCAAACGCATTCCACGTCACGAGCACGAATCCGTCATCGATAGTTATCGATATATATATTTATGCGAAAGAGAAAACAAAGTCAAGTTGGAACTTTGAAATGCTAATTAGATAGCGAATATGGAATACCCTGTAGACGCCTTGTTGAAAGCAAATTGCTTCTATGGTTATTTGTTAAATTAATTTGACATTTGTGCTTATTTTTTATTTTTATTTTTTAGTGAAGTTCGTAAATATGGAAACTTGGTTTCAATGACTGCTTTAGTCATATTATTGAGAGTATATTTGTAATCCAATATAAATGTAATCAATTTTGCTCGAATTTAGCTGGTCGAGCCCAATTTATAATTTGCATTAAATGAAATAGAAACATTTAAAATTTCAATGATGTACTTAACACGAACACTCACGAACTTAACACGAGCATGCACGACGTGTGAACACACGACTAGCGCCCAACTTCAAAATGAAGGCATCAGCTGGGGGCGCCCAGAGATACCAATGGATTCCATGTTTACCGTAATATGACGCCATGGTTGCCCAATCCCGCAAGAATCATAAGAAACAGTCTTCAATCGATTTTCGATTTTTTGTTTATTACTGACGCTTATTAACTAACGTTCATGTGTTGTGAATGGGATTTTGAACATTATTGCAATACATTTCACATACATGAAAATTTTGTTACAAAAAAGAGAACATTCGTTGAATGTACATAGTGATTGGTGTAACTATACAGAAAAAAAAATTAAAGTATATTTATGTTGTTTAGGCGCGAAAAGAAATATGCTACGTAAAATTGATGATTATTATTGTTCATCTCCTTCTCCTCCTGTCTAATTGCCAATCGCCAAGATTTACGAGCCAACAATAATGTTGTTAATGGGAATATGTATCAGCTTAACAAAGAATCCAATGAAGCCCATGATGCAGAAGCCAATGGCAGTGGCAATCGCAATCTTTTGGAATTCCTTGCGGTCGGGCTTCGTGCAGCGCTTGACCAGACGAATGGAGTCCTTGGCAAATGCACGGCCAGGCTCAGCGAATTTCACAACTTTGTCCATGGCTACGTTTAATGTGTGTGATATTTGAGAGCTGCAAACGGATAAAAATCAGTTACAATTAATATTCAATTCAATGATATGTACGCATGTATGCCATGCATGGTATTTTTTTAATGTAATGTGGGACAGCACTTTCACACAATCACAACACACGATGGCAACGCCAACGTCACGACGACGCAGACGACGTGGCAGCCGACGACGATGGCGACGTCACAGGTGAAACTTGGCTGGTGTAAAAAGCCGCTGGTTAATTGTGTTTCGTGAGCTGCTGCTTTTCCAAAATTTAACTAAACAGTTAAATGTATTTTGTTTTAAACAATTTGTTTTTTAATTGCCGTTTTTTTTTAACGAACAATTTGGGCTGGCAGCGCCACGCATTGCCTTTTGCGGCCGCAACTACAGTTTTACATACGTAAGGCTCAACTTATTTTTTATACATTCATTCAAGCTTACACTATTTGTTTATTAATATGGACTTTATAATTGATTTAAGCAAATAATTCGAGTTGACAAAAAAATAATAAAATTAAGTTTAGCACGCACCTCCGTTTACTTTGATAATTTCCACACGAATGACTGTTCGTTAAGTTCGTGTAGGCTGCTACGATACGAATTTGTTTTGACAAGTTCCACGTCAAAATGTCAAAAAACAAAAAGCAGTGTTGCTTTGAACCACACCGTTGCCAGACAGTGTTAGTTTTAACAGTGGCAACACTTTTATCATCTATCAGCTGCTGCAACAAATTGAGCCGACATCTTATTTTTCGGTCGGCATTTTGCTTGCTCATTTTTCATTTAAGTGAACATTTATCGCTAATACGAATATTCAACAACAATTCGTACAATTGTTACGCATTATTTACGTACAGTTGATTGTCGCTGCGATGTGAGTTAAGGGTGCCTCAAAAATAAGAAGAAAAAAGCCGAACGCGCTTAAAAGTTTTCTCGCAAAGCCAAAAAAGCTAAACTTTTACGGTACTTGGTAAAGCTTTCGTTTAACTTTTCGTATTTTTGGTGTTTAACAGAAATATCGAGGATGAGCGCACAGCCCAGCCCCTGCATGAACCCCCAACAACAGCCTACTGAACAGGAAAAGGTGACTATTCTAGCGCAATTTGTTAAATACTAGTATATATATATATCTAATATGGTTAAATGTTTCTGTGAAGGTTTACCAATGGATCAACGAGCTAGCTCATCCGGATACACGTGAAACGGCCCTGCTGGAGCTGAGCAAGAAACGTGAAACCGATCTGGCGCCAATGCTATGGAACAGCTTTGGCACCGCATGCGCTCTGCTCCAGGAGATAATTAGCATATATCCATCAATAACGCCCCCCACACTGACGGCCCATCAATCGAATCGTGTGTGCAATGCGCTGGCGCTGTGGCAGTGCGTCGCCTCGCATCCGGAGACGCGCACCGCCTTCCTGCAGGCACAGATACCACTCTATTTGTATCCATTCCTATCGACCATTTCGAAGACACGACCCTTTGAGTATTTGCGTTTGACCAGCCTGGGTGTTATTGGTGCGCTGGTGAAGACCGATGAGCAGGAGGTGATTACGTTTCTGCTCACCACCGAAATTGTGCCATTGTGCCTCACCATTATGGACAGCGGCTCGGAGCTGAGTAAGACTGTCGCCACGTTCATCATACAAAAGATATTGCTGGACGAGTCGGGCCTATCGTATATATGTCAAACCTATGAGCGCTTCTCGCATGTCGCCATTACGCTGGTAAGCTCGCTTGCTGCACTTTTGAGTCTCTCGTTTACGCTCTTTCTCTCTCTCTCTCTCTCTGTCTCGCTCTCTCTATCTGTGTGTGTAAAGGGAAAAATGGTCATACAGCTGTCGAAGGAGCCGTGTGCGCGCCTCCTAAAGCACGTCGTACGCTGTTATCTGCGTCTCTCCGACAATACACGGTAAGTGCCAGTGCCAGGCATGCATCCATAATAAGCTCATGCATGTGCATTAACTTTGCTTTCTCTGTCTCTGTCTCTGTCTCTTTCTAACCTGTTGAGCAGCGCACGCAAGGCGCTCGGCCAGTGCCTGCCGGACCAGCTGCGCGATGGCACCTTCACACAGTGCCTGCAAGATGATAAATCCACCAAGCAATGGCTGCAAATGCTCATCAAAAACTTGGAACCGGGCGCCGCACAGCAGCCGGGCGCTGATCCCCGCCAGATTGGCATGTCGCCATTGGGCTCCTAAAACATAATTACACCCACATACACCACTTCCCTTCCCTTCCCATCCCTGTACTACCCTTACCCCTAGCCACCCGTCTGGCCAGACGCTTGTTTAAGAGTTAAGATTGATTTGTTAATGTTTAGAGTTAAGCAACCAACTTGTAAGTTGTAAGAACCTTGTTGAATGGAAATGTCCTGCATTTAGGTGCACAACTGATCCATATAAATATATATATATATATGTATACATACTTTACATTTTGAACTGAAGCGAATGAATGTGAAGCTAATTAGAGCCTTTGCCAAACTAACAAAGCAAAATGAAAAGTTTGCAACCTTTTTCTTTTGCTTTCCATACAAATTCACAAGTCGCTTAGGTACACATAGTAGGTTATGCTAATAACTAATCTCTCTCTATATATGTATATATATCTACTATTAATTTTTGCTAATAAACTGTAAAAATGTAAGTAAATCAATGCGTGTGTTTGTGCTTGTGGGGGGGGGGTGTGCATTTAGCAACAACTTTAAATTCATTTATTTTGTGGGTTATACACATAAATATATATATATATGGATATATATGTGTGCGTATGCATATAGTATATACAAACAATATTAATTACAACATTAATCCATTTCACGAAACAAGTTTCTCTTACACTTATCAACAGCTGCGAGCACAAAATATACAAATAACACTGAATTACATATTAGATGAGTGTGTGTGTGTGTGTGTTTGTGTTGTGTGCATAATTCTACATTGATATTTATTTATTAGTTAGCATATTTGTATACATATATAAACATTGATCACAACAAAGATTTGATGATTTCGAAACCATCCATCAATTAATGTAAATATATATATATATATATATATGTGTTTATATATATATATGGCTGTTTCAAATATAGGTATACATATATGGATTTGTAAAAATTTGGTTTTTGTTTTGCACAAGCATTCTAAAAAATTTGTCTGTCTACTCGGCTGCAGCGGGTGCTGCAGCTGTAGCCACGGCGGACGCACGTCTTCCGATTTCCGCCAAGCGAGTGGCATCCAAATTGTGGGCCTGCGATTCGGTGGACGGCGGACCCTGCAGCTGGGGCAGCACACGGATCTGCTCCAGCAAATCGAAGCCGTTGCGCCATATTAGCAAATGGGCGCGTAGCTTCAATTTGTTGCGATTCTTAATCAAATGCTTCTCCATGGCAAATCCTTGACGGGCGCATGCAAAATCGCAGGCGCGCTGACGCAAAACTGGACAAATATCGTTGTTGCCATCGCCAACGTAAAAAACATGATCGTAGCGTATATTGTAGCGCAAATCCTGCTCAATAACAAAATGCTCCAAGACACGGCCCTTGCACAAATTGCTGGCGCTTAGCTTGCAATCGGTTTGCTGATGATATGCACGCACCAAAAGCTGACCATGTTCATTAAACTCGGCCGGATTTGTGAAAATGGCATTGAAACAATCAGAGAGATTGTGTGCACGTAGCCATTCGTCAATAAAAATACTATTCGAGTCACTGATGATAATCAAATCGAATTTCATTTTCTTCTGCAAATGCTTGATGAGACGCACAAATCCGGGCACCTCCGGTATACAGCGTATGGTGTCGCGTATTCGCGATTCTGGTACTTGTTGCGCATATAATAAACGGAATATTTCGGCCATATATTCGGTCCAGCACTCGTTTTCCATTAGCTCGGTTAGGGCACAGGAGCTGATTAGCTCGTTGGGCAACATGTCGCGCACCACAGTGTCCGTATTCTGGGAAACAATTGTGTGGTCAAAATCGAAGGCGGCCAAGCGCCGAAGCTGCTGTTTGCCCAGGCCGCCGCTGTTGGTTGTCTGTGCGGCTGCAGACGTTGATGGCGTCGACATTGTTGCGGCGAGCTGCTGCACTTTCACTTGCACCTGACAATGCCCGAATGCCAATGGGTTTTTAATTGCCCACTGATTGTAGTGGGCAGCAGCAGCAGCACCAGCTCGAATTTGGCTTTCGTATGTATGTATTTCGTGTTTAGCTTTGGGCAACTTTGACAGTAGCTTTATTAGCGTCAGCGTTGCCATCCGTTTTGAAGCTTCTGGCAAGGCCACCCACCTCCAGGCGATGGCGGCGGCGGCGGCGGCGGCGGTGGTGAAATTAAGCGCCCCTATTTCGATGTTTAAGTTCTATATGTAATTATCGATAGGCGTTGAGCTTTAACGTTATTTTATTTGATTTTCTCAATATCGTTTTTTAATTCGTTTCTATTTTTAACAGAAAAACATTGACTTCACTTATATAAATTTATACTTACATGAAACGTTTCAACAGAATCGGCGCAGGGCAATGGGCTGGTGTGATAATGCGGTTAAACAATTTTGGACTGATTTGAATGGAACACATAATTTAGTTAGTTTTAATTTAAAAATGCTAAATTCTATTTTATTTTGTTACCAGATAAGTAATCGAAAACTAATATACTTATTGAAGATATGTGGTTACAAGCTTTTTCTAATACGAGCAACATAGCGTCTCTTTGCCACACAAAAACATAGATATTAACTATATTTTGTGTGCTTTAGCTAATGCTCGTTTTATTTTTAAGTTTTTTAAGCATTTAGTAAAATTTCAAATATATTATGCATAGGCAGTTAGCTTTAATAGTAAATATCGCAAGCGAATTTGTTTGTAACATTGAAATATCGATGTATCGATATGCTATCAACATCCCTACATTTTCATTTCCATTTTGTCGTGACGAGTACGGTAGTGTTATATTCCAAGCGAAAAAGAAAAAACACTGTCAGACAGCGAACAGGGCATACATTTAATAATGAATTGTTAAAACGATAGGTGCGCGCCGAAGTAATATTGCGTATGTTCTACGAGCAGTTGAAACAGTTAACAGTTAACGTTATTTTTTTATAACAAATTTATGCGTCGTCGTCTGCTGCTGCTCAATCGTTAAAAAGTGCGTGGAAAAGTGTACGAAACCAATACACGGAAAGTGGGACAACCGAGCGCTGCGCTTGTTGGTGTATGTGCGCTGTGTGTGTGTGTAGTGTGTATGTTTGTGTGCGGTGTGTACTGTGTGTGTGTGTGCGAGACGAGTACAAGTACGGGTAATTTGTACCGACTACAGTCTCACGTCAATGTGTACGACAATGTTTTTTTTTGTATATTAAATAAATAGTACGAAAAAGTGCAACGAAATGTTTACAAAGTGTGCAAATAAAAACAAAACATGCTCCATGTCTTAACACACACCGACAAAGACACGCGCACACCAATATACACGCGAATTGCATGCAAAGAGAAGGCGCTCAACTTCTACTCCATCTTCTTTTGTCTGACGTTTTGCCGCATGGTGAGTTTATTGCCTGCCTGCCTGCCAGCCAGCCTGCTGTTGTTGTTGTTGGGTCCGTTTTCGGCGTCTTTTGCTATGTAGCTGCGTCTTACTGTTTTTTTTTTTTTTCAACGACTATACTCGCTGATTTTTTTTGCATTGCCTAAGGCGCGCAGCGCATGCATTTGTTGTTGCTTCTACCGCAGTTAATATTTGTTGTTGCACAGGCGCCGTTGCCGTGAGTTGCGCGGGGGTCGCTAATGCAGATGCATGTATAAAAGTACAATGCATTTGTATGTGTGTATATACATTGTGCACATGTATATATGTATTTTTCTCCATGCAGCGGCACGGGCGATTGCCTTTCATGCTGGTATTGGTTCGTTCGTGTGTGTGTGTGCGTGCTGTGGTGAATTTCTGGCTCGGGCCCCTGGTGAATTTGGCAGTGTTGCCAACACATACACCACGTCGCAGTCGCTGTCATTTGTTGTTGCTGTAGTATTGCGTACCAATGTGGCGCGGTTTTCTCAATTTCTGCTGCTCTCGACAGACAGCTGTGTGCCGCGCATGTTTCCACGCTTACGCAGCGTATTATTAACAACGGTACGTTGTTGTTGTCGCTTTTTGCAGGTTTCCCTGTGCTTTGGCGGTGCGTTACTGTTTACGCGGCAATTTGTATGTCCAATATCATAATAAGCAAAAATTAAAAGCCCGGGCATTTATCAAAATATTCCCATCGTCCATTTTTTTTTTTTTTTTTGGCTATAAATAACAAACAATAAGCACATTGCGTTTACTCTTCCCCTCTATGTTTGCCGGTGAATGAGTGTGTTTGGGAGCTTTTCAACGCGAAGCTTAAGTAACTGTTACTACATATTTGCGTAAATAGCGAGAGTGCAATGGGAAAACGAAAACAAAACAATAGATACGCACACTCTTGCCCCGCTCTATATACATACATATGTATATAATTAATTACTGTTGTATGTGTATGTAATTGCCGCTAGTTGTTGTAAGTTGTAGCTTATGAACGCCAATCACAGGGGCGGCACTTTGAAGTAACGGTTCACTCAAACACAACAAATTAAATGTTACAGAGAAAGAGAGAGAGAGAGAGAGAGAGAGATACATGCATTTTTTAGTCGTTTAATTGTTATTTTATGATTCAATAAAAGCATATGAATTATAAAATTTATTTTTAAAACGTTGTCCGTTTTCAAAAATTGTGCACAGCGAGAAAATTTTGTGCCGTTTCGTTTGGTTTGTGTACTGTGTGGCGTGTGTGTGTGTGTGTGTGTTTGTTTGTGTTTGTTTGCATGCATGTGTATGTGTGTATGTGTATGTGTGAGCGTGTGCCGAGTTCGTTCTCCTATTGTGGGGCAGCAATGTGAACGCGCTGCGCTTAACATTATTATTTGGTTTGCCCTTACCCCCACACACCTCCACTTAAAGCCTCACCCGCGCTCAACAATATTGAGACACAGACACACATATACACACACACAGACACACACATAGAGGCACAGACACACTCACATATGCAGACAACTGGCATCTTACTCTCTTCCAAATTCTACTTATTTCTCTTCTGCTGTGGCTGCGGCTGGATTTATTGTGGAATTGCAATGCGCCTCGAAATCTTCGACGGACGCTGACGGATAAACTGTGCTATTGACTTCACTATTTAAATTCTCTCCATCGTCATCATCATCATCATCATCATTTCCATCTCCATCTACTTCATCATCATCATTCTCATCATCATCATCATCGTAGTCATCAGCATTCCGCTCCAAGCGCAGCAATTTATCCAGTTGAGTGCGCGTAAATCGGAGTATCGGTTTATGTCTGCGCAACCGCTGGCATCCCCAATAGAACATTTCCTCCGTCTCAGGCAATGCGTCTGTCTCCAGCAGTGGCTCCTTTTGTTGCTGCACCACCTGGTTGGCTTCAGTTGAGCACGTTGTGGTCTTCGCTTCCGTTTGCCGCACAATGCAGGCGTCCTTACACTGCCGCTTCACTGGCTGCCTATCCTCGATAGCCAGCTCACAGCAGATGACACGGAACAGCAACCAGGCGCCAGCGAGGGCCATCATAATGTGTTCCATAAGGCCAAAGCGGCACCTACCGCCTGGTACCGGCATCAGTACCAGATTGGTACCCGGTATCCGGCCACCCGTTGCTAGCGCCCGAAATAGGCTCAATTGATCCTTCATTGGTTGCCATACCGGCGCTAATATCAACTGCAGCAACATATAAATAATTTCTGTCGGAAAAAGAAAAACAAATACGAATTACAAGCTTGTCTGTTGAGGCTTACTTCTGATGCTGTTATCACCTTAACCACCAGTACAATTTTGATCCAATGGCTGAGGCCAGAGGTCTGTTTTGAAATAATATAATTTACAACATTCACACGACAGATTTTCATAAGCAGAGCTAGTTGTTTTTTTTTACAATTAACACCAAGTGTTACCAGTCAACTGTTATCGAACATTGTATATTAAAGCTTTGCGATATTTATCGATAACAATCAAGTGTGTCGATCCTTCCTTGAGCGAACATTTGCTTTGGCGTGCTGCCACTTTGTATGTGTTTTTCCTTGGCATATTTTGACTTTACATCAATGTTCATTCATGCGTGTGTTCACTGTATTTATTGACAGTTGGATTGGACTTATACTTTTAGAGTCACAAGTTCAAGTGACGCCTCTTTTCGACTTCAACTGTTATTATGCTGTGCACAGGGTATTGCGCGATCGGTTCTAGACGATTGCGATATTCATGTGTTGAGCGCGATTAAAATATCGATATATCTGCAGTCGGCCCATTTCTACTGAGTAACTGAACTAGACAATTTTGAACGAAAGAGCAGTCAAAACTCTTAAGAGCGAGAGCTTATTTTCTTATATTGCTATGTGAAGCGCGCCTAAAGTATCGATACTTTTGTTGTTTTTCTTCTCAGTATTAGAACAGTTAATTTTGTTGGATCTTCTCTGTTTTGGTTTTATTCACGTTCGTTAAGTTTGTGAGAAACGAAGAAGACTTTCGATTAGTATTTAACGAAAGTAATGCGCATTCATGTAAAAGCAAAAGTTTGTAACTGCATATTTTGTTTTGTAAAATTCTCAACTAATCAAGGATTTTAATTTGGTTATTTTCAGGCAAAAGCAAACTGCGTTTTGGTGTGGATAAAGGAATAAAGCAATGAATGATTTACGCCAGCAACAGGTACAGGTAGCAGCAACATCATCCTCAGTTAGCCTGGCAGCAACGCCACTCTGCTCCAACAGCTCCACGAGCAGCAGCAGCAGCAGCAGCAGCCACAATATCAACAGCAACAGTTCCAGCGCCAGCGTCAGTCCACGTTCCAGCTCCAATTCGAATTCGAGCATCGGTTCGAACTGCAAATCAGCCATAGCGACGACGACGACAACAACAGGCGGCAGCAGTCTCCAGCGGCAGCAGCTACAGGAAGAAGAGGAGGACCAGCAGGTGGTTAGCTCCACATCGTCGCCGGCACAGCGACAGCAGCAGCAACAGCAGCAGCACCACCACCACCACCAACAACAATTGAATGTGTCGACAGCAGCAACAGCGCAGCGCCAACAACAGCAACATCAGCACCAACAACATCATCATCAGCAACAACATCATCATCATCAGCAGCAGCAGCTGGTGGGTCAAATAACCAGCACCACAGCATCGCCGCCGCAGCACAGACTGCGCGACGATGCGCAGCTGCCAAATAGCCCAAGCAGCAGCAGCAACAACAGCACTGGACCATCAGGAGCAGCAGCAGCAGCAGCAACAACAACAAGCGAAGCAGCAGCAGCAGCAATGGCCGCCACAGCTTTAGATGTGAATGGCGAGGAAAACAATAGCAGCAGCGGCGGCAGCAGCAGCGGTGGCAGCAGCAGCAGCGGTGGCAGCGGCAGCAGTCATAAGCTAATACTGAAGCTCTCCAAGCACGGCAGCCAGACAAGCGAATCTCTAACGGGCAACGATGAGCGACGCGTGGAGCCGCTGCGCATACAATTGCCCACACAGTTGCCGACAACGAATACGGCGCAAATGTTGCAGGGAGTGCAGATGGTGCAGCCGACGATGGGGCAGCAGGGTATTGTGCCGAAGATAACAATAAGACCAATTAAAGCGCAGCAGGATATGGCAACGAATTCGGATGCGTCGTCATCGTGCTCATCCTCGTCGTGCGCCGATGACGAGCAGCTGCCACACATTGTGCCCAAGCTGACGATACGCGCCGCCAACGAGGAGCGTGTGAGTAGCGTTGTGCCCAAGTTAATAATCAAGATGCCCGATGCGGGCGGAGGAGGAGGAGGAGGATTGGGTGGATGTGGAGGAGGAGGAGGAGGAGGAGGATGTGCTGCAAGCGAAGCCAGCAATTGCCATAGTCCCCTCAAAACAGTTGGTGCAAACGCTGCCCTTGGCCCCACAACGGGCGCATTGCCCAAGCTAACCATCAAGACCACCAAATTGGATGGCAACGGTGGCAGCGAGACGCAGCTGATCAGCTGCAGTCTGTCGCCAGCATCGGCGTCCAGCTCATCAGCCAGCTCCTACTCGGGCAGCGACCAGCCGCCCCCAGCGATGCCCACAGTGCCCAAGCTGATGATCAAGACAACGCACGCCGGCAGCAGCTGTATCAGCAGCGCGGAGCAGCAGCAGCAGCAGCAACAGCAACAACAGCAGCAGCAGCAACAACAAATAATACCAAAGTTAACCATCAAAACGGGCGGCAACAATAACCAGGAGCAACTGCAACTGCAGCAGCAGCAGCAGCAGGTGCAGATGCAGATGCAGGCTCAGCACACGGTGATTATGACGCACGATGCTAAGAATGCGCAATCCATACCCAAGCTGACCATCAAGACCAAGTCAATTGAGCTGGAGGATGAGGAGCAGCAGCAGCAGCAACAACAACAATTGGTGCCCAAGCTGACCATCAAGACGAACAACAGCACCGAACAGCAGCAGCAGCAGCCGCACCTCAAGCTAACCATCAAGAATCTGTGTTCCCCCAAGCACAAGGTGCGCGCCGTGCTCGAAGAGAAGGTCAGCACCTTCTCCTCCAAGCTGACGCTCACCAATGGCGGCGACAATACCAACATAGCAGCAGCAGCAGCAGCAACTGTTGCCGATGACAGCGAAGCGGATGAGCAGCGTCGCAATTCCGATGATATGGACATTGATGATGCGCTCTCCAAGGAGCATGATCCCAAAATGTTTCACAATCTGCCGCCGGCGCACAGCAGCAATGGCATTGCACAGCAGCAGCAGCAGAAGCAACAGCAACACAATATTGTGGACATGGTGGATCTGACTTCATCGCCCTCGCCGGGCTCCTCGCCAGCGCATGTCAACAGCAATAGCTACGCCACAGCAGCAGCAGGAACAGGAACAACAGCAGCAGCAGCAGCAGCAATAAATCGCAGCCTGTCCACAACTCAATCGCAAAATCTGTTGCTCGAGTGTCTGCAGATGCGAGCAGCAGCAGCAGCAGCAGCTGCAGCGACATCAACTGGCAGCAGCAACATAAACATCAACAACAACAACAACACAAACAGCAGCAATCCCGCCTCGCCCAACTCCAATATACTGCTCAGCCAGCTAACAGCGCCGCCCAAGAGCTTCAGCAGCAGCAGCAGCAGCAACAACAACTTGAGCAGCAGCAATTCAACAGCAGCTTCCAAATATCCGCAGCTAACCGAACGGCTGATGGCCAATGGGGCAGCGGTGGCTGTTGCAGCAACTGTTGCTGCTGCTGCCGCACAGCAGCCGATTATCGATTCCATTGAGATTCTGGACACGCCCGAGGGCAGCCCACACTCACAATCGACGCCCTATATGCAAAGTGCCTACGAGTCGGAGGAGACGCCGCCGCCGCCGCCGCCACCAACGCAGCTCAGCAATCATCTGAATCACATGAATCTAAATCTAAATCTAAATCACAAGCCAGACAATCAGCAACAGCTGCAGCTGCAATTGCAGCAGCAGCAGCAGCACAACAACAACGAGAACCATTTGAAGCGCCAGCAGCAGCAGCACCAGCACCAGCAACACCTACAGACCGAGCCAGAATCTCCCAGTGGCGTAAGTAATCCATATATGGAAATCTATATACCCTGTTCCCATTCAAAATAGCTCAAATAGGGTATACTGCAGAGGGAAGCTTCTCCTAGCCCCATTAATATAAATTTAGAGAAACAAAGTTGATCCAGGAGAAGCATATAATTTTCTTTCTCTCGATAACTACCCGATTACATTTTTATAATATCGATAAATATCGGTTTTGTAACAGTTTTGTTTCGATTCTCGTAGAGGATAAACAGATAGGAAATATATCACTCTGTTGCCATAAAAATTACAAAAATAGTCTAACTAGTTTTTTGGACTTTGGCAAATACACAAGCTCTTATATTTGTTTATAAAAGATTTTAAATATTTCTTACGATAGCTTGGCGCTGGGTATCTGCTAGTCGGTCATGCTATACACCATAGCACACTTGTTTAGCTAGAAATCTATAGGTAATACGAAATACAATTACTCATATTATGTCTATTTAAGACAGCTCTTCTTTCTGCCCTGTGCTTCCTAAACGGTTAAAAAAGTAGTTCAAATAGATCATTTTATGCCTGAACTGCATAATAATATATAATTGTATGATCATTAACATTATGTTAGTTCTATATTGATCGGTTTTCTTCTACCCTGACGACTCTGTAAAATATACTGAAGCCACAATCGATATATATACATATATTATATTGTATATACTATAAGACTCTTATAGATATTCTGCTGAACCTTGAGCCAGTTCAAGCAAAGTACCATATCTGTTAAAAACCAAATTTAAAGAGTTTTTTATTTAAAAAATATGTTGAAAACTTGTGCAATTCGTTATTATATGACCTATTACATATACTTTTCCAACTATTTTTGATATAAGATACGTTTTTTTTTTTCTGTTTGAACCGTTTTGGCGTCAAATCGTTTCATACTTCAATAAGTTCCCAGCTGAACCTCTTTTTGAACCAGTTTCAAAGTTAGTTCAACTTGTTTTTTATTCACAATAAACCAAAATCTTCACCATCTTTATAGCATGAACTTAGCTTTTCGGGTGAACTAGTTTTTGAATAAGTTTTTATTTTGTAAAAATTAAAAAAAAATATAAAAATAATAAAAAAATAATAATAATAAAACAAAAATGATAATAATAAAAAAAAATTATAATAAAAAAAAATAAATAAAAAAAAAATTATAATAATAATTCAAATAAAGTTTTATAACTACCTCTAAACAAAAAGATTTATAGCTGAACCACTTTTTGGCTCGCCTATGAACCGGTTCATTTTGATTAAAACCTTAACTAATTGCAATTTTTCGATATTCCCTTTGCCTTACAGCTGCCGCCAAGTAAACAGCGGCGCCTGGACAACAATGAAAACGATCAGCAGACGCACAACTGCAGCAATGACACGGCAGCAACAGTTGCTGCCGGCGCAACAGCAGCAGCAGCAGCAGGAACAACTGGACAACAGCCAACGCATCGCAGTCGCAAGCAGAAGCACGAACGCATACTCAACACGGAGCTGGAGGAGGCACAGCAACAGCCGGCGGCGCACGTGGAACACGCCCTCAGCAATGGCAGCCTGCTGCTGGCCGAGGAGCGTCTGGCGGTGGCGACAGCGGCGTCTGCCTTCAGCGAGCAGCTGTCGTCGCAGGAGGCGCACGTATCGGCGGCCGGGACACCGCTGCCAGTGAGCGGCACGGGCAGGCGGCGGGGGCGACCCAAGCGCAATGCCACCGAGATGACAACGACGCCAGCGACGACGACGCCAACAACGCCCGCGCCACCAGAAACGCTGCTGGAGGCCACCATGGGGGACAGTGCGGTGCAGTCGCGACGGGTGCAGCTGCTGCGCAAGCGATTGGCCATCGACATGGTCAGTGCGGAGCAGCCGGAGCTGCTGGCAACAGCGCACGCGGCACCCACGGAGCTGAAGCCCATGGAGGAGGATGCCGCGCAGCAGTTGCTGGCGACGGCGGCGGCGATGACAACGCCGACGCGACGCAACGAGCAGCGGCCGCTGCGTGCCACCCGACGCAGTGCAGCCACGCCAGGCGGCACACCAGCCGGAACGCCAGCAAAAGTAACGCGCAAGCGACAAAGCAAAGCTGCAACTGCTGCTGCTGCTGCTGCCGCGGCGGCGGCGGCGGCGGCAACTGTTGCTACTGCGATGATGCCGCGTTTTGGCGGCGACACGGCCATGGAGAGCAACAACAATGGCATGGCCTATGCCCTGGCCACACAAATCGATCTAACCATGTGCTCATCCTCATCCTCCACCAGCAATGGCAGCGCCGCAATAACAACAACAACAGCTGCTGCAGCAGCAGCACAAGCAGCAACGGCAGCAGCTGCGGCTGCGGCTGCAACTGTGGACAGCAGCAATTGTTCCATGTTGCCGCCAACAACAATATTATCCTCCTCCGATCCGCTGCCGGATGTCATCTTTCAGCCCAACGACTTCTCATCGATAACAGCCACACAGCAGCTGCGCTCGCCGCGCACCAACAACAACAACAACAGCAACACGAACAGCATCAGCGGCGGCAGCCAGCATGATTCCCATGATGAGGACAACTACAGCGCGCTGGAGAACTCTGGTGGTAAGCCTGCCCTGTGCTAACATTCTCCTTACGCTCCACTAAACCCGCCCCTTTTTGCTTTCAGATGAATCCTCGGCCCAGGGCAATCTCTTGAGCGGCTTTGGCAGTAGTCCAGCGGCGCCTGTGACGCCAACGCGCGGACGCGGACGTGGACGCGGCTCGAGAGGCGGCGGCGGCGGCGGCGCTGGCTCAGCGCGCAGCAGCAGCGGCTCCAGTCGCAACAACACAAATGCCGCACAGCCGCGTGTGCCGCGCATGAGTCGAGGCGCCAGCGCCGTTGCCAAGGCCATCGCACAGAGTCGGCCGCGCTGCGTGGGCGGACTCAAGCACCAGCCGGATCCGGAGCGGCTCAAGGGTTTCTTTAGTCCGGTAAGTTACAAAGTTATATATTTAAAAAATATTTTATGTAGTTATTTAAGAACACATACATATGCAACATTTTGGTCGGTCGAAAGTTCTCAGTTTGTGGCACATTCATGAATTTAGATCTTTAAGTTACTTGGGTTCCAGATTTTTTTTTTTATTTATTTCTATGGGAAGTTTCAGGGTCAGCCACGTGATATTATATACAGAAATACCAGGAAAAAATCTAATTTTATTTTTGTATGGCTTCTATATAGCAGACCTCTTTAAAATAAACAAACTTAAAAAGAAAGCTACCAAAAGTTATAAAAAGCTGTTTCTTATACATATATTAAGAAAATAGATTAACGGGTAATATATAAATTTCAGTAAAATTAAAAAAAAAAAACATTTTTTCTTTGTTTACATTTTGCCATATAGTAGCTTATAAAAATATATATACCAAAAATTCCAATACCTAGTACTTATAGTTCCCCCCGGGTTATTCGCAGAAGTTCTTAAATACTTCTGCTACAATTTATTAAAAAAGTTCAAAATTTCTATATATAATTTATTTATATTTTTTTATATATATGATTATATATATTATTATTTTGTAGTTAAGAAAAACAACAATCATGTGATTTTCCCTAAAAAAAAGGGTATTTGCAATTCGTCACACGCTGCAGTATCGAAAGTTTCTTTATAGCTGTTTCTTCTTTGTGCCTCTTCTTTGGCATGATTCATTCAAAGGATACCGTGCTATATCTGTCTCTCCTCTCTATGTGTGTGTGTGTGTGTGTGTGTGTGTCTTGTGGCTGTGCTCTATAATATTTATATGATAATTTTCATTGTTTCACCAATGCAACTTGTTTATGTTTTATTACGTAAATGTTGCTCACATGCACACGCAAAGCATACACACACACATATACATACTCATACATGCAAATGCAAACAGTGCTGTGTCGTAATTAAAATCAAAGGCGCGCGCGCGCTGCATTCATTGCCAACTGCTACAAAAAACGCATACGATTGCAGCAATAATAATAACAATAATAATAACAAAAACAACAACATCAGCAGGCAAACGGCAGCACGCGACCGCAGTAAGCAGCGCTGCAGCAGCAGCAGCAGCCGAAACGCGTTGTTGTTGTCTCTTCACCTGTGATTTTAATCAGCTGAACATTTTTTTTTTGTTGTTTTCTGTTTTTTGTTCGCTCTTGCTCTCTATTGGTGTGTCTATAGCAATGCTGGACGGCGGCAAGCTAAGCCACCTTCACCACACCTGCTGCGTCGCTGCTCTCTGCTTGAGGAGAGCTCAGCATGTGCGCTTCCCCACACAGTTGGCGTTTTGTTTTTTCATGCATGCTGGCAACGCTGTCACACGCAGCGCTCTCTTGAGTTGTTGCGCTGCCCACTCTTGCGCCCTCTGTCTCTTACTCTCTCGCGATGGCGCTGCCGGCGTCGCAGCAACCAAAATCAATGCACAAATTTACAAACAAAAAAAAAACAAAAGAGAAAAGAAAACACAAATTTGATGATGTTTGTTTGTTAATGTTTTTCAATGCTTTTTGTTGTTGTTTTGCAGTCACCGCAGGTGTTCGAGGAGGACACACGCATGAGCGCCGATCTGAATAACAGCAATCAATCGGTAACGAGCATGGAACCTCCGTTAACGCCACAAAAGTGAGTATTATTTTGAGTTTTATTACCGTGCGCCACTCAATTAACACTCGTTGCTTTCGCCTTTGCCTTCTCCTCGCTCAGGCAACCGGACTTCCTCAACAACGAGGAGTCGCAATCGTCCATGTTGAGCGGCGTCAGTTTAATGGACTCGAATCAGGGTCAATCTGTGGACGCGATACTCGGTTCGGCACTGAAACGACCCAAGAAGAAGAAAATGGAGATTTGCGTGGCCGAAGAGTGAGTAGCATATTGCATAGCTCCCCATCCCCGCCCGCCCGGAACCATCACACTCACCATATATCCTTTGACCTTTTGCAGTACGGATTTCAAGGCATCCAGCATTGCGGAGTATGATTGGCCGCCGCCCAAGGGCTGTTGCCCGTCCAAGAATCGCGACACCTTCATGATACAGGAGCAGGTGGCCCTCTATCTGGGCATCACCAGCTTTAAGCGCAAATATCCCGATTTGCCGCGTCGCGCCGTCGACATGGAGGAGCGCAATTGGCTGCAGGAGAAGGGCCTGGTCAGCGAAAAGATGTGCGATCTGGGCATCACCGCTGTCTGGGCCTCCGACATACTGGACATCATGTATGCCGATTTCTATGACAAGTACGAGGAGTACAAGGAGTACATACGCCAAAAGCATCTGCGCGACATCGAGGCCAAACAGAAGGCGCTCGGCCTAACTGTCGGCAATGGGCGTGGCCTGCAGGCACGCGATCGCGCCATGCTCTCCACCAGCAAATGGAATGTGTACTTTAACAAGACGTAAGCCCTCACCCCTGTCCTGACCACACACGAGTCATTTCATGAGACATCCCCAACTAAATCGTCTTCCCTTTCCCTTCCCATTGTAGGCGCAAGGAGGAGCGTGTCGCCTGCCTGGATCTGCAAACGTTCACCATGAATTTGCCGGTGCCGCGCACAGCGGCCAGTTCCACGCTGTTGCATCGCTCCATCACGAATGTGGTGCGCGAAGCCGCTCAGGCCGAGAATATGCCAGCGCCGCCCCAGCTGCTGGCGCCGCGGGTCTATGATGCCGCCTACCAAGACTCCGATTACGTCTATCCGCTGGCCCTGGTGCCAGGCCAATTTACGTCCAACTATCGCCAGCTAACGCCTGCCGAGCTGAGGTGAGAAATAAACAAACCAAAAAATAAGTCTAGTTTTCTTTGGCACGCCGAAGTTGAAATACCCTTGCACTCATTTATAGCAACTATATCATATATCCTCATCTGAAATTAACATGATTTTGCCATATATTAAAAGCATGTTAATGTTCATAACTTTCAAGAATAATAATAATAATAAGAATATAACACAAATGGCATGCAAAACTAATGTATCTTCTTTTTGTAGGGCATACCCGCTGAATACAGCACTGGATAAGCCGCTGAAGCAGCAGGAGCAGCTGCTGCTGCCCGATGGTGTCAAAGCTCCGCCAACGAAGTCACAGACAGCGGCGCTGCGGCGCAGTCAGCGTTCGCGACAGCAGCGCAACAACGATCCGGCCAAAACAAGCAGCGCCTCCGATGCCAGCGGCAGCAGCAGCAGCAGCAGCAGTGACGCCAGCAGCAGCGAATCTGTAAGTAACAATCACACATATACACACACACACACACATACATCTTCCACTCATGCATATTTGTTATTGCACTTTTATAGGACAGCGACGCTGACAGCGACAGCAGCTGCAGCAGCAGCGCCAGCAGCCACAGCAGTCGCAGCAGCAATAGCAGCACCAGCAGCAACAACAGTTCCATAAACTCCGCCAGCGAAACTGAGCAGAAACGCGAACAGGATGCCAGATTGACGTCCAATTGCGGCGTCTGCCAGCGCACACAGCATCGCAATGCGAGAAATATGCCCGAGGCCTTTATACGCTGCTACAGCTGTCGGCGCAGAGGTAAGTGATGGCCTCGATATAAATCCCACATGGGATATTAAGGGGACTTTTTGTAATTAAAACAGTGTTACCCATTTTTGAGTAGCCAAGTAGGGGGAAATGTAGAAATGTTGAAAACTGAAAGTTGCCTATTTAATTGAATAAAAATGCATAAAGATTAAGCTCTGTGATATATTTGCAAAGTAATATTACTTGCTGTGCTCGTCGAGCTGATGCGAGTAAGAGTTACAGTGAGTACTTTACAAATATACCATACTAGTTTTTCTTTTTGCCAGTATCAATTCGTTTATTTTGCTTTCAAATATAATTCTCTGAATGAAAAACTTCACTTAATACACGTCAAAAATCTTCCGGTTTCTAAGTGTTACCGTTAATTCACTTAAAAAAAAATAGGCCAGATTAGACGATAAACCAGAAAAGTTGGCAACGCTTCTGTAAAATTAAATTTAACGAACTTAAAATATTGCCAATCGGGCGCTTATTTAGGGTATTTTTTTGTATGTGCAGTCTGGCAATACCAATAGCTGTTGTTTTAAGCTGCAGTTCGTTGAGTTTCGTTAAAGAAAAGAAATATTATTAATTATTAATTTCAAACAACTTTGTTTGCAATCATTTAATTTACAGTGCATCCCAGCTGTATTGAGATGCCGCACCGCATGGTCGGACGTGTGCGCAACTACAATTGGCAGTGCGCGGATTGCAAATGCTGCATCAAATGCGGCAGCAGCCAGCAGCCGGGAAAAATGCTCTACTGCGAGCAATGCGATCGCGGCTATCACATTTACTGCCTGGGCGTCAAAGCGGTGCCCGAGGGTGAGTCTCTATCAGGAGTTGCATCTATATGTATATATATATATATATATTGTATAACGTTAACTGTTTGCCCTTTAGGTCGCTGGAGCTGTGAACGCTGCTCAATTTGCATGCGCTGCGGCGCCACACGCCCGGAGGGTCTGCCGCAGGCGTCGTTGCTCTCGCCAAATGGCGTCAGCGGGGGAGGGGAGAAGTGCGTGAAGCCTGTTAAACACAAAAAGGTCAAATGGATGAACGAGTATCGCATCGATCACATCACCAAACTGCGCGAACACTGCGCCATGCTCTGCGTGCCCTGTGCACGCGCCAAGCCCACCAAGCGAACGCCGCCCACAACGCCCAGCGGCAGCAACGGCAACGGCAACGGCAGCGGCAACGGCAGCAACAATAGCTGCGCAGATTCGCCAACATTAGCTGTCCAGTTGCCGTTGTCTGTGCAGGCCAATGGCGCCACGGATGCAACAGCTGCGCTCAGTCCAAGAAGCTGCAGCAGCAGCAGCTGCAGCAGCAGCACGGCGAGCATCATCATGGCGCCGCCGCTGGCAGCGGAGGCAATTGCCGGCGGCGGCGGCGGCACCCTGCCCATTGGCGGCAAGCGAATGCCACAACAGGTGCAACAGCTGGTGGTGAACAGAATCCAGGACATGGCAATAATGCAGTGCAGCACCACCACCAGCAGCAGCAGCAGCAGCGGCAGCAGCAGCAGCAGCTTTAATGATGCGACTGCGTCAACAGCAGCAGCAACAATAATTGCGACAACAGTAACGCCCGCCGCCAGCAACAGCTCCAACTCAGTCGCAGCAACAGTTGCTGCAACAGCAACAATAACAACAACCACAACAACAGCAGCAGCCACAGCCACAGGAATTGGCATAGCTCCGCCGCCGGTTGTTGCCTGAGTGGGGGTTATACGTTATTGTGCCAAGCGCACTTTAACGGACTTGTAGTAAGCGCGGGTCGCCCCCCCCCCCTGCCTGCCACCCTCCAATCAACCCCGACCGAAATCCTAAACCACCAACCCTGCCTAAACAGCAATCCCCGCCTATCCCCCTTCTCCCACACACACACACACACACACAAGTGCATAGTATTAACAAGCAAAAACACAAGCTATTTTTGTATATGTATGCGGTTGGGCGTATGTTTATTGATTATATATATATATATTAATGCAATTTTTTTTTGTTTTATCTTTAATTGTTTTATATTCATATAAATACAACTTAATTTAATGCCCACAATAATTATGTTACTTAAGCGATCGCAAGATAAATATGTTACGGACACATGACAACAAAATGATCAACAAATTTATGTTTATGCCTAAGTTGAGTTTGTTTAAATTAGCGAATAAGTCACAATACACGCCCACACGAACACACCCACACGAGAACACCAACAACAAACACACACATACACTTGGAGTTTCTTAGCTGCATTTTAGTTAATTTTACTTTTTTAATTTTTTAATTGTATGCAAAACTTTTGGCGTTGCCACATGCCATTTAACAAGTGCAGCAGAATCGTCTGGCAACGTATTTACAATTTCTTAACTCATAACAACCTCTTTCTTCCTTATGCCCATTCTCTTTGTTCCTCATTCATTACACACACGCACACACACACATCGCCTCTACTTTTAGGACATCGCATATTGTGTATTTTTTTCTTTTGTGTTTGTTCGTTTCGTTTATAATATTTAAATATTTATATATCGAAACATATACAAAAACAATTATGTCTCTATGTACGTCGTTAGCCTATAAAATTGTACTATACGAATAAATAAGCTACAAATAAAAAATAACATATGTAATAAATGAAATTGGGCCGAAACTACTATAATATATATAAATATATATATTTTTTTTTTCGTTCAAATTGTGTATGTACTTCTTAATACTATTTTTTGTAAACTGTAAGCTAGCCATGTAAATGATTTAAGCCCAGAATGCAAATGCATATGTATGTGTGTATGTTCATATAGGCGTATGTGCATGCATATGTACCTGTGTATGTGTGTACATATAAGTAGTGTCTTCTTATATATTAAAAAGTATATATATATTTTTTTTTGTTGGGCGGCAGCTGCTTTGTGCTAGTTGCTTTTGTAATGCAACAGCGACAACAAACAACAAGAAGCAACATTTACTATTTAATTAGGCCTAAGAATGTATTATACATGTAATTTATGCTAACGTGCACACACACACACACATAGATATACACAATTAAAAAAACAAAAGAGAACAGTTAAGCACAAGCAACAACAAAATGAAAATTATTTAAGTAAATGTGTGAAAGAATTTCAAAAAAAAAAAAAAAGAAAGAAAGAAGGAATAAGAAAAAGTGGCAACGCTGACAAAACTTGACGTTTCACAAAACTAACGCAATGAAATTCGTCTACTTAAACAAGCGAGTTTGGTAAAAATCTAATTTTCCATTGAATTTTATGCAATAAGACCTTAATAAGTGAATTACTATACATATACATAGTTATATATATATATATATATATATATATACAAACCAGAAAACATATTTATAAGTCGAATAAAACAGCAGCATTAATAATTTTGCCTTACCTAATAAATTTCTTTTTGGCTGCCCTCACAAATGCAGAACCGTTGCAAATAGCTTGTCCTCCAGCTCATGGCCATCCCGCCAATGGAGCAGCTGGCAGCTCAGCTCATGCCGATGCGCGGGCAACTTATCGTACAGCTCCTCGCCCCGCCGTATGCAGGCGACGTCAACGGGACGCAAACGGCGAATGGCGCACAGATCATTGCAGCCGTCGCCAACATAAATGATGCGCCCGTAGGCCACCTTGCAGCTGGACATGAGCATGTGCATGACGCCGCCCTTGCACATGTTATGGGGACACTGGTCGCAGTGCGTCTGCTGCTCGTACGGCTCGACCAGCAGCTGGCCGTCCGGCTGCACGCTGGCCGGATTCGTGTGGACGCCCGCCTTAAAGATGTGCTCCAGACCGTGCGCCGCCAGCCATTCGCCAATCATATAGTCATTCGCATCGCTCAATATGCACATATTCAGCCCCGGATAACGTTCCATGCGTCGCAGCAGATGCAGCATGCCCGGCACCGGCGGCAATCGCCGCGCATGCTGCCCGATCTGTGCGGCACTCAGGCGCTGCTCCAGCTGCAGCAGCCGCAGCACACGCTGGATAAACGTTAGCCAGTCGGAGTTGTTGATCAGCGCGGACAGCTGCTCGGTGCGTTGCTCCGGCGCAAGCAGACGACTCAGCGCCTGGTACGAGTCCACGTCGATGATCGTCTTGTCGAAGTCAAAGGTTGCCAAGAGGTGTTCCTTGCGGCTGCCAAAGCAGCGCCACAACGCCGGCAGTCGCGCCAAATAGCCACTAAATAGCATTATACATATACATATATTGTGTTTATTGAATTTGTTAGAAATAACAGCAAATTTTATTTGATTGGGGCATAAGAAGCAAATGTTGAGTTTCATTTATTTATTTGTTTACACTCAAACAAGAAAGAAGAGCGCAAAGCATCGCTCTCTTTCGCTCGCTCTCGCGCATTTTTTTTGGCACTTCCTGTCTCCGTCTGGCAACACCAATGTATTTCTGCCCTGTGCAAATGCATGCAACAGGCAGCAGGGTTGTCGGCAGAAAGGAAATTGAGAACTTTTATGTATGTATATGTGTATGTATGTACATATATGTTTGTGTGTATGTGCTTGCGTGCATGTATATGTGTATGTATGTATGTATATGTGTATGCATGTTTATGTGTATGTATATATATGTGTATGTATATATGTATATTTGTATGTATGTATGTATATGTGTATGTATGTATGTATATGCGTATGTATGTATGTATGTATATGTGTATGTATGTATGTATATGTGTATGTATGTATATGTGTATGTATGTATATGTGTATGTATGAATATGTGTATGTGTGTATATGTGTATATACATATGTATATGTTAATGTGTGTATGTGTTTGCGTGCATTTATATGTGTATGTGTATGTATGCATATGTACATGTACATATGTATGTATATGTGTATGTTTGTATTCATACGTGTATGCATGTATATGTGTATGTTTGTATGTCTATGTGTATGTATGTATATGTGTATGAACATATGTATATGTGTACGTATGTATACGTGTATGCATGTATATGTGTATGTATATATATGTGTATGTATGTATATATGTATATGTGTATGTTTGTATGTATATGTGTATGTTTTTGTGTATATGTGTTTGTTTGTATGTATATGTGTATGTATGTATATATATATGAATGTATGTATATGTGTATGTATGCATATGTGCATGCATGTGTGCATGTATGCAGATATATAGCTATGTTTGTATCGATATACGTATGTGCGTATGCATATACACTTAGTTATATATGTGTGTGTATATGTGTATGCATATATGTATGTATTTATGTATGCATGTGTGTATGCGTATGTGTATGCATATATATGTAAATGAACGTATGCATATATTTTGTATGTTTATACGCAAGACCAAGTCTAGCTGCGCTGCAAATTCAAAAAAAAAACGTATTCTTTACTAATGCCCTACTACGCGATTCTCATAAATTCAAGTAAGTCCCAGGCTTGGGCTTCACTTAATGTGGAGGAGGCGGCGGCTTCAACTATGGAGGAAACGGCGGCTTGAATTATAAAGGAGGAGGCAGCTTGAGCTATGGAGGAGAGGGCTTCAACTACGGATGAAGCGGCGGCGGCGGCTTGAGCAATGGAGGAGGAGGAGGAGGATTCAACTGTGTAGGAGGCAGTGGCTATGGCTTTACCGGAGGCCATTGAAAAAAGTGGTACGTTTTATAAACATAACTATGTCCCATTATATTTAAAAGTTATAACCAATACAATCGTATGGATGTATGTTGGTTAATACATACATATAAGTTTGTATGTATTTTGAGCTGAGCTGGCAATGAACAATAAACGTACTTGTAGACAATGCTCTCCTATGCGATTCTCACTAATTCAAGTTACCTAAACATGATCTCTTTTCAGTTCTTACAGATAACGATTACTTAATCGTGCGTGGGAATTTTCAGGTGAGTACCTAAATTCAAATATATATTGATCGCTGTATATAAAAATGTTTGTCCTGACTCAATTTCTATATAGGAACATAGGTAAAAATTTCCCACCCCCATAACTCGGACAAATCTCAGCCGATTTTCATAAGCTTTGGCTTTTTGTGCATGGTTTAGCTTCTAAATCAAATTGGCATCTAAATCTGGCAACATTATTCTTGGTCAAAATTCATGTGAAAATGCTATCCTCAAATATCCTATATAGACATAGATCACAATTTCCCACCCCCCATCTAAGTCTGGCAACACTATTCTTGTATATCATGTAACGGCTCATTGTGAAATTCCTTTTCCAGTTTTTTTTTGTTTATGACAACAGATTCTGGAAGATGCAAAGTCTTGGTTTGGTTGTTTTCTTGGCGTACATACATTTATTTATTATTTGGGAAAACGTACAGTTAAAATATTTACAATAGCATTTGAATGTATTTATTATTCGGTTTTAAATTGTTTTCTCTTGTGTAAGCGAATTCGTAGCGAATTTTAATTTTTTAAATTGTATTATATTATTTTTTTTTTTTCTGCTTTTGCTGTGTGTTTCAACTTCTTCGTTCCAAGCTGTTTGTTGTTGTTGTTGTTTTTGTTGTTTCTGTCATTTACAATAACGGTAATTCAAATAACCATTACTTGCCCTTGCCTAAACTATGCATATAAAAAAAATAATAACTGTTTTTTTAATTTTTTGTTTGTTTTTTTTTTTTTTGGTTTAACACAAAACTTTCTATAAATAATAATTGTCGCGCTGGTTAGACACGTGTTAATTTATTTGAATTTCTAGTTGCGCAGCTACTTACTCGCATTTTATTCAAATATTTTCTTTGAATTTTCTTTTTTTTCAGATAAAAAAAAAAAATTGTTTTTCTTTTTATAAAATATAAAAAATAATAATTAACATAAAAACGTTCTGAACTGGTTTGGTTTTTGTGTTTGTTTTTGTTGCTGTTGCTGTTTTTGTTTGTTTTTGTTTTTGTTTTTCTTTAATCCTCATTTTGCAGTTGTCGGCTTGTTAGTTCTTCGGCATTGCCTTCCAATAAATCCGCCGACTTCCAGCCAACAACAGCTGCACAACAGTTTAGTTTGCTGCTGTTGTCGTTGCTGCATCGGTCGTGTGATTATTGGCACTGCTGTTGTTGCCCCTCTTGCGCTGGTTGGCTCCGCCCGCTGCCGTTGCTGCTGCTGGCGCAGGGTTGCCAGATTTGGTCTTTGTGCGCATCGAGCCGTTGGCCACGCGCACATTCCCTGAACTATCTGTGAGATCTTCACTATCACTGGAACGTATGTCGCCGGACATCTGCAGAAGCACAAGAAAAAAGGAGTAAAGTAATTAGTAAAGCAATTGCTTTATTGCAAGCATGTTGTTGATTGGATTATTCATAAAATGTACATATGAATGTGATGATTTAACAATGAATAGTTATTGCACAATGTTTATTTTAAATTCCCCTAAATCTTTGGTAAAATAATGTCAAGCTCGTCATCAGTCGCTCACTCAACCCTTTGTTGCCCATCACACTTCCACAACTTGTTACCATTCGGTAACACACCACAGTCCGTTAACCCTTTTTGTTTCTTCCTTGCCCAGCATGGCATGGTGACTACCATTTGGTGACGTCACAACTTCTAATATACTCAAGTGCAATGTTGGCTAATTACAAGAGCGTTGCCATCTAACATGGAGAATAGCATTTGGTGACGTCACAACTCCTAATAAACTCAAGTGCAAGAGCTCTCTCTGTCTGTCCGTTTCGTCATTTGCGTAATGTTATATATCCCATTCATTCGCCTTAACTTATTTTTAAAGCATGCGGGGAGCATTAAAAATGTGAAGGTATAATGGATTACAAAATGGTTGAAGATGAGCACGTACTAAACTTACCAGACCCTTCTGCAAGGAGTCGACCACAATCTTCAGAATCATATAGGTCCAGATGACGTGCAGCACCAGCAGCATTAACAGCAGCGAATTGAATATATAATAGGCTGGGAACATGGGCAGAATGCGAGGTGCCTCCACAGATGCGCTGCAGGTGGTCGAACAAAATGGTAAACGATAAGCAATAGTTTTTCAACGAGCTATTTTGTTGGTTATGTCACCTGTAGATAATGCGCGGATAGAAGCCCAGGCGTGTAACAATCCAGACAACCGTGAAGATGGCAAAGATCGCATCGCACACCTTCTGATAGTTGGCATATTTGGTCAACTTGGCGGCCTCAAGGAATATGTCGGCACAATCGTGCACGACCAAAACCAGGGAGCCAACGCGATGCAGGTTGCACACCCAGCTGAGCGACATTAGCAACAGTGTGACCATATGATGTATAAACATTTGCCAGAAATCCTTGCGCTTCACATCAAAGAACTGTGTGGCCGTCAGGGACCAGTAGAACGACATCGATATCATATAATACCACCAGACATCGTCACTCACCGACTGCAATGGGAACGCATTTGATTGAGTGTGATTGTTTGATAAAACGATCAATCAATCTACATATTTATGAAACACTCACCTGATGAGGATAGCCATACCAGCAACTCTTGACATCCCAAAACCAGGGCTTGTCCCACAGCACTATAACGCCGAATATAAAGCTATACAGATAATACAGGCACCGCCATGTGTTCTCGCAGAACTTCACCAATGTCGACGGCTTGTCCTGGGCGCGACGCAGGCGCCACCAGCGCTCGATTTGACGCTCAGACATGTCCGCCTGCTTGGACAGCGGTGCCAGCTGCGTGGGGAGGATCAAAAACAAAGGAAATTTCTTTTAAAAACTGATTGATTGATTGACTGATTGACGTTGACTGCACAGCCCAAAGCGTAAGAGCTAGGCGCATACATATTTCACAGATAAATACTTATTTGATATTATCTTCGAATTCCCTCAGAAAGGAAATTTCTTCTAAAAACTGATTGATTGATTGGCGTTGATTGCACAGCCCAAAGCGTGAGGGTGCATCGATTTTTCACAGTAGATGCGCGTTTTGTAATGCACCAAGTGCAGATAAATACGTTTTAATCAATTAATAATCTTCGATTCCCCTCATATAAGATAAGATTGGAATTTTCCGCAAGTGTGCAAAACGGTTGCAAGACTTTTCTTTTTTACCAAACGATTGGCTAGAAATTAATTGTGAACTTGTACGTTCCAAAAATGTGGGAAATAGATTTGAATTTCAATGTAAAGCACTCTGGCCCGGGCAAAGCCGGGCTACGCATGTTGATTATTCGTCGAATACTTGGTTAGTAATTATTTGATAGAACTCGTTACTCACCCACTTGTGGTCCAAATGCGATGATTTGGCATATGCCAACTCTAATGTAGGAACATTTGCCGCTTTCTTAGGTCTAGAGCTTCTTATGCCCAACGATTTGCCAATTGGAGATATCCAAAAGCTGCAATAAACCAACAACAACAAATTTATAGGGTATATATACACACACACACACACACATATATGTAAATCGAAATATGTCTAGTTATGCGGTAGAGTTATTTATTGGAATAGATATGCAATTTGATTATGAATCGTACATTCGCAATGATGGCCAATATTTAATCAAAGGCGTCGTAACTTACAAGTAGACAGACTAGCGACTACCCTGTAAACAAGCAAGTTGTGAAGTACGTAGCTTATCAAATACCCTGCCTGAGTGTGTAGAAGGAATATAAATATCCTGAAAGCTAGCAAGATTTGTTTTGAGTATGGGAAATGTTGCAGAGTGGGGGGACTAGGAGACACTCTGTAATCAAGCAACCTATCCTTAAAGAGAAAAAAAAAGGAAAAACAAGCACATCTAAAGACTTAAACATACACTGTTACCAACTCTATGATAAGGAAGTAAGGACATTCCCTTGTGTAGAAAGACTAGCAGATACCCTGTAAGCAAACCGACGAAACGAACGGCTTAGAAAGACGCATTAATATACTATAGCCAAGCAAACTTCTTAATAGTTGAAATATACCCTGTATTAATGCAGCCTGCCCATGAAGTAGAGTAGGGTCGCCTAGCAGATGCTCTGTAATCATTCCAAAATATACCCTGTAACCAAGCAGAATCTAACCCGTTAAGACTAGAAGGAACCAAGTAGCTGGTTAAAAGTATAGGAAATCCCCTCTAACCCAGAACACAATTCACCAAGTTCTAGCATACCCTGTTTCTTTAACTGACTCTGCCGCATTTATTGATTGCCATGAAATTTGTAGGGCAGTTAATTAGACAGCTGATATAAACGCATACTAAATAGCAACTGTTTATCTTCAAAACTGTAAATATTATTAGTTTCTATCGATTATCGGAGCTGCGAGGCAAGAAAACAATATTTTTAGCTAAACTTTATCTGCATATGGTAAAAAATTTCATTTATATTTGGCATATTCAATAGAATTTGTGAAATCGTGCAATCTATTTATTCATATTTTCTTTAAAAAACCTTATCTAGGAAAAATCTAGGTTCGCAAATGTAATTTAATTACAAATTGAAGTTTGGCAACAGCGCACAGAATTTAGTTCAGCGCAACTTTGCAAACCAAACACAAGAACTTCATTTTGGCTCAACTATAGAATGCGGAAATTTGCTTGCAGCACATTGAAATTCCACACCCAAAAAGCTACATTTGGGCAGGCCCGGCCATACCCAACTGTACCCCGCCGTCTGTCTGGCACGTGTGAAGCATGGCAACACTGGACGACAAGTGTTGGCTAGCGGCCATGCATAAGTAATTGGGGTACAGCATAGGCGCAGCGCATGGCATTATAGCTTGGGTCTTGACGAACGCTTTTCGGAAGTTAATTTGCTAATGAAATCGAAAATATGGCTAGGCCCCAGTCAACCCCAGATGATCCCCCCCTTCCCCCCCTCCTCTTCTCACTCTCTGATCAAGAGTCGATCGGCAGGCGCGTCTGTCTGGCATTTTAAATCAATTGGCTTTTGTTTGCATCAGCTTGAGCTATGAGCGAACGTCCCTAAAAATAGAATTAAGGAAGCCGATAAATAATTACTTGAAATTATATATTTATTTCTCAACAACAAGGGCCAAAGGGTCGACGCATTGGATTTGATTTGCTTGCACTCTGAGAGGAGAAGCGTTAATTATAATAATAATAAATTTAACTCGACTCGAGCTGCGTGCATACATTACCCAAACTGTCACACTACGGCGCTGACCCCCAGCTCAGCCAAGTTCAAGTTCAAGAGCCAAGCACAGAAAATATCACAAATCTAATGTGCGGCCTGGTCGACTAGAGCATCAGCTACATTATGGCAATATAAAGAAATATGTATATGATAGCAGCTGGTATTCTGCTGCTTTTTGTCTTTGCATTTTCATTATCAGTTTTTCACTCAATTTCCACGCGTTGTTGTGAATTTCTCTAGATGAGAACATTTGAAATTCCATAAATTTTTTCTACTCTTCGATTCGTTATGGGAGCCACTCCCAAATGTGAGGTACATGGTTTCATATGTAGCCAAAATGACCAGTGTTGGGTAGCCCTTATGCACTAATATGCCCCAATCATTGGCGGGCAGCGCAGCACAAGCACCAGCACATGTTATTTATTTTCAAATAAATTTGGGCTTGCGCCCGCATAAGTACGCAATTCATATGCATGCACGCCCGCTTCCACATAAATACGTACGTACAGTATATATGTATGACATATTGGTTGGGACAAGCTTAGAATTTGTAATGCCCACTTATAGGAAGCGCGTGGAAGCGTGCACTGCAGCTAATAAATATTAAACAAATATAATAATAACAATAAGAAAACAAATCTAGTAACAACTCGTCAATTGACAGTTGACAGAAGAAAGAAATTGATCAAATTGCCCGCTACACAACACTAACAACACCAAACACCAAACACCAACACTACTCGATACTCCCCGCAACAGCAGCAGCCGCTGTTCGATGTCTGCGAGAATCTACCACGAACGACAGGTGGCGCAACTGTGCGCACTGCACGCCCTTAACAATTTGTATCAGCGTCGCAATATGTTCACCAAGAAGCAACTGGATGGTTACTGTTATGCGCTGACGCCACGCGTCTGGCCGAATCCGCATCGCTCGTGTCTGGGCTGGGGCAATTACGACGTGAACGTGATCATGTATGCCGTGGAGCAGCTGAACTGCGAGACCATTTGGTTTGATCGAAGGCGTGATCCCCATTGCCTCAACCTGGCCGAGATCTTTGGCTTCATACTGAACATCGGCGCTGCCGTGAGCCTTGCCTACTATATTCACCTGCCCGGCGTTCGGAACCGGCATTGGATCGCCTTGCGCCGCATCGAGGGCAATTACTATAATCTGGACTCGAAGCTGAAGCAGCCGCGTTGCATTGGCAACGAGCTCAAGTTCTTGGACTATCTCCGGCAGCAGCTAAAGCCCGAAAATGACCATGAGCTATTCATTATTGTGAGGCGCCAGCGTCAGCAGCAGCAGCAGGAGCAGGCAGAGCAGCAGCGCTGGCTAAGGCCCGAGTATCGGCCCATGCAGGAGGAGAGCGAGTAAGCACACCAACACATATACACATACATACATACATACATACATACACACACAGTCACACCATACACGCGCCCCTAGGTTTACAATAAACATTTTTACTTTGGCATCGATAACAACAGTTTATAGCGATAACAGTTGTTGCCGTTAGCATTCGCTGTGCGTGCAGGTAATTACAGTTACGTACATACATATACTATGTGCATGTGTGCGTGCGTCTCCAGCTTATGCCAATTTAGCTTTTTTAACGGTCGATCTGGCTTCCCTTTTTTTTCATTGAGGCTCCCAAACTTGGCAGGCGCCTGCATTTCTGGCTATTTATAAGACATTTTGAAATACCATTGTGCTTAGTCGCCTCTCACAGATCAGATATACATATAATGTATATAGGATATAATCAAAGGCTGTGCAAAGAGCAGACCCATGCATTCAATTAGTTAAAAGCTATATTACATATTATTGTTGATTTGGCACGTTATTGGCTTCCAGTTATTGCGATTCTTCTTCTCTATTGTCTCTAAGTCGTTTTTACGGCATATGAAGTACAAGATAACAGTGAAGTAGATCGTGCAATAAACAATAAAAATATATATTTCTGCATTAGAGTGTGTCAGCTTTTTTAAGGAGCACTTCTCCATTCAACTCTGCTATTTGTAACAGCTTTTAGCTATTTTTCGTTAGTTCTCAACACTGGTTCCACTGCGAATGCAACCACTCGATTAGCAATTAACGATAAAAGCCATAATTATTGTGAATTAATGTGAAACGCAAATGCATGCTGATATGCATTTATATTCGTATGTTTGTACATAAAAGCGACCAAAATTACAGTAAGTCCGGCAAATGGCGCTGTTATCAGCACATGCACAACAACAGAGCAGAGTGTTGCCATTTCGGCAAATTACAGTGTTGTGTGTATACAGAAGAGATGCGAGAGGCAAAGAGCGAGCAACACATTCGCTTGTTAATGATAATTCAACACGCAAACGATTGGACGACACAGTACAAAAAAGTAAACACATTAATATACTGTACATAAGTATAATACGATGACGATGACTCATGCTCTTTAACATAAACCTTGGACAGTGTCATTCGAGCATTTTTGCGGCGATAACAAGATCAAGATGAATTCGCTGAACTAGCTAAGCCGACTGTTATCTCGCGCTGTTAAACAGCTGATTTAAAACCACAATAACATTGTTGTTGCTGCTGAACAACAGCAGCAATGCTGCTAATTGCCGTTTAACATATTTTTCACCGCTCCCGCTAAATGCGTGTGTGTGTGTGTTGCCGGCGGGCTTTTGTGTGCGTAAAGCACGTGCACTTTTTGGCCTTTCGCTTGGGCAAACGGTAGACGATAGCCACGGCGATAAGCCAGCAAAGAAAAAAACTAGTTTGGATTAACGACAACAAACAATACAATAGCAACTGGACACACTACATATAAAGTATGTATATGTGCTTATGTTTATTCTTGGAAGTGCGCGAAATGTCTATGGAGAAACTGCAGTTCAAGCACACGCACAGACAATTGTCGCCGGCACGACAAATCCACCCCGCGCTTGGTTTTAGCTATTAAATAGATTGCATGCGTGCATGCATGTGTGTGTGTGTGTGTGTGTGTGCAACTCTGTTCTTCTGTGTGTGGGCCAATTTTTGAAAATGAACTTTTAATTTGATAGCATTTGGCTGGCCGCACGTTATGAGGGTCGTCTGATACGTAATCGCAATAAATAAACAAATACACATATAATTTACACATATGCATGCATAAATTTATATACTCCCACCTTTGCACATACATAAATAATTATCGCATGTTGTATGTGTGCATGCTACTTTGAATGGAATTGTTCACTCTTTTTTTTTATAGCATTCCAGTGTGCGGCCAATTTGGAAAAGCTACCCAGATTCGCTGGGAATGGAACGGAACTGAGTCACAGTCGTTCACACCACTGACTCAAGCGTGTGTCACACACACAAACACACACACACACACACATGCACACATGCACCACCCACACGCAGCTACGTATGTATGCTTGTGTAACGTAATCGCAGATAACAGCGCGCATTATCAAATTTTTATTCAACTTTTACGTAAATCTTGCGCGCAAATCTTATCAACAAATGCTCAAGCTGTGCGAACGGAGTGGCGCACAATGGAGAGTGGATTCTTGTTGTTGGTGCTGCCGCCTGCTGGCAGTCGATGCCACACGCACGCACACACTCAGCTAATTTGTTGGCGACCCTGAAAGCCAATTCTAGTTTCAGAAACACTGAAAATCAAAAAACCAGTCAACTAAATAGCCCTGACAAACATTTAAGCAATATGCGGTTATAGTTCAGTAGAAGCGTCCACAAGACTTCACTTCGTGACGTCGACCGCTTAACATTTAGTCCAAAAAGTAATAAAAAGAAATATTGGAATTGCGGAATGGAACGCATTGCAGGTGTCCCACATACATGTATGTGTGTGCGTGTGTGTGTGTGCTTGTGTAAATTTTGTTAGCACAAATTCACGTGAACATTTGTAATTATGTTAATTACAACATGCGAAATGCACGCAACACACACACACACACACACACACACACACTCACGCCGCGAGTTGTAAGTGTGTGTTAGCTTTGCGCTAAGCAAATGTAAGGTTAATTGGCCCAAATAAGCGGCAAATGGCCCGCTGCACAGTGTGCCAAGCTCTGCAGCAAATGCTCTACTGCACAGTGTGGTGAATGCTGAAGAAAAAATTTCACACATAAAAAAAAAGAACCATATATGATAAGAGCCCTTATCAAAAGCCTTGCTGGAAAACACCTTCGTAGCATTATGCATTTCGTTGGAATTCAATTGACTCACATTTAAACTCAAATTTCATTTGTAATCTGATTATAATGTGGGGACATGAACCCATTATGACTAATGCGAGGCACATCGTATTGATTGCAAATGAGATGTTCGTGACAGTTTTTACTACTGCAATCGCTTTTTTGCATGCCAGTTTTAAAATAATCGCAAACAATTTCCATCTCCAACTCATGCGCACGCTAGCAAATTAATTTAATTTGTGTTTTTTCCAATTGGCTCTAAAGGTTATTCCCAAAGAAAACGAAAAACAACAGATTAAATTTTCGAAAAGAAAACAGCGAGACAAGTTTTTTTTTGTTATAAGACAAGGTAAGGCGTAATAGTTAAACTAAATAATAATTTAAATACTATTTTGTTTTTTTGAATCTTATGTCAGAGTTGTCACTCTGATATTTTGAGACTTTTTCAAAAGGATGCACACCACTGTTCGGTACATATACACATACACATGCACATGTACCTATGAGAAAAAAGCAATTGCAGGGCGCCGTTGACTTTGCTGTTATTGTTATGCTTGTGTTTGTTTAGTGCATACAAGTAAACAAATAGCATTTATTATTATTATCATTTTTTTTTTTGTAAACTAAACAATTAGTAAGCGCTGTGCGCGGTACGGACACCGCAGAGCAGATCGGCAGCGCTCTCATGTTTGTGCATTTGTGGGAAATTGAGATTCCAATGGAACGCGACGTCGACGCCGACACCGCTGCTTTTGTTGTTGTTGAAATTGAAGAAGTGGATGAAGGAAAACAAAGTTGCAAGGCGTTGGCAAAGGGAGGGCAACAACAAACACGCACACACACACACACACATAACTGAATACATACAATGTTGGGCGTTTCCACATGAGGTTATGTTTGGCTTAAAAGAGCAAAAATATAAAAAAAAAATATGTATATGTGTATGCGTATGTATGTAGGTGTTTGCGGCGGCGGCGTCAGCTTACTGTACATTGCACAGCATGCATACGCACACAAACAAACAAAACGAGCGTATGCCTGTGTGCCGTGTAGGTGTGCCTGTGTGCACAATGCCAGTGCTTGAAAACGACGCGGTCAATGGGAACATTTACAGTAAAATAAACCAGCACACACAAACACACACACAAGCCTAAACGCCGCATAAGTTTAATGAATTGCGGCGAAGCGGCGACGCTGGAAAACGCTAAAAAAAAAAAAAAGGGCGTATATACACTACATGTGTGTGTGTCATAATAACTGTAAGTTGAAATATGCTTGTATGTATGTTCGATTGAATTTTCTTTTACTCACCGCTCCAATGTGTAACGCACCAGCATAACGACAGCGGCCAATGGAATTGGCCAAATCAGATCCCGATAGTTGGCGTGCACAACATCTGGACGGGAGCCGGGCGCTATGTCCGCCCATGTCGTATTTGGCGGCAGCCAAATGTGCGTACTCCAAAATGCATCGGTGACTTTATTGATTATGTCCATGCTGGCTATCTTAAATTTCTCTTCGCTTCCTTATATTTTGCTTTTACTTAGTAACTGTTCTGCTTCCGTCTTTCTGCTGCCTCCAGTTCTCTTTATTTTTTGTTCTCCACAGTTTGTCTTCTGCTGCGGCACAACAAGACACACGCACACAGGGCGGCGTTGAATTAACAGCAATTTCTATTTGACTTTAGACGGGCGGCTTGCTCTGTTGAGCTTTATTTGGGTTTTCTGTTATAATTTTTTGTTTTTTGGCCTGACTTCTGATTTGTTGCTTTTGCCTGACGGTTCTAGTGTTCTTTTTTTCCCTAGTGTCTTTTCATACTTTTTTTTGGTATGCCTTCGTCGTTGTCAGTTATACATATATCTTACGTATACATAGCTATATTTGTGTGTGTGTGTGTATGTGCGGATTTTGAATTCACATTAATTTATGGAGCACAAAAAAAAAATTAAATAAAATCCACCACGCGTTGCGAGTAGCAAGCACACAAACACTTCTGTACACACACACCAACGCGCACTGAGAACTAACCGCCGAAAATGACAAGCACAGTGGTCGCCGCCGCCGGACTCACAGGAAACTAAGCTGCGTGCAGAACACTTAAAATATCAGAGTTAACCGAACTGTTAAGTTAAGCTTAACTGTATTAAAAAAAAATAGGAATTATATTAATAATAATATGCGTATATAAACTATATATATATGTATATAGATATAAGAAGCGCGCACACACGAACCGCTTATTTATTATTATCGAGTGATGGTTCGTTCTTGCTACCCGCTTGACAGCATTGCCAACACTGTCGCAAAAGTTGTCAGTACTTGAAGGCACATGATGATTTGTGAGCAAATAAGACTGTTATGCTCTACATGGGCTTAGTGATGTGTAAAATGCCCGCTCTTACACGACTGCCCATGCTTATCGCATGCGGCATTTTTCATATCGATAGCATTTAATGCACCCCTCAGCGCATTGACAGACCTGCATGCATTTAACAACACTGCTGCACACTGTTTTTGACGTTTGTGCTTCTTCATCTTTGCGTTTTTTTTTTATTGTGACACTGCAAGCGACATTTATTGTGTGTTAATTTTAGTTAAATTCGTTTTTAGCATATAATTTAGTTATTTAATTTATTACAATGGCTGAATTTCTGGACTCTGAAGCCGCTGAATCGGAGGTATGTCTGTTTGCACATTTTCCGAGCGCGCAAAATGCGATTTCTTTGCATGCTACGCGCTCTGTTGTAGACGCGTGTGTGTATATGTATATACAATATACGTATATGTATTGCATTTTCTTTTCGCCTGCAGGATGAGGAAGAATTGGATGTGCATGAACGGAAAAAACTAAAAAAGCTAAAAGCTGCTGTGTCCGACAGCAGCGAGGAAGAGGAAGGTGCGTATCCAACTAAAATCCCGCCCAATTCCACAAATAATAAGTCAAACTACAATTTTGTATATAAAACCCGTCAGCCAGTTTTGACTGGGCTATTCCCATTGTTCCCCATGGCCCAATATGCGTACTCTCTGCGTATACATATATGTCTGTGCGTGTGCAATATCTGGCATGGCTTGGACAATTGTGCACCTAGTTTTCCAGCCAAGGCAGGTGTCTGCTATTTGTTTACAACTTTGAGGTTATGTGCGTGTGTTTTGTATACCCTTTGCGAAGGGTATTTGAACTGCGTCACGAAATTTGCACCGCACTGAATTGAGCTCATCTGCCAGTCCATATAATATGTATATGTACTCTTATTCGTATGTACACACGAGTTGTTCTGGCTTTGCCCGCCTGTCTGTCCATTTTTGCGCTAACTTTTGCAAAGTTCCGTCTGTTTGCGTAGTGTATGCAAGGGTATTTAATTAATCAGTAGCTAGTCCTTCTTTTCGCAACTTCCGAAAAACAAAAAACTTGCAATGTTTTATTTATAAATCGAGGCACAATGCAATTTATTGATTTTTCATTAATGAGCTATAGAAATAAAAGTTTATTCAGCCACTGTTCAAATATTTATTTTATCTATATCTATATTAAATTGGGCATATGCTGCCTAAGCCAAAGATTACATTAAACTAATTGTATTTGGCGCATTTTCAGATGATGAGGAGCGTTTGCGTGAGGAGCTTAAGGATCTAATTGACGACAATCCCATTGAGGAGGATGATGCCAGCGAAAATGATTCGGACACTGGCAGCGGAGGTGACGAGGATGGCGGCAGTGGCAAAAAGCGTAAAAAGCATGAGGACGATGATCTGGACGATCGTTTGGAGGACGACGATTACGATCTGATCGAGGAGAATCTGGGCGTTAAAGTTGAACGACGCGTAAGTCCTGCCAGAGAGTCCCTTCATAGTTCATAGTTCTATCTTTAAACTATTTCCAAATTGTTTAACAGAAACGTTTCAAACGCCTGCGACGCATTCACGACAACGAAAGCGACGGCGAGGAGCAGCACGTGGACGAGGGACTCGCGCGCGAACAAATCGCTGAGCAGCTATTTGATGAGAACGATGACGTAAGCATCCACACTGCCAGGACATACGCAATAATACTTTCAACTAATCATTCACACACACACACACACACAGCAAAGCATCGAAAGACGCAGCGAGCGCAGCATTCGGGAGGCAGATACCTTCGATGACGAGGACAGCGAATCGGATGCCGATGATTTTATTGTGGATGACAACGGTCGTCCCATTGCCGAGAAGAAAAAGAAACGTCGACCCATCTTCACAGATGCGTAAGTACAGCCAATATAATTACACATCTTCGCAAAGTCTGGCATTCAAATCCTTAACCAAATTAGTACACAAAACAAATCAGATTGCGTCCGAGCTTCTAGCAAATATCTACGTCTTCTTGTACCTTCATTTGTACTTTCTTATCTATATATATAAGACGCCAGCTCTTCCGCTACTTTCTCTGCTTTGTTGCTCGCTATAGAAACTTTTATCTCTCATCAAATCTGTGCTTATTGCCCGATCGTATTTTGTTGGACACAAAGTTCACATTAAAGTATGTGCATATTCCAAAAGCAAAAAGCAATGCATAAGGTTAACCAAAAAGTTAACCAATAATTTAAAGTTTCTTATTGCATGCAATATCCTACTTGCCAAAATGTGTTGCATTACTTTTAAAATCGCCGAAAATGTCAAAAAGTCCTTAGCTGCAAATCGATAGTTATCGATTTTAGGCAATTTTACATTCATTTCAGATATTTCAAACTCAAGTTGCTTTGCTTATGACTTACGAAAACTTTTATTCTTAGCAATCGATTCGTCTTAAGAGTTAAATAAAAGTCCATTTCTGAATCGTTTCATTTTCGTTTTGCTCAATCGATCAATTAAATCGATTTCGAAACGCGTTTTATTATATAATAAATATTATTTTGCTGATATTTTTTGGTTTATCTTGCCACTTACTATTTCGATTTCAAAAGTTTGTTCGTAATCAGAAAAAACTCGTATAGACTCGGATCTCAGATCAATTGTAAATATACTAAAAATGCATCCTTTTACCAATTTATAATTTTCAATCGGTGCAGGGTAAAAGTTATCTATTGATTGATTGATTGATGGACTTGAGTGAAGGTTTTGGTCAATGGAGTTTTCATAAAGGGATAATAGCAATTAATAAGATCACATAAACTTTTGCTGTTACGTCAAGAGTATTCAATATTCATAAAATTGATGCAAATTATCTTGTTTTGCATTATTTGATTGATTTACTACACAAATTATTGACATACCTAAAGCACTCAATTGTATAAAGCAATGTTATTATGATAACAGTTCGCGTAGTTTAGCAAATTTGCCTGTTGATTAGCTGCATTTTATATGGTCTAGGAAACTACAATCGATTGATTGATTCGAATTGATTGATTGAATATTTTTCAAGGAATATACGAATTGAATTAACAAAAAATATATTATGAAGATTATAAAATAAAGTAAAATAAAGTGAATGCAATGAATATGATCTATATTGAGGTTCTGTAGCTACATGTCGTTTGATTGATGGATTTTTGATTGATTGATTATCATGATTTAATCGTACAAATTAATATAGTATATATTTCTACTTTATATTAAAAAAGTTGTGTAATTTATCGTTTGATTGATTGTTAATTGATTGATTGATTGAATGTTTTGCTTACAAAGGAATATTCGAATTAAAATAGAATATATAATAATGAATATTTGAAAGTAAAGTCATGGATCCTATATTTGGCCTCTCTAGCTGCATGTAGTTTGATTGATGGATTATTGATTGATTGACTTGATTGCAATATCAATAAAAACAATGAGTATAGAATAAATATGTGCATAAGGACTAATTGATGGGATTACAGACTTTATACTAGCAAAGTTGTGTAATTTATTGTTTGATTGATTGTTTATTGATTGATTGATTGATTGAATGTTTTCTCTTCACAAACACACAGCTCACTGCAGGAGGGTCAGGATATATTCGGCGTTGACTTTGACTATGACGATTTCTACAAGCCCGAGGAGGATGAGTACGAGGAGGATTCGGAGGGCGATGAATACGATGAGGATCTGCTGGGCGGCGATGATTTTCGTGCGGCTAAAAAGAAGAAGTCACCGAAAAAGAAGGCCATCAAAAAGACAATCTTCGATATATACGAGCCGAGCGAACTGAAGCGCGGCCATTTCACAGACTTGGACAATGAGATACGCAAAACGGATATACCGGAGCGCATGCAGCTGCGCCAGGTGCCGGTGACAGCGGTGCCAGAGGGCTCCCATGAGCTGGACGACGAGGCCAATTGGATATATCGCTTCGCCTTCTGCAAACAGACCGTATCCGAGCAGGAGAAGGCCGATAATCGCGAGAAGATGCGCAAACCGCCGACGGCTGTGAATAAAATAAAACAGACGCTGGAGTTCATACGCAACCAGCAGCTGGAGGTGCCGTTCATAGCGTTCTATCGCAAGGAGTATGTGAAGCCCGAGCTGAATATCGATGATCTGTGGAAGGTCTACTACTACGATGAGCGCTGGTGCCAGCTCAACGAGCGCAAGAAGAAGCTGAAGCAGCTGTTCGAGAAGATGCGACAATTCCAGCTGGAAACCCTCTGCGCCGATCCCGACAAACCGCTGCCCGACGATGTGCGTCTAATGCTGGACAGCGACTTCGAGCGCCTCAACGACGTCCAGTCCATGGAGGAGCTCAAGGATGTGCACATGTACTTTCTGCTCAACTACTCCCACGAGCTGCCCAAAATGCAGGCCGAGCAGCGACGCAAACAGCTGCTGGAGAAACGCGAGCAACGCGCACGCCGTCAGGCAGCTGCCAATGCGGGCAGCGATGGGGAGACAACCGGTCCGGATGCCGTTGTCCCAGAGAGGCCGGACAATATTGTCGAGCTGGACGAGGCCGAGGAGCTGGAACTGGCCGCCGACGAGCAGCTAAAACAGGCGCCCAACAGCAGTCCCTATGCGGTGTTCCGCAAGGCGGGCATCTGCGGCTTTGCCAAGCATTTCGGTCTAACGCCCGAACAGTTTGCCGAAAATCTGCGCGACAATTATCAGCGCAACGAGGTCAACCAGGAGAGCCTCAGTCCCACAGAGATGGCCAAGCAGTATCTGTCGCCGCGCTTCATGACCGTCGACGAGGTGCTGCATGCCGCCAAATATGTGGTCGCACGCCAATTGGCGCAGGAGCCGCTGCTCCGCAAGACCATGCGCGAGGTGTACTTCGATAGGGCGCGCCTCAATATACGTCCCACCAAGAATGGCATGGTGCTGATCGATGAGAATTCGCCAGTGTATTCGATGAAATATGTGGCCAAGAAACCGGTCGGTGATCTCTTTGGCGATCAATTCATTAAGCTGCTCATGGCCGAGGAGGAGAAGCTGCTGGAGATTAAGTTCCTGGACGAATTCGAGGGCAATGCGAATGCCAATGGGCCGCCCGGCGATTATGTGACCGAGGCGACGCAGCTCTATCATCTGGATCAGTTTGCGAAGAACGTGCTCGAGTGGAATGCGCTGCGTGCCGAGTGCGTTCAGCTGGCATTGAAGAAGTGGGTCATACCCGATCTGGTCAAGGAGCTGCGCGCCACACTGCACGAGGAGGCGCAACAGTTTGTGCTGCGCTCCTGCATAGCCAAGCTCTACAAATGGCTAAAGGTGGCGCCCTATAAGCCAGAGATGCCGCAGCATCACAATTTCGAGGAGTGGAGCACCTTGCGCGGCATACGCGCCATGGGCCTCGCTTACGATCCGGATCAGTCGGTGGCCGCCTTCTGTGCGATCGCCAGCCCCGAGGGCGATATTTCTGATTATCTGCGTCTGCCGAGCATACTTAAGCGCAAGAACTCGTACAATGCCGAGGAGAAGGCACAGAAGCTGGCCGATTTGCGCAAGCTGAGCGACTTCATCAAGATGAAGAAGCCGCACGTTATTGTGATTGGCGCCGAGTCGCGGGATGCCCAAATGATACAGACGGACATACGCGAGATACTCAAAGAGCTGGAGGCGAACGAACAGTTTCCGCCCATCGAGGTGGAGATCATTGACAATGAGCTGGCCAAGATCTATGCGAATTCCAAGAAGGGCGAAGCCGATTTCAAAGAGTATCCGCCGCTGCTCAAACAGGCCGCATCCTTGGCACGCAAAATGCAAGATCCCCTCGTCGAATATTCGCAGCTGTGCGATGCCGACGACGAGATACTCTGCCTGCGCTACCATCCGCTGCAGGAGCGTGTGCCCCGCGAACTGTTGCTCGAACAGCTCAGCCTCGAGTTCATCAATCGCACCAGCGAGGTCGGCCTCGACATCAATCTAATGGTACAGAATTCCCGAACGGTCAATCTACTGCAGTATATCTGCGGTCTTGGGCCGCGCAAGGGTCAGGCCCTGCTCAAGCTGCTCAAGCAGAGCAATCAGAGGCTCGAGAATCGGACACAGCTCGTCACCGTCTGTCATCTGGGACCGAAGGTGTTCATCAATTGCAGCGGCTTCATCAAGATCGATACCAGTTCGCTGGGCGACAGTACGGAGGCGTATGTTGAGGTGCTGGATGGTTCGCGTGTACATCCGGAGACATATGAATGGGCACGCAAAATGGCCATCGATGCCATGGAGTATGATGACGAGGAGACAAATCCGGCCGGTGCACTCGAAGAGATACTGGAATCGCCCGAAAGACTCAAGGACTTGGATCTGGACGCATTTGCCGTCGAACTGGAACGCCAGGGATTCGGCAGCAAGAGCATCACGCTCTACGATATACGCAACGAGCTGAGCTGCCTCTACAAGGATTATCGTTCTGCGTACATGAAGCCCAGCGCCGAGGAGCTCTTCGATATGCTGACCAAGGAGACGCCCGACTCGTTCTATGTGGGCAAATGTGTTACGGCCATGGTAACGGGCTTCACATATCGCCGGCCGCAGGGCGAGCAGCTGGACAATGCGAATCCGGTGCGCATCGATGACTCGGACAGCTGGCAGTGTCCGTTCTGTCATAAGGACGACTTTCCGGAGCTGTCCGATGTATGGAATCATTTCGATGACAATAACTGTCCGGGTCAGGCGTCCGGCGTGCGTGTTCGGCTGGAGAACGGCCTGCCCGGCTTTATACACATCAAGAATCTGTCCGATAAGCAGGTGCGCAATCCGGAGGAGCGTGTCCGTGTCTCCCAGATGATACATGTGCGCATCATTAAGATCGATATCGATCGCTTTTCGGTCGACTGCAGCTCCAAGTCGGCGGACCTCAAGGATGTCAACAACGAATGGCGGCCCAGACGAGATGCGTTCTATGATTTTGTCACCGAGGAGCTGGACAATCGCAAGGTGACCGACGCCAAGGCGAAGGCCATGAAGCGCAAGACCTATGCGCGTCGCGTTATTGCCCATCCGAGCTTCTTTAACAAATCGTATGCGGAGGTGATTGCCATGCTGGCCGAGGCGGATCAGGGCGAGGTGGCGTTGCGTCCGAGCAGCAAGTCCAAGGATCATTTGACGGCCACCTGGAAAGTGGCCGACGACATCTTCCAGCACATCGATGTGCGCGAGGAGGGCAAAGAGAATGAGTACAGCTTGGGTCGCAGCCTGTGGATTGGCACCGAGGAGTTCGAGGATCTCGACGAGATCATCGCACGTCACATCAATCCCATGGCGCTCGCTGCACGCGAACTCCTTCAATATAAATACTATAAACCGAACACGGCGGCGGCGAATGTGAATGAGCGCGACTTCATGGAGCAGCTGTTGCGCGAGGAGAAGGGCCGTGATCCCAAGAAGATACACTATTTCTTTACCGCCTCGAAGAGCATGCCCGGCAAGTTTCTGCTCTCGTATCTGCCCAAGACGAAGGTGCGACACGAGTATGTGACCGTTATGCCCGAGGGCTATCGGTTTCGCGGCCAAATCTTTGATACCGTTAGCAGTCTCTTGCGCTGGTTCAAGGAGCACTGGCTCGATACCACGGCGGGCATGTCTAGTTCGGCGAGTGCCACGCCCTCTAGCAATACGCCGACAAATGCGCACAACATGATGCGACCACCGCCATCCGCATCGCTCAGCTCAATAAGCGGCATCGGCGGCGGCATCGGCGCATTCAGCAGCTCGGGCAGCATCTCGGGCGGAACGCCGCGCAGCGGCATCAGCAGCAGCGATATGCGCACCTCGAGCGCCTATTCGGTAACGCATTCCATTGGCGGCGCCGGCTACGGCAGCAGCGCCGCCAGCAGCGGCCTCCCCATCAATCCCGCCGGCATCGGACATTACGGCAGTGGCAGCGGCACGGGCAGCGGCAGCGGCAGCACGCCCACATTTGGTGCGCACATCAATACGCCGTATACGCCGAGCGGCCAAACGCCGTTCATGACGCCATATACGCCGCACGCCACACAAACGCCCCGCTACGGACACAACGTGCCCAGCCCCAGTTCACAGTCGAGCAGCAGCCAGCGGCATCATTATGGCGGCACGCCCCGCTTCTATGACATGGCCAGCGGCAATGCCTACAACAGCGCCAGCCTCTATCACCAGCAGCAGCATCCACACCACCACCATCACCAGCAGCAGCATCATCACCAGCAGCAGCAGCAGCAGCAGCAGCATCCACACCACCACCACCAGCAGCAGCAGCAACAGCAGCAACAACAGCAGCAGCATCTGCAGCAACGTGCCAAAGAGAACCTCGACTGGCAGCTGGCCAATGATTCCTGGGCGCGTCGCAAGCCGCAACATCAACAGCACCAACATCCACAGCAGCAGCAGCCACAAGGGCCGCAGCAGCCACAACAACAACTGGGCCTGGCCATGAGCCTGGGCCTGAGCATGCCCAGCGCTGCTGGCTATGGCGGCGCCGGATCCACGCCCACAAATGAGTATCATACGAGCAGCGGCAGTCGCGGCATTGCTTTGGGCACGGGTAGCGCCTCCTCCAAGTCATCGGTGCGCAGCACGCCGCGCACAAACACATCGCCGCACTCCATGAACCTCGGTGACTCGACGCCCCTCTACGATGAGAATTAGGACTCCCAATTTTGGATGGCAGACTGGGTGTGTGTGTGCTTGCGCGTGTGTCTGTAGTGTGTATGTGTGTGTGTGTATTGATCTGGATTTAATTATATATATATACATAATTAATAAGTATATTACTCTGTACACTCACAAGTTAAGCAAACGGAAACTCAACGCAAACCCTAAGCATTAAAAAGCATTAATAAAATAAATACACAACAAAAAGATAAATTCAAATTTCATAGCGCTTAATTCGCATAACATTTGCCTGTTATGTTAACATAACATTTGCCTTTCAACATTCTCCTTTCATTTTAACATAACCATTTTCCTTTCATATTAACATCAAATTGCAATGTTACATTTAACAGTCGATAGATTGTCATCGATTGTGACAGTGCGCTGGCAACGCTGCGCTTGCTATTTGTATCCTGCAAAACAAATTCCCTAAAAATTGCCTTTTAAAAAATTTCCCAAATGGGTTTTTTTGAATTAGAAGGAGATAGCTGATAAATTTCTATGCAGCTTTGAATTTTTGAGCGGGACAGAGTAGGATAAAAAATATACTTAAACCAAATTAGAATTTATGAAAATAATAAAAAAAACACATTTTGCTTGCTTCTGTTATATAAGAATTGTTCTATTTAAGACTTTACAGGTTTAATATCAACGTTCTTTACAAAATTACAATATCAAAAAGAGTGTTTTTTTAACTAGTTTTGTTAGATTTTCAAACGCATCACGGAATGAAGTTGAGTGTTTTTGTAACATTGCGACGCAGCCGGTTGCCGTTTGCCGAGTCCTGCTGCAGACACTTAGTTATTGGCCGTTGCACGCTTGAAGGCATAGATGAGCGCCATGCCCAGCAGAATGCCGCCCACGGCCAGTCCGATTTCCCGGCAACTGTTGCAACAGAAACAAAGCACATAATCATATAATATATACATACATATGTACATTCAAATCGGGGCAATATTATTATTAGTGGGTGGGGGGAGGGAGGGAGGGAGGGTATTGTGTTCGGTTTGGATTAATGCAAGATGCAACATTGTTTGGGCGTGGCAGGCTCATAACTGGCGCTAGCATTCGCATTCGCATTGTCAGTGGCATCATTGGCAGTGGGCGTGGCACTAATTAATTAAACCAAAAAGAATATCAAAATAAAAACTGATCAGAGAGAGCAAGAGAGAGCGAGAGAGAGCGAGAGAGAGCGAGAACGGGCAGGCGCAACAAGACTTAATGGAATTTATAGGTTTCATGCTTCCATGATGTGCTTTGTGCTATTTGTCGAGCATTGATAAGATACAGCTAATAATACATATATACATATATACACACATACGCGCCCACACATACATGTACGAAACCCAGCTAGCGTGCTGTCTTCCGCCCAGCTTCCGCCCGTGCAGGTGGATTACGCTGAACAGATTGCAAGTGCGATTAAATTGTATATATAATTATTATTAATTTATTCAAAACGTTTAGAAGCAACCGGAATAAGTCCAAAAATACGTTAACATCGCTTTATGCACAGCTTGCCGTCTATTTTTCACCTTTACAGGTGGAAAGCGCGACTTAAATTCCCAGCTAGAGCTGTGCGTAGCTCACCAGGCAACTTATGGACCGTTTTAAGGCGCAGTTAAATAAAAAACAGTATTAGGCATACTTTGCCATAGACGTCGATTTTAGCAATGCATCTTGCTTAATTTTAAGGAATTTTTTGAAGAAAGTGAAAGAAATCTTTGAAATGGATTTCAAACATCTTCCACTCTAATGCTGATCAAGAACATTTATCTATGCTATACGAAGTCGGAAGTTACACAAAATTAGTATTAGAATCATATAACAGTTGTTCGCCTATTTTTCACCTTTGCTGGTGAAATTGCGCTGTTAGGCAAGCTAACAGTCTGTTAGTTTGTCAGCACGAGCTGTAACATAAATGTTATCTACATATATACATACATGTATATTGGCGCGTTTGTGTGTGTGCGTGTGCGTGTGTGTTAATGTGCACATTTAATTTCGATTTCACAACTTGTTATAAATTTACATGCTGAATTGAGGTGTTGATCAGCTTTTGTAGAATTTCACTTTGGTGCTGGCGAAGGATTTGAAGCTTGAAAATAGAATATATATATATAGAATATATACCCGATTAGCAAATCACCATGCAGGGTATACAATAATTATGCTAGGTTAAGGACCAACTGTTAATGACAATGGATTCTTCCTGATCGCGCTCTAATTGGAAAACTTGTCAAGCGTAACCGGTTCCAGTTGCAGCTGACTCGGGCATGCCTTTTAGAATGTGTGTGTGCGGGTTAATTAGCTGATGATGATGCAGCCAATTGCTGATGCTCATGATGATCGAGATGATCGAGATGATGATGATCATGTTGTTGCATGCACAGAACAGCTCACAATCATAATCATGCGCACAAGCTCATCACGCTCTGTTTTCCACAAAGCGGACGCCATTTGAGATGCCAATTTTTGCTGTTGTCGGTTGTATAAATTTTGTTAATCGACCAAACTCACCCGACGGGCGGCTTCTTCTTTTTAATATCGCTGGCCGCCAAATTGCCAATCAGGAACTTCTTCATAATCTCGCTGAAAGAGACAGAGAGAGAGAGAGAGAGAGGGGGGAAGAGTGAGAGACTGAGAGAGGGCGGGGGGAGAATTTAACAGCTGCTGTTATCTTGAAAGCTTACCGCGCCTCCTGGCTGTGGCCCACATCGATGAACTCCTTGGTGCCATCGCGACCAGCCACAGATTTCAGGGAATCCTCGCCGCCAGGATGCTGTAAGCCATTTGTAGTTTAATTCCTTGGTTTTCTTCTCATCATCTTTTGAATCTCACCTCTTTCAGAAACTTGGTCAGATCGTAGACTTTGTCCTCGATTATCACCCACAGATCGTTGGACTTGTTGTGCTTCTTCACCTCGGCTAAGCTGATTTCCTTGCTCATTCTGCACACTACGCAACACCAAATTTACTACAAAATTACAAAACAAATATGTGTGCACGGAGTGTGTGTGCGTGTGTGTGGTGTTTGTGAATTTAACTTCGACTACAGCTGTTGTCAGTGATGGCAGCACGTCAATATATCGATTATTGCGGCGAGTTTTCAATATCGATTACATGTTCCTAGCTGAGCTATGTGACCGTTTGCGTTTGTTGCTTCAAATATTTGTTGGTTAACAGACCTGCAGAAATAACTTCATACGTTAGAATAAATGTTATCATATCGGCAGCAACTACAATGTTCAGCTACATGTTGCTGGCTGAAACTGTTATGTTAGCAGTTTATTTTTTGTTGCTTCCCAACATTTGCTAGTTAACATAACAGAATTTCCCCTCTACAAACGAACTAACATTGACGAATTCATTAAAGACGTCCATCGCATACCCTGTAAAAACTGATATCCTTACAAATATTCAAGCATTGCATAAAAAAATGAACTTAATTTGAACGCGCACAAAGAACTTTATTGAATATTTAAATATTTTGGAATTTTGAGCATAATTTACTGCCAATTAACATGAACTACAGGGAATACATTTATGTTGTCTATTTGAGTACATTTAGTAATTTGAAAGATTTATATATTGCATTTTTTTAATAGTGTTCAAATCTAGGCACCGCCACGCAGACGCAGAACCAAGTGCAAAGTGGACTCCTTCTGGATGTTGTAGTCGGACAAAGTACGTCCATCCTCCAGCTGCTTGCCAGCGAAGATCAAACGCTGCTGATCTGGGGGAATACCCTCCTTGTCCTGGATCTTAGCCTTAACATTCTCAATGGTATCGGATGGCTCCACTTCCAAGGTGATGGTCTTGCCAGTCAAGGTCTTGACGAAGATCTGCATGCCACCACGCAGACGGAGAACCAGATGAAGGGTCGACTCCTTCTGGATGTTATAATCGGACAAAGTACGTCCATCCTCGAGCTGCTTGCCAGCGAAGATCAAACGCTGCTGATCTGGGGGAATACCCTCCTTGTCCTGGATCTTAGCCTTAACATTCTCAATGGTATCGGATGGCTCCACCTCCAAGGTGATGGTCTTGCCAGTCAAGGTCTTGACGAAGATCTGCATGCCACCACGCAGACGCAGAACCAGATGAAGGGTCGACTCCTTCTGGATGTTGTAGTCGGACAAAGTACGTCCATCCTCGAGCTGCTTGCCAGCGAAGATCAAACGCTGCTGATCTGGGGGAATGCCCTCCTTGTCCTGGATCTTGGCCTTAACATTCTCAATGGTATCGGATGGCTCCACCTCCAAGGTGATGGTCTTGCCAGTCAAGGTCTTGACGAAGATCTGCATGCCACCACGCAGACGCAGAACCAGATGAAGGGTCGACTCCTTCTGGATGTTGTAGTCGGACAAAGTACGTCCATCCTCGAGCTGCTTGCCAGCGAAGATCAAACGCTGCTGATCTGGGGGAATGCCCTCCTTGTCCTGGATCTTGGCCTTAACATTCTCAATGGTATCGGATGGCTCCACCTCCAAGGTGATGGTCTTGCCAGTCAAGGTCTTGACGAAGATCTGCATGCCACCACGCAGACGCAGAACCAGATGAAGGGTCGACTCCTTCTGGATGTTGTAGTCGGACAAAGTACGTCCATCCTCCAGCTGCTTGCCAGCGAAGATCAAACGCTGCTGATCTGGGGGAATGCCCTCCTTGTCCTGGATCTTAGCCTTGACGTTCTCAATGGTGTCCGAAGGCTCCACCTCCAAGGTGATGGTCTTGCCAGTCAAGGTCTTGACGAAGATCTGCATGCCACCACGCAGACGCAGAACCAGATGAAGGGTCGACTCCTTCTGGATGTTGTAGTCGGACAAAGTACGTCCATCCTCGAGCTGCTTGCCAGCGAAGATCAAACGCTGCTGATCTGGGGGAATACCCTCCTTGTCCTGGATCTTGGCCTTAACATTCTCAATGGTATCGGATGGCTCCACCTCCAAGGTGATGGTCTTGCCAGTCAAGGTCTTGACGAAGATCTGCATATTTCCTGTTCCTAAGAAAAATTTAAAAACCAAAATGGAAATATGTATTTGTGTGTATTTAGGTATAAAGTGAAAAATCGATTAAATGCCAAATATGAGGTCACACTGACACATGCAACCCTGTACTATAAGAGCAAGAGCTGCTTTTATTTGCTACCCTCCTCAAAAGAAAGTGCGCAGTAAGTTTTTTTCTGCGTCATGACCTAGTTTTGAAAAACGGAACAAACGCCTGCGCACTATAAAAGTTAGCTGATAACAAGATATAGACACAATTTTATGTATGCATAACTACCTTAACTTGCATTAATTCGTACATTTAATTTCACAACTTCGAAGTCATTTCAAAGAATGACTAATTTGTTTCAATAACCCCCGCAAAGCTGTGTGTGTGTGTATGTATGCATGCATGCATGTGTGTAGGTATATGTCAGCTGCACTTGTTCTTTGTTCGACGCCATTTTGAAGTAGACCATAAAATGGCGTTTACAAGTACGCAGTAGTTGTACGTACATACATACATATATGCATATGCATTTACAGTAAATTTACATTCAGCACAATAATTTCGCTGTTTACATAAACATATTCATGGCCAACCAATTTTTTTCGTTGCTTTCGCACAAAGAAAAAGCGAAGAAGCTTTATTTAAGACATATTTTCGACTTGTACTAATTTTCCTAGTGTGCATACGTATATACATATGTGCGTATGTGTGCGTGTGTATTACATGCACAAATTTTCTTTGTCTCGAATGAAGTTATAATTTCTCAGTTGTGACCAACAAAATATTAAATTTATTGAAATATCTATACGTTTTATGATAGTTATGTACATACCTTTTTATATTTTAAAATTCACTATAATTTTAATCAAGTTTAAAATTGATTTTTTTCTTTCACTTCTTTGTTGTTGCACTAAATGCACTTAGACACGTCTGCTTTGGCTGAACACTGAAATACTTGTGTTTGAAAAGTTGCCACTGCAAGAAAAATGTAGTTCATAACAGAGTTTCGAATGAGAACGCGAATCGATTTTCTCAATTCTGTTAGTGACTTGTGCTATCGAAAGAAGTATTGCCAGCCGCGAAAATTAGGTCTGTTAGCTCGCTTGGGTCTGTTATGCGCTACTTGAGTCGATTTTAAAAATGCCGATATGTGTAAATGCCATAATGTTAATAAAGTATTAAAGATATTTGTGATTAGTCAAACAAAAGTTCACAAATCTTAAAATCAGAGCAATTGGACATTTTAACAATAGATCAAAAACAAACCTCATTTTTATCTATATTGATATAATGGCGCAGAAAGCCATCTAAATATTGTTACAACAATTATGGCCATCATAATTAACAAATTTAAGAAAAGTTTGAATGCTTTTGAGAACTAAAAATATTAAGTCTTTGGATAAATTATTAAATGTTTAAGCTTTATTCCAGCCGATATTGGAAAGTGCGCGATTGCATTTATGATCTTCCCTGGTAGTCATATCGATAATGTGCAGCCACTGAAGAGTATTTGTCATCGAATATTCAGAAGCAAAAACAAAGCCAAAAGGGGCGGACGTAAAGCGCTCGGTACGCGTAATTTACTTGTAATTACTCATTGTCGCCTTTAAAAACTATTCGGAAGTTGTGTCGGCCGTTGACGACAGCAGTTAATCATTTTTGCACACCTAGCTGAACAATTCAATATCTTGACATTCAGTGGTTTTATGCCAAGCGAGCAACTCCTTTCTTCGTGTGTGCTTGCGCGTTTGTGTGTGTATGCAATTCTACACTTTGGTATTCTTTTTTATTTTTGAAATTTCTACGTGCTTGTAAATGTGAATTTTATTTCGTCTGTGTGTCTGAAATCAAAAGTATAAATTTAAGTTTTTAGTCTATCGGTATCGGTTAGCTAAAATTCGCTGTATAGTTTTTTTTTGATAAACAACAAAACAACCCTGCGCGCACACACAAAAAAATCATATGCAAGAGCGCAGCAACATTAAAACCCGCCCCAACGCGTCGCGGCCGCCGTCGTCGTCGTCATCAGCAGCGCAGCCACAAACGGCAGAAGTTAAAGCAAAGGCACACTTACGTTACGCGCTCGCTTGTGGCGTTTCGATGCCGTCGAGTTAACGTGTTGTCTCTGTTGTGTGTGTGTGTGTATGGTGTGTTCTGTGTCTCTGCTGGATTCTAATAAGAACATTTTTGCCGATATATTTTTTCTGCAGTGTGTGCTAATTTTTTTTGCTGTTTTTTTTTGTATGTTGTAATTTTTTGTATCTGTGTTGTTTGTTTGCGCGCGACTTACGCAGTTAATTTTCTTTCTTTCAATAACAACAGCAGCAGCAACAACAACTAAAACACAAGTGGCAGTGTTTGTTGGTGTCGGCAGAGAGGAAGATAGCGTTTCGTTCGCGTATATACATATACATATAAACATATATATATATATATATATATATATGTATGTGTGCGTGTGAAAGAGAGACCAAGAGAAAAACATTCACAATCAGTTTGATAACTACAAAACGTAACAGTGCCGCAGCCAGCAGCAGAGTGCAAAGCAGCCGTGCAGCAAACATCGAGCAGCGGCCAGTGGCAGAGGCTGAGGCGTAGGCGTCGTCTTCGTAGCTAAGCGCTGTTCACGCAGCAACAGCAATTAACTGTTAAACGTTACAACAAAACACTTTGTGATCGTGCTTAAAAGGGAGCCAGAGAGAGAGAGAGAGAGAGAGACAGTCAGCAAACTTGCCAACCGTCTTCGTCAACGTCACCATGGACAACTTAATCCCGATCGTCAATAAGCTGCAGGATGCATTCACATCGCTGGGGGTGCACATGCAATTGGACTTGCCACAAATTGCCGTCGTTGGTGGACAGTCGGCTGGCAAGAGTTCGGTGCTGGAGAATTTCGTGGGCAAGTAAGTGGTCATCCAAAATGTTTGTGTCTCGCTCTCCACAATACATACAATAAGAAGAAAATCCATATTTTTGCGCGAAAGCTTTGCTGTCTGTGCATGTGTGTGTCTGTGTGTGTGTGTGTGTGAGAGAGAGAGTTCTGAGAGCGCATAGCGTCTATGTGTGTGCTAGACTCGGGCTCTCGCCGTTCGCGCATACATACGCACTTATATATGTGTGTATATGAGTGCGCTTGTGTTTGTGTAAATTTTGGTGAATAATCAATGAAGCAGCATTCCTGGTCTTTGTTTTTTTTTTCTGTTCACTCTGTGGGTGTTTTTGCTACGAGCAGGTGGCCATCAATAAAACCCGACCTGCACCTCCACCTCCCCCCCCCCCCCCCACGCTCACACACACACCCACACGTTCATACAAATGTATATACAATCAAGTAAATGCGCATCCAGTTGTACATGGTCAGCGTTCTAGCAGCATTGGCATTGGCAGCGGCAGCATAACAACCACCTTACACAAAATGCTGCACACATATGTATGTATATAAATACAAGCGTACATAACACGCACAGCACAATATATTACAGAGGGCGCCACTTGCATAGGATCATCTCTGCTGATTTTTGTTGAGCTTTCCAAGTTGCTCGCATATCTTACGCATGGAGACACACACACACACCCATACATATTTATGCTGGGACTTAAAGTTTCGTCGAGTGCGATAAACTCGCTTCCAATAAAAAGACACAAAAACAGTACCAGAAAAAAAAAACAACGAAAACAACAGCGTTTTTAACGATACTGTGCGCTCTCTCACACTCGTACACACATTTCTCTCACTCAGTAAAACGGTTTTATTTGGGGGCCTTTTTCGCTGGCTGCGCGGCGCTCATTGCGCTTCGTTCGTTTTTATCTATCGGCGTTTGCGCCCGCCCCCTGAAAATGCGATGACAAAAAACAAATACAATAACCCACAAAATACTTACGCCCCAAAAAACGGGCAATGGGCAAACTGAAAAAGAAGAGAGAAAAAAATCAATGCATGCTGACATTTCCTTTTGCAGCGCACATGCTTTTGTTTCCTTTTCTTTTGTGCGCTCGGTTCTTTCTGGGCCCAACACCGCCCACACCTCCGCTCGCTCCGCGCTGCCACACTTCACTTTGACATTTATGCAATGCTGTCGCTGTCGACGTCGACGCTAACGCTAGCCTACATTTTTGTAGTTGCTGCTTCTGCCCCACTCCCACCTAAATACATACATTCGAATCCGCCTACTGCTGTAACTTTTGTAACTGTTAATGAATGGAACGCGCGCTCGCTGCCATTTACCCCATACACACACCCACGCATGTATGTGTGTGGGTGTTTGTTCTATGCAGAATTGCAAAATTATATAATTCTCTGCTACTGTTATATGTACGTGATAAAATCCTTTTGTAGCTGGCTCCACCTACTAACAGCATAACGCACACACACACATTAGCATGCACAGCACATTGTGTTGGTGTAACGGCATGTCTGACCATCTTATGTAGCTTCTCTGGGGCTTTGCTATTTATGCTTGTGTATGTATGTCCTTGCTGCAAGCACATAAATACACACACATTTATATAGGTGTTTTATATGTATTGCAAAAACGTGGGTGCCTTTACACTCTTGGCAACTTAAGTGCTGTGTATATATATTCAAGAGAGTCTTTCCTTTTCATACATTTTGACATGTAGTTTTTCTTATGTAAGCTGGCGTGCAGTCAATAACAACAAAAACAACAACAGCAACAACAACAGAAGCAGCAGCAGCTTAGCCAAGCGCAGTCCATTTGCTGAGCCATTACTTTTCGCATGCGCCGGCCGCACACACATATGTATGCATCATACATACATGTATGTGTTATCATATACATGCTTATACATATCATGTACATATATAGATACACATGCCTAGGTGCATACATATATGTACATACAGGCATATATGTATGCTGTGTCTGTGTTAATGACCTAGTTTTTCCTCTTTTTCTTATTATTTTTTATTTTCCACCGATGCTGATGCAGTTTTTTTGTTCTCATCAATGTCAGTTTATGATGCTGCATAGAGTGCATGTCAAACTGAGCATGAGCTTTAACTTTGAAAGAGAGAGAGAGAGAGAGAGAGAGTGAGAGAGATGAGTGTTCAATGTCAACTCAACAGAAGCAGCATCATCAGCCGCAAAAGCTCGGTTCGAAATGTCAATAGTTCATGGCACTTGCTGTTAATGCTGAGGGCAGGCGCTCTCTCTTAAATATCTATATACATATATGTATGTATATGTATACACACATAGACGGTGTGTATGTGTTCACATAATGGTTACTTGACATTATCGCTAAATGGGATATATTTTTATGAAGAGCATTGCAGAACGCAGTCTACATACATATGTATGTACATATATGCACACAAACTAATAATATGCATATATGTAAACATTTTAATATAGACACTGACGCATACGCGCACGCAAATAATAGAACAAAAAAAACAAAAAAACTTTGCAAAAACAAAGATGTTTGTAGCTCAAATAAAAGAAGGGCAACAGCCTATTGAACTGAGCAGCAACGCTGCCTGGAAACATAAAAGACAATTCAATTGAAATAAAAGAAGAAAAAAAGAGAATGAAGAATGTTAAAACGCATCAAATCAAAATTGCAAACATTAAAACGACAGCGAAAGCAAAGAGAGCCAAAGAATGCGCAGCAGCTGATCTCATGAGTGCGCTCGCTTGTGTCTGTGAGCTTATTTTTGCGCTTGCAGCAGCAGCAGAGAGCGATCGACACTCGCTCTCTCTCTCTCTTTCTCTCTTTGTGCAGCTGACGCAGCCGGCGTGGTGCATTTGAGCACATACTTACGCATATGTGTGTGCGTATTAAACTACAGCTGCTGGCTACTTTACAGTTTAAACTGCACGCTTTTTGAACTCTGCTAATTGTGAGCAACTAAAGACGAACAGTAATAAAATCAAAAATTCATGAGTACTTTTGAGTCACATTGTTGTTGTTGTTCTTGTTATTGGGGAGTAATTTATTTAGGAAAAAGCTGCTGCTGCTGCTGTTTACAAATGCACTTACAATTATTTCCCATGCACACACACACACACACACACAGACACACGCACATGTAACAGAGTTACTCATCAGAAGTAATTGATAACATTGCATTTTATGTACACTTGAATAATTCTGTTTGCGTTCGTGTGTGCGTAACTTTAATGCTGTGTGTACATATGGGCATTTATTTAGAACTTTTCTACATACACATGTATTGCTTATGTGTTGCAGCGATAAGATAACGGTTTAATCCCTACCACGCCCACGTCTTTTGAACTCGCTTTCAAAATTAGTTCCACATATTTAATAGTGTTTTATCAAAGTTTTAGGGCAAAAAAAAAAAGAAAATAATGAAAAAACCGCACCCCTGCCGCCGCAGCCAACAATATCTATCGATGATTCATGTTCTGTCATTATAATTGATATTGTTTGCATTATCGATAAGAATTTTGCTGCCGCTAATGCTGCTCTTGTTCTTGTTGTTGTTGTTGCCGTTTGGCAATATTGTTTATTTGCGGCGGCTTTTGTTGACTTTGGTAGATTTGTTTGCCATAATAAAACAGGTCAAAAGTGGAGCCACAGCCATAATAAGCCCCCTGATCCACATACATACATATATACTTGTATGTATGTTCTCTTATTTGGCTTGCCTGGCGCTCAGCTCGCTGGAAGCGTATTTCCCAGTCAATTAATCGCACATGTTGCACGTTGTTAGCTGGCTTTAATGACTCTTCCCACAACTTAAAAACATTGTGTTTTTTTTTTTTTAATATATTGTAATAATAACAAAAATATCACAAGCTAATCAAAGCAATTGGGTGCCGTAGAACAATTAAGTGGCCCGATAATTGTGCCATCAACACCTGTGACTAATTTTTTGTTTGTTCTCTTGTTGTTGTTCATAATTGAGTTGGGTTTAACGACGAGCTCACTGGAACACTGGAAGGTAACAGCAATGCGGCTGATGGCTATTAATATCATTTTTATTTCGTTTGTTCCCTTTGGGAAATTATGTTGAGCGAGCCTGTCAACTTTCTGAGCTGTGCTCCCTTGTCGCTCTTGTGCTCTCACGCATTTGATAAAAGAGCTACAGATTTATATTGCTGTGAATTGAGTCGTTGTGTAACGTTGAATTTCCTTTTTTATATAAGTTGGGAAATTTACAATTTCATTACTCTATTGTGTAACAGTGAATTTCCTTTTCTATAACTTGTTAACAATTTACAGTTTCTTAACTCTATGCTATGTGTGTAGCGCTCTTCAAGGATTTCATACGATTAAATTGCCAAACAAATTGTTTGCTACGATTCTCTTTACTCGCATTACTCTGACTCGCTTAGGGAAATTCTAAGGGTTTCGTTAACTCTCGGAATGTCCACCTTTTGTTTATTTGTTCCCCTTTCTTTCATTTGGGCAATTTGTTAAGCGAGCCTTGAGGAAATTCAAACTCTGTGCTCTTTTACTCTCCGGCTCTGTTGTTACACTAATTTTTTACTGCTGTCTTCCCTTTCTTACATTCTTGTTTGCATTTTCTTAAAATTGGGCAATTTAAGGGATCTGTGAAATTTCCAGGTTCTCTTCACTATTTGCGTCTTTTAAGAGATGACTCAGAAATCGCAGCGATAAATGCAGCATATAAAGTAGATTTAATAAACGTGTTTAGTTTTTAGCAAGTTCTTCTTGCCGAGCGACTACTGTATTTGAGGAGCTTGCTAAAAATTTGCCAACTACTTGTAAAACATGCTTATCACAATTGATAAAAATCAAATCAATTGTTCATTTCCAATTACAGCGAACAGCTGCAAAAAATAGCAAATAGTATAATTGTACACAATGATTAATAAAAATAAGATGAAAAAACATTTTGAGTGACGGCAACTACCGCAAACCCTCACAACCACACACACACACACACACACACACACGCATCTCACTGTTATAAAGTATAAATAATTACTACATATATATTTTTGTTGAATATTTTTCATGTGAAACCCACAGAGACTTTCTGCCCCGAGGTTCGGGCATTGTGACGCGCAGACCTTTGATTTTGCAGCTGATCAACGGCATTACCGGTAAGTACTTAATCGTATACGATAAACGCACTGATATACGATATATAGATATATATATATGTGTGTGTGTGTCTTATTTTAGAGTATGGCGAATTTCTGCACTGCAAGGGGAAAAAGTTCTCAAGCTTCGATGAGATACGCAAGGAGATCGAGGATGAGACAGATCGTGTGACGGGCAGCAATAAGGGCATCTCAAACATTCCGATTAATTTGCGCGTCTATTCGCCATACGTGCTCAACTTGACGCTGATCGATTTGCCTGGCCTGACCAAGGTGGCGATCGGGGATCAGCCGGTGGACATTGAGCAGCAGATAAAGCAAATGATATTCCAATTTATACGCAAGGAGACCTGTCTGATATTGGCCGTAACGCCGGCCAACACCGATCTGGCCAATTCGGATGCACTCAAGCTGGCCAAGGAGGTGGATCCGCAGGGTGTCCGCACAATCGGTGTCATCACCAAGCTGGATCTCATGGACGAGGGCACCGATGCCCGTGACATACTCGAGAACAAGCTGTTGCCGCTGCGACGCGGCTATATTGGTGTTGTCAATCGTTCGCAAAAGGATATCGAGGGGCGCAAGGATATACACCAGGCCCTGGCCGCTGAGCGCAAGTTCTTCCTCAGCCATCCGTCATATCGCCATATGGCCGATCGCCTGGGCACACCCTATTTGCAGCGTGTCCTCAATCAGCAGCTCACCAATCACATCCGGGACACATTGCCCGGCTTGCGCGACAAACTGCAGAAGCAGATGCTCACCCTGGAGAAGGAGGTCGAGGAGTTTAAGCATTTCCAGCCGGGCGATGCCAGCATCAAGACAAAGGCCATGTTGCAGTAAGTGTGGACCCCATTATCAAAATCACTTTGGGGAAGAGATCACGCAGTAGTCTTTTTTTTTTTTTTCACCTTGTCTACTCACATATTTTTCTTTCGCCGACTTCTACAGAATGATCCAGCAGCTGCAGTCGGACTTTGAGCGGACCATCGAGGGCAGCGGCTCCGCTTTGGTCAATACAAACGAACTGTCCGGCGGTGCCAAGATCAATCGCATATTCCACGAGCGGTAAGCGTAATGCAGCTCAGTCCACTTTCTGTTTCACTTTTAATTTGTTAATTTGTTCTCTTTCGTTTTGTTTTTTTTTGTGGCAGTCTTCGCTTCGAGATTGTGAAGATGGCCTGCGATGAGAAGGAGCTGCGCCGCGAGATCTCGTTTGCCATACGCAACATACACGGTATTCGTGTGGGCCTCTTTACGCCGGACATGGCCTTCGAGGCGATCGTCAAGCGGCAGATAGCGCTGCTCAAGGAGCCCGTTATTAAGTGTGTGGATCTAGTCGTACAGGAATTGTCCGTGGTTGTGCGCATGTGCACAGATAAGGTGATAAGGGCGTCCCCCCCCCCCCATAACATATCATCGAGATCACCTGATCAAAACTGAGCACTTCTCTTGCTTTGCAGATGAATCGCTATCCACGTCTGCGCGAGGAAACTGAACGCATCATTACCACACATGTGCGCCAGCGCGAGCAGCGCTGCAAGGAGCAAATCCTTTTGCTCATTGACTTTGAGCTCGCCTACATGAATACCAATCACGAGGATTTCATTGGCTTTGCCAAGTATGTCTTAACCCAGAGCACACAACAATCACGTTTACCCTTCCCTAACGAACACTTCCTTAATTGTACTTTACCTTTATATATATTGTTGTTGTAGCGCTCAGAATAAATCTGAGAATGCGAATAAGACCGGCACCCGACAGCTGGGCAACCAGGTCATACGCAAGGGTCATATGGTCATACAGAATCTGGGCATCATGAAAGGTATGTCAACTATTTTACACACACACACACACACACAATTTCCGCAGCCGCAACACCGTCCAACTATCAAAACAACAACATCCGATTGCACTATTCTAACCTTCCAACCTACCACCCAACTACTATATCATTCCAATTTATAGATGTATGCATTTTGACTGGGTAGCATTGTAGAACTGTAGTACAAATTCTTTTCTATGCTTAACACTTGGGTCGTAAACCCTATGAATATAGTGTAGCATTTGCTTAAGTAATTTGAAAGGGTTTTTCGAGTAACAATATCCCAAATGGGAAATTATGTAGAGCAACGAAAATTCCTATTGGAATTGCCCAAGCTTTGTGACGGTTATTTTAGGGAAATTACATAAAAGTACCTAAAACAAAAAGTGCTTAAGTAATTAGAAAGGGTTTTTCGAGTAACAATATCCCAAATGGGAAATTATGTAGAGCAACGAAAATTCCAATTATAATTACCTTTGTAAATTACCCAATTGCTTTGAGGATTATTTTAGGGTAATTAAAATTATCGCCTAAAAATGTCATGAAGATTAATTCCTAACGCAAAATGCTTTTTAATTTAATTAAATTGATCACTAAAGTATTTCATTTTAGTTAAAAGAGAAGTTCTTTAATTATAATTATCCGAGTAATTCTGTACGGATGAAATGTAGAACTCGGTAATTTCCGTTGTAGTTACCATTATAATTATTTAAATAATTGTATTAAGTATTTACTAATGAAGATTTGAACCTAAATACATTTTGATATTTAGCATATATATTTATATAATTAAATATTCAAATCTATTAAGGGTCAGGAATATCTAGTATTTACTAATGATAATCACAAGTGCCTTATATATAAGAACTTCATGAAGAGTTGACTTAAACCGTTTGTAGTTCGATATACCATATGTAGTTCGATATATTAACCTCTATAACGATTGTTGTAGCTATTGTATTAACCAGATCTCTCGTAGAAGTGCCATAAAGTAGAGCTTGAAGCTGTATTGACGATCAGTCGATAGGCAGAAGAAGTGTCAAATGCTTATCGATTTATCGATAGAAAAATGAAAACTGCCCAGCAATCGATAGGTTTAATACTTGTGCCATATCTAACAATCTAACGAGAGATCTCCGCAGAGAGCATTTCCCCAATAAGACTCTCAGCAGGCATAAGACTCTCTTCAGCTCAAGTGCGCGCCTCTTAGATCCCGCCTCGAGTCTTCGTAGTCGCGAGTATTTAATTCTCGAGCACCCTTTAGGCATTATTCCGTAACGTACTTTTGATTGATTTACTTGAGATTTGTTTGTGTCTATTTTTGTGTGTTTCTTTTTCTTTTGTTTTTGTTTGCTTTCTTTTGTTTTTGTTTTTTTTTTGGTTTTTCCTATTTGAACTTTTCTTGGTGTTTTTCTTTTCGGTACTGTACTTTTAATTTCTTGACATTTGTCGCGTAACTTGTGGAAAATTGAAAGCTTTGCTGAGGTTTTTGCCACGCATACTTGGTTTGTATTCAACGATCTTTAATTATGTATATAATCAATTACTTAATTTTACTTTTATTCTTTCGATTATTGCTATAAACAACAACAACAACAACAAAAACAAACAACATTAATGTGCTGTACTTTCTGCAATGCTTGAACTTGAACCCGAGCCAGTCGATTTCGAGTCCGGCTCAAATTATGCCCCCAAATTATCCCCGTATCCCGTACTCCCCGTCCATATTGCATTCCCCGTCCCCCAACTCATACACACTCTCTCTCTCTCTCTCTGTCTCTTTATATATATATATATACTCCATATCTATATCTATAACTATATATCTTTGTAGTATTTGCGTAACTGAAACGTATTTCTTTTTTCATTTTCTTTTTCTTTTATTTGGTATTGTTGTCGAAATATTTGCACAACAAATTGGATTTTGTTTTGTTATATCTATGTATTATTTTCTGTTTTCTGTACTTTCTGGTCTCGTTTTGCAGGCGGCTCGCGTCCTTATTGGTTTGTGCTCACATCGGAGAGCATCTCCTGGTACAAGGACGAGGATGAGAAGGAGAAGAAATTCATGTTGCCGTTGGATGGTTTGAAATTGCGCGATATTGAACAGGGCTTTATGTCAATGTCTAGACGTGTTACATTTGCTTTATTCAGTCCCGACGGACGTAATGTTTATAAGGTTAGTAATTTTTGTTAGCATACAAAAAAATGAATTCCGAAACAAAGTACAAAAGACATCTTAAGTAGATGGAGAAAATTTTAAACAACAAAAACAAAAAAAAAAAAAAACATTTGCAATCACAACAAATATTATTCAGATATTATTATTCGAATATTATTTGTTGCGGTTCCAACAAGAAATTACATTCAATTTATTACAAAAAAAAAACAAAAACAAAAAGAAAAAGAAGAAGAATTCATATATATTTTGTTTCTTTTGTTCGAACAATTTTTGCGTTCAAGTTGTTGCCCTCCACAATTTGATTCTTGAGTTGAAACTAGCTCCAAAAACTAGTTCCACCAAATACGAACAATTGATTAATTTTTTTGTATAAGATAAAAATTACTATGTTTTTATCAACATTTGTGTCAAATCGAAGCCAACAAAAAAAGACAAACCACAGGTGCGCCAGTAAGGCGTCCGCTTTTTTTTCTGGCCTCGATTTGTGAGCATGACATGAAAAAAAAAACAACCAATAACTGGCATTTGCTTCGATAGAAACTATACACACATGTATATATATATATACAAATGTATATATACATATATATAGAAAAGACAACCGATATACCGTAAACCGATAAACCGATAAACCAATATGCCACCGATACAAAACACTAACTAAACTCTGGTCCAAGACATACGCCAGCTGCGAACCACTTGACAACTCAGCCAATATATAGAAAGCTAATAAAACCCAACAAAATACCGAACCAACCAATGCCACCACCCGTCCAAGTACTCGTAACCGTAACCGTAATCGTTACCGTAATCGTTACCGTAATCGTAATCGTTATCGTAATCGTAATCGTAATCGTAATCGTTATCGTAATCGTAATACGTTGTCCCATATACCAAATGCTTGACGAAAATACCTATCCATTTGTTCTCTTTGCGCTTGGACGCTTCTCTTTCTCCTGCACACTAACACACACACACACACACACACACACGCGACACACACACACGAATATACATGTTGTGCATTTAGGATTACAAACAACTGGAGCTGTCCTGCGAGACGGTCGAGGATGTGGAATCGTGGAAGGCATCATTCCTGCGCGCCGGCGTCTATCCCGAGAAGCAAGAGACCCAGGAGAATGGCGATGAGGTGCGTAAATCCAGTACTAATTCAAGTAGTCTAAACAATTGCTAAAAAAAAAAAGAAATACTATCATAAATTAGTTAGGTTCTAAAGCTGCTCTAGTCTTGTCGTATGTATGTCTATGTGATTTTTTCTTCTCCTCCGATTAGATAACAGCGCCAACAAATGTCAATTAACATATGTACATCTTGCCTTATCATGACATTAATCCTATCTACACTCTATTCTCTGTATTTGCCGCAGCATTCCAGCATTCCGAATGTTTTTCATATGCCCCTAACTCTTCCCTCTTTATATGTAAAGCCTATGCGGCAGAGTCAGACTCGATCAGTTGGACAATCGTTGAAATATGTAAACAACAGATGTTAACACAGCATTTAACAGCAAATGTCTAGCTATTGCTTAACATATGTTCAATTCAGGCAGTTATCAGTTCGTACTTTACATGATTGCTTTTAGCATTGCTTTTACTGTAACAGCTGTTGAACATTACATTTATGCTTACAGCTATTTAACATGTTGTTGCTATAACAGTGCGTCTTTTGCGCTCCGTTGTTTGATCTGATGTAAACTTAACTTATAGCTGCTTAACATACTGTAAACATAAAAAACTTACCTCAGACTCTCAGTTGTTGGACGTAACATAGAAGTCTTCAGTTAGACAAGAATGTGATCGAGTTATTAAGGCTGGCAGCTATTAAGTTAACAGTGCGCCTTTTGCAACAACGTAATGTATTACAGCTTATGTTAACTTAACAGAGAAATCTTCACTTAGACAATAACATGATCGAGTTACTTGACTCTCAGTTGTTTGATCTAATGTAAACTTAACAGCGCTTTGTTAACAACGTAATGTATTTCAGCTGCTTAACATACTGTTAACATAAAAAACTTCACTTAACCTAGACAATAACATGATCGAGTTACATGACTCTCGGCTGAACTCCTCTTCTTTCAGTTTAATTCTTAACAGCAGCAGCTCGTAATCTGTGTGTAGTTTGTCTCTTTGTGTGTGTGTGTGTGTTAGTAAATCATGTACACACACACACACATATATATATATGTATATCAATATATATAGAGAGAGAAACAGCTCGTGTATCATGTGCTGAATGTGTACTTGGTATAACAACTAAAACTGTAGGATACTCTAGATCTTAAGAACTAACTCTTTGATAACGCAATAACTCATTCAATGTTTCTTTATTTATATATATTTTTAAAACGTTGCGACCCCAAAAATAATACAAATACTTATATATTTGAAATATATAAAAATGCGTATAATAATGTGTGGTATATGCAGGAAGGACAAGAGGTTTGTTTCTTTTCATCATTTTTAGCATATACTTTGCATACTTCCTGCGCTCGCTCTCGCTCTCGCTCGCCCTCTCTCTATCTCTATCTCTCCGTCTCTCTCCCTCTCTGTCTGTCTCTATCCTCTGTTAAATCTATTAGACTTTGTTAATTTTATTTTCATTTTTCAATTAAATTTCATTTTTGTACAAAATAAATGTTTTCAAATTGGGGCTCAAAATTTGAACTAAACTCTAAATATCATCAAATATTCTGTTGTACTAAGCTAGCGGCATTTGGCTTACACTAATTAACATAAATTTGGGCCGTACAAATCTGGTTTTCAATTTGGGGACACTTTCAACTCTTCAACCCGTTTAAAGCTCCGCTTTCCGTTTTCTGTTTCTGGCATAATATTAACAAATCTCCCAAAAACTGTGGTGTGTGCAACAAGTATTGTATATGTATAACTCTAGATCAGCATTCCATACATCTTAAATATATATACATATATATATATGCATAAATGATATATATTTTAATTTTACAATATTTTTTATCAATTATTTTCTTCTATTTTCCCGTCCACGTACCAAACGAAATGACCAACACACACACACACACACATATATATATATAAAAAAAATAAAATAAAATAATACCAATTGTAATGCGAACAAAAAAAATATATATATATATCAATATTCAACCGTTAACAGCAAAAAGTATGTTCACTTTTCTCTCCGTTCAACTCTTCTCTTCAACATTTACTTGTTATTCTAATTTGATGCATTCGTATTGTAAATCCAATTAACATTGGCATTTGATTTTTCGATAACCTTTAATTAACACACACTTTCGAAGTAAACACGATTTGAGTATTTGTAATTAGCATAGTTTAAGTTTTTATCGCTTCTTTCCAATTTCTAAACGCTTTCTACAACACTTTTTTCATTACATTTCCCCCCCCCCAAGTTTGCTATTGACAATATTTGTACGATCGAGCTGGAAAAACAATCGATAAATTCACGTTCTGGACTATCGATAACGATTCCAGCTCCTGAGTACAGTACACACATTCACGCATTAAATATTTCTTAAACTTTAAATTCAGCTGAAAATAATTGAAGTTCCCTTCAATTGGATAACTCGATAGATCGCACCTAACCTCACCTTCAAAATAGACAGGGTTGTCACACATTTCTCTAAACAATTTCTTTAGAGAGATTTAGCTCTGATCTCGATCCTATGGAATTCCACCTCATCATAAATGCCATTGGAGAACGCAAAAGTTCCCACTTATCTAACCAGTTCCTAACTATCTAGCCTAACATAATGTGCAGCTAAATGAACTAGTTCATTTTCCTTTAGAGTTCAAATTTCTTGAAGAGAGAGACTAAGATCCGATCTCGATTCCAGCATACCATAACTCCAATTGGATAACGAAAAGGTTCCTACTAATCCAACCTATCTAGCTAATGCGCATCCAAATGAACTAGTTCATTTTGTTTTAGCTCCTATTGGTTCCCAGCTCTTCCTAAGGTTAAGTCCCAAACATTCTATTAAAATTTGTAAATACAAAAATGTAGATGCATCCAACACAACAGTAAATACGTCGCCTACTAAAACTAACCTGAAACAAAATGCAGCTCTAATGAACTGGTTCATTTTCCTGAAGCTCTTACAATTCCATTTGAATTGACATTTCTTTAGTGAGATTGAGATCTGATCTTGATTCTTATGAAACACATGGTAATTTCAACTTAACATAACTTCAATTCTACCTAACCTTAAATGCAGTTAAATGAACTAGTTCATTTACCTCAAAGTTCCTACAATTCCCATAGAACGCCAGAGCTAAGGCTAGGTCCTAAGCAGCATTCTATTAGAAATTGGAAATATGCAACTCTATTTGCACCCGACACTGCAGTAAAAATATGTTGCCTACTAAAACAATATTTGTAGTTATTAATTATGGTATTTATTTGTTTCTAAACTAAAACTAATCCGTTCGATGCCCAAAAGCAGAAGCAATACCGTAAAGGCTTACACGTTTATTATTTAATTCTTGTTGTTATTGTTGTATTTTCTATGGACATTTCAAAAAAATGAGAATATCTTTTTCAAACTTACTTTCTTAGTTCAATACAAATTAGCGTGTAATCAAAAAACACTTTCTAAATTCAACTAACACGAAAAAAAAAAAAAAAAACCTAAATTCTATTATACTAGAGAAAAAGGAAATATGTATATTTCTGAAATTTGTGATCTAATGCTTTACTTTTTTCGGCTGCACTTTTTGGCGTTTTATCGATTGTACAAAACTTCACACACGTTTTTTCATTTAATTGATTGTTTCTTCGTTTTTTTTTTTCCATTACTTTTGCCCCACCCTTCTAAACGAACCAATCAATCAAAACGAACAATTATAAATAAAACACCCATGTTTAAAATCCATGAACAAATTGAAAATCGTTTATCGATAATCGATAACAAACGCAAAATATGCAAACGACAACAACAACAACAACAACAACAACAGTCGGCCAACGAGGAGAGCTCCACGGATCCACAATTGGAACGCCAAGTGGAGACCATTCGCAATCTAGTCGACTCGTACATGAAGATCGTCACGAAGACCACACGGGATATGGTCCCAAAGGCCATTATGATGCTGATCATCAACAATGCCAAGGACTTTATCAACGGAGAGCTGTTGGCACATCTCTATGCCTCCGGTGATCAGGTACACACTCAAAATGCTAACAAGCTTACAGCCGAAAAGTAAATCAGTTTTCGTATCCATTTTCCTAATTTGCGATAAGAATATAACACGCAAATTAGAATAACACGTCTTTAATCAATTACTGTTCAAATCAATCAGTCGGACAGTTAATCAATCAGCTGGTCAGTCAGGCAATCAGTGAGTCAATCAGTCAGTCAGTCGGTAGTCAGTCAGTTATTCAATCATTCAGTCAGTCAACCAATCAATTAATTCATTAGTCAGTCAATCAGTCAGTTACTCAGTCAGTCAATCAATCAGTAAGTCAGTTAGTCAGTCAATCAGTTAGTCAGTCAGTAAGACATCACTCATCCAATCGATCAGTCAGTCAGTCGGTAGGTTGGTGAGTCAATCAGACAATCGGTTAGTCAATCAAGTAGACAGTCAATCAGCCTGGCAGTCAATCAGCCAGTCTGTCAATCAGCCAATGTCGGTCAGTTAGTCACTCAGGCAGTCATTCAGCTAGTCAGATGATCAGTCAGTCAATCAGTCAGTCAATCAGTCAGTCAATCAGTCAGTCAATCAGTCAGTCAGTAAGACATCACTCATCCAATCGATCAGTCAGTCAGTCAGTAGGTTGGTGAGTCAATCAGACAATCGGTTAGTCAATCAAGTAGACAGTCAATCAGCCTGGCAGTCAATCAGCCAGTCTGTCAATCAGTCAATGTCGGTCAGCTAGTCACTCAGGCAGTCATTCAGCTAGTCAGATGATCAGTCAGTCAATCAGTCAGTCAGTCAGTAAGACATCACTCATCCAATCGATCAGTCAGTCAGTCAGTCAATAGGTTGGTGAGTCAATCAGACAGTCGGTTAGTCAATCAAGTAGACAGTCAATCAGCCTGGCAGTCAATCAGCCAGTCTGTCAATCAGTCTGTGTCGGTCAGTTAGTCACTCAGGCAGTCAGTCAGCTAGTCAGATGATCAGTCAGTCAATCAGTCAGTCAATCAATCAGCCAGCTGTGTATTATTCTTATACCCAATCTCTAATCTGTATCTCGGCTTGTCAGGCACAAATGATGGAGGAATCCGCCGAGTCGGCAACACGGCGCGAGGAAATGCTGCGCATGTATCGCGCCTGCAAGGATGCCTTGCAGATAATTGGTAAGTGTACGATGTTGAGTTATCGACAAAAACCCAAAACTAAAAACTGGCTTCAATCCGACAACAGGTGACGTCTCAGTGGCAACTGTATCAATGCCATTGCCGCCGCCCGTAAAGAACGATTGGCTACCGAGTGGCTTGGAGAATCCGGGCCTGTCGCCGCCCAGTCCCGGCGGCCCACGCAAGCCAGCACCCACCGCACAGGTAAGCCGCCGCACTTTCCCTTTCAATCTCAATTGTCGATTGTCAATTTGGTTTCGTTTTGTTTTGTTTTCTGTGCGCGCAGGGCTCGTTGGGTGGCCGCAATCCACCATTGCCGCCGGCAACAGGACGTCCCGCACCGGCCATACCGAGCCGCCCCGGCGGCGGTGCACCTCCCCTGCCAGGCGGTCGGCCAGGCGGGGCTCTGCCACCCCCATTGCTGCCCTCGTAAGTAGACAAAAAGTATTTGTTGTTGTTATTCTTAGTCGCTTTCGACTCGGCTGTTGTAACTTGTACCTTGTGCGCGCTCTGTACAGTTTAGCTATAGTATATACATACATATATATATTCGATTTTGTCTACTCTCCAGTATTTCTTTTCGTTATAAATTATATTTATTATTTTGATTAATTACTCTTATTTGATTTATCGACGATTGGGACCTCTTTTTATATGCAGCCAACAAAAATAAAACACACTACACACAAACGCATACAAACATGCACATAGGCATATATATATTCTGGATCTCGACTATATATATATATATATGACTTATGTGCATGTTTACAACTCTGTACACAAAAGTTATTATTTGAACCTTTTCATTTGTTAAGATTAACCTGTTTTTTTTTTTCCTTCTCCATTTCGTGTGTTGTATCAAAGACATCTTTGTGATATGTCCTTGCAGCGGGTTTTATTAATTTATGAGCATATAAACACAGTGAACACTCGCTAATGAGAATCTGTCTGCTTTCATTTAAAAAAAGTCCTCTTTTTAGCCTAAATAATTGTAATTACCTTTTAAGGGATTCATTCGAAAATCATTCAAAAATAATACAGTTGACATTCAAGAACAATTCCTAGTTTTGAAAGTTTCTAATTTCTAGAAGTTGCAATTAACCAGAAACCACTTTATCATGCTTTAAATGTACCGATTCCACGCGGATAATTTCAGCAGGGAAATTTTCGATTTTCCACATATTTCTATCTGGGACTATCAGATCCAGTTCACATATATCACGTAGCTGTACTAAGAATAATGGGAAATTAAGTTCATGTACAGTGAAAATTACTTTATTATAAAGATATCAAAAGCAAACTCTGCCTCATGTTCCTAATATATCGAACCTCTACATCATAAAGTTATTGTACAAAAATCAGTAAAAAAAACAAATTTAAATTTATCCATATGCAGAGGGATTAAATAGTCTTAGATTTGTGACCAGGCTGAGGATATTTTTATAAAGTACCAAATTTGGGATATTTGTATAAGTTTTCTGTTGAGTACATAAAGTACCAAATTTGGGATATTTGTACCACATGTGGCAGCCTCGCTCATAATTTCCCTTATTTCATCTGTCTGCAAGGGTATTTAAGCTTCGGCAGCCCGAAGATAACTGTTATTTCGTGAATATATTTTATTTGTTGTTTATCTTGTAAGAGTTTTTTTTCAGCAGATAGTCTGTAGTCCCACAAACAATCTATAAATAGTTAAGAACTCATCGTGAAATTTGCATAAACAAACGTAAATTAGCATAACCGGCCGAGTCTCTTTAATTTTGTTTGTATATATCTCTTTGTCTATGATTTGGGGTTATTTTGCGAAGGGACAAGCTGCCAGAATTGGTATTTGAAATCGTTTCTTTTTTGTTGTTGTTTTTTTTGTTGTTTCGTTGTTTTTGTTTGTGGTGCCCCTCAGTTTAGAAAGTATTTGTAAAAAATATATAAGAAAAAAGAAAAGACAAACTTAACAAAATATAACAAAACAAAATCGTTTGTTTCTTCCTCTCTTTTTTCTCTCTTTTTCTCAAAAACAAAAAAAAAAACATTTGTTTAAATGCGATAAACAACAAACAATGTCAAACGTAAAACTGTTAATACTAACGCACACACATGCACACACACTCTCGCACGCACACACACGCAACGCTCACATGTCGAACGCCGCTTACAACGCTAACTGTAAAATCAACGCTGCAGACGTCGCTAAGTTGTCAGCCACAGCCACAAGGCATTTACTCCCTCTCTAACTCCTCTCTCTCTTAAAAAATTAACTAACCAAAACGCTTTCGCTTAAATCAACCAACAAACCGAACAACCAACTCAACCAATCGATCCGATCCGATCCGATCCGATCTGATCAGCCAATTGAACCGAAACTCTTAAGTGCAGGCTCGTGTGCTCTCGCTCTCGCTCGCGCTCTCTTAGCAAACGGGGGCGGCTGCCATCACCCACGCAAAAGCTCGCTCAGTAAAAAGCAACAACAACTACAGCAACAACGATGTCGACAAGAACTATGCAAAGAACGTTAAATATTAAAAAAAAAAAACATCTACTCGTATATACATACATACAATATCCGATGCGTTCGTTTATAATTATTATAAGAAAAAAAAAATATATATATATACAGTTTAAATTGGAAAAATGCACACACAACCTATTGATCAAAGCACAGTATTACATATATATATATATATAAATATACATGTATTACACATATGTATATGTCAGCAGCTGAGAGAAGATTATATCAGAACTGTAAACGCTCTTTAGATTTCTTCATAGTGTGTTAGTTTTGCTTTAAAAGGAAACTAAAGAGAGTAATTACAAATATCCTAGAGAGCGGACGCGCCAATGCTGAGCTGAGCCGTGGACTTTTCTATTGTTAGGAGAGCAAATGCATACACATATATACAAACATATTAAATATACGTTATGAAGAGAAAATGAATATAAGATGAGATATACATACATATATATATATATATGCTTAAGTTAACTAAAGTACCTTTTTTGTGTTGTTGTTGTTGTCGTTAAATAAAACTAAAGCATAAAAAAAGAGATATTGAACAAAATATACACATACATTCTATATATATATATATATATAAATATATATATATATATATTTATGAGCTACTCATTAACGGGACAAGAACACGGCAACAAAATTCCACTAAATCATACATGATATTATAAATATTTAATGGGCAAAAAGTTACAAATTAATTGTTCAGTGTGCGTACGTAAAAAGAAAACAAAAGCAAAAGTAAAACAACTAAATAAATACCTAGTATAATTAAATTGAAAGTATATGCGCACACATTTCATTTATATACAAACTACATACAAATATACACCTATATATTAACAGACTGACAGACATGTTCGAATATTTTTGGCTGGCACTGTGCCCAGTCGAAGTGCTGCTTCCAGTTCTCTTCCCTTCACAGCCTTTGGCCAAGTCCCGTTTTCTGCGCACTCTCTCTTAAGTCAAGTTGAGGTGTTTTTCTCTTTTGCTGTGCTCGCGGCAATCGGCCAATTTTCGGTGCAAACAGTGTTGGCAAACGCGGCTTGTGTTTAGTGTAAAATAACTTGTTTACATTTGTTTTTTTTTTTTGTTTGTTATTGCTTTAACTCATTTGATAACCAAATGTATTTGTTTGCTTTGTTTTTGTGCAGCTTTTTTTGCTTTTGTGCGCCTAGTGCTTTTATGTTTGTGTGTGTGTGTGTGCATACAGCTAATGTAAACAACACATGTGTGTATGTTTGTTTGTATGTATTTATTAACATTTGCTTTGTTGTTTTAAAACTCAGTTGAATAATTCGTTTTTTGTTGCTTTGTCTATTAATTTTATATTAAATATTATTTCTTATGATTTGTGACTAAAATTAAACAAATACATTCACCACACACACACACACACACTCACACACTCACACACACAAACACACACCACAGAGCCAGAAGCAGCGAAACAAACAAATCGATAAAAAGGGGTTTCAAGCGTTCCGATAACTGTTTGATCACATAGCCCAGCGCCTCTTTAGTTTAGTATTTTTTCTCTTGCAAAACAAAGCAAAACAAAAAAAAAAAAAATCCCAAAAACCAAAAAAATACCCAAGAAAGAAACAACAAGAGTACAAAATCCTTTTACAACTTTCAAGTCGCGTCACTGGAGCTGTCGGCGGTGCCTTAACACAGCAATCGGGCGCCAATCGCTACATCCCGGAGAGCATGCGCGGACAAGTGAATCAGGCTGTGGGCCAGGCGGCCATGAATGAACTCTCCAATGTCTTTGCCACACGGTTCAAGTAAAGAAACTCTGCAGCATTGCAAACAAAGCAAGAGAGCAAGAGAGCCGGCCAGCCAGCGAGCGAGCAAGCGTGCGTGCGAGCGAGCGAGCGAGCGAGCGAGCTAGCCAGCTAGCTAGCTTTCAAGCGCAACAGCAAATTAAAAGAAAGAGCAACATTTAAACGCGCACGCGCACGCACACGCACACAAAAGCACATTTACAAGAGAGCGGGTGCTCTGCGTCTGCGCCAGCGCCTGCGTCAGCGCCTACTCTTACCATTGCAATTTTTTCCACTCATAATTGTTATGTTATTTATGAACGCATATTCATGTTATGCATTTCTAATCTCTTTTATGTATACACGTATATGTGTCCTGTGTGTGTGTATGTCGAAACTAAATTTTACCTCTTATCAAAAGTTAACATTTGTGTTTCTTTTCCGCTTTACGTTTGTTTTATTGTCTTTTATGAATTGGTTAACTGTGAAAAATGTGCTCAATCAGTTTTTAAGTTTTTACTAACTTGCATTTCCATCGAAACACATTCCGTTGCACGTTAGAGCTGGCAAAAACTATCGATAACATTCCAGTACATTTAAGCGATCGATATCGATTTTGGCTGTTTCTTCAAAACTTGCAATTTTCACTATGTTATTAAGCGATAGTTTTGCAGTTCGATGACCCACACACACATGCATACAACTAACACGTACAAGTGTTGCTTTCGATAAATTATACACACACACATATATATATATATATATATAAATTAAAATATATATTAGAGGGGAATCTCTTAGATCTAAATCGAACTAAAAGTTGTTAATTACATTTTACGATGCTAACAATGCACAATGCGAAATTAAATCCAAACATATACATAGTCTCCCTCTCTTTCTATCTAACTTTGAATATATATATATATCTGTCTCTCTCTCTCTCTCTTTCATTTAGATTGCTTGAATGCAGATTTGTAATTGTTGCTAATTGAGTTTTTGTGTAGTTCTTAATGCCAACTTATACTATATATATATATGTATATGTATTTGTATTTGTTCAATGCGCATCATTTGTCTGATTTGACAGAGATATATATATATATCTATATATATATATATATATAGCGAAAGAGAGGCAGAATTAGAGTTAGCGAAGTTTAAATGAATTATACGATATATAAACAAAACATTTATGACAACTATTACTACATGTATGTATGTGTATTCATATGTATGTAAATGTATATTAAACTAAGCACAACAAAAAAAACGTGAAAAACAAGTAAGAAATGTTGCAGAAAAACAAATCAACATGAACTTTAGTTTGTTGATTGGGAAAGGCAAAAAGAGAGAAGCAATTTTAAGAGATATTTAATTTCTACCCTTAACAGTACATTTCACTTAACAGCTGTTAAGTAGAGCTCACTGCTACACCTAACAGCTGTTAGCTAACATGCACAGCATAGCTTTTATGTCTAGCAAAATACAGTATTCAGCTTTTGGTGTTATCGAAATTATCGAATGAAAAAATGAAAAAATCGTAAATAGTTTTGTTGTATTCAGATAAACAATTGGGAATTTTATTTTTGCATATTTTGCCCCATTGTTATTGTAGCTTATGCGTCTGAAAAAGTATGAGCATGAAGTGTGCAGATATCGATAATTGTAAAGGAAATATCGATTTTTTGTTTGTTTCAAACGATTCATGTTTTATTTTAAATATATATCACATGTGCACAGATTCGGGTGTCTGTGTATATTTATTATATGTGTATGTTCTATATATATATATATATATATCTATGAATACATATAAGCGTTATGCGCAGCAGTAATCGATTAATCGATAGCATAATTATCGACGATACGCGTAACTCCGCTCAGCGGTGGAGCCGAACAGTTAAAACGAAACAAACCACAGATAACCGATAATTAAATCGATAACCAATCGATTGTAACTATTCAATTAAACATATTCCCATCTCGAGTTATATGAATATAAACATAGAAATGTCACAAGTATTTAGCTCCAATATGTGTTTGTTTAAGTAAACTAAAGTACACACACACACACACACACATACACACACGCACACATACACACATACATATACACACATATACAAAGAATAGCTTACATATATTTATTATGTACCGCAGACCTTCAAAAAGCAAACCCTCTTGAAGAGCCCAACCAAATGTAGCCCCTATCAATTGCTGTTTATTGAATTGAAAGTTGAAAGAAAAATTATATTAATAAAAAGAAAAAGTATTAAGTTAATATGCCAAGCGCATGTCACGATTACATACATACTTATATATACATATATGAAAGAAGGCCGTAAATAAGAATGGAATATGTGAGACGAGGGGTAACTACAATGTTATAAATAAAAACAAAGTATATATATATACATATATATATATATATAAAGAAATATTTAAAAGAAAAAAATAATATGAAAAAAGAACGCGCTTGATTGTTTTTTACTGTAAACAGCTTTCAGGTTCTCTTAAATAACAGCGGTGTTAAAAGCGCGCTCTCGCCTGCAGTGAAAGGCGACACTGTTAGCTAACAGTGGCCAGTCTTGAGCTGCTGTTAACTTTTGCCCAGCATTAACATTCAATTCAACTATCATTAAAATACTTCATTGGTTCATGCTCGCTAACAGCACTGTTAAAGTCGCGCTTGCATGAATACTGTTAAGCATTTAGCTAGCATTAGATGCCAATTGCAACAGAAGCCCAGCTGGAATGGAAACTTATTTGAAGGGCAATCAGGCTGCTGCCTGTTCAACTACTGCATTGCATATCCGATTGGAGTTTTAGTTAACAGCGAGCACACATGAAACCTGCTATTAATCATTTGCTCTGCCATATTTTCCTGCGAGTGCGGCTGGAAAGTACTTTGAAGAGAGTTAACAGGCTGTTCGCTCTCTCTCTCTCTCACTCTCTGTTACATCCTCTGTTTTGTTGTCTTGTTTTGCTAACATCTCTTTTGTTGTTGTTGCTAACTGGTGTTGGTTACGCTTTGGCCATGCTCTTAAACAGTGCCAATGAATTAACATAAGTTTGCTGTCCTGCCGGTGAGTTGACTCTTGACTATCTAACTATCAACATATCTCTCTATGCATTACTGCAGTCTCTATTTAAGCTCTTTTTTTTTTGCTTGTACGCAACTTTCTCTTTTAAGTATGTAGTCTCTTTAGTTTTACACACTCAGCATTTGTTTGCATTTATATTATTATTGAAATTTGCATCTATTTATGTTCGTTTGGCTAATTGATGATTGATCTCTATTCACAGTCGGCCGGGCATGAATGCCCCGCCCAAGCTGCCCGATCGCCCCTCCTACTACGGCAACACGACCAACGGCCGCCCCTACTGAGCGCAAGCAGCACGAGTGCACGTTGGAGCGGGACAGTTGGACACAGCGTATACAGAACTTCGAATTTCGAATTCGGAGTGTGCTACTGTTAAGCGATCACTGTAATTCAATTTGTATTATTTTGTATGTATGTGTTGATAACAGGCAGCTGCACAGCTGTGCATGTGCGTGTGCGTGTGCGTGTCTGGAATTTTACTCCCCCCTCTTTTTTTTTTTTTTTTGTTGTTGTTGTCAAACTGTACTAAAGTGTGTAGTATAACACTTTCGACTGGTCCCCCCTAGAAATGCTAGACATATCATAGTTAACATATATCCAAGCTGTATGTAGTTATATAATTTACACACACACACACACACACACACACAGACACATACACAGACAGTGGCCTAGACACATGCATATAATATATATTTGTAGTTAATGCTTAACGTTAAGTTAAGAGAGTTAAGCGCGTAAGTGAAAAAAGCAGCCTCAACTGTCATACAGTCATACAGTTAAACCGTTATACAGTCATAGAATTTAGCACAGTTCTCGTTGCCAGCTGTGCTAATAACTGTGTGTATATGTATGCGTGCATACATATACATTAACAGGATATCGTTAAAGTTCAACAAAGAAAAAACAAAACAAAACAAAACATTTCTCTGTGCATTGTAAATATTTCAAATAATTGTTATACAAATAATGCTTATTAAACATATACAAAATATGAATAAAACATGAAACGCTTTAAATTCACAATATTTTCCAAAATATGCATATGTAGAAATATATAAATATAAATATAAATATACATATATATATATATATATATCGTAGGATTTGCAATTATCAGATAGAATTGTGCGTCACCTCTTTTATATGCATATACAACTATCTATAAATTAAATAAATATATATATATAAATAAATAAATAAATAACAAATATATATATATAGCTTTAAATTAAACAATTCTGGCGAAAATCTAAATCGATTAATATTAATATTTTTTATATAATTTATATATATTTATATATAAATTTACACACACACACACACACACACAACCAATTATACATTTTAATTTTACACTTTAATTTAAGCAATAATAGAAGAAGAAAAAAGAACACAAATTGTATGCATTAAATTAATGTTATTTAAAGCAAATGCAAATAATAAAGTTGAAAAATTAAATGAAATTAACGAGAATCGCAATTTAATTCATCGAAATATTACAAAAGTGTGTGTTAGCTTTGATAATTATATTTTTCCGATTTTCGGAAATTGCGTCAAATAATTATTCCAAAAAATATCCCAAAAAACTAAATTTTGGCATCTCCTGTTCTCCTGTTAAAACAAAATAGAGAATGTTGATCGATTTTCGATTTTGCAACGAACCAAGTTTCGAACCAAAACCATAGCCAAGAACCAAACCCAAAGCGGCCATTTTTGTTGGACTCTCCGCAAGTCTAAGTGAACAGTCCAATTGGAGTACCTACAGCGAAATTCCAGTTTGATTTATGCAAAATCAAGAGTATTGGGAGGAAATGTAAAAAATGATTGTGTATGTAAACGATCCAATTGGACTGCCTGCAACTAAAATTCCTATTTGATTCATGCAATGCAAAGATGTTTATCTAAGTGGACAGTCCAATTGGACCGACTACATTGAAATTCCTATTTAATTTACGGACTAGAAGAGAATTGGCAACCAATTAAGAGACGTGTATTTTGCAATGCATAGATGATTTTCGGAGTAAACAGTCCAATTGGGATACCTAGGTCGGAATTCGTTAGCGAAAGCGAATGGGAAAGAAGACATAGAAGACATAACCTCTGAGCAATAAAAAGAAGAGTATGTATTTTTTTTAACCTTGCAATGCAAAAATAATTATCTTAGTAAGCATTCCAATTGGACTATCGATTTGAAATTCCAATTTGATTTAGATTTTGACTAGAAGAGTGGCAATGCAAAGATGTTTATGTATGTAAACAGTCCAATTGGATTGCCCAAGTCGAGTTTCCTATTTGATTTACGAAACTAAAGAGAATTATATAGTTCTAACTTTGCAGTGGAAAGATGATTATCTGATTCCAATTGGACTGCCCTTTCGAAATTCCTATTTGATTCAGGAAATATAAGAGAGAGAGAGAGAGTAAAGAGAATGGAATGCAAAGATGATTATGTTAGGAAACAGTCCAATTGGATTGCCCTATAGAGAATTGACCAAATCGAATAAGACACAACCAGCCGACCCATAAAAAGAAGTGTGTTTGTTTGTTTGTTGTTTTAACTTTGCAATGCAAAGATGATTATTATTATAAGTTGCACTGTTATAATTCCTTTTGAATGAAGTTAAACATTGTTGAAATTTGTTCTTATTGGTGTTGGTGTTGGTGTTAGGTAATTTGTGGTTGGACAACAGGGTGCCGCACAGAGCTGCAGCTGCGAGCGGCGTGGATCACCCTGTGCCCGCTTACAGCTGAGGTTAATTGATTTAAAACGTGCGCTAATATTATTTGTTTATGCTTTATAGTTCCTTCTAGTATATAAGTAGTATGTTCTAACTCTGAGTTTGTTCTTGGTGTTTTATGTTAACATATTTTTGTTTCCATTTCTTAATCATTTATTGCTATTGCTTTATAGAAGCGTGCGCCTGGCAAAACTTGTCTTTCAATTTCTGTTCTTCTTACTTTCGTGTTTAACTTTTAGTTTGTTTGTTGTTGTTTTCTTCTTCTTCTTCTTCTGCTTCTTCGTTTGCTACTAGTTAATTAATTTTGTAATTGTTAATTAGGTTTAAGAAATTGACGGCAATTCTTAAATATTGTATGTATAATTATTCTTTGAGTGGAGCTCGTAATTAAATTGTTGTCTTCCACTTTGAAAATTATTTTGCGTATTTGTATGTATATATGTATGTATATATTTATAAATTTTTTTTAGTTTTCTTTTTAGATTCTGCTTATGTAAATATCCGAAAAATGTTCTATTCGTAACTAGATTTATCATTAATTTCAATTCTTGACAATTATGCTAGGAAATTACAATAGAAATAAACATTTCGGAAATTTCTTTGCATTTATACTTATTAATGTATGCATGAGTTGTATACTGTTCTTCTTCTTCTTCTTATTCATATTCTTGATAATTTTCGAAATAGTATAATATTGATCTATATATTTGATATATGTATTTGTATTTAGCCAAGCGCGAGTCAGGCGCAGGCAATGCGAAATCGAATCGTGTGTCTATATCCAATATCCAATTGGAATTGCAGATTTGGAATCGCACATTGCCCAAGGCTGAGCTCGGTCTTGGGCTCGGAATTGGGTTTAGGTTTTTATAAGGTATGTTATGTTTAGAATACTGGCTTAAATCTAGATAAATGGCCGCTTTGTCCAGCCACAAAATGTTGAACTAATCTACGAACCTTACGAACAATTCTTTTGTTGTTGTTGTTGTTTTTGTTTTTGTTGTCACAAGCAATAAACATTTAAACGTGAATTCCGAACAATTATCGGCGCCCTCTCACCGACATGCCGCACACATGTTTACCAACACTGTCGCGCACGCGCACGCGCACGCACGCACGCACGAGCAGGCAGCCAACGCACGCGCGCAGCAACGCCGGCAATTCGCCAGTGTGATCCTCTCGACTCGATGTTGGTGAGTTTTGGGCGCGAATTGGCCGACGCTGCCCCCCTGGTTGGTGGGGTGGTTGGCTTGATCTTCGGCTGTTGTGCGCCAACTGTGTGTGTGTGTGTGTGTGTTTGTGTGTGCGTGCTCGCAAGTGTGTGCGTGCGCGTGTGTGCGTGACTGAGCAGCGTGCTCTCTCTCGCGCTCGGACACGGTCGTATTGGAGTGCAAGCTTTGGTGTGTTGGCAGTGTGGTGTAATTTGGCAATTCACCACGAGCCAACAAATTTGATTTGCACAACAATCTAACTGGAACTGGAGCATTGTCTAACTAGAGTGCGGAAATCGGGCAAGGCGCCAACTAGAGCTAATGCATAAATATATGTTTTGTATTAATTGTAAATATTTGATTTATATAAGTATTAAATATTTGTAGAAGAGAGTTAGTTTTCTTTTTAAACTTACTTAGCTACGTTTTAGAACATGTCTTACTTTTGTTTCTTCTTGTATATGTAACAATTATTTATGAACAATGAAAAAAAGAAGTGCATATAAAAAATAAATCAAGTTTTTGATTTTATTACATAATAACAAATGTTAACTATTAATAGGTGAAATGAAAAGAGAGAGAGAAAGAGAGAAACATATAATACTTTCAAACGATATTATAGAATAATAAATATTTGTTAATTATACAAAACCATTAAAGAAAAATATGATAAAAATGCATTTGGTTTGAAATTGCATTCACACACACACACACACACACACAAACGCATGCATGTGTGTGCGTGCGTGTGTATGTACGTACAGATACTACGGTTATTGGATCGAATGAATATTGTAGCATTGCGGTATGGTTGTATTGGAACTGGAACTGGAACTGGAACTGGAGTAAATGCAATTTGTCGCTACTTTGCCAATAAGAATGCGTTCGCATTCGCAGGATTAAGTATTGGATTGGTATAAGTAAGCATATACATACATAAATATGTATGCATATGGTAATTGGTAAGTATCAATATAATGTCTTGTATATGTATTGTATAAATAGTTATCGTTTAACATTGCCTTCGTTATAGCTATTTTTATATGTATAACATGTTATTTAAAGCTTTTTGCAAGTATTTCAAAAAAGTATTTCTTCAAAAATGTTAAGTTTAAGTTTTTGTTTTTTTGTTTTTTTTTTGCATTTGACTTGGAATACACGTAGTTCGAGTTGTGGAAGGCGCACAAAATTTGTTTCAATTGAAAGACTATATATATATATATATATATTTATTCTGTAACTGCAAGTTTTAAATATTGCTTTTCAATGTTAGTTCTTCATTTTTGGTTATTCTTTTTCTCGTTTCTCTTCTTTATGGGCGTTACGCTACAAAATTTGAATCACAAGTTTCACCACGGCGGCGCGCTTTGCGTTGTATCTGAGCCAAGTTTATTTATGTGTGTGTGTGTGGATGAGTCGCTGTGTGTGTTTGTTTTATATTACGGTGCTAGTTCGAATTAAAAGTTGAGTAATTATAATTACATTTCGATAAATCGATAAACGTTTGCCGCTAAAAACTCATTTAACATATGCTTAACATTTTTCTGTTATGTGGGTTTTAAAAGTGGGATTTTTTGTAAGAATCTGCTCGCAGAGTTAATATACGTATATAACATGTGTTTGGATTTATATGTATGTAACTGAATTACAATTTTAGCATAACTACATTTTACTAATTCGTCAAATTGTGATGTACATAAACAACAAACAGTTTTCGCTTTAACTTTCCATTCAAGTGTTAACGTTGTCAGGGTACATAATTGATTTTTAAATTTGTTTATAATCATTGAACTATCATAAATAATTAGTAAACATTGTGTACACACATAAATACATTGTTGAAAAATATATAAATATATGTGGATGTATAATTTCATAGGTTACGAATTCACATATTATCCATTATACAATTATGGGTATATAGTGCGATAATAGGGTGTTATACATAGAAGTAAGTTAACGCTTTTCCATTACATATTGGACTGCACATTAATATAGATGTATATATCGTATATAGTATATAATTTTGTTGTATTGTTCTTTCGTTTTGTGGGTTAGTTAGTTAAGAGGTGCACATAATGTATGTCTACTGTAGGGTGATCAATGAACAGATGCTCCATATGCATCTTCCTACACAATTTTTAGAAACTAAAGACTCGACAACAAACATATATATATATATATATATATATGCATATGTATATATATAGATATAGATATATCGAATAACAAATTACAGGGCTGGCTAGATGTAGTAAGCATAGTTGTGTTTGAGTTGTGTTTTATATGCTTTAATTTCTAGATGCTTCACTGTATCTAATCCTCCTTGGAGAGGCTGCCCAGATCGCTGAGAAAGATTTCGGGCGAGAGAACGTGCGAGGAGCCGACTAGCACCTCCCAGTTGCGCACCGAGTTGGTCACCTCATAGGCGCAACGCATTTCCGACATGCTCACGCCGCCCACTATGAAGATGATGAGGCGTGGCACATTCTTAACCTGCGTCTGTGCCTTATCCTTGTGCCAGTGGCCATAGCGTGCGCTAGTCGGTGCATGGTAATTGGTATTCTGGGCGCGTCCCTCGAGGAACGGGAAATGACGCTGATCCAGCTTATCCTCAATGCAATCCTCCATAATGTCCTTGATGACTGGCGTCCAGCGCGACATTTGATAGGTGCTCTCAGTGATGCGCTCCTTGCGTGGCACCGAGTAGATCTTCTTTCGTGACTGCAATCGAAATGGCATAAATATAATTAGAGGATCGGCTGCCTGAATTGACCTGGCCATACTCACATCGGCAATGACATTGATGCCCAGATAGCTGAGATTGCGCACCATGTCCTGATCCTTGGTGGACAGCTGTGCGTGTGTAAACAGCTTGGTCAGGTTCTCCTCGGAGATGCCGTTCTTGATCATCACATAGAGCGAAATGATGCGCACCTTATCGTAGTTGGACACGTTCTGCAAAAAAGGAACCCGGCTAGTTAGTCTTAACTGTGGAATCGGGCTTTTTGTTTTAAGGGCATTTCGCGTACCGCATCTAGCAAAATGGGCACAATGTTGCGCATGTGATCCTTGATTTTCTCGCCCTCGGCATCAGTGCCCATGGCCAGATCCTGTTCGACGCGGCACAACTTGTCCACATAGTTCTGATACGATTTCATGCAATCCTCGGCCAGATGCAAATGGGTTGAATACTTGGACAGCTCCTTCTGATACTGCGGCATCTTCTTGATCATCTGCGATAGATCGCGCATCGACGACTTGTCAGCTGTGTAATGGAACGCATGATTAGCTGTGCCTGTGCCTGTGCCTGTGATTGGGGTGAGGGTGTGGAAGATGTGAACATACCGGAACTCATGCGCTTGGAATCGGTAAACTTCTTGAGGTTCTGTGTGACCTGTGTGGAGACAACGGCAATGTGCTCGTGACGCAGCTCCACCCACAGGTCATCGTTCTCGTCGAGCAGCACCTCCTTGTCCGGCTGGTTGGGACCGGGCGTATAACGGTACACATCATTCACAATGGGCAACAGATCATAGGCCATCGCCTGGAGCGTTAGCTCGTGCAGCAACGGCGACACGCAATCAAAGCCGCGATCCAGAATCAACAGCTGCGAACGGGCCTTCTCCGGGCCCTCGCCCATTGTCGGCTCATCGGCCTTGTAGGCATCCAACTTCTGCTGCACCGAGGCAGCCAGATCGATGTTGCGATCCCAGTCGCTGCGATAGCGCACGTTCGGGTACTCGCCCAGCGTGGCGCACAGCGTTGCGATCTGCTCGGCAATGCGCTCGATGTGCTTGCCGCGTATCGAGGCGAATGCCGGCGAGTAGAGACATTGGAACGTGTCCGGCGAGTCCAGCGAGAAGACCTGCGACGCATCACACAAAAGAGGCGACCCGACCAAGGGTAGAACGACCAAAACGATTTCACTATTAATTGGTGTACTTGTCGACTTCAATGTTATCGAATGTTATCGAGTGTGTGAACGTGAGGCTAACTACATTTGTATGTCTGTGTGTGTGTGTGTGTGTGTGTGTGTGAGTATTTACAGTACAGCAAGCAAATGTTTAAAGAAACGCACACTTTCAACCATTTCGCAACACTGCCTTATAACAGAGAAAAACAATTAATCGATAGGTTTTTTAAATTCAATATTTGCAAGATAAAAAGGAGTTCAAAGTGCTGAAGATATTCTTGAGTCAATAGTTCGATATGCGGAGTCATTTTATAATTCCTTTGAAATTCTGCCTTGCATTGCGCTTTGTGTATCGAAATGAGATCAAATAATCGATAAATAATTAGGTTTATCGATTATTGATATATGCAAGTTGAATGGTAGTTATTATCATCAGTAATTGCTCTATTGACTTGAGAAGTTTTTTCTAAGTATTAAGTTTTAACGATTTCCCGAAGTCCATTGGTTATATATCTTTAAGATCTTTACAATATTTTCTCGATATGATTGAGCGAGTAAATCTACATTTGCTTGCTGGTCTCTTGTTAAGCACAGTTACATGTTAAAGCGAGAGCGACATGCAGCGCGCTCGGCATGCAGAACGTTAGCCAAATGAGAGCGCGTCTGTAGCGAGAGAGAGAGACAGAGCGAGAGCGTTGTGTGTGTTTGTTTGTGTGAGAACTTATGAGCTAATGAGATACATATTTACATAGAAAGTGGCGAGAGAGCACGCAACCAATTGACAAATTGTTACATTTATAGGTTATGCAGTCATTTTTGCTGTTTTTTATTATATTTGTTACTGTGGTATTTGTGTGTTACTTTTGAGCCCTGGAGTTGTACTCGCCGCATCACAACATGACGAATAACGAGTAAGCAACAAAACGAACGAGTGTTGCTTAAACGTGCCTGGTCACTTTGTGTCTGGTTCAGCGAGTAGCGTTTTCTTATGGAATACTTTCGCGTTTTGCTTGTTATTATTATTTGTTATTATTGTTAAATTGGTATGCTTTAATAATTGATATACACAATGATCGCATGTGTTAGTGTTTGGTTAGGCACGATTTGCTTTTCTGTATACAATTCACATACATTAAATTGAACACTACAAAACAAGTTTAACAAAACTTAAGGAGATTCGAGACTGGAGGCGTTCAGTTAACGCTCGGAAATGTGTCAGACAGGCCCATGGCTTGGCTTGCCAGTGTTGGAAAGTGATTTTTGGTTAAGGCCAAGACCAAGCGCTAGAGCCTAGAGACACGATTGGATGGATAGTTTAGTTTTTAGTTGATGTGTCAGTATTTACAACAACAAGTACAACACATATAGTACATATACATATATATATATATACACATAGACAGTGACAGAATTAGACAGAGACAGCGAATGTGTGTGTGTGTGTGTGTGTAAGTGTGCGTGTGTAGGGGGGGATGGACTTAAATTGGCTATTGAGCATTGAACAACACTTTTAAAGAGTGTTTCAAAATGTTCCCAAAGAAATGGAACATGAAAATAACAGTTAATAACAGAGAACAGAGCGAGAGAGAGATAGAGAAAGTAGGCAATAGAGCGGTAAAGAGAGAGAGAGAGAGAGAGATAGAGAGATTGTGCTTAGGTTAACTAAGACTTAGCTTGGATTCGGGTTTGGATTTAAACATAAAACGCTCTTGCACTATACAGATGTCTGTTTACGGAAAGGATATTTGCTTTGTCTATGTTACAGGAGAGAGATTTTTGGTTTTTGTTTTTTTTTTTTTTGGGTTTTTGTTTTTTGGTTTTTGTTTTTGTTTAGCGCACCTGGCATTCATATGGTAGAAATGCAATATTAATCTCCTTTAGAGTTTTGATCTTTCTTGCAGCGCACGATTTACACAAATCGTTAAATAATTCCTCCGGGCAAACTATAATTATAATTATACGCACATCAAATGTTGCTTTCGTTTTCTTTTTTTTTGGTTTTTTTAAAGCTACAAAATATGTATAGTATATAGTATAAAATGGTATTATTATGTAATTGTAATGCATGTGAGCATGTATGTGCGAGGCAATTGGTTATTTTTCTCTTTTGCATTCTAAATATAAGTATATTTGGACTTGATAAGACTCGATGCCCATTCGTTTTGTATCTGGTCGCTGAAAAGTAAACTTATTGAGCGTTGAAGTTTTCGGCAAAGTTACGGAATAAGCGTTAAACGAAAATAAAGCGATAAAATGGAAAGTAAAACAAATGTGGACGAAACAAAAGGCATATAAAGGGACATATAACAAAATGATGAAGCATTCAAATATGATAAATAGTTTTTTTTGTCAGTTGAAGTTAAAGTTGAAGTTGCACCCATTTGAAGTTAGTTGTGAAAGCATTTGAAGACTGAAACGCTTTGAGACAAATCGCATCGGAATGCACGATCGCACAGCACAGGGTGATTAGTAGTAAGTAACGAGTAGCGAGTAGCGAGTAGCGAGTAACTCAAACGAGTAACGAGTGTGTAAAATGGGCAGTTAGAAGTGTTTTTTTTTTAGCTGTTCTTTTTCACTCAATATACCTGTGCTTCATAGGCCAAAAAGGCAATATTGATCTCTTTGCAGGTGCGCACATAGCGTCGACAAATGTCTTTGTGCGATTGCAGCATTTCGAATATGCGGGGCGGTATCGCTACACGACATACACATATATATATATATATATATAATATATAATAATCATAGCATCGTATACAAACAGGAGGGGATTCATGGAAAAATTATAAATAAATCGATATAGAGAAATTAAATGGAAATTATGGAAATCATAAATAGCATTAGATGATTATCGTTTCAGAGTAACCATACAGACATACAGTCACGCGCATCAAGTACTAAATAATTGATATATATATATATATAGATATATTATATATAGATTTAAAGCCTGGCCAAACGGCTGGCACATACCCTCGGTGAAGAAGACGTGCGCGTAACGGTACATGGGACGCGCCGGATTCTCAAAGTCGCGAATCAGGGAGCGCACAGACTCATCCGATGGTGTTATCAAGTAGATGGCATCCATTGTGGGCAGCGGCTCGCGCTTCTTGTGGATATCCTCCACCACTGGGCCAAGGCACAAATGTTATTCGACATGGATACAAATATGTTTATTGTTGATTGCACTTACATGTTATGCCCTCGGCGCTAATCTCGTGCATCTTGGTGCAGGCGGAGACCATGCGCATGCCCAGCTTATCCACCACAAGCACACGCCACTCGATGCCACCTGCGCCGGCTGCCTTTGGAGCAGCTGCAGCGCCCGCTTTCTTCGGTGGCGGCGGCTTGTACTTCACCACCTCGTTCATGATCTCTATAAAAAAGAAAGGCAAGCTCATGAATATTTATATAACTGTGCATGTGTGTGTCTGTGTTTGTCTGTGTATGCGTGTGTTTAACAGTGTGACCCATTTTGTTTATTACCGTTAAATCTGGATTTTATGAGATTTGGCAGAGGGAGTTATAACTTTTGGATAGGATATTGAATCCCAAAAGGGTACATCTACGATATTATTAAGTATATATAGCAATCGGCTCGATGTCTGTCTTCTTTTATGGAAGCTAATCTTTGAGCTACCTTGATAATCCTTGGCATAGATATGTCCATTAGAGAGAGGCGCCTCCAAAGGCTACACCCCGGCGATCTATCTATAAGGCGAATCATTTAACTACCTTCTTGCTCCGTCTTTCAATGCAGGCAGAATCAGGCCATTTTAGCATGGAAAAGAAATATTGTTGGCGGACTCTACTCGGGTTAACCAGAGCTAAGGCCTACAGCTTGAAGGCTTGAAGGCAGTCACAAAATTATTATATAAAATCATTTGCATTAGCTATGCCTGTAGTCAAATAAATAAAAAGATTGCTGAAATCTTTTTTTTTGTCAGTTACAAATAACTTATTCCAAGCGAATTGGCTTTGGCTTTTTCTTTTTTTGGCTTTTTTTAATCCTCTTCCCCCCCTACAATTAGCTTTTTTTTGTTGCCTTCCAAAAGTTGGCAGCACTGATGCGTAGTTACATTATGTGGAATTAACGTTTTATCATATTTATAGTGTATAATGTTGGCCAGAGGCAAAAGGCAAGAGTATTACTCATAAGCCTGATGAGTCAGAACCAGCTAAAAACCCAACAATAGTACAAACAAGCAGCGAGAATAATAACAACAACGTGAGAAAAAGTGCATGAAATAAGCCACTTAGCGAATGGCGTTGCCTGATTGATTTTATTCCCGCTTGACTCGTCAATCAGCGCATATTGAAAGCAATTCCCATTTGCATAGCGAAGCGGTGCCAGATAGCTGCAGTCAAGCAAAAGGCAAAGTGAATCTGTTAGACGACGACGCGAAACCGTTTAGGTGGTGGTGGAGGTGGTGGTGCGGGGGCAGGGGCAGGGGGCCCCATTATAAATGCTTATCCTGCGGCAAAGGTCACCGCAACCCCCGCAGAGGCACCCACGCCTGAAAAGCGTTGCGCGTGGGCATTGCCAGTGGGTGTTGAGTGTGGGTGCCGTAATTGTCGTGTGTGTGTGTGTGTGTGTGTGTGTGTGTGTGTGTGTGTGTTTAGAAAAATCGATGAATGCTGTGGTGCTGGGGCAGCTTGTTTGATAAGAATATGTAAATGCAGCATTTTTTGCATATCAGTGGATGCCAATTAAACTGGTTCGCACATAAATAAATAAATAAATGTGTGTGTGTGCTTAGAGGGGCGTCATTTTTATCACAACCTTGCCTATGGGCTGTACATGTGTGTGTGTGTGTCTCCCTGTGTGTGTGTGAGTGAGTTAGTCAGAATAGCAGCAGTTAAATTAAGTCGTATTGGAATGTTTGTCATTGCACTTACTCTGGCCGACCAAAACTTTTAACGCCATATTTGCTGGAATTCGTTGTTTTCACTGGCACTAACTGGCCCGGCTGTTAATCAAAAAACTATTTAAATTTTCTTTATTTATATTTCTTTGCGGTCGTCGCACAAACGCAATACCCAAATACTTTAACAATAATGAATGTCGAAAAATGTATCACCACTGCAACTCAAAACGAAAAAAAAAAATAATAACTCAACACCAAACGTCGGTGAAAACGCGGCTAGTATTTAATTGTTTATGGAAATCGATGCGTATTCTTTTTGTATATAATTGCAGCTTGTATGAAAGAACTCCAAACTTTTTGCTTTGCAGGGATGGCACAAAACATCGATATGCTTGCCGTATCGATATGTGGCTATGGTTGCGATAGTCTAGTTAAGGCAATGGGTATAAATGGTATCGATACTTAGATGTGTATGTGGCTTGTCAGGCAAGGAGCGCTTGAGAACTGTGCTAAACAATAAAGGACACGCATAGATTTAAATAAAATAATATTTTCCTTGCATACTTCATGCTCCCACTCATACAAGATCAACACTTTTTCTCTTAAATGCTAAATTTGTATTGTCTGGCAGCTCTTGAAATACGATGTGGCAGCTCTGTCAAAAATAACGCGCAAATTTGTAATTTTTAACGATCATATCTTTTTATTTGCGCCTAACACTAAAAAACAAAACAACTTATCACAATATATAATATAAGAGCAAAAAAAAAAAATAATATTATGCTATATTTAAATCTATAAAGGCATCAGCTCCGCCAAGGATTCGGCGATTGTGCTATCACGAAAGCGTCCAATTCTTAGTGCATAGGAAATGACGTGCGCCACATAGCTCTGCTCGTGCACACCATGGAACAGATAGGACATGGCGCCTAAGAAAACCAAATGTAATTAGTTGAATATTCTCATTCGGTGTCCATTGCACACATACCACGCGCATGGATCGTCACATCGGAGCCGCCGTGCAGATTCTCATCCGTGTTGATGGCCGCCTGCTGTGTGTATTCCCAGTCTGTGGTATCACTCAGAGCCGGATTCTGACGTTCCATCCGCTCCGGGTCGACCTGAAAGCCCTGGTAGCTGGTGCCGTATGTGAGCGTCGTGTATGGCGTTTGCTCGGTCTTGGAATTGCCGGCCAGACCCAATATGTCAGCGCCACGTTCCGGATGCCCGTTGATGGTCAGACTATGGGAATGGTCAGCGGTGACAATCAGCAGCGTCTCGTCCAGCTGATCCCTGTGCGTAAGTGTCGCAATTAGCAATTGTTGAAGCCGTCTCTAAATGTTGGTACTCACTTGGCTTTCAGATGCGCCTGGACCGCTTGAACGGCCTCGTTCAGGGCGAGCACCTCGCTGAGCGCCTTGCGCGCCTGACCACGATGGTGCGCCTGGTCGATCATGCCCGCCTCGACGACGAGCAGATAACCCTTATCGCTGTTGCCCAGCACCTCGAGCGCTTTTATTGTCATATTGGTTAGAGAGGGCATGCCGGCGTCGCTGGCATCCCGCTCATGGTCGTACTTGAGATGTCCATTGGCAAATATGCCCATCACATAGTCAACGTTTTGTGTATCGAGATTCCTGAGCTGACCGTTGTTTTGGACCACAGCATGCGATTGGCCTTTTCCGGTCTTGAGCATCGCCCAGTCCCTGATGAGATTGCGTCCGTCCGCGGCTTGACCCGCCCACATGTCGACCGGATCATTCGCTGTGCCGGTCACGTTCGACACCAGCATCTGGCGACCGCCACCCATGATGACCTGCCAGATAAGTTGCTCTGCATTATTATCTTGATCTTTTGCTATTAAACGATTTTGCCAGAATACTCACATTGATCTGTTGGCCCGTTGACTGCTCGACCAGCTGGCGTGCTATGTCCTGGCAGCCTTGCTGCTGCGCCTCCGCCGGCATGCGCGTCTCGCATTCCCACCGGCGATCCGGCACATGGGCGTACAGTGCAGCGGGCGTGGCATGAGTCACACGCGTGGTGGTCACAAAGCCCGTGCGCATGCCGTCCACTTGGGCCCAGTTGAGTATGTTCTGTACGTGATGGGCCTCCGTCAGCGAGGCGCTGCAATTGCCCAGCGGCACGGCGGCATCAACGCCGCCCGTCTCATAGTTGGCCTTGACGCCGCCAAAGAGTGCCGTGGCCGTTGAAAAGGAGTCCGGCACCTGTTTATTCGCACAGTAGGTCTTCAGCAGGCCCATGTGCGGAAAACGCTCCCAGCTGAGCAGGCCCTCCTCCTTGAAGCCATAGATGCGCGCCGCGGTCACCGTATTCGGACCCATGCCGTCGCCCACAAAGAGCACCACATTCTTGGCCCGACGGCGATTCAGCTCACGATTCAGTGCCAGCTTGAGCTCATCTATGCCGCGATCGTACCACTCCTGCTGCTCCTTGGGCAGCGTCACATGCCAATAGGCCACCGTTTCCATGTCGCTGACATCCGCAGCGAACTCATAGTGCACCAGAAAGCCAATGCACATGGCAATCATTAGCACCGCAGAGAAGCTAACCGCTATGATGAATACCTTCGATTTGAACACATTCTTTTGCTGTTGCCGCTGTTGCTGCTGTTGTTGCTGTTGTTGCTGCTGTTGCTGTTGCTCCGGAAGGGCTTTGGCTCTGGGTGTGCCGCCGTTCGAATTGGCAAAATTGTGACTCGAGTCCAGGCTGTCCAGCTGCACCTCAATTAGGCCCATATCGCCCAGCTTGGTGCTGTCCGTGCCCGTGGATGACATCGCAATGCCTGAATCTTAGCTATCTATTGACTCACGTCTGGCTCGGATTGGTGCGCGCTGATTAAGCTTTATGCGGCCTGTAAAAGTCAGATATATGACACAGCTGCAATCTCAAGTACTCCCCCCCCCCTCTCTCTCTCTCTCCCCTTTAAATTCCGATAAGAGAGATAAAAACGGAGCAACCCGCACCTCCACCTTCCAAGCACGATTACAACTACGCTCGCTCTCGACCATCCATTAAATACCCAAATGGCAAATTCGATTACACTTAACACCAGCTACGACTCGAGCCGCGCGATCAACGTCACGGCCTCAATTTGTGAATAGACTAAATCCCACCCATTTGCCCACTTATAGCTCCGCTCCCGCCTAGACAGCTGCTCCGTACGCTCCCTTTGGCCGGGTCTCGATTAAGGCACCGAGTGCCTCCCGAGCAGCGGGGCCGTGTGCTTTCGGTCCGTCTGCGTCTGCCATGTTGGCTGACATTTTTCATTTTACAAACTCGCTCTCATTATACTCTTGCCCGAAAGGTATATGCACTATTATGTATGCCCATATATATTGCATTTTATTCTAAAGTTTCTATTACTTTTAACAAATTTATTTCAAATTTTTTCCGGCACTCTAATTGTGAGTTCTCTCTCCTGCTCTACGACCAGGGTATATTAGCTATATCACATAAAATAACTCATTTAAATAGATGAAATTTTACATTCTAATTTTTTTATTTTATGCACCGAGTAATCCTTAAAACTCGGTCTGATTGCTTTTTAGAAGAAATGTGTGTGTGTATGTATGTGGGCGTGTGTGTGTGTGCGTGTGTGTGTGTGCGTGTTTGTGTGGGCGTGTGTGTGTTAGTGTATGCATGCATTTACATATGTATATATGTATGCATGCATGCATGCTTGTTTCCTAATTCCAAACGCAGACGAGGTTTATTTGACGCTGTGCTGCTAATTTAAATAAAACGAATTTCTGCCAAGTGCTCTCCTCCTCGATTCTCAAGAATTCAAGTAGGCTCTGCAGTTTTTCATGCTTAGCTAGTAGTGTAGTTTTTTTTTTTCGTTGATGTTGTATATGATGTTGATGTTTTTGTATGTATGTATGTACATACATGTGTATATATGTACGTATGTATGTATGTATGTATGTTTGTATGTATGTACGTATGTATGTATGTATGTATGGATGTATGTATGTATGAATGTATGTACATATGTATATATGTATGTATGTATATATGTACATATGTATGTATGCATGTATGTATATATGTATGTATGTATGTATGTATATATGTATGTATGTATGTATGTATGTATGTACATGTGTATGTATGTATGTATGTATATATGTATGTATGTATATATGTATGTGTGCGTGTTTGTATGAAGGTATGTATGTATGTATGTATGTATGTATGTATGTATGTATATATGTACATGTGTATATATGTATGTATGTACATGTGTACATATGTATGTATGCGTGTTTGTATGAAGGTATGTATGAAGTATGTACATATATATGCATGTATGTGTGCATTTATGTAGGTATCCGGACATGAATTCTTACATGTACGCATGCCTGCATTTTTGCATACAAAACAAACATCCTACATATATGTCATACATACATATGCATATATGCAAACTTAAGACTTATCTCAAAAAATCTTTGCAGTGCAATTACCACCGAGGAAGCTTGGATTCTGCGAAAAGGGTGAAACACGTCTGAAATGATTTTTCGTGTTGATCTTGGGAAATATATTCCAACACGAAACATCACCCAACAAATCTCTAACCGCTATTTCCACCAAGGAGGAATGCATATTCCAAAAAGTGCGAAACACCCCTCAAATGAATTTGAACGAAGATCTTCGAAAATGAGTTTGAGGCCGACCGGATGGTAAACAAAAGAGTTTCATTGCCGGTCTTAACGTGCACCCTCATCACATAAGGTAACTACAGGGAAAGTTTTAGCTTCCTAGGCCTTGCGCTCTTCGATATTGATAAACATATATTGTTATATATTTGTATACCTATAATAATTGATACACAATAATTTGTGGATCTTTAAATTTAGTAATTCCCACATTTTTCGCCTATATGAAACTTGATTGATATATTATTTTGTGTATTCCTGTATATATGTATATATAAGAGGACTATCTTAAAAAGTTGTGCTTAAATGAGGGACACATATCTGCTGTCGCTCTCAATCCCATTTTTTTGTACATAAACTTTATTTATGTACAAAAAAATATGTTAAAATATTTGCGTATCAAAGTTCACATGAATGTTCCCACAAATATGGTTCACCTAAATTTGAGATGATTTTAATAATTTCCATATCTTTAAGTAAAAGCTAACGTTTTTTTGCATAAAACTTTCAGGCTAAATGAAAAAAATAAGTGAAAGTTTGGGATTTGAAATCAATTGTGATTGTAATTTGCATTTGCAAAACTTTAACCAGGGTCAATTGCCGTAGCTCCTCATAGCTACTTGATGCTTTGTTAGTTCTTTGAGAATTTGTGGTTCTATTTTTAACAAATCTTCGAGTCAGATAGACAGATACTTGGGTACGGCATCTGCGGTGCGACCAGTCTGAAGAGGTGCTGCCCGAATTGGCTCGAAGCGGGCCTTCGATAAGGTTGATTGTGAATAGCGTAACGCTATTTATGACCACTTCAATTTGGCCGAACGTGGTGCAGAATATAGCTCAAGTGGTAACATATATATATATATATATGTGTGTGTGTGTGTGTGTGTGTGTGTGTGTGTGTGTGGCATGTTTATTAATCAGCTGGGCTAGATAGTCTCTGATGATTTGATTGGTATCAAGTCGCAGATGCGTCATATTTGCCAGGCAAGGAAAGTGAAAATACTAGACGACAATCGCAAAATGTTCGATTCTGTCTGACGTACATTGTTTTATATGATGGATGATATGCGGGCCTCTCAACACGATTGAACGAACGATTAGCAGGAGGCGGGCTGGGAGGGGCCCTCCCCCCTTTGTAATTACCGAATGGCGCGAGATTTCATCAGGGTTTGAATAACAAAATGATCATTCAAAACGGATTTATAATGAAGTTAGCCAGGCATAAAAACTTAAGGTCGGATAAGTTGAAAGAAAAAACTCAACTATTATTTACCCGCAGAGATATGTATGATATAATCTGAGGGCGGCTGGGCTTATAAATAATGTGTAAACTATGTATGTGTCTGGCACGATATCAAAAATCGGAAAGAAACGCATGCAAACCTTATCCTCCCCTTCCCCCCCCCCCCCCCCCAAACTCACCGACGTGCCATATTCTTTGAAAGTAAAAACAAACAATACCCAGAACTGGGGCTCAATATGCCTGGCTGGCTAACGGTAAATAAAACACTTGTTTCGGCCAATTTACTGTAATTGCGGGCGTGTGGGCGTGGCACACGTAAATACATATACATATGTACATATATATATATGGGTCTGGTTTGAGTGCACTATTTTTAGGCAGTGGGTACAACTAATTGATTTATATCAAAAAATAACACAGAACAGAGCTGAGAGCAGGAAGAGAGAGCATCGCTGAGAGAATCTATCTATCGTAACCCCCCCCCCCCTCTTCCCCCCTCCCGCTCAGCCATAAAATGCTGAGCAGAGTGTAAAACAATAGAATGATTTAACAATTAAGGCGTTCAACTATTAAGATAAAAATGACTACAATAAAAAAATATCAAAAAAAAAAAATGGGCAAATTCTTAGACAATGTTTACTTACCTAACATACACATAAGACACTTGCAAATATACGTTTTTATTTAATCTATATCTTTGGCCGTTAAAAGACATCAACAGCGAGGCTGCCAGTTCATAGTTTTGATTATTTTTTTTTGTTGCTTTTATAATCGTGTGACAAATGGCTACGTATGTATGTATATTTGTATGCTCTTTGCCGAGTTATTAAAAAACAAAAATTTTGTATTTATTTGTACAATAATTTCGAAATGTTAAACTCAACACAAAACAAATTGGTCCGTTCGCAGCAAAAGTTGCTGGCGTTTTGCGAGTCGCAAGTCGTTTAAGCTAAATGAAAACAAGAAAGCTAGTTTTATGCGAAACGCACACCGACACTCGTCTACCCTAACCGCAGAACGCGGCGCAAATGCTGCCTTAATTGGCAGCAACATTTACTGTTAAGAACTTATCAACTGCCCATTTAGATGTGCGTTTTTCACTTTAATTAATTGTTGTTGTATTGCACAAACAATATTAAATAGTTGATGGGCCACAGCGGCTGTCCGTTCAACAACAATAACAAAACATCTGCTGCCATAGCAATTGAATGTGAGAGAGCGAAAGAGCGAGTGAGATGTCAAGAGCATGCGCTCGCGGCGCTAACATTTGACCAACAGCTGTTTAGCAGCTGTTATCGATTGGCACGCGGCGCCCGATGTTAGCCGAGCAGGCCATAACATTTATCGAACGACGACTGTTATCGAACGGACGGCATGTGGCGCGCGCCATGCGAGCAATTCAAATAGTAGGCGTGTAAATTGTGAGGCACTTCGAACGGATGCGAGTACATGCTCAGTATTTAGCGTGTTACACAATCAGTCAGTCAGTCGCACGAAACAAATGCTTGTCTTCAAAAATATATACACAACTGAAAAAGTATTGAACAGAACATACAAAATATAAATTAATCAAGATGTTGCGCATACCAGGCATGCCCCTCCTGCCGGGCACCCTCTTCCGTGAAGTAAGTACCAAGCAATTTATTTACTTATCTGTGGATCGGCTCATCTCACCATTTGTTAGGTTAATAAAGTGTACTATCCCAAATCGCAAACGTTGCTCAACTTTCGCGGCATACCGATGCTCAGCGATCGCCAGCAGTCGATGCCCGTGGATCCCGCCGGGGTTGTGGTCGACATTAGCTGCCCGCCGGCGAATGCGCATGCGCTGTATCCGCCGCGTTCGGGGCCACGCTTACCGCCCTGGCTGGCCTATGACAAGAAGGTGCTCAGCTTTCGCGCCTATTTCAAACAGACACTGCAGGAGAACTTCCATGCGCCGTATATGGTGAGGCATGTGAAGATCTATTACTATCTGGAGGATGGAACGCTCGAGATACACGAACCGAAGGTCGAGAACTCGGGCATTGTGCAGGGCTGTGTGCTGCATCGACAGCGTGTGCCCAAGCCGCCGCCCTGCGAAAACGAAAGCCTCTCGATAATTGATCTCAATGTGGACAAGACGGTGCTGATCTTCGATCGCAACTATCACATAGTCGACTGCGATCGCTTCACACGGAATTTTCTCAATAAGCGCGGCATTGTCGTGCCGGATCCGGTGATGGCTGCCATGTGAGTAGCCAAATATATATATTATTAAATTATATATTTTAACCATTTGCCAAATTATGGTCAGCGATCCTGCCGAAGCGGTGCGCAAACGTGGCCAGGCACGCGCCAGCAATCCGCCCGAGAAGCGGCATCCGTTTGCCCAGTTCCTCAAGTACGATCGCCAGATACTCAAGTTCCAGGCCTATTGGGACGATCGCACCGACATGGGCGATGTGCGCAAGCTCGAGGTGTGCTACTACCTGGCCGACGACACCATCGAGGTGAAGGAGGCCCACATACGCAACTCGGGACGCGACGGACCAACCGTGTTCCTCAAGCGCGGACGCTTGCAGCGCGTAAGTAATCCCGCCCGATCACCGATCACCGATCACCGATCACCGATCACTGATCACATTACATTCATTGGTAGGAATTCGATGGGATGCTGCTGCCGGGTCAGCAGACGCCCGTGACGCTGCTGAATGTGCTCGGCTCGTCCCGGAATGTGCGCTACTGCGTCGATCCGCTCAATCTGGGCAGCAAGGAGATTCTATATTATAGCCAGCGGGATCTGCAGATCGGCAGCGTGCTCAATGTATACGGCCGGGCCGTGGTCATCACCGACATGGATCCGTTCACCAAGCAATATTATCGGGATCACTATGGGATCGATGAGTTTACGCCAATTCCGATGCCGACCCGATCGGATGTCTGCAAGCCGTACGACAAGTCCGGGCGCATGCTGCCGCCGTTCAATGGCTGGGGCAGCTACGAGGATTCTGCCGGCAATTGTATGTCCATTGTGATAAAGCGTCCCAAAACAGATTTCCGGAAATTCATCAAATTCGATCGCTACGTGCTGCGCTTCGGTGCCAAGATGCTGTCCACGATACGGGAGAACTGCGAACGGATCTTCGTGATTAGCTACTATATGAGCGACGATACGATGCAGGTGCAGGAGATAGCGGTGCGCAATTCGGGCTTCCTGGGCGGCGTATTTATGAAGCGGACGCGCGTCCTGATGCCCGGCCAGGAGAAGTTCTCGTGCAAGCAGCCGCAGTATTATAGGCCGTGCAATTTCTATATTGGCGGCACCATGTCCATCAAGGATTTCATATTCCATTTGGTGTCGGCGGATGAGTTCACGCTAATGTATATGGAACATCATCCGGAACAGTTTCCACACTGCAGCATCGAGCTCATCCTGGAGAAGGTGCGCAAGGCTCTGGAGCCGCGCATGGCACAGTTTGTGTCATCGTGTGTGCCCGACTGCACGGATCTGGAGAAGAAAATGGAGAAGCGCACCGTTTTCGTATCATTTGAGAGCTTGAAGGGCGCCCTGGTGGCGCTGATGGGCAACACGATCAGCGATCATGAGATCATCACGCTGTGCCGTCACTTTTCCGGGGAACAGGCGCCGCCGAATGCCTGCGCCCGGGACAAGGTGCGCGCCTCGGCCCATTTGGAGATCAAGCGTTCGCTGTGGAATGGCCGGGATGAGCTGATGGAGCATTTCCATCACATCAATCCGACCAATAAGCCATTCCTGCCGGAGACCCAGGTGCGCTCAACGCTGCGCGGCTTCCGCATGCCCTTCACCCTCGAGCTGATCGATAACATATTGTCCGTGCTGAATCGCAACGATTGCGATGATATCGAGGTGTGCGACCTGATGAACTTCATCGATGTGTCCTGCACCAAGGGCTGCGATATGCCGCCCATCAACTATGCCTTCGAGCTGTGCCCCAAGTTGCCCTTCCAGTACAAGGGACGCGTTGTGGACTTTGGCTGCTTCCTCAAAGCCCTCAACCTGCCCCTCAATCTGCCCAGCAGCAATGCCCAGCCGGCCAATATGATCGGCGAAGCCAGAATATTGCCACCCTCAGACATAGTCGATTGTTGAACACACCGATCCTCGATCCTCGATCCGTGATCCTCGATCCTTGTTCCATGATCCTCGATCTCTGATCCCCGATCCAAACGCTGCTCAGTGAAGGGAGGCCGAATTATGTTCTCGTCTCAATTTAATATGTTATGCAGTTACACTTTCTAGCTGTTGTCGTAGATAGATCGAAATTTCTTGTGCCACATGCATCGGTTTAGCGGACAATCAGACATTAGGAACTATCGTGGTGTAGCATACGTACAATACCCCAAGAGTAAACACAAGCATCAGACGTCCAAATATATTTTAAATAACAACAACAAAATATGTAAAAACAAATTAATAAAAGCGTATAGAAGTTAGAACTTAAGCACCTATCGTTGTGAACTCGCTTGGAATATTATTCCAAACCTAAGTCGACCCGTTTACTCCCTATAATAAGCTGCAAAGGTTCTAGGAACTCCGCTTGAGGTCCTTAGTGAAAATGCCTGGACAATAGGCTTAAGGTTAAATATTCTCATGATCTGAAGGTAGGCTATCTTAATCTTCCAAATATTGGGGAATACTTCCTTAGGAAATCCTCAGCTAAGCATATTTGCTTTGTAGTTCTCAGTCAAAATACCTCGATCCTTAATTTGGCAATCCCTAGTCGGAACTGTGGGTTAGCCCATTCCAAAAATGGTAGACATTCTTCCTATTTTTACCTTGAGACTGAATCAATGAATCAGAGCTAAAGCTCTTGCTTAATCTTTTAGCTAACATCCTTTGTCCAAACTCCTAAGGAATAAACATAGGACACAGCGTTGCTCTGATATTGATGATAGGCAATCTTTGGCTTGGCAATTGGGTAAGTCTTATGCAGTATACTTAGTTGGACATAACCATAGACGATCCTTGTTTGGAGGACATTCGTTTAGCAAGGTACATAATCTTTATTAAGGAATTCCTTAGTTAGGGACTCCGTAGTTTGGATAACCCTTCACGAACCTCCTAACTCCCAGTCCCGTAAATAATTTGCGTTTTCTGCATTTTTATAAGTCTCTATTTATTAATTTCTTGAAAATAGCATATTGGGTTTTGCAATAAAAAAAAAAAACTAGGATATTTTAATTAAATAATAACTTACAATAAGAAAAATTGTCGCTTATCAAGGAGGGAGAAGGGGGGGGGGGGGCAGATCCATCTGTTTAGCATCAAGTGATGTTGTCAAAAATGCAGCTAGTCGTATATTTTTCTTTAGGCATATTGTGTTTAAAAGCTTTTTAACGTTTATTACTTTTACATCAGTTTATGCTTAATAAATGTCGGAACAAAGTTGAGAGTTAAATAGTTTTTGTTGTTGTTTTTTTTTTTTTTGGGTTTTGTTTCAGCCTTTCCCCCAAAATGGATTTTCATTGTTTAGTTAGATAAGTTAGCAACTTCTCTTAATTATTTCGGGTATATATTTATTGAAAGCCAAATGAGTTTACAAAAATTTTACTGAATAACTGTTTAAATTAAAATTGGTCGCATATACACATTTATATATATATATTTAGTTTTTTAATTGCGATTAGCTTAAGTACTGCACTTAAAATTAATTAAACATTTAAAACAGATTAAAAAAAAAAAAAGAAAATAATTTGGTATATCAAAAGTGAAATCAAAAATTATACCGTGAGATGTGCTAAACTAAAGGATATCCAGAATAATATATAAATTGATATAATAATAGAAAAGAAAAAAAGTACACTACAATTGAAAGCCGAAGGTGATTAATTATTTATATTGTTGTTGCTCTTGTTGTTTTTGTAGCTGCTGCAGTTTGTGTGTTGCAATGCGAGTTAGGGGTATGTTAGGGTAATGTTAATCAGCGCCATAATATACTAGATCGAGTATGTGCATTTAATTTAAATTTAAATTTTGTGTTTATTGTTACAAATGGGTATATAGGATAATGCAAATGTGATTACAATCGAAATGTAGTTAAGTCGTGAGATTAGGCGATTCATCATCAAAGTTAAGCGGGCGCCCCCAAAAAGTTGGCTCGCTGGGCTGGACAGTTGTTGTTCTTGTTCTTGTTGTTGCATTGGTTCAACTCGCTACTCGTTGCTCGTCACTCGCTACTTGTCACGCGTCGCTTGCAACTCGTTACTAGCTACACGTCACTCGCTACTTGTTACTCGCTACTTGTCACCCACTTCTCGTTAGTCGCTACTCGTCCCTCGCTACATGTCACTCACTTCTCGTTAGTCGCTACTCGTCCCTCGCTACATGTCACTCACTACTCGTTACTCGCTACATGTCACTAGCTACTTGCTACTCGGTACTCGCCACTCGTCACTGATTTGCTTGTCCTGCCGTCTTCTGTCCCGAACCATGCGCTTTTCCAATTTTGGCCAACCCCTAATCCACAAACTGATGCTGCTATTGCTACTGCTACTGCTACTGCTGCTGCTGCTTAGATCTCATCGATATCTATCTCGTCGCCATCCTCTTCTTCCATGGCGTTCTTCTTGTTGACAGCGGCAACGGCGGCACTGACAGCGGCTACCTTAAGGGGTTCGACACGTGCACGATCATCATATTCGATTTCCACATCCGAATCACCGCCAGCATTGTTATCCTCGTCAGACGACGAGTCCTCCTCCTCGGCATCCTTGAGCCATTGGACAAACGGTTCTACTCTCTCGTGTATCTCGGTGGCAATCTTCTTGGAAACATGACGCTTGCTCACCTTTTGGGCCCATTCGAGTATCACCTTCTCGTCGAGTATGTCCAAGTCGTAGAAGATCTTAAAGATGCCGGCCACCTTGCTCATCAGTGTGTTCGCATGCAGATCCACGGTCTGCTCGATGCCGCCAATCAGATAGCGCTGACCCTTCGGATTGTTGTGGGTAAAGCGCAGCAGTAGAATGCGATTCTTGCGCACATCGTGAATGATGTTCTCGGTGAAGAGCAGTTCGGCCAGCACCAGCGGCGCCTTGTTAACAATATCCAATCGCTCGGCCTCAATCAGCAGCTCCTTGTGCGTGGGCACATCATCCAGCTGCTTATTGTCGCGCTTGTTCTTCACCAGCTCATAGAAGATGTCGATACGTTCCTTTTCTGTCTTGTCGTAGTCATCGGAAATGGTCATACCCTTGGCGCCATCGGTCAGGTCCTGCAAACGTGCACGGATCGCTTCCTGTAAGTGGAAGAACAAATGTTGAAATACATAAGAATTTCCAGCAAACATTTCTGTTAACTGCATAATGTTACTCAACAAATGCAAATCGATCTTATAATGCAAGCCTTCACAGTTGCATGTTAACTACTCTCGCAAATAGGAACGCAGGCGGTTAAAGGCATGTTAAGTAGCTGTTAAGCAAGGATTATTAAATTCAAATCAACCTCTTTTTATTTTGTAAGTCTTTTAGAATTATGCCAGCTGATATTCCAATTATATGCACGTTAATGTACCATAATAAAGCAGCTTTAGAAACTGCAAGAATAAAAACAATGGCAAGCTGACAAACAGCTTTTGCTAATTGATAACAGAAATGTGATACCAGCAGAATTTAAGCTGGTATTATATCTGTTAATGATAAAATACTTTTATGTAAAGCTGGTATTACAGCTGTAAATGTTAAATAGAATTATATGTTAAGCTCGCCTACACTGTTAACTAACTCTTGTGCGCTAACAGTAACATTTCCCCCATACTATTAAGTAACTGTTAATTATAGCAATGTTAATAGAATCGTTATTTCTGCGAATTGATAACAGAAATGTGAAACCAGCCGAGTTTGTGCTGGTATTACATCTGTTAATGCCAAAATATTTTCATGTTAGGCTCGCCTACACTGTTAAATAACTATTGTGCGCTAACAGTAACATTTCCCCCATACTATTAAGTAACTGTTAATTATAGAAATGTTAATAGAATCGTTATTTCTGCTAATTGATAACAGAAATGTGAAACCAGCCGAGTTTGTGCTGGTATTACATCTGTTAATGCCAAAATATTTGTATGTTAAGCTCGCCTACACTGTTAAGTAACTCTTGTGCGCTAACAGTAACATTTCCCCAAATTTATAGGTAACTCTTAGTAACAGCAATGTTAACAGAATCGTTATTTTTGTAAGATCTAGGTTTATCTTTGTTGATTTCAGTCGAAAAATATATCTCACCTTGGAAACATCAACGCTCCAGCCGCCATCGTCATCGTCCTCGGTAATGCTCTTCTCCGGTATGGCGGCGCTGATCTCAGCCTCGGTCTGGCTGGCATGATTGGTGCCATTGCCGCCGTCGGATTCGCCGCCCGAATTGTTGGCCATTGAGTTGTTGGACATGGAACCATCGGAATTCTCGTTCTTCTGCTTCTGGACACGCTTGGAACGCTTGCCCTCGGTCAGGGAGGAGCCCTGTGCGGCCGGATTCAGTGATGGTGGATTCTTCACAATGTACGTGTTGACTTTATGGTTGACCTTGAGCAGACCATGGAAGCCACAGGCCTTGCACGATTGCGAGATGGTCTGGTTCTTGGCCGAGACGGTCAAATTGGTCTCCGGATTATCGCATTCGGGACACAGCACAAATTTGCGAATGAAGCCATCGAGCAGATCCTGCAGCTTGTTCACATCATGCGACCCATTCACAATGAAACGTTCGTTCTGCAAATTGGAAAGTATACAAATGTGAATATTAAATTAATGGTATAATGGTATATAAGCTAGCACTATTTAGGGTGGAAGCTATCTTGAAACGAGAATTCCACACGCAAGCGTGGAAAATGGGTGGAAAACAATTGTATGATGAGTATACTGAGTATACTCTCAAAGAGAATATGTAATTGAGGCGGATTGCCCTACCTTATGATCGAACTGCGTTTGGGCGCCCAATTCACAGCCAAAGTACTTGGTCGGATAGGTGGCTGGACGGCCGATGGCGCGTGCCACTTCGGCCATGTTGACCAGCACCGTTTTGATGCCGTTGCCCTTGCCCTCGACTTTGGCCTGTAGACGCGGCATCTTGTAGCGATAGAAGATGTCCGTCACGCTGCGGTTCACATTGACGGTCGCCATTTTGCAGCTGTACAGTTAATGCCTCTTCCGGTTCCGTTGATGCGATGCTGGTTGCCTGACTTGATTTGATTGTTGTTTCTATGTTTTCTTCCAGCTGACTATCCGTGGATGTGTGTGTGTGTGTGTCTGTGTGTGTGCTGGCGGCAATTGGGAGAGGATGGGAGGATTCTCGTTCAGCGATCCGGGAGTGGGTGGATCGATCGGTTAATTCCAATTGTCTATGGTGGTTTGTGCGGCTGGCAGCGCCAATTTGTTGACTTTAGCGGCTATCTTGCAGTTGCTTAGCGCCTCGTTCCCGTTCATTAAATTTGCTTTTGGCTCAACCTGCTTTTTGATCGCTTTGATCTCTGTCTCTCTATCTCTCTCTCGCTCTCTCGCTCTTTCCCTCTCACGCTGAACCGGGAGAGTCTTGAAGAGAATCAGCTAGTTGTTGTGGTTATTCTTGCTGTTGGCTGTTGCCGCGAATTCCGTTTCCGTTTCGGATTTCGACTGCAAATTCGCTTCCACTGGGCATCGACTCGTGCATCCAAAATGTGGGCAACTCAGTTACCAGTTTTTCTTTTTTTTTTTTTTTGTGTGTGGTTTGTTTATGTTTTGGAACCTCTTTATACAGAGTTTCTCTAGGCTTCCAGTCTTCCACTCCTCCACGTCTTTGTCTCTAAGCGGATTTGGGTTTGTGGTTTTTTTTTTGTTTTGCTTATGTTTTTTAACTAAATTTTTTTTTTTTTTTTTGTTTAGTTTTTTGTGTAGTTGTGATTTATTCTGCCGTCTCCTATCCCCTTCTATTCGTTTGTAGTGCGGGCTTTACTGTAGTATATGCTGTCTATATATCTGGCATAGTCTTAGCTATTGGTGTTTTTTTTTTGTTGGTTTTTTTTTTGTTTTTAATTTTTTTGGATTTTTGTGTTTTTTTTTTTTGAATGTTTAATAAAAAACTATTGGAACGGTACAATGGTTGGCTCACGTGTACCTGAACGGCTGTAACTTCCGATGTCTGTTACTTGAAGTCCTGCAAAATGGAGAAAATGCAATCGATTAGTTTAAGAAAATCAGTTATAAAGCATCTCTAAAGCTAACATTTGGGACGCCAGCTGTAAATTGATAACAGTTTAATGTTAACAGCAGGGTAGCTAACAGACAACTGTATGAATAGGGATCACCAACGTCCACTAACTGTAGTTAACAGTGCTGATGTTAGGTATGAACGGAAAATAACATATGTTAAGCTAATTTCAAAATATGACAACAAATATTAACTGTGGCCAATAGCATCATTAACAGATCGAAATCTTTAGCCTATGTTAACTGAAGTTTCACATGATTCATGCTAAGACTGGAAGCCTTAGACAACTTATTTATCGTGAACTACAACGTTTAATATAGAGACAAATGGACAGCAGCTACTAACTGTAGCTAACAGCAATGTTAGGTTTAAATGAGTTTTAAGGCGTTATGGCAAAATATTCTCTATACGTTAAATGTATTTCTCATTAATATGGCGAAGTGTGGACGACAACTTTCAACAGACAAACGGTGTAAAAACGCAATGTTAGGTGAATTTAAACTTTATTTATATGCTAATTTCAGGCATAATTGCGTGCTTAAAGTTTTCAAGGTAAACAAGGTAACACACGCACAGATACTAATCAATAGCAGCTGCGCGTCCTGTGTGCACGTGTGACCTATTTCACAGAGCCGTGACCGCGAAGCGTAATTAGATGGGATATACTATATAAAATATAGAATATAGAATATAGCTTACCGATGACTTATAGTTCGCCTCTTTGAATTCATGCACAGTTCGAAGCCTTTACTCCGTTTTTGTGGAATTGGAGGTGCGCCTTTTTTTGCTGGTGTTTCTGGAATATTCAAAGAGAATCGATGAGTAAATGGAACAAGGTGTCTAATAAAGTGCATTCAAGTGCATTTGGATCAAGATGGAAGATGCATGTACATATTATACATATGTATATATAGTAAACGTGTCGACTTGTTGGGAGATCATCCCCAGAGTCTTGGCTTACCCACATAGGTATACAGTTAGGCCAGCTTTCGGAACGGTGCATAGCAAGTGAACATTGGTAACCCACTTCGACACACTAAGGACACTGAACTGGACAAATCGCAATGGTTGCTTTTCGATTGAATCTTGATCTTCGAGTTGTTTGGTTGCTGGCTGGGTTTTGTGGGTGTTGGTGGGATGGTTTTAGGTTGGGGTGGGGGGGTTGTTGGGTGGTGGGTGGTGGGTGGTAGGGGCTAGAACGATCGATCGGTTGCTCGCTCTTACGCCAGCCTTTCAATGCCGCCTCATCGAGAGCTTAATGGACTGCTAGCATCGGCTCTCTCTTCTTCTTTTTAAACGCAGTAATTTTGAAGCAAAGCTTAACCAAAAGTTAGACCACATCAAAAATATTGTTAACGCTTCGCTATGTAGTCGAAATGTATATAAATCAATATATATATAATTATATATATATAGCTATATAACTATATATATATATATATATATGTTTTATATATATATATATATATATATATATTTGAATAAAGTTATCTTGATTTCACGGCCAATTTGAATTGCATTTGCATTTGCATTTCTTGTTCATCAACGGGCAAGAGAGACAGAGAGAAGTATGTGCCAGTCACTGCAAATTTGAGATTTACACTGAGAATTTCGCTGGTTATATATCGAATAATTTCAAAATTGAATGCCTGGAGTGAGATTTCTATAGCTGCTACTCAACCAAGCCTCTTAATGACAGCTATTTCAAAATTCTGATTATTTCTTACAAAACAAAAAAAAACACAGAACACAGTGCCGAATCGATTCATCGGTTAACATTTTCCTACTCCGATTATGAATTTGAATAAAATATATATATATATATATATATATCTTTCACCTTTCCTTATGCAAATGCATATGGTTAAGAAATACGTGTGTTAACTTGCAGGAATATGTTAGTTTTATATCGAGAAAGTTGAAATTTCTTAGCCAAAAGCCGAGCTATTAGATCAGCCAGACACAGGCGAGTCGAATTAACAGCAGATGTTACACTGGATCTTCCATATATGAACTTAACAGCAGCAGAGTTGCATTCTTTAACAATTCTGTTATTTGACCAACCACAAAGCTCCTTTTTTTGTGCTATGTTAATTGGTTAACACTTAACGAAACTAAACTTATTTTAATTTATAAGAAGCAAAAACTTTACAAATTTCTTTAAGTAATATCTAGGTGAGCACAGCACAGTTGAATATTATTTGAACTTTGTTACTTTTGAATTCCCAACAGCTGCTTAGTCGCGCTCCTTAACTACTCTGTTAGCCGAACATTAAAGAACTGATTGAAGCAACTTAACGAAGAAGAGTGCAACACGAGTAGAGCACGAGCAAGAACGGAAACACACCACAGAGCTGTTCGGCTCTCTCGCTATGTTAATGAAGGGGGGGGTGGGGTGTGGGGGAAAGGGTTTCAACTGTTGTGTGTTGAAAAACTGTGAACTCACCGCTGAGGCTGAGGTCATAGGTAATGGCCACAGTATGTCGCTGGATGGTTAAATCGCACAGCATATGATGCAGCTCGCTTTTATGATTCGTTGTCACGAGCAGGAGCTGAACGAGCGCGGCCAGAAATTGCAATGGCAACGTCCACGTCAACGTCAACGACAACTTCGATTGCTTGGGCGGCGTCAGGTTGATGTCGTTTACCCAGGCAGTTGGCACACACACCACAGTGGCTAACAGGATCTTCTTGTTTACAGTTCTGTTTGCACTCTCTGCAAATCTGTTAATGTTATTCTTGCAGTTACAGTGGGTCACACTGTTACTGTCACAGTTACGGTTACGTTTACGGTTACGGTTAGGGTTACTGTTGTTACTGCTGTTAGTGCTGTTGGCTGCAATTGTTACCGTTATGTTCTGATTTCGATATGCCAGCGATTTTGAGTTGTTGGTAATTTGTGTGCAATTGGTATCGTTATCGTTATCGGTATCGGTATCGTTACGTTGCAAGCGACACGTTGACATCAACGTTCGATTGGTCCGACGGGGCAACACGAAATTAGGAAAATAACAACGATAAAGAGTAGTTGGCATTAATGGAGAAAATAAATAACACCAAGATTCAACACACGTGTCAAAGCGTGTGCAAATTGTGGAAAAGAGACAACAAACAACAAAAAAAAAAAAAAAAAACCGACTGAATGTTTTGTGTGTGTGCGCGTACGCGAGGCCCCTCGAGTTCGACCTCGACCTGAACAATACCCTCTAATCGATCTGAACGATCAATTCTGGTGGTGTTGGTGCTATTGTTTCTGTTGTTGTTATTGTAGTTCTTCTTGTTCTTGAAGGATGCTGTAGTGCTGCTGCTGCTGCTGCTGCCGCTTCGATATCGATAAATTGGTTTATCGTTATGCGTTTCATCGATGGTTCTTGATGATGTGCGCCGTGTGTCCCGTGTTTTACTCTTAACTGTGTATTTTCTGCTCTTCTGCTGATTTATTGGACCAATTTGGTGTGTCACATTTGAAAAACTATATATATAATAAATGATGCTATGCTATGCAATTGAATTGATTGGAAAAAATATGAAAACTCAATGTAAAACAAAACCAAAATCGAAACTAATACATTTGCATACATATACGGCAGTCATATACATAAGTATTATATTCATATGTGTTTTCATCCACATATGTAATTTCGACTTGAAATGAAAAGCAGTAACAATTACAACAACAACAACAACAACCACAACAATAGCAACAAGACAAGGACTCCATTTCACACACACACACACACACACACACACACACACACACACACACACACACGATACAGCCAGCCGCTCGAAAAAAAATCCAATAATTACAATGCCAATTGGCACGCACAATGGTCTCTGGTCTTTAGTTCACTTGTGCCAAATTTTTGACTATGGCAATTTGGGGGCGTGGCGATTAGATATATGTGTATGTTTATAATTGTTGCAGCTGCTTTAATACAATTTTATGTTGGTTTTCCGTTTTTGTGCACGCACGCACACACAGACACACAAAATGCGTGGAAAATTTTTCACGTAACGCGAACAAGTCGGGGGAAAAGAAAAGTCAAGTCGAAAACTTGCGATGGGCTTAACGCTGACGAATAAACTGACTGACTGACTGTTGACTCGGCGATGCTGAGAGAGCCCAAGTCCTGCAAGTGCCTGTCTCTCCGTGTGTGCGTGTGTGTGTGTGTGTGCATGTGTGCATGTGTGTGTGTGTGATATGCTCCTGGCGGGGATGGAACAGAGCACACACACGAGCAGCAGCAGCAGCAGCAGCTCGGGCATGACTGCGCATGTGTCATGGCCCTGCAACAACAAAACAGATGTTTCAAAGAGACGGCAACCGTTCCACCAACCAACCAACCCACCACCTACCGCCTGACCGCCCACACACACCACAATTAAATGCAACTCTGCGGCGCATTTGAGGTCAATTTAAGCATATGTTAGGCGCCAGCGAAGCGACGTATTCGCAAATTATGTTTTTTTCCATTTTTTTTGGGTCAGCCGCAAAGTAGGCAGCAACAAAACGCTCGATAAAACAAACGAAAATAGCCAAAATGTCAGCAGCAGCAACAGTAACAAAAACAAAAACAATAACAATAACAGCGCAACAACAGCGTAACTGCAGGTCACGCAATGTGCAACGTGACAGACAGAGAGTAAGAGGGTGAGAGAGCGAGAGAGGCTAAGCGCACGCAAGTGCCTAATCACATGTAAACTATAAGACGTGCGTGCGTGCAAGCGAGAGCGAAGACCTCAGCAACAGCAACAGCGAAAGCTGCTGTTGCTGCACTGCGAACAGCTGCGAGCGAGAGAGGAAGACGGCAGACGGGACAACGTGACGGCGCTGCTGCTGCACTGTGAACAGCTGAGAGGAAGAGAGCATTTCTGTGGAAGCTGAGCGTGTCGTTTGCAGAACAAATACACGAACTGGAGCTCGACTTTCAATTGGCAGGCACTTCCCAACCTTTGTATACCCTGGACACACGCAAGTACTATTTAATAAAATAGAGAGCAACAATATTATTTTGCATGATTTATGAATTGATTTTGCTAGAGCAATTAAGTAGCAGTATTTCTAGAGTCGAAATTATAGAAATTTAGCAAGGTTTTTGAACGAAAGAGGTTCGAGCCAAGAATTTTAGGCTTTTCTTTGTATCAGTCCCTTCCTTAACCTGAGCTAGACTGTATTTAAATATGAGCTAAGTACGAAATATATATATTTCAGAAGCTCTTAAACATACAACAATGTATCTCTTTTCGATAAATGAAAATATATTTAAAAAAAATAAGATAGTATATAAAAGTATAAAAATATTATAACCATCATTATATCTTTTAAAATTTTAAAAAATAAGACGAGGCAACCTGAAACCTGGAGACCTAAAGGCGAGACGCTGGTTCGAACCGTCAACTGAACCAACGACTTTTCTTTTAACAAACAAATACTGAGACGTTCAAACATATTAATTAATTTCTTTTTATTGTGGGATATGGCTTCTAATTATGATGAAGATCTAAATTAAGTTGGCTTTAAACACGCCTTTAATATTATGTTGTATCTACATTATTTACTCGAAACTTGTTTGAAAATGATCTGTAATCAATTTATGGCCTCTTCTCTTTGCATTTTAAGCCTATTTTTTGTTAAGTGTTCAGTTTTAAGAAAACTGATTACAGGCAACAAAAAATACGCAGTCATTGCTTCTGTTAATAAGTTTAAATAAAATCATTTGACTAGCTTTTTACCGAAAACTGGTAATTTACTTGAAAAGTACCGAAATTCTAAAAAGAAATTGATTAAAAGCTCAGTTTGAAGTGCGTCAATTAGCAATTAAATTGACGAACTTGTTAAACGGATTACAATTTCGGGCATCAATAGACGAGGCTTCAAAAGAGCACCAGAGTTACCAGGTATTCCCCACAATTGTGGGGGCTGGCTCTTTGTTCGCAACGCCCTTTAAGTATGTTTACTTAGCTGCACTTGAATAGCCATGAAGACTCTTTCTTTTCTTTTTTCTTCTTTCTAGAATCGCATGACAAATGCAATTTGCGATGGCAAAATAAATGTACACACGTATAATATACAGTTTCTATGTGTAACTATATCTATATATGTATATGTTTATATGTCTGTATATACATATGTATAGATTGTGCAAATTAATGAGCAATTGTTGCAGCAGAGATTTCTCGTTATCGCGCGTTTCATTTGCGAGATTGAAAGAGAAAAGTATCGAGTATTCAATTAAAATGAAATGAAAGATACTTAATTGGATTGCCTTACAGAATTTCACGGAAATCAATTAATTTTCCTTAACAAGTGCAAATGCAAGAAGAAGAAGAAAAAGCAGCAGCAGCAGCGAATGCAACCCCAGTCGCATAATTCGAGAAAATCTTTACGTCCACAGATGTGGCAGGGGGGATTCATTTGCGTAAACAGATGGCACTTGATGGTAGGTTGGGGGTAAGGGGCTTGGTTTTGCGTAAATAGACAGCAGGCTTACGCCTGTTGCCGCGTGCCTCGCTTTTTTTTTTATCTAGCTGCAACAGCAACAACAGTTAGGTAAATGCGTCAATAAAATATGTTGCACAACGTGACAACGCAACAAAACGTGGCCAGAAGATACCAAGAAAAAGTAGCTTTAAATTGCTTTAAAATTATACAAAAAATTTTCAATTACATAGAAAAATACAGCTAGAAATTGCTTCAAAATGATCAGCAATTCTTAAAGATACAAAGAAAAAGTAGCTAGAAATAGATTTGAAAATTCCCAAAGATACCAAGAAAAAATAACTAGAAAAAGCTTCAAGCTTATCAAAAATACTTAAACATACCAAGAAAAAGTAGCTTGAAAAAGCTAAATAATTATCGAAAATTCCCAGTTGTATAAAAGGGATATTCCCTCGATCCACGATGTCAGCCTGATAGTCATATGTTATTTTGAGTCCGAAGCATTTTTTGAACATTTGTCTGGCAATGTGTAATTGAGGCTCTTCCAACACAATTTAGAAAATGGTTTAGAGCTACAGTTAAATATAAACTCATTTTTTTATATAACAATGAGCAGAATGGAACCTTTTTCGAATCACAAATATATAACGTAACAAGATATTGGAAGGGATCTAACATATATTTGTCAGGAAATTGACCGATAAAGTACACACTCACATTTAAGAACTTATCCAACAGGTAACATTCGTATCAATTTTTCTGTTAACGCCATTCTTCGACCCTTTAAAATAGCCAGATTTGTAGCAGAAAGCAATTTATCAACATTTTCTAGCTGTTGCATTTGCAAAACAGCTAAATCTAGCTTTAACAACCCGACTAGCGAATACCCTGAACTCTCTTCTACCAACACCAAATGCAGCATGCGATAGTTAAAAAATAAAAGCTATATGTCTCACAAGCTACGAGATTTGCTTAAAAACCTCAATCGAAATAATCGATAAAGATACTTGATATACACCTAAGTCTGTTTTTACACGGTAGATTGGTTCCAGAAGAAGCCGTGTAAAAAAAACCGTGTAAAAAAAGACATTGATCGTTTACAAAAATGGGTGATTTGTTCCTAATCTCTAAAACCTATTAAAATTAGTGAAAAACAAGAATTTTTAAGAACAAGAATTCATGTTTATTTTATTAAATCAAATATATAATGCTTATTTTCACAAGCATAGTAATTAATGATAAAAAAGATATGCACTCTAATCTTAAAAGTACATAATATAAATTAGAATGTATGGCAAGTTCAGGAACTAAACAACTATGTTGTGAACGAAAAGAATAGGTTATACAATTTTTAAGGTAAAAAATAAAATAAATACAGCAACATAAATTTAATTGCTGTCGTCATCAGTTATTCGCATTCGCTTGCTTCGAACGCGTATACATTCACTATCATCGCTGGAATAATTTTGAACTGGACTTTCTCTTGCTCGTTCGGCATCTACATTTTGAAAAATGAACTCTGTT